AACCCTGGGGGCCACCTCCTCTCGTGAGCATTCTCCATTAGTTCATTCAAAATGGTAGGTGGGCATCCACTGTCTGCAAGTGCTCGCCGAATGACTGCCTGTAGAACAGCGTCAGGTGTAGATATCATACCACCCCATCTTGTTACTCTGGCTGATTGTAACCCCCTTAACCACTGATGAATTTCATTGACATAGTGATCTGGTTGTGACAGGTTGCTTGGCAATAGTGGCAATGCCTGTGGCAAATTGATCACTCTCATGGTTCGGATCATTTCCTTGAGAGCTTGAATCTCACGTTTCTGTTCATTTAGCTGCTGGCGTTGTTCATCGATTTGAGCTTGCAGCTGTTCTTGCTTGAAATTCTGGTTTTGGATCAAGTTATTTAATTCACGGACACAATTATGCTGAGAAAGCTCGTCAAATGGAACCACTAATCCACATCCCTGATTGCACTGAACAGGCCTCTTTGGGTTATGTTCACACTGTGATAAATGAGAGTGTAATTGATCCAGTCTGACCACCCCATCACAGCCATGCCTTTCATTTTCACATTTTACTGTTAACTTTGATAGAAGGTTCTTCAAGATTCTTGGCACTTGCTTCAGTTCATGTGGTGTGAGGCCGCATCGATCAACTGGACAACTTTGTTGACGTCTCAGCCATTCATGTATACAACCAGCACAGAAAGCATGTTCACATGCTGGGGCTTGAAGAGGATCTTCCAGTACTGATTTACAAATTGCACAAAGCAGTTCCTCGTCAACTGAACATGTAAATCGTGTTGTATCATACCCCATAGCAACTGGTATGCTTCACCTAAACATGAAGAATGAGTTGGTATCAGACTCGTCATTGCATAATAAGTTCCAAATAGGTTCGTAGACAAGTTGGGGGGGGGAGGGGGTAATTAAAGAAAGCTTTATTGGGGGTGTCTCCAAAGCCTTCCAAAACTAGCCCTGTTTCACCCTTTAACTCCTAGAAGTAATTGACATGTAACATCTCCCTATAATATACAAACAAACAGATAGGGAGAATTCTTAAACTCATCACTTCCAAGTTTTTGTTTTGATCTTATGCCAAATTCTTGTAGCTACTATACAGGGAAATGTGCCGCAGCTAGAAGAGAGAATTAATAATCATATACCTGGAGTTAAAGGGTTAAGACAAGTCCCTTTCAACTTAATCTCTACACCTTTTACCTGACATAAAAAATCAGAAATTTATTACAGGTTCTTGTGAATTTTTGCTAGCCAAGGATAAAATTGATCTTAATTTGTTGTTTCTACTAGTTTGAAAAGTCTTCTATGGGTATAAAATTAAAAATTCACCTCCTGTGCTAATTTTTATTGTATACCTTCATCTCCAGGTGCTAAGACCAAACTGACTCTTGCTACTCAAATTACTAGTGTAAAATAATTGTACAGAGATTTTGACTTATGAGTCAAAATGTCATTTCTCACCTAAACAGATGACAGATTATGTCTGTAGAGCAACTTAACAAGCTAAGAATGGTTTTCTAATGTTCAATTTTGAGAAAAAATCAGTAAAACATCAAATAACTGTGCACATGTCTGATCTTCCCTGAAAAAAATGTTGAAATTTCTCTGCTGTATTTTGAAGTGATGCTGCTCATTAGCTAATAATTGTTACCACATATGTAGACTACAACCTGCCAACATTTATGCCATATTCACAGTTAGGTATAGAAAAATACATGTGAAGAATCTCAATAGTGAAACTGTTTTCTGTTTTCCCTTTTTTAAGATTTATGACCACAATAAATACACCTTATTTGATGGCATAAATCTGTTGAGGCCACAATAGGAAGAGCATCCCTTGGGATACCTGGATAATAAAACCTAGAGTTCATAATCGAACAATCACTAAAGAACACAAAGGCGATATTTGTTCCTCTCAGCCTCGCTGTAAAGAGATATTTTTCAAGTATCGATCAAAACCTTTTACAGATACCAAGGCAAGGGTTTATTCTTTGCATGAGCCAGCCTGCCCAAAAAGTTAAATATCATCGCTATCTCCACACTTTAAGGCAATCAGCAGTATTACTACGCTTCCAGGGAAATTTTAGGTCTCTGAAATGCTAATTTCGTTCAAATCCCAAGGAATTGTTTGTTATGATTTGAAAGTATTGTGAAGTAACTTTAAGCGTGTGTGCGAGAACATTGTTGGAAAAACTAGACCACAAAAGGTAATATCAATACCTAGTAAGCTCGTTAGATTTACCCTGGGGGGAAAAAACGAGAGAAAATAAAACCTTGACAGGGACTTCAGCAGGCCTGAGATCCCTGACTTATGGAAAGCGATTTTCCGCTTTTGATCGTCAAAAACTTCAATCATTTCTGATACATGATCATTTTCATACCTTATGATTGTAAATCACTGGTTTTACACGTCTCCAAATTTAAGATTTCACTGGCAACGATCCACATATGTAAAAGCTTCCCGGGAAAAACAATCCATTACCGCCATGAGAAATTTTTACGACAAAGCGCCTTCAAATCTCGATTTGAATCATGGGACTGAATTTCATTTGTAATGACGCACCGGGGAGGGGTGGCGTCATGCATCATATGGACCGCCCGTGTGATATCGCTCACGTCCTTGGCTGAAATCCAAAAGTGGTCAAAAAAGTTTTTCTTGGAAATGATTGTGTCATGATGACGCACAGGTCATTCACGCTTTTTCATCATTTTGATATGACAATTATGAGAGTTGTGAAAAGATCAATAGTCACACACGTCTCTAAGACTACCTAGATTACACAGAATTAACCAAAAAAAAACAACATTGCACTATGTAGCGAATTACCAAAACGTGAAATTATGCCAAATAATAAAACAGTATAGTCAAAATAAACGCTTCCTCTTGTCAGGCTCACTCTCTCAACAGACGTGACGTCATATACTCAGAAGGGAGGTCTATCCTCTGAAAGTTTAATTGCTCGTGACAGCTCCAGACAAAAGAAGCCAGAAACGCAATACGCATACCACATTTTGCCACAAAATGGCGCTTACTACGTTATTTGAGTGGTTTGGCTATGTGTTGTGTATTCTGACTATCCTCCCGTCAGCGCAATGTCGCAACTGTACTAAGGATGACTACAAGCCTTACATAACGCCCTGTGACATAAACACACAAACTCGTTCAATCGTCTATTACCTCAATACAGATTGGTAAGTTTTTAAAATTTGAAAGATCAGCGCTGAATGTACGCAATATGCCAAGGATTCGCTGGAATTATAATTCTATTGTTTAGGGCGTAAATTTTAAGATTATTTCTTGAATTCCTTCGTTGAGGCTCGAATTTAACTCAGGTATCCTATTTTGGTACTTTTCCATCCCAGTTTTCTGGTTCATTCGCAGTTATTTCTTTATTAAAAATTATTAAGCTTATTTCTGAGAGTTCTTTATTTTCGGTTCTGTCAGTTTTCTTGATACGGCTTCAGAAAACCTTAGAAACAATGTCTATTGATCACAATTATGGTAAACCAGCGCGTGTGAGCGTTCGTAGTTAATCAAAGAAGTTGTTATTTTAAGCTTCCTCAACGATTTTGGATTGTTTGTTTAGCTTGTTTCGCGAGTACATTTCAAACCAGCATTTGAAAAACGAAAGAAGTCTTCAAGAGAAAGAATCATATCATTTTGTTTCAACCCATCTTTAAGAAATTGACGGGAGATGCGTTAAAATATAGTATGTTCGACGCGTAGCCTTCAGCTACTAGTTCGGTTTCTTCAGGACTTCTCAGGTGCTTAAAATCTCTCTCATTGTTGTGAATACTGTATATTGCTTTTTGATCATGTTTCAACATGCGTCAGTGAATGAGGGATTGTATTTCATCATCATCTAATATCAATGCGAGACATTTTCTTTTACTTCGTAAAAGCTGAAATAAGCAAATATTTACTCATGAGACAAATTTTCACAACTTGATGAGACGAAAAATCTAGTCATTCGTTGTCTATTCTAAAGAATTTAGATACAATGTTGCCGAAGCAAGAAGTAAACATGTTTGTTGGCAATGGTCTTCCGATGGGTTACATGAGCTTAAAGAATTTCTTTTTATTTCTATTTTTCTAAAGAAGTAAGTAATATTTGAGGTTACAATTACTATGTAAGCAAAACAGATTGAATCATGATCATTATCCTAATTTCAGTTAAAACCTCTCCATAAGAATGTTCCTATTTGATAAGAAACCAACAAAAAAGAGTCTTTATAAAGAACTTCTTCCCACTGTTCCCCTATTTCAGATTTTTTTCTCATATTTCTGCCAAAACAGATGCCAGTTTCAATGCTGTAATGGCCAAAAACTAAACATCAAATTTCAAATTCCATACTAACATGTACATCAAAAAACGAAAATTACAAACACAAGGTGAATTTGAAATCTGTTTTTTAAACAGGCAAAAAAATTTAAAATGAAAAATTGGAAGTTGTTTTTTTCTATACAGGAAAAGAGAAGATATTTTGGAAAGTGAGTTTTGTTTCCATTTTTATCAGGGTAAAGAAAAAAATGAATAAAATGTAATTTTCATTTTGGTAAGAAATTGAAAATTGGCACAAAGGAACATGAAATCAGAGTGCTATAGTCTCTTTCTTTAAAGTGCTTTTGAAGCTTGTTCTCTGGTAGCTAAGTGTTTTTTCTCTTTAGTTGTTGTCAAGTTAAAAAATGGTCAGGATAAATTGTGTGCAATAGTTTGCAGAAAGTTAGTAAATGATAATGAGTACTGAATTATGCAACGTGAGCAAGCAGTTGACTTGAATTTTATTTAACTGGAAAGTGATAGATGATGCAGCATTTTATGCATCACCCTGCCTTTACTTAGAATAAAAGGAGTTTTGTAAAATAATGTAAACATATGTAATGTTGTTCTTTATTCTCAGCAAAGGAGGTGTAGCTCCTCCGGCTCCACAAACAAATATACCCTGTGATTGCCCTCAAGGAAGTGGACTTTCTGGAAGCCTCAGCTCTACTCAGTGTACACCATGTGAAGTTGGATCCTATGGGCCAGGGGGAGAAATCATCAACAACTGGAAAAACTGGACTAAGAATGGTACTGTGCCCCCAGAAGGATCAGGCATTGTTACATTCTGTGAAGCTGAACGTCAATATGTTCAGCCTTGTCACCCGTGGAAAGTAAGCGGTAAGGAGATTGATATTTTGAGAAACTTTCAATCAACTTTTAACCCACTCAACTCCCTCAAGCTGCTACACATTTCCTTGCAAATTTGTTACATATCTCATACCTGATAAGTTTAAGTATTCTCACTACCAGTTAGCTAGATAATGTACAGATACTATGGGGAGAAGTTACATGTCAATCACTTTTGGGAGTTAAAGCGTTAAGTAATTCTCTATACTGTCTACCATACAATGTGGTGTTGGATTAACTTATAATCTCCTAATTGATATTTTTCCTTATTCTCATCACTTGTTTGCCTGATATTGTATTGATTTTGTAAGGAGAAATTTTGTCTTGGTCTCTTTTGTGAGTTAAAGGGTAATGAGTTGAAAGCAATCTAGGGTCTTTTTTGGTTTGCTTTACTATTCTGTATAATTTGTCTTGAAAACTTGCGGCATTTTTCAACCAATCAGATTCAAAACTAAAACCAAATTTTAATTAGTGACTTGGATTTTTCCCTTGTTTGTTCTTACTCTTGGTTCTCATTGTCCCATTGTGACATTCTACCGCACAGTAATGCCCCCACCATCCTGTAGAAGCTCTGGACACTGTCTCTTGCTTTTAAACATTCCCCCAGCTGAATCGAGGATTCAACTGTTATCAAGTTATTTAACCCTTTAACCCCTAAGAGTGACTAGCATCTAATTTCTCCCTACAATATCATCACTGAATCACACTTTAATGTCATGAGAATAAAGGAAATGATCATCATCAAAGAAACTCTTGATTGTTAGACAAATTCTCCTTGTCAGCACCTTAGTAAATGTATAGAGAACAGTATGGAGAATATGAATACTGATGTTAAGGTGTAAAGTGTTGATTGTGCATTTTTCCTTCATTTATGGTAGCAGCAATTGCCATGAATTTATAACATTTAGAATTGTAATTGAATGCAGCTTACTATACTTAGAAACTTTCTCAGTTCATGTGTCGATCTTTTCTTCCTCAGCTGATGAATATACCATTAACTCAGGGGATAATTCATTAACACGATGTATGTCATCTGTCTTGCTTATGACAAAGAAGTTTGTTATGAGTGTCAGTCAAGTTAGTTTTGAGTATCGCGTAGACAGTCGAAACTGCAGGGGGCCTGGCTACTTAGGGTGCGATGGTTTGGCATTTTTTGTGGATAACAAGGAACTGCTGACATACAGTGGAAACAAATTCAATTGGGTCAACGTTACATACAATTTGACAAAGGTATGCAACTTGGAGATGACTTGAAAGTGGTAGTGAATTTCAGTGGACCTTACCACCAGTGTCAGATTATTTTTAGGAACACTAAATGTAAAATACATTCTTTTTTAATTTTCCAGGGAACTCATACACTTAAATGGGTCTATCGAAAAAGGTGCTTTAGTTTTGGAACATATTCCTACATAGACAAGGCCTTCATCCGATCCATAATGTTGGTAAGTCCTGTTATGATTCAGTGAAAATTGCACTTTTTTAATTCATAACAATTTGTCGCATTTTCACGGTTTGTGAAAAGAGTCAAGAAGAATTAATGTTGTGCAGGATTTTATAGGCTTATTGTGGAGAGGAACATCCATGGGTGGTGCAATATTGCCCAATATTGCCCAATATTGCCCAATATTTTTTAATCACAAAATACCAGCATAGTAGTAACTGGTAGATTTCTTTAATGTGGTCATTTTCAGTATTTTTGTTTCAAATTGTTTCAAACCTTTTTAGGTGTTAATCAGTGCATTCAAAATTCCTTTTGCAAGTAGGAGTGAATATCCCAATATGCAAATATCAGTTACCTGGCCTGTATAATATATATAAGATTGAAATTGAAAATCTAGATAATAATTTGATGAAATTCTCAGTATGCATTAACCAAACTACTGGGAAAGAAAGAAAAAACAATAAGAAGCATGAATGAGAATGAATTAATTTACAATACAAATTACAAATTTCCTAGTTCCTCATGAATGCTTGATTGACTTGCCCAATGAAATATGCTGCATGTCATTTGATGGGATTTGAAATCTTTTGGTTATTTCAATGGCATTTATCATGAGATATCAGTAATTAATTTTGTTTTTCAATGCAGGTTGGCAATGAAGAACCAGATGTGAGATGTAAGAAATGTCCACCAGGTTTTTTTGGTACTAAAAAAAATTCTGCAAGTTGTACGTCATGCTCATATTTCCAGTATCAAGATAAGGAAGGTGGGTTTATTTGATTGCATGCACCTGTCACTTAAAACAACTTTTTTTTTTTTATCGTTGGTACTTTACCACATCACACAGTGTTCTATGAAAATTATGCTCTCTCCAAAACTAAAATTTTTTAACTTAGTTTGCAGTGCACTTTTCTGCTTTTCAGCTGCCTCAGTTGTCTGTTTTCATATATTAAACAGAAGTAACATGAACATCATTCTTATTTAATGCACAAATGTAGCCTGTATAATCAAGGATGAGGGGTTAGGAATTATATATTTTGGGAAGATTTCCAAAGAATATAACCCTAGCACCTTTGTTGTCCAGAAAAAGTGATAAGTAATGATAGCACAAGCAGACAAGCACCCAAGTGTTAGTACAATGGTTGTGAATGACTTCTACCTCAGTCTGTAAAGGTTATTAAGGTGTGTACAGGTTCTGGAAACCTGGAAAATCCTGGAAAAAGACTACAGGCCCTGGAAAGTCCTTGAAATCTGCTTAACTTGAGAAGAATTGATTTTGAAATCTTGGAAATGAAAGGGTTTAAGGTGGAACTTTGAGTCTTGGAAAAATTGAACTGAGGCCTGGAAAAGTTCTGGAAAACCTCTTGAGTTGTTGTTTCTGAAAAAGGTTATGAAACCTTGAATTACCTCTCACTCTGAGCCCTACCTTTTCTTATCACTTATTTCAGGCCAGAGCAGGTGCAAGACTTGTCCAGAAAACACATATGCTATGCCAGGTGCATCACGATGTATTCCTCTACTAAACTGCACTTCTGATGATATCATTGCTGCTCCAGGAGATGTGAATTCATGCTCATGTGAACCATCACCAAATGGTTTTGAGTGTAATACAACAGTGAAGCCTGAATATATCAAAGTTCATGGTAAGTTACATGAAGTACTTAACCCTTTTGTCCTAAGGAGTGATCAATGAGTTATATCTCCTTAGTTACAGTATCAGTGCATTGTTAAGTGGAAGAGTGACAAAGATACCGTTTGATTTAACATGTAATTCTCAGAGCTTACATTGAAAGGAATGGGTAGGAGACAGTAGAGAGAAATGATATCAACCTTTAAACTCCCAGAAGTAATTAACATGTAACTTCTCCCTATAATTTTCGCACATCGTCATGCATACAGGTAATGAGAATACTCATGGGTAGGAGACAGCAGAGAGAAATGATATCAACCTTAAGAGAGTGTCTCTGTATGAGCGGTCCGGTCGATTTAGCTTGAGACACGGATTTCGCTCATTTCTTGTGTGTTGTAAGACATTCATGTACCTATTTAAACCACAATCCGTTTGATCGGATCTCTTTACTTTTCAGAGTTTTACGGAAATTAAATTTCACAAAAAACTACGGAACTTAGCAAAAAACAAATACCACAGCCATGTATATTAACTCTATCTTATTCATCAAGGTGACTTTCGTGAACATCACGTTTCAATCTAGGAAACAGGAAGACTTGAATGACACCTTATCGGTTCGCTTAAGTCACACACGCGAAAACCGATCAAATTCAAGGTAAATTTTTGAAGGTAAAAGGTAACTACAGAAAAAACTTTGCGGCCCTACCTTTACGAAAAGTTTATAACTCCGTGAACTCACCTAATTTTCGGCAGTCTCCAAGTGTGGCCGCCAATTAGAGGGACTTGTCAACATGAAGCATAGAAGGTATAAATCAAGCAGATCTAAAACCGTCAGAAATACATACGAAAGCAATTCAAATGAACTTTACTTTCAGTTCAAGCGGCAAAATTTGGAATTGTTCGTTAAACTTACCATTCCTACATCCCCATGCGACCATTTCTTCCAACAATTCAAACACTACAACTAGTGTTCGAATTCCCCTCGTCGATTCCACCGTAAGAAATAACCTGTACCACCCAAGCCTCGATTCGAATGTGAAGTACGAATCAAATCACATAACTGCTTCATCTTCGAGGCAATATCACGCTGGTATTTTGGATTTTCGGATCGACAAGAACGGTGATCAGGAAGCGATCGCCATGTTTACCTCATAAACGTGACCGCTGACCAGCCGCTGAGTGAAAACAGTATAGCGCGGGGTAGGGTGGGTGGCGGGCTTATCGTCATAAGATATTCGAATACATGCTTAAAAAGCTTTAGGACTCTCAGTCTAAACAGTGAGGGCATGCTTTCGTTTTCGTTTTTTATTTTATTCTCATAACTTTCTCTTTTAAATTAGAACTGGTATTAATTAATAGAGTTATAAATATATAATCGAGGTACCCATATGACCTTGTTGCTTGTCATCTGTGGTATAAAATAAGGTGTCTTTTTATTTTTATTTATGCCCTATTGCACGAAATGAACACTATACTTAGAATGTTTGTTCGAAGTCATTTCTTCTGTTCCCTAGAATGTATGCAAAATGATAGAGATTTGATTCATTCAGCTGACACGTTCTTTTAAGTTATGGTGCGTGCAGGTTTTTTTCTGTCAGGTGATTTGATCTTCTACAAAAACATTATTGATCATCAACCAAGCAACATTGTACATATTTCCATCTGCAATTAAAAGCACTTACTCATAGATCTATGTTTTTTCAACTTGATGTGTACTTAAGTAGCCTTAAACTAATAAAGAGTGTCTTCTCTTTTCGAGAAGATATGTCACGAGACAAAAATAGATAACAGAAAATGTTACTGAAGACTACCTGATTCAACTGGAATAATAACTCCAAATAGCTTTTGAATGTCCTGAGATATGCAAGGTAATTACATCTCTGCCTTGGATACGCTTCCTGACACCATCATGATCAGGATACTGACATGTTACCTTTGCACTTCACCAAAACTTCCCCAAAGTGTGGCGATGCTTATAGCAAATCCACATTTTTTGTTTATCCTCCTGAGCGAGGTGAAATAGGCCAGTCCTTGCCAAGATTAGCTCATTTTCACTTAAGACCTCTTTAGACAGGTGGTAGCTTATCAAATGATGTTTTACTTCATCATTGCATTAAGACACGCGATGAACCAAAGTTTTTTCTATCTTTGCTATTCAAACAGCAGTCCTGAGACATAATGAACGTCTCGCTAACGAATGACTTCTTCCTGTACTTGTAATTGTTTCCAACGCGATACAAGTTCGGGAGATCGAAAGGAACTCACTATAACTTTGTATACTCGATACGATTTCAATTTCCGCGCCAAAGGAGAAGCCTGCTGTAATTTGTGAGTGGTCAGTGGTTACGCTCGTGAGGTAAAGAATGGGTTTGTGACTTTTTCACTCAATTGAAAAGACTCGCGTCACTCTTATGAAATGATTGAACGGAATACAGACTCCGAGCAGTCTCTGATTTTTCATAAAGATAGTGAGGTCACGCGTATCCTGTGAGCATGGAGAAGTCGCGAGACGCGAAACTCGTGTCTCGCGTCTTTGCCGCTCCATGTTCTAAGAGTTGGGCAAAGACAAGACACGTTACTTCTGATGCGATACAAGAGGTTCAATGGTTATCTCGATTATCTAGACATATTTATTTACATGGTAAAGATTTGTTTATAAATTTATGAATTGATGTCAGTCCTATTTGGAACGAAATGTATTTGAAAGAAGAAAGAATACTACGCAAAACAAAAGTTGTCTGCAACACGAAGATAGATAAGATAGAGTTAATATACATGGCTGTGGTATTTGTTTTTTGCTGAGTACCGTATTTTTTGTAAATTGTCCTCTAAAGTTGTCCGAAATTAAAGCCTTGAAAAGTTTCACGACAAGCCTTCGCTCGAGTGAAATTTGATTTCCGTAAAAACTCTGAAAAATAAAGAGATCAGATCAAACGGATTGTGGTTTTAGTATAGGTACATGAATGTCTTACAACACACAAGAAATGAGCGAAATCCGTGTCTCAAGCAACATCGACCGGACCGCTCTTACAGAGACACTCTCTTAAAACTCCTGGAGGTAATTAACATGTAACTTCTCCCTTTAATATTCGTACATCATCATGCATACAGGTAATGAGAATACTCAAACTTATCAGGTAGAAGTTATCTAGCTCTAACACCGAATTTTCACAACTAAGTTTCAAAGAAATATGTAGCAGCTAGAGGGGAGAAATGGCAGTAGAGTAAAAGTCTTGAGAGTAAAAGGGTTGAGGATGGTCCTAACATTAAAAATGAGCTTTAGATAGGTTTAAAATTGAGACCATATCAAATGAGATGACAGTGTTCACTTAGATGAAAATAACTGATTATGTTGTTGTTATCTTAATCCTTTACTTTCCATAAGTCACCAAGAGGGAACCTCTCCTTAAAATATTAATACACTTTCAAGCAGAAAAGTGATGAGAATAAGGATAAATATTATTAGGGTATTATTAAATGATCCAATACCAAATTCTCCAGACCAACATCCTAACAATTGTATTGCAGCCAGTAATTTAAATGAGATTAACCTGAATGTGATCTTGGGAGCTAAAGGGCTCAGGGAGGTTATTATTTATCACAATACCCCTCTCCAGCTAGGAGGGTGAATGGGGTCTGGAAGACTGTTAGGGAAACCCGCTGTGGAGGCGGTGGCTGTGACCTTGGGTACAGTTGTTTAAAATAATAACCCAGGGTCCAATTTTCTCCACTTTTTCTTTGAATTAATGAATAACTAAATTTACAATTTATTGAGCTTTAATTTCAAGCCTCTAAGGACCTCGCAATATGAAAGAGAGAGAAACTTATGTTTCACGTAAACTTCAAATGCTTGAAAATTCCAACCTGTGATAGGCAGACAGATCGGTTTTTTACACAGCACAGTGGAGGAGTTGAACTTAACCAAGCGCAAATCTAGTGAGTAGCCGGGTGAAAGACCGGTGACCACCAGATTACAAGTTCAGTGCCCCAACAACTCAGCTGTGCCACCTTCCAAGTATGGGTTAATGTTGGGTTAGGGGAGAGGCCTCCCTTGCTTTATCCGAAATCCTTTTCCTGATAACGTTCTCAATTGTTTTGAGAGCATCCAGTAATCAGATTGTTGAGAAAAAGAGTTAAACTGAAGTTTTCATTGAAGCTTTTTGATCTGAAATCATATTTTTCACACCAACTATGGTTTATCTTGACCCAGCTGCGAACAACCCACCCTTGCTTGCTTTGTGCTGTAGAAACCAGATTTAGCTCAAGGGCAAAGAGCTCCGGGATCAAAAGCACCCATAACTCAGAATCTGAGCAGCTGTGCGCATTTCTCTCCCCTAATCCATCATTAACCCCGACTTATTATCAGTTGAACGTTGTATGGTTAGGGAAGGGGTAGGTGCCTAGTTGCTCAGATACTGACATTGATGCATCTTTTTATTCATTAACTTCCTTGTTGATTTTCAGTTGCAAATGTCAGCGATCCCAGGCGTCTTTGCGATTCAGCTGGGAATCCCAGTCTTAACCCAATTCCGTATCAATGTAAATGCGAGGGTGGGTTTGAGATCGTGAATGGAACCGGAGGAAAACTGCAGTGCAAACCGTGTGAAACTGGGTTCAAGTCACGTGGAGTCAAATGCGAGACCTGTGAGGCCGGTCATGTGGCGTTGCCAGGGAAACATTACAGTGTCTGGAGAAAAGACACACTACCTAAGGGGTTCACCGCTAATTGTGTCGGGGATTGCGCTGTGAAGGTTTGTAAGAAAAATTTGGATGTAATAGATTTTTATAGGCGAAATTTGTTTTTGAACCATAATTTTTTCCACCTCTTATAGCATTTTGAGACTCCAGGTAGTGACCTTATCTTTTGAAAATTGTTTTCAAATGCACATAAAAAATCGCTGCTATTTTGAAAACAGCTCGAAAACCTAAAAGCACCCGCGGCTCTGAAACAGCTGGTGCCCTACTGACCGCTTACCTATTACTGTACAAGCCCACGGCAACACGAAATCTATTTGTTTTTTATGTTAAAAGGCAAACTGTGGTAAGAACAAAAAAATGGCACACAAGGTGTAGCCAAGTGTGTCGCTGATATTCTTGCCCATTTTCCATAAGTGACCAAGGCAGAATTTCTCCTTACAATATCAATACAATATCAAGCAGACAAGTAGCGAGAATAAAGAAATTTATCAATTAGGGGATTATTAGTTGATCCAATACCAAATTCTCCAAACTAACACCACAATAACTATATGACAGACAGTAAGGAGAATCGCCATCTTGTGACGGGACCTTGTTCCTCATGTTATTTTTTAGAGTGGCTGGATACCTTCTGGTCATGTAATCCGAACAGCACGTGTTGTTGGAAATGTGCGTACTTATCTGCAGTCATCAGAATTTACATTGGACTCCGAGTTAGCGAAAATCGCTTTTAACTGCTCCATCACCTGTAATGTGACTGGTGTTTCACAAAAATCTATGCCAGGGGAACATCTCGCTAACATCCAAGACTGTAACTTAGTATTTCAAGTTTGGAGTAACAACACGATTGTGGACGAACTAAACTGCACGCGTCCTAAGGGAGGATATGTCTACAGGCATGAAAATAGACGTGACGGCAGAGTTATTAGACATGTTTACCCGCTCAAGAAAGGACGCTTTTCCTTCAGGTACACAAAAATGTCAGCTGTATATGCCACCGTCTATGGTATGTCATCGCACACCAGGCGAAACGCATACCCTCACCGAAATTCCAGCTAGCCTTTTTTGTTTTTGTTAGTAGAATCAAATCTCTTTTCAATCCTAGTGGAGTCCAGTATGTCCGTGGTCAATATTTGACAAGACATTGATTTTAAGTTATTCAAGGAAACTCCTGCAAGATATTATTTCATCAAGTGCCGTCCTGATGTAAAGATTTGCGAACAGATCGTTGATTGCTTTTATATATCTCTCTCTCATTCTCCTAACGGTCTTTCCACAGATGGGTTTTCATCCAACAAGACGAGACACGAATGCTTTCCACTGCTTTTGAAGGAAAGCTCTACAATATCAGTGTACTTGGGGTGCAGAACGGAACAGCCAAGAACTGCACAGCATGCCCAGCAGGGTACCATAGTAACCTAGGCAACACTGATTGCACAATATGTCCAAACGGAACCAGTAGTCCATCTGGAGCAAAAAGTTGTATATCCTGCAAAGAAGGAACCTTTGCTGCTGCGGTAAGCTTTTTATCTTAAAACTAGCGCGTAGTGGCCTGACAGCAGTATAAGAGCGCATGCCCTCCCTGCTTGAGGCGATTCGCATTTTCGTCTCCAGTACCACGCGGTTTTACTCACCGTTTCAGACCATGTGACCAAACGAAACGAGGACCCGGGGAAGCAACTCTAGAATTTAGGTTGTTCCTGACTTTATACATATATTTATCTCGGGCTTCCGAGCTGGACAACATGTATCCCCCAGGGGTTACGCTATCCAAAGGTTAAATTGCACTATCCTCCGGAGTGATACTTATTCGCTGGATAGCGCAATCCATCCTTAGACCAACTGGGACCGGGCTGTTTACCTCCAGAGAAGATGAAGCCTTTCGGTAATTATGCTACTTACTAAGTTCATCTGAATATTACTCAAACGCTTAACTTAAATATTTCAACAGGTAACCGTTAAAAAAATGTTTAGAAGATTAGGAGGATGTTAAGATACTTTGTCCAATCGAAAATCTTACCTGTTATACCAATTCTTCACTGAGAGGCAGGGACTGTGTCTTACGGAGTCTTTTTTAAGTGACGATTTGTGTTCTTGGTAAATTGCAGAAGGGAAGTTCGCAGTGTCTTCCGTGCGGTCAAAACACGAAATCGCTTCCAGGTAAAGATGGCTGTGACACGAACAACTGTATGTTCAAGCCTGCGGATGATGTCGTGTATGACCTCAGTAAACTCTCCCGCCCTGGAGGGCCGATGATTGAAGCACTGTTCTATCGCCCAAGTTTACCTTGGAGACCACGACGGTGAGCAATAATCCTCGTAATTTCCCCCTCCCCGCATCCATACCTCTACCTCTCTTCTTGATAAGAAAAATGAATTTTTCCACTCCTGTACAGCTTTCGTGCCATAAATTCCATTTGCTTTCAATTTTGACACTGATGACACTTTTTTTCCCCATGCGTGACACGTATCGCAACCAGCTTCACGCCGTGCTTTGTGCCAGTTATATGGCTTCTTGCGCTTGCCTTTTGCTAGAACGGTTGCAAATTTTCACGCAATCACCAATCACATTTTTCTTCAGGTCACACGATTCAACTCCCACCCCAACATGGTTTTAATTTTCATCTTATCCGTCTGAAATATGTGCTCTGGGTTTGCCTTTACTTCTGTACAAATCATTTGCTGAACTAAATTTTATCTTTTATCCTTAGTTTGAGCATTTGGCCTTACCCCAGAGCTATTTACTTCAATCTCTGTACCCTTGACCATGACAACTCTTCGTGTGTTTACCGTAATCGGGTAACCAGAGTGCACACTCCCCGGCCTGTGATGTCGTGCAGGTCGTCGTGGTTTACATATGACACAGATTTAGGCTCCGTGATTGGCTACCGAAAAAAATCCGACGTCAAATCGGGTTTGTTCGTGGACCTGCTGAACGGGGACAAATGTTACCAGAGATGTAAGTTAATTTATATCAGAAATTTTAAAGAAAAGAAACGATTACTAAAAAAACCATAACTTTGATAAAAGAATGTGGAAAGATAAAGGATTTTTGCTAATACATGGTTGGGAAGTTTTCAATGTAGTGAAACCATTTCCTGTTTCTATGTTTTCCTTTCTAGACGAACGAAACACGCGCTATCAGACCACCCTCGACCTCAGGTGTGACGTAAGAGCGGGTGTCGGTAACCCAGCCCCCGAAAACAATTACACGAGCCCGATGCGCGGTGGCTGTAAATTCTACTTCGTGTGGAAGTCGTTGTACGCATGCCCAAAATGCCGTGACAGTGATGTGAATAGAATTATCGGCGAATGCATCAACGGAATGCGTAATGTGACCTACGTACGCAAAGTGCCTTGCTGGAGGCCTGGGAATGATTCGGGGCTTCCAACGACTAATGCAACAGAAAAATGCGAGACACCGACGTCGACTGTTATAGTAACTGTCAAAGTGAAGGAAAATGGTACAGTGGCGTATCAAGTACTAAAAGAAAACAAAGCCAATATAGCTTTGATTGGTGTAGGAGTCGTCATTATCGTTATCCTGGTGGGTGTGGCAGCATTCTTTGTGTACAAGCATCGAGAGTTGAAGTATCGTTATTACGGCATGTTGGCGAGAAACAAACCCATGAGCCGCCTTGAGGAAGAAGACGAAAGTAATTTTATCCACGACGATGAGCTAGCACAACCCTTCGATGAGATGTCACCAAGTGTGAAGACCTAGACAACTTCGTATATTCATCCCTTTAGCCCACTCCATGACTGAAAGTTTACATTTTTTTGAATGCAGTGTTATTTTGATGCTGAGTCACTTAGACTGGTTTTCCCTCTTAATTAGTGTGCTCAAGAAACCATATAATTTTCACCTCCGCCATTAAAATCTCCACCTGGCTACGGGCAAAACTACTCTGGTTATCGCAAACCATTTTTTGATTCAAGCAGGTCTTTTTCTGAACCTTCTTATTGTTAAAACATATCGCCAAGAGATGGATCAAAGGGAAAAGAGGCTTAATTACGTCATGGATGAGCGGCCAAGCTGTTAAGCACGATTCAAAATGGCGACGGTCAGTCGTGTAATTTCATCTCAAGTTTTTAATGGCGGATATGAAAATTATATCGTATCTGAAGTATGTTCCTTCATTAATGAAAAAGACAAGCTCAAGATTTATATGGGTGGGTAGTGGTCGAGGGACAAAAGTTTCAATAACTATTCTCATAAGCGGCTGCCAATGAAATAATGTTAAAGGTGGGTTTGCCCGAAAAGGAGCCGTAAGGGGGATCCTGAGGATAAGGAGACGGTGATAAAAGTCTTACAGTCAGCGGTAGACCGCTGGTAACCGGCCTTTATTGAACCTCTGGTGAAAGAAGAAAGAAAAATTGAGAGTTAGCCTTAATTGTTTAATGTGAGCACAACTCTTATAATACCCTTTTGATAATATGGATGAATTTTATGATTGTGATCAAGTACTTGTGAAAAACAAACTGGTTTAACCTTTTCGCTCAAAGTTAGCAGTTATACATGTCAAATTGTACAGTATATATGGCTCCTGCCTGCGAAGTTACAGAGATAAGACCGATATATGATATCCTCGTTCGCACTTGTTGTCATAACAACATCAGCGACACACTAGCCCCCGCCTTGAATGTCTCGTTTTTTGTTCTTTCAACAGATGTATCACCATGCTATGTATTTCCAACTAGATTGCAAATTCATCGCTCAATAAAGATGAAAACTTGCTTTTTATTGCTAGCCAACTTTTACTCGGTTTTTTATCACGCATATATAGGAACAAAGTTCAAGGAATCTAGTAATTGATGTATGATCTTTTATTTTATCGTGTTGTTTTATTTCTTACACTGTAACACAGTTTAAATTAAGTTTTATCGTGCTTGTTTTGCCTTTCAGACTTTTCAACGTAGTTGGGTTTTTTTAAGTAGACAGAATTTTCTGTTTTGCATTGAAAATAGAGTAAATTATGTTTTTATTTGAGAGTAAAGAAAAACATCTCATTTAACGTATCCTTGTGAAATGACTCTGATCTTTCGGTGTTTTTTGTGATAAGATTGGATAAATGACTTTAAAAGTTAATCAGAGGAATTCTTTGATGTAATTTTAGCTGAAATTTTATGAATTGAAAGTGATGTAGATAGCAAACGTCTTAGTCTGATTTTTTATTCGGTGCAAAATTCTGTTTTCTTCGAGCTCTTTTCGTGATAAGACCAAATACTGCTGCACGTGTTATTAGGTTTAAAACACCGAAAAATGCTGAATTTTATCACCATAAAAGTTAATCAACGACTTGTACATCTTTTAATAATGAGATCTAATGGCGTGTCAAGTTGGATTCTATGTGTTCAGACCTTTTTTTAAGTTAAGGAAAACTTGTATTAATAAAGTATTAATGTATTAATGATTTAGAATTCCTTTCGCCGACTGTAAGTTATAGTTGTTTATTTGTGTGGAAGAGATTTTCAATCACCGTTTTTAGTCCCTCTCGTTGAATGTTTGATTAAACTTGAAGTAGAAATATTTAAAATGGCCTACGTCCACACGAACCTGTTTGCGTTTGTATATGCGTCAATATTTTTCTTTTCTCTGGTAACAGTCCGATTCACTCTCAGAAAGAATTTGTTATGCTCCCTTACGACTGCAATACCATACTTTGTTGACTCTTTAATCCTTAAGAGTGACTAGCAGCTAATTTCTCCCTACAATATCAGCCCTGAATCACACGTGAAGGTCACGAGAATAAAGGAAATGATCGCGAATTGAAGAAACTTGATTGTTAAGAATATTCTCCTTGTTAGCGGCTAAGGAAATATATAGAGAACAGTATGGAGAATATGCATACTGATGAAAGGTTTAAAAGGAGTCAGTTTGTGTTATCGACAGGATTAGGACTTGCTAAACAACCGCCATACTGCAAAAAGAAGACCAGTTGTAAGAAGAACAATTTCGAACAGATACAAATGGAGGGTTAGTTACGCAAGCGTTGGCAAATTTGTTTGTTAATGCGCTCCTCAATGGAAAACATCGATAGAGACAATAATGCTTTTATGAACTTATTCACTCCAGGTATCTACCACTGTTATAGACATAGGCTTTCACTCAACAAAACAAGCACTGTGATTGGTTGATTCTTGGTCACGTGCCCCTAATTAAATTCAAGTGTATCCCGATTGGGATCCAACGTGCAGTTGTTGCCCGCGCGCTGAGACGAAGTCGAGGGAAACATCAGGACTTGGAAAAAATAAAACTGTTTCCCTCGGGACTATACATTAAGTGTATAGTAACACCTCCCTCAACTCTCAATATTACACCATTGAGTATTCCGTGGCAAGGTCAACTAAAAGGAAAACTTCAGTTTGCATTGTTTGGATCAGTTTACGGAAAACAAAACCTGAAGTTATCACAAATGAATAAAGGGGTAAGTTTCTAAAGAAACTGTGGTGCTGCGTCGGCGGGAGAGTATAGCAGGTAATTTAGTGTTAACAACTGGGTTGAAAACGTAAATTAGCCACCGTAAAGGGTAAAAAAGCTGACGTTTCGAGCGTTAGCCCTTCGTCAGAGCGATTAGAGGAATTGTGGGTTGTGTGTGGATTTATATGTAGAAAGTGGAGCTACGCCATTGGTGGGAATATGGTGACGAGAAAACAGGAATAAATTAGTGGAATGAAAAGCGCTCGTTGATTCCGTGGGAATTAAGGGTGCCGATTTGGAATATAAATTTTTGTTCTAGTGTTTAACGGCTTTCCGAACTGCCTAGATGTAAGGAAAGGCCGCAAACTGCCATATGCTGTTTAGAATGATAAGGAAGATTAAAGTGTTGGCTGGCACTATCTTTTCGCAACCCCCACTTATTTCATTCAAACGTGACAAAAACATAGGCAACTTTTTAGTCAGGAGTTCATTTCAAACCAATGACCAATCTGGAACTTTTAAATGCGCTCGCTCACGATGCAAAACTTGTCCTTTCATTCATAACGTAGAGAAAATATCGGGACCCAAAAGATCCATTAAGATCATTGATCACTTTACGTGTACCTCAGCCAATGTTATTTACTGCATGACTTGCACTTATTGCAATAAGTTATACATCGGCGAAACAGGTAGACGACTGGGTGACCGATTCCGAGAACACCTTCGCGATGTGGAAAGAAATGACAAGGACGCATCCAAACCAGTCGCTAGACACTTTAATCTTCCTTATCATTCTAAACAGCATATGGCAGTTTGCAGCCTTTCCTTACATCTAGGCAGTCCGGAAAGCCGTAAAACACTAGAACAAAAATTTATATTCCAAATCGGCACCCTTAATCCCCACGGAATCAACGAGCGCTTTTCATTCCACTAATTTATTCCTGTTTTCTCGTCACCATATTCCCACCAATGGCGTAGCTCCACTTTCTACATATAAATCCACACACAACCCACAATTCCTCCAATCGCTCTGACGAAGGGCTAACGCTCGAAACGTCAGCTTTTTTACCCTTTACGGTGGCTAATTTACGTTTTCAACCCAGTTGTCAACACTAAATTACCTCTTGAGGAAAGCTTGCCGGCCAGGGTAAAAATTTCCTTGGAAACTTTCTCAGTGGACTAACTTACACTGCAGTAGTAATATAAGTTCATAACGAATTTCCTTAAAAATTCGAGAAGTGGCCTCTGAATGTTTAGGCAAAGGAACTTGCCAAATGAAAAACTATGGTATCTTTTCAGTATAGATTTCCAGCAGAAACTTTTCAATGTTTGAAAGAAATTATAGGTGAAAATAACGTCTACTGCCACAGTGGTTGTATTTTCACCGCCAGGAAAGAAAATTAAAGAGGAATATTGTGCAAAAAAAATGTTTCTTGAGCCTTGTTTCCGAAAGGGATAGTAAAATGATGACAGGGTGTCTCAATTTTTCTAAGTTTGAGGAATTCGCTATTTGTTACTTTCTCTACACGATGCACTCAACTGCTTATGGTCTTCATGGTACGTGATCATGCCGTTGGAAAACAAGTTCTTGAGTGTATCGCCTAATATTTGATATGTAATATCCAAAATATAAGATTGTTACTTCTGATACTTTATAACATACGGCCTAACATAAGCTATCGACCAAGAATTAGTAGGATAGCCACCTGTTGCTACAGGTGACTCATAATATCCCCTTGTGTCTGTTGTTTCAAATCCTGGCAGTTGATTGGCTGATAAGAATTCTGATAATGACTTGGAGTTTATATTTACACGCCGCGCGAAATGGAGTCATCTCTGTTTTAATATCAGGAATAACGAAAATGAGATACAAAAACAACACCCTTTGAGCAAGACGACTTTACAGCGCAGAGAAATTATCGCCTGGTTAACGATAATTTTTCTGTTGGAGCTTTGTGATAGCTGAAGCAAACTTTCGCCCAAAGTGGAGAAAACCATTTGAGTGGATATTTTTCTTGCTTATTCCTTTGGAACTGCATTGGGTTTTGCCTACGATGCCTCGATGTGCCATTGTCAATTAATTCCTATTCAATATCTTCGAAAAAACAATTCTTTATTCAATAGTTTCGGATTTCATTCACACACTGTTTTCAGGGCCTCTAAAGAAGAATTAATCAACAACCGACGTTAAAGTGTAGGAGCTGAACATCGTTCGCTACGCTCTAAGCAGGGAATTTGTTCGCTCATAGAACAGTGCGTTTTGGAAAAGTTCCTTACAAACTTGCCATGACCGGGCGCGGATTCGGCTTGGAGGAGTTCAGCGATGAACAGTTTCTTGTCGGCGGAGTTACACTTCTGTTTACAGGACTGATCGGTTTTTTTGGTAACCTGCTTGTTTTGATTGTCACATACAGAATTCTTCGGCACAAGAGAAACATTCCTAATGTACTAATACTATTTTTAGCCTGGACAGACCTGTTAGTATTTCCTTTAGCGTATCCGCAATCACTGATAAAGTATTTCTTCGGAGTCTACATCGGTGACTATATGAGTTGCGATTTTCAAGCAACAGCTATCACATTTCTCTTCATGTCTTCCATTATTCTGGTTGTTGTAATGAGCGTCGATCGCCTTCTGGCATTAAGTGAACCATTTTACTATGACAGGCATGTGATTTACGACAAGGAGAAAGTGAAGGTGGCTTCTATCGGCGTCGGATGCTCGGTTCTTACTGTAAGTTTACTTCCCGCCTTTGGAGTCAGCAGAAATGTTCTTCACTTTCCTGGCACATTCTGTTTATTTGAATGGAACTCGACCTCATTTGATGGCCGAGCGCTGCTTTACATTTTTATGTCTTCGTTAGCTTTTGCTATGTTTCTGGTCGTTTCGTGTAATTTAACTACAGTTATAATGGCTTTGAGACTCGCGCGTCGAAGACAGGATAGCATAAATAAGCCTCGTTCTGATGAAGAGGCGGCGAACTCAAGGCCTTTAGACCATCACTGCAGCTCTGGAAAAATGGAAATTCAGTTCGCTAAATTAAGTGGTGCTGTCGCCATTACTTTTTTTAGTTGCTGGAGTTTGTTTCTGGTAAGTAAACCCAACTGCCGTGACGTCTGAGTGAGAGATTCCTTTCCGTGCATGAAACTCCTAGACGACTCACTTTGAATTGTATCAGTTCAACGCTACAATTTACACTTCGGCTCGACAACCACACGCACTGCGACGGAACAGCGCGATCGTGGCACGACTAGAAAACAAGTGATGGACCATCCAGTGACGCGTCATCACGACGATCACACGACAACAGTTCGATTTAACTGCAGACCGCGACAACTACTTTGATAACACTGAAATATGACCATGATACGAATGAAACGCGATTACAAATCGACTACGACTCGATTTATTCATTACGACTGTATATAAGACGACTTGACTACGGCTCCACCGCGACACGACGACATTATGGTCACAGCTTACCCTCACTACTGGTAGTATCGGTGATATCGTACCCACCGCTGATATCGTACCCACGGCCGTTTCGTACCCGAAAAGAAGTCGATTCGTTCCTAAGTTTGAGTCGGTTCGTACCCAACTTTGGGTAGGTTCGTAACCAAACCAAACCGCCGGTTAATACCAAACCGCTAATAACCGGAGTCATACATTTATTCGAAATACCTCACGCACGGACGCGTGAACAGATGTCAATGGTTGCGCACGACAAGTTGGCAGAGTCAAGCAAGTAAATTACAAAGAAACTTCTGTTCTGTGTACTTGTGACCTTCTTCACAAATAAAACTTAATTATTGCCTAGTTGAGCGTGATATTTTTAATAAAAAAGCATATTGTTTTTACCTGTGACTTTTTAACATAACAGTTCGTGTAAGTGCGATACATTTTCTCCAATTGTTTATATGGAAAACATCCTTTGTTGGTTTGGTTACGAAACGCAACGACCGAGCTGGATACGAAACGATTGGGTACGAATCGACCGGTAACCGTACTCCTTATGCGTTAAACCGATCACTGGGTCCTTCCAATTCTTTCTCCTTTTTTTTCTTTTAAATGTCTTCATTTAAGGACTCTTCCTTCCTTTTTACAGTACTTTTTGCTCGCAAGGACAGATTTTTACATATTTATTTTTGATATTTTCTAGTTAAGGGTGACACTTATCCAAAATGGCTGGCCATTTGAGGAGTTGATCGACTTCATTGCGGTGCGGCTAGCTTCCCTTCACACAGTTGTCAACCCTTGGCTTTATCCATTGACTAGGAGGAAATATCGCGATGCATTCTGGTACTTACTGACGTTGTTTGTGTACTATGCCACCTGTACACTACTGGTAACCAGGCCTGGTACCACCTTGGGTAAGTAAGGGGAGAGGGGAAGGGGGACATAACACCACAACACGTAACACAGCACTTCTTCCTGGCGCCAACGGAAGAATGATGTGGCAGTGTCACACCAATTGGACATGACAGAGGGTTTACGTTTCAGAGTTACAGTTTCGTAAGGAAATGTGTAGTTTTTTTATAAATTACGTTGATAAAAAAGCAATTTTTCCTAGAGAGTCCTTGTTTTGAAACAGTGGTGCCCATTATACAGTGGAGATAGCGTAGGTGTAAGCTTAAATGAAAGGGAAATATTTCTTTAAAAAAAATACATTACTGGGACAAAGTAAAAAAAAAAAAAGAAGTACACATATCTACATGCAGAGAATCAGCTGAAGAGTAATCGTTTCAGTCTTGATTCAAAATTATAACTTTGATTCCGTTTTTAGGTGTGTCCTTCTACCTTTTACACCCGAACATGAGTATGCAAGTTCTCCATACAGTGCTCTTTGCATTTCCTATTTTACTTACAAGGAGAATTTGTCTAACAATCGAGAGTTTCTCCATCGAGTTTGCGATCATTTCCTTCATTGTCATGACCTTAATGCATGTTTCAGGGGTGATACTTTAAGGAGATATTAATTCAATACTAGCTACTCTTAGAGGTCCAAGGGGATAAGACATCAAGATTTGGCGCCTCCTCGTCTCCGGTTTCCTGCAATACTGATAATTTTTCCCTCGCGCTAATTTTTTGGTCGTTGTTCATTCGACGTACTTAGCTGAATAACAGGGACTTCTTTCAACATAAAAAACAATTTGTAATAAAGTTTTCTTTTTACAGATGAAATAGTTGGTATTCAGTCTGAAGCAAGTCAGGTCCGTGAACTCTACCGAGAGGAGCGACGACGATCAAGTGCCCAGCGGCTTGTCAAATAAAACGAGCATATCGAGTTGCATGTCAAACTCGTCACTGGGTCTGATAGGTGTTTAAATCAGGATTGGTGTATGCTAAATAGGCAGAGCACGGTATGGCAAATCTTAATTCCTGCAGTCTCCATTCCTGTTACAACTCTGCCCAGAGTAGCGACGACGATCAAATGCTCAGTTCAGCGGCCGGTCAAAAAGCAGGATGTTTTTCGAGTTAAAAACAGTGATAAAGAAAGTTTACTCGAGGTCACTCAAGTGCGTAGTTCACATAATGATTTTCTGAGCAACTGTCTAACATAACAATAAACTATCGGCCATTGAGTTCCGTCTGAAATCGGATCGATTTCTGGTTTTTGAACCCAACAATCAAGGAAATTTCATTTCAGATGATTTACAAGCATATCGAATATTAGATGTTTCGCACATGTGCATGGAGACTGTGCCTTCTGAAGGTGGTAGCGATAGGGCAATTGTGATAAATAGCCTGGGATAGATGGCCTGAAAATATCATTTAGTTACTGAACGAGTTTCACATCTCTTCTAAGACAACAGAAAGGGTAACAAAAAAGAACAAAAAAAGAAGACAAGGGAAACTACGATCATTATTTTCTGAGAATACGCTGCATTCTATCTTGTCAACTTTCCAAGAATATGGACAAAATTGAAAAAGGTTGTGAAACCAGAGGAAGAACTGAAGTGTATATTAAAAAGAAATTCAAGTAGAAAAAATTGCTAGTCTTTAGTAGATTGTTTTAAATACCTATAAATCAAAATATAATTATACTAAATATTTAAAGTAAAAACCCGCGGGGCCTCAGCAAGGCGGGGGGGGGGGGGGGAGGGGCTGATGGATGGGGTGGAGATCACTTACAGAACAGGTAGATGCCACCAAACAAGGTATGGTTTTCGAGGTCTTGAGTTACCCTAAGCGACCTAACCCTCACCATATTTTACTTGTGAGCTTTTTCAACGGGGTGTGTTTATGGACCGAGTCCGGAAGCATTTAAGAAGGCGAGATTTGTTAAAGCAAACTTTAAATATTGTTCCCTTTAGGGGAGATGAGGGTAAAGGTTTGCACAGTCTCAGGAATATGATCAGTTCCTTGTTGATATCATGGTCAATATACGCCCCCTCCTTCTTCTCTCTAATCCGCATCCTCGCTTCCTTTAAGTACAACAATATGTGATAAATTTGTTGACACATTGATCTTTTCAACCCTCTATTAACTCAATTTTATCTCTTTTGCTCTTTGATCACGCATGTTAAAAGTAGCACCTTGTACGGTCTTACGGTCGTAAATCCAAATTTTTTCGGCTTGATGGGTTACTACTATTTTGTATGATTATGGGGCTACGTTCTGCGAGCTCCGCTACTATGTCTAATAATGTTACACCACACAGCATAACGAACATGGTAAGGATGTTGTAAGGCTCAAATCGCAAGAAGATTCAGACTCAGAATCAAAATTAGACGTTCTTATTAGAAAAAGTGAGTATAATCGAAAGAGTAAATTCAATATTTAAGGATAAAATGTAGAAAAAAGACAAAAAAAGCCTTTGATTTCAAAAGGAAATGAACTTTATTGACAATTGTGAATAGTTCATGACTAAAATTTTTCTCATTCTTTTCAAGTTTCTCTTCAATGACGTGATAATTTAAAATTAATTCAGTGACATGTTCCCCATAAGCTTTTTCATCTTATTTTAATGATCACATTTATTCTGTGACAAGATTTAATTAATTACATATAAATGAATAAGTGGTTATGAGAACCGTTCACTTTAGAGTTGATTTAAATTGGGCCAGTATTCTGTACACCCATTGATTAAGTCTTGCAAAATAATGTTGTTAATAGAATGGTACAACTTGACAAAAGTTGAATAAAAAATGGTTAATTTTCTATTTTTTTGGGAGTTTCTCTTCATAGTCACAAGAATTTAAAAGCAATCATGAGTAATATGTTCTCCATAATTTTTTTTCCAATTTTAATGATCTCAGTCATGTTGGAACAAGAACGAATCAATCACATATAGATGAATACCTGGTTATGATAACAGTGGACTTGGAATTTATTTAAATTTGGACAGTATTCCATGCATTCCATCAATTTAGCCTTGCAAAATGACCTTATTAAAAGTCTAGTGCAACTTGCTTGATGTTGAATAAAAAAAAGGTAATTTACATTTGTTCTATAAAAGACATCAATAATAAAAGTAACAATTTCTGTTGATAAACTGTCCATAGTTTGACAAGCCTTCTATCCTTCTTGAGGAGCGCATTCTGAGTAAATGTCTACTATCTTGAGATGACAGCACTTTAGTGAACCAATATTTCTTCCAAACAAAACCACATTGATCAAATTCTATTTCACTGTGTAATATACCATGCTATATAAATATATTTTGCAGGTAAAAATTAACTTACTTGAACTTCCATATACTAACAAATTAAATATATCTAGTTATCTGAAATGATTTCAATTATCAATTAATGTGTATTTTGCAATCAAGTTGGTGAACAACATTCCAAACCTTGAAGAATGTTAGATGAACTTAAAAGCAATCCAATAAAATTGAACAACACATTTTTAAATAGTGCTCTTTCAATAATAATAATAATAATAATAATAATAATAATAATAATAATAATAATAACTAAACCCCAATGCAGAGTATAAATGAAGTGTAATAGTAAAACTATGTCAAAAAGGTAATTTTCTAATACTATCCATACCTCTTACAAACTAGTTCTGAGTCTGTCTTGTAAATTATGAGCTAAGTTTTTTTCCACTCAAATTAATAGCCCAAGCACATAGCATGGGCAATAAATCAGAGCGCAAAAAAAGAGGTTCTGTAAGTTACAGTATGAACTAAGAAAACAAAGTTAGTGAGATATGAATTATATCTCGGGATTCAAATAGAGGGGGGGAGATTTCAATTCAAACCAAGTTCTGAATTGAGGGGACTGCACAGTGAAATATTGCAGGCTAACTGATCAAAAATAGTGCACCCACTAACTGGTAGATGCAATAAATCTATTATTTGCCTACTCAAAGATCAAAGTCTGATATTCCCAAATCATAGATATGTCCATATTGCCGCATTCTGCAATGATTTTTGACACAAAAAGAGACAATGCCATAACTCATCAGCAGAAAAACAACAAATGAAATTACAGAAAGTACAATAAGTGCTGTGACATCCTGTTTAACTTCTTGTGGAGCTATTTTCAGGAGCTGCTTAACTGCTAATAAGGAGCCATTGTTTGATGAAGGCTCAATTCCAAGTATGTGGCACATTAGGGGATAAATGTGAACGTTTTCAAAGGGTTCAGAGATAAAGTTTGATTTGAATGCAGGTCCTTGAGCAAGGAAAAAAGGATGCATGTCTGAATACTTGTTACTATAACCATGGTTTCCATGGGTATTTATTTCTGATATGGACCTCGTAATTATCCACTGATCATCCGCGACAATTAAAATTGGCATTACCCGTCTGTTGTGTTTGTAATGGAACTCTTCTGGAATTTCTTCCTTGAGGTAAACATTAAGATGTGGAATAACCTTGAGCTTTTTGTAGGTCTTGCCTAACATGCCATCCTTGGGTAAAACATGGAAATAAACATCCTTTGGTCGGTCTGATTTTCCAGGCCAGGCCACAAGAGTGTACCAGTCAGATGGTAAAAACTTGTCTAATTCAATGATGCGAGAACTGTTCAGTTCAGCCATTCCATGATCACTGGTGATAATCAAGTTGACCTTAAGAAGAAAGTATTTATTCATCTTAGTGAGTTAACTATTTAACTATTCAAAGCTTAACAATGGTTAGCATCTTATTTTTCCTAAAAAGAAATACTGCTGAATCATTCATTCAAATCATGAGGATAAAGGAAATGATCACCACCCTAAGAAGCTTTGATTGTTAAACAAATTCTCCTTGTCAGTATCAAAGGAAATTGTAGAGATAATTATGGAGAATATGGGAACTAATGTTCAGGTTTAAAGGGTCAAGCAATTATATCACTCATTGATAATAATGTAACTTCTCCTTAAAATGTCAATAAGTTATCAAACAATTTTGTGAAGTGAAAATATTTAGAATGATACATCACCAAATTCTCTTCCCTAATTTGATAGAAAATGTGGCAACAAGACAGGAGAATGTAGTGATCAGATCCTGGGACTAAGTGATGACAATGGAACTGAGTGGACACAATTCAAGGTGTTAACCAGCAACTAATTTGAAATTGGCCAATATAGTTGGCTATAACCAATCTGGTATCCAGTAGGTTTGAATGAAATAATTGTTTTATTAAATTTCATTAAATACTAAACATATGGATATTTGGAGCCTTTTTTTTCTGTGCGACAATATGCATTTCCATGTAAGGTGACTTGAAATAGGTGCTGATAACCAGATTTGAATAAGTGAATCAGAACACTAGAAATGTCATATTCAGAGTTGAAAATTTACTAACTGTGCATGCTTGTCATTGGCTGTTTAACTATCGGATTTCACCATTTCCTGGGTTCTTGTAATCACACAGGTAAAGATAGACAGTTTGGCTGCAGGAGCAATTGCTAAATTAAGGGCCTGTTTACATGGAGATGGGGAACCCCAGTTATGTGAGGTAACCCACCTAGCCGTGGTCAAAAAATAAAACGCATTTACATACAATCTTACAACCCTGGGGTGCTGGAGTGAGGTTTCTTGAGGTTGTTGTTGCGCTTGCAATTAAGGAGTTTGAGCAGAGGCATCCCGAGCTCACATCTTGAGAAAGATGAAAGATTAATTCTCTGACACATATTTATTTATTCATGAAAGTGTCACACATTGTGTTACTGGTGTTAGGTTATGCGAGGAACCGTTGACTTAATATGTTATACTGAATAGTCTGGGAAACAAAATATGGTCAATTTACAATGCTAAATATTTCAAAATGTGAACATTTAACAGTCCTTGTGTGTCCATTGTGGTTTCTGGTGATTTCTGCCATGAGACAGCTAGGAAATGTACAAAGTTTTAAAACATACATGATTTTGCTTTTGAGCTTTTTGCCATGAACACAACCCCAGCTAGGCAGGGGTTGTAAACGTGATCAAGATGAAATAAGAAATTATATGGCCAGGCAGGTTACCCCACCTAGGCAGGTTACCTCACTTACCTGGGGTCCCCCACCTCCACGTAAACAGGCCCTAAGGCAATTTAAGGGCACAGTAGACCTTCAAGTGCCAATTTTCTTTTAATTTTTTTTTTAATTCAAGTGCCAATTTTCTTTTTTTTTTTTAATTCAAACTAAGTATTACTATTTAAAACACAATCTGCAAAAATAATTTGGGAAAGATTTCGGCATAGAAAAAGCCATCCATTGTTTTTGCAATTGTTCTCTTTATCCCAGAATTGTATATTTAATGAATATGTATGACTACAAGTTAAATTATTGAAACGCGCGCGAGTTATTTACAAAAATGTCTTTTCGAACTGAATTTTTAGCCCACCACAGTGTCAATAGTCAATTACAACATGATGAAATAAATGACTATCGAGATTTTCGTTGGAGACTACAGTTATATGATCTTGTTTATCAAAGAAATCAGTAAAATCAAAACAGTCGCTTGAGTTATCGATTTGATACTTGAACCGAACGTTTAAATCAAAAATTTCAGTGCCGTGATGTATTCGCGATAATTTCTCAAAACAAATATTAGTAAGCCCAACAGCAGCACTACGTAATATGGGTAAACAAGGAAGTTCATTAGTACAATGCACGCGAAACCTTACCTGATCCAACAAACCTCGATTTTGCAAACTTTTCAATAGATATCCAGTAACGTTGTCTACCCTGCGTATAACTTTATGGAGCTCTGGCGAATTTGGGCCAACTTGATGGCCAGTATGGTCTGGCTCGTTAAAATAAGCAGCGAGAAAACTAGGAGGGTCATTTCCTTCTAGTTGATCGAGCAGGTACTGCACTCTTTTCTTGAAAGGAAGTTTGTTGTTGTACTTTAAAAAATGTGTAGGCGTTTGCCCTTTTACTTCCGAACCTGGCCAGAAAACAACGGCGCTTTTTTTAAAGGCCTTCTGATTCGTTATCCAAACAGGTTCGCCATTCCACCATTTGATATCCAAGAAAGAAGGCGAACCAATATGAAAGGTTTCGTTGAAAACAGGATCGTACATGTTATTCCCGAGGATTCCATGGCTCTCTTCGTACAACCCTGTCACAATCGTATAATGATTAGGAAATGTCTTTGTGACAAAAGTATTAATAATGTGTTTAGCCTTTACTCCATTTCGTACGATGGAATCGAAATTCGGAGTTGGAACTTTGTCAAGGTAGTCCCAACGGAATCCGTCGAAAGAAATCAGAATTACGGTCGGTTGCGTGAGCGTTATCTTCTTGTTCACTGAGGCAAATGCTTCTTGACTAGGTAGAAATAAAAATAAAATAAAAACGTGAAAACGTCCAAATTTCATGACATCGAAAAAGGCAGAATGACCGAGTTGTTACATTCCCAGTTCCAATAAGTTGTTTCCGGAGATGGCAGCTGTTGGCTTCGGCTCGCTAAGGAGTCTGGTAGTTTATCCCGAGCTACCGCTGACCCCATGCACCTTAATTAGTGAGGCGTTATGTTTGCTCTGGTATGTTGGTACTTACTGGGTCAGGTGGGTTTCCCGGTAAAGAGTTGATACCTGGCTAGGAATAGACAGCCCAAACTGTCTCGGTTGCTCGAGTTTGTTTCAATTGAGAAGAGAGCCCGGCATAGATAACCGACCCACAAGTTGAATTGAACAACTGTGCAAAAGCGCGCGAATTGTGTTTGTCTTAATCACACGAAATTAGATGCTCGAGATGGGCTGGCTAAAACAGAGGACTAGGAAAAAATCCCACTTTTCATAATTTTCACAGCATTGTAAATTTCTCAGAATCATCTCTTTGAAGAACCTTTATAGACACTATTATGGCAATGTTAAAGATAATATGCAACAAAACAACTTGCACAGCAATAGAAAATACTTTCGTCTCCTTCGCGGTCCTTCCTTGAGTTGTCATTCAAGAACCTCCTTCAATAGAAGCGTTGATTGTGAGCGTTGCGTGATATGACAAAGGACCAATTCACGGGAGACTGAGCCAAGTGGAGCCAATAATATATTTTTTCAAGTACAGCTGGTTTCACAAAGGATAGATTTATTACAAACCAAGAGAGGATCCTTCTTGGTGTACATAAATTCCTGAATTTCACAAGTTGCGTACGGCAAGACACTTGTTTCGCATAAAAATATTTTACCTGAGGTTACAGATTCTTAATTCTCGCCAAGGTGTTAATTAAATAATGATACGATTTGAAATTAACTTAGATTCATACTTACGTAATCTATGCAAAAATAGGGTCAAACTTTGTCTAAAAAAATTTTGATGAGCCAAACTCGTTCCCAAGCTCCCTCCTGTCGTTTCAAAGAGGAGCACTTTGGAAACGAGTTACATATAAATAATTTATGTAAAATTCTTAAGATATTGAAAATTTTTGTAATTTTGTGTTAATAAATTTGACATATAAAAAGCCACTTACATTACAATTATCATTATCCCAAGTTTCTCTCACTAACTCAAGAATTATTAAATTTGTGAATAGCTAAGAAGCATATCAACAATTTACTTCAAATGTAAATGAATACTGATTTTCGGGGGATAATTGGACTATCACTATGCACATGCTCAATGTTCCGTCTAACTCGCCCCTAGTCGTCCCCAAAATGCATGCGGCACTTGGGTGAGACAAAAAGGATGACAAGAAATGGGAAGAGACTTCTTCCTCTTTCGTTTTCTCCCTATCAATCACACTTCGCGCTCTTATCCTGCCCGTGTAGCCTGCTTTGAGAAGGACTGGGGATGAGTCAGATGTCGAAAATAGGAGCAGGGAAGGGGGCCTAGGAGGAGGGAATGTTCCCTTTCAAAGCTCTTTAGGTCTCTAAGTCATCCCCTCTGTTGTGGTCTCTTCTTCATGAACAGAAGCATTTCTCAAGCTCTCTGTTTGCTCTGCATCCAATCTCCTGGAGATGAAAAGCATAAAAACATTAAAATGATATTTAACTTTGCACTGTCTCTCGATCCTTGTCCAAGGCAAAGACTAACAAGTCTAAAGTGTCTTTGTCCTCTCCTTCACCTTGGTGCCAGTGAAAGTTCTAGATCTTACCCTATCCACAACTCTTCATTCCACTTCAACGAATGATTGTTCAGATAACGTCAGAAAACAGCGCGTTTATGAGTTAATGAGTATTCTCAAACTAATAATCATTCCCACCCCCACCTCAAGGAAAAAAAAACCCGCCAAGAAACTCTCACGCTTGCTTTCTAAACACATGCAGATTTTCTTTAGAAACCGATTTTAGCAGGACGAGTGCAAAAACGAGTGAAGATTCAACAGAAAAAGATATTAATAAAAACCTTTGACATTGACCACTTAAATAGGATGCCCTCGTTATGGCATTTCAAACTGAACCCAAATAGCGGTAGTAAGAGCCAAGAAAAGAACTCTCAACTTTTTTATCAGGATCTGCATACTTCCCGCCCCCTGGAACCAGAGAGAGGCGAGCAGAGACATGGAAACGAACTTACTTAGGTCCCTCCTGATTTGGGGCTGTTTGCGACCCACCACTAATTGAGTTAGCTGGTAATCTATTTATTATTCAACACACCCAATAACAAGCTGCCTCTGGCTATTGGCGAGTTTCTTCACTCCAATCCAGATTGGGTCCCAATCTCCGTAATGGGTTAAAAAGCTCACAGCGAAAAATGACAAAAAAACCGGTATAGTGCCCAAAAAGAACATCCACGAGAAATGGACCTGCAAAATCGAATGACATCAATATTTTAGCCATGGACGCGGGAGAAGTTCGTAAAATGGTTTTTACCACAGATAGTAAACTGCTACTAAAGAAGATACGTATGAAAATTCAGCTCAGCGGTCACACGTTAGGCATGCGCAAGGGATCAAGTCTGACAGCCTGCGCACCAATTTCCCGCGCAAAATTTCTAAGAAAAACATAACAGCTGCTCTCTCGCAAAATAAGCGAAAGAAAATTAAAAACGTTGATTAAAATCTGTAAAAGGAAACAAAATTAGGGAAAAGGAAAACTGAAGAGTTCTGGATCAAAAAGCTTATACGATTACAGTTATCCTGTTGAATCAACATCCTGTTTTGAGCTTTAACAGAAAAGCTATACTCTTGTTAGTGGTTCGTGTGGTTGTTTGTAACTCGTGCGAGACTATTTGGTTCTGACAGCCTGCAAGCACGTCACCTGGTCATTACAACATTCGCACATGCGCAGATGTCAGACCACTGAGTTGAAAATTCAAATTCACTTACTCTCTTCATGAACACGTCAACGAACATGGTCAGTGGTAAGATCAAAACCAAAGAAAGTGTAGCTGTTAATGATGACGTCAAGTAACAGCCCCTAAAATATAGATTACAAAATGCACTTGTCAGATCGCTAAATATAATAAAATTTAAGTGTTTGTTCCACTTGATCTCAAGTTCCTCTCCTTCAAAGAAAATGGAAAATCAAGGTATGGTTCGAAAGGAGAAGCGCTGAAGTATAAGGTACAAATCAAAATAACTACACAACCACAAAGAAACATGACAAACTCATGATACGGTATGGCACTGTGTGACATGCTAAGAGATACACATGACTCATATCACATCAAATTTAATGACATGACATGACGTAACAGGTTATGACATCTTACCCAAAATGACACAAGACAGGATGTCACTTGAAATGGGGTGGCATGACTTTAAGTAGTGTTATATGACTTTACATGAAATTACAGGAGACAAATAAAAATGATCCAAAGGAATGTGACTTAAATGCTTAAATGACATGATATGAAACCTGAAATGGCATGAGGTAAGACAGTCCATGATGTTACATGTCTTGACATCTAACTTGAAATGACACAAGACACAATGTGATTCGAAATGAGGTGACATGATGTAATGACATGTTACATGACTTGACATGACACGAAATATGAGAAAATGGTATGATGGGATACAACTTCAGTCACATGAGATTAGACCAGACATAGCGTGAGATAAGAAAGTCAACATTGTGACATGTCATCATATCTTACTTGAAATGACACAAGATGCCATGTGACTTGAAATGAGGTGACATGTCATAATGTTATGTAACACAACTTAACATGAGATGAAGTGAAACATGAGAAAATAATACCATGGTATATGACTTTGGTGACATGTGAGGAGTTTAGACTTGAAATGACATAAGACAGTCAATACTGTGACTTGTCATGACATCTTAAAATAACACAAGACATGACATGACTTGAGATTGTGTGACATGATGCAATTTTGTGTTATGTGACTCAATGTGAGAGGACATGAAACATAATAAAATTATATGAAAGTAAATGGCTTTGGTGATGTGACATAACACCTGACAGGGCATGAGATAACACAGTCAATGAAAAAGAGAACATTTACCAAAGCCACAAGGCTTCTGACAGAACTGTTCCAATAAGGGCATTCAAAGTAATATAGCCCCAAACAGTTGGCTCTGGAGGAAGCATAAATTGCTCAACTTTCCAATAGTTGAGAATGAAAAATCCAGGCCACAGAAGAATGAAATTAAACAATCCAACGAGACCTGAAAGAGAGAAGTACAATTGGCTTGTCAAAGCAATTTTTAATTGAGCGTTGAATGTACTCCGTGATTGCATTGGTTTTACTTTACTTTACCTTGTGATTGCTCCAGAATAATTAGGCCATTCAATCAACCAATCAGATGTAACACTAACACTAATCATGATATGGTTGCTCATGTTTTTCTTTATGTTAAGCAGTTAATCATTTTCAGTCTGAGTTGTCTTTGGCTCTTAATGGTATTTTCCTTTTCTCTAATTGGCTGTTGTGATAATTTTGATTTTAGTTTTAAAACTTTTGATCAAAAAGCACTCTATCCAAACTAACACATATTTACAGAAAAACTATGACAGCATTTTACTTAAAACAAACCTATAAAAAATTCTTCTCTTACCAAAGAACATGGGAATGTCCATCTGCTTCTGATTGGGAACCTTATGTTTTATCATTGTTAAATAACAAGCATACCTGAAAAGAAGAAAAAAATAACTGACTATGTAACAAAGAAATTAGAGAGATAAGTTCAAGCAACTGATGCTAAGGACAGTTGAGACTTTTTAGATTTCATTAGATTTAGTCTCTTTATCTATTTTTCTGTCCATGTGTTGAACCCACAGATCTTCCAGCATGTTTGAATGTCTTACTGTTGGCCTATCTGTGTGTCACTCATCCTTTTATGCTGGCCAGCCTGTTTACATTCTGCATGATTGTTTATGTGTGTGTGTGTATTTTTTTAAAAATTGGTCTGCCTGTTACAATTCTGCATGATTGTGCATTTGTGCATATTTTTATGTTGGTCTGCCTGTTAAAATTCTGCATGATTTTATGTGTGTTTATTTTCAAAATGGGCTGCCTAATGACAATCTGCATGATTACCTACTAGTAGGTATGTGCATATTTTCATGTTGGTTTTCCTGTTAATAATCCGGGTGTGCGATTATCTGTGCATTAGCCTTTAGGCAGTATCTTATCGGCACTGCTTCATCATGAGCATCTTGCTGTCTGATACCTGCCAGAATCCTATTGTAATAGAAGCTATTTGTATGTTTATGTACTAAATCTCAGCCACACTTACAAGAATGCACTGGCCAAGGCCCATAATGCTCCAACATCTGACAGCATCTTGCTGTCTGATACCTGCCAGAACAATCATGGACCTCTTACCGGCAAGCACAGTGGGCCACTGTGATTATAGTGGAATTTGCAGGAAGTATGAAAGAAGCTATTTGTATGTTTGTGTACTAAATCTCAGCCACACTTACAAGAATGCACTGGCCAAGGCCCATAATGCTCCAACACTGATTCCTTCCCTTTTTTTTCTCGAGTCTGCTAGTGTAACCAGCACAATACCAGTAACACTAGAACCAAAAAAAATTAGAGCTCTGTTATTATGACTTTCCGTTACTTACTATAGAGGTAACAGATGAACCACTCTGAATCAAGCCAAAGGGGGAAAAAAATTATTTGAGCTGGGGGGGGGTTTCAAATAATTAGGATTGGTATTAAATTGTTCATGATTAGTAGCGAATCATGTTTTTACAATTCTCACAAATCGACAGTCATTTTTGTAAACTTAGTTTGTTTTACAGGAATTTTTTTACAGGAACATTAAGTTTGGGAAGTTTAGCAAAATGTGTTACCCTTTATTAAACATTATCCTGTTTGATTCATTTGCAATTTCTAATTGGGATATATTCATCAGCTATGTTCTGATACTTTGATGTTTATTGGCCAATGTTTTTTAGCTGAAGTTGCAGTTCTAAAGCTAGAACAAATTTGAGCAAAGGGAAAGTAAAATATTAGTTAAAGTTAGGCAAGCTATGGTTAGCTGATAGTAAATGACTGAAAAGATGGGGTCAAATCCAAGGGAAATCACATTTTGTTGGAGTTGGCAGGGAGTTTGAGCCAACAGAGCTTGAGTTAGACGAATCCTATTGTAAAGTTACAGAACTGACTAGAAGGAAGTTACCACAATAATTCCATTTGAAATAACCCCCTTATCAAACATGCAATGGAAAATAATTCTCTTAATTAGGGACAACATCAAGAAAGATCAAAAATTTTTGAAAGATCAAAATTCAAACTTACCTCATTAGAACAGCAACAAGCTTTGTCACTGAAAATTTGTCAGAAGTTGAACTCTGGAATATAGATGCTAAAATGAGTGTAAAGAGTCCTGTCATAAAGAGAAAAAATAGCAAGTACTGACTTTTTTCAGCAGTGACTAAGCATGGGTATGATAAGTGTTTCCAGCAGAAACAATAAAAGGTCTTTTTCTTCTCTATCACTTGCACATACCTTTGTTACAAATCAACCTGATGGTTATGATGGGGTTTCCTGATAATGAAAATGGTTTTGAATTTCTTTTTACAGTCCTTACAACAACCTTAAGACTTATGGAAAAGGTACATGTACTTGCCTGAGTTTCTTTAGTTAATTACTCTCTAAAATGGCAGCAAAACCCATAGTAATTTGAAGATAGAGTTATAAAATTCCCATTTTCTCAGCTTCTTTTGAATTAGCCAAAACAATGAGCAAGACTGAAAAATGGAGTTAAAATTTAGGGTGGTTCCTTTTTCTTATCACCCTTTGTGATTAAAGGCCTGAGTTAAAATGATTTATAACTGGGAAACTAAGACTGCACAAACTTAAAGGTTTCTTTTACCTGATGAAGAGGACAAAATATTGACAGCAGCTGGTGATGTGTTGGAAATGGCCACCTGGTAACTGCAGTTAGCACTGAACCACTGGATGGAAAAATTTACTTCAAATTAATTAGCAAAAATAGTATGCAATCAATGGTATGAAGTCTTAATTAAGCACTCAAGAGTTTCATTATGAGCTAAGCATGAAGCATATTGATTGACTGTAAAAATGACTTTTGCCAGCTGCTCTTTAAATTTCAACCAAAAGAATAACACAAAAGTGACTATCTTCTCTGAAATAAGATATATTTGACCTTATAGCTGTTAGTATTTTTTTTTTTTTTTAACAAGTTGAAGGATTGTGTACTTTCCTTGGAAAAGATGATTCAACTGTTGATTGATGCATCATATCATTACTCAATTATTTAAAGAAATCATCTCATTTTGGTAACAAAAGCATGAAGGTTTCTTCTCCAAAAAAAAAACCCATAAGAATCTCTATTACTGAAGTATTTCAAAATTTTCTGGGGTAGCACAGCTCAGGATTATGGTACCTAAAGGGAGGGGAGGTGAGGGGAGCAAGGCTCTTCGAGCAATATATAAAGTATGGTCAAATGCCACATCCAAAATATCCACCCCTGCTCTGACTTCTGACTCAATATTAAGATTAAAAATTTATTGGTCATGGGTGTAAGACAGAGCAAAAATCCCCTACAAGGAATCAAGCCCAAGTCATTTAGATTCCCTGTCTCAATGCTCCAGCACTGAACTACAGATAACTCAGTCAGTCTATGGTGAGCTACCGGCTATCACCACATTCATTTGAAAGGAAAGGAAAAGAAAGGGCAGTTTCTTTGTCAACCTCCAATTTGAAATCATCTTGCACTTATGAAAGATTTTTTTTTTTACTAACCAAAAAGCAAAAGATTAAAGCCACTTTAGCCACTTTCCTAAGAGGCAACTTATGGCTTGGTAATTGTGAAGCCTGATATGGCCGTCGTGCACTCCAGGCCTGTTCCCCAACATGGTCTACAGGGTACAAAAAAAAAACTATTGTTAATTGTAAGAAGAACAACATGGTTGTGACTTTTTTGTGTTGCTCTGTACATCACTTTTACAACATCAGTTTCTCAGAGGCACTCTGAAATAATAATAATAATAATAATAATAATAATAATAATAAAAAAATAACAAAGAAAATCACCTTATATCCTATATTTCCAATACCGAGTAATTTATAAGAAAAATATCTCTCACTATTATTAATAATGTTTAAACCTTTGGAGTGACTAGCATCTAATTTCTCCTTAGAGCAATACTGCTCAATCATTCATTAAGGTCACGAGGATAAAGCAAACGATTGCTGACCTAAGAAGCTTTGATTGTTAAACAAATCCTCCTTTCCAGCACCTCAGGAAATGTTGGTTGAACAGCATGAAGAATATGGAGACTGACATTGCAGTGTAAAACATTAAACACTTGTAACATTTACCTGCTAACCGACGCACCTCTCTCACATTGCTGAAGGTTACTTTTCTTGGCTCTGAATATAAAAATAAATTTATGCCACAGACTGAAGAAAACTTCAGTCATTGAATGTAATTCATGCACCAATTAATTCCCCCCCCCCCCTTCCCTGCCCAAGAGACCCATAGGCATTTGGCATTTGACCATTGCAATGCCTGGGGGTGGGGAATTTGAACCTTGCTTGGCTTGGGTGGGGAATTTTAACAAGTGTCAAGTCTTTCAAGCAGAATACAAGTGTTATATCTTGAAATATGGAGGTGTTTAAGGAAAATACCGGTAGTTCACTTTAGTGAGCAAATGGCTCTGAGGAAAGGTCTACAAGGTCTAGGTTAAAACTTGGTTAGTGTGTGGAAAGTCACAGTCAATCATTTTGCCTTTTACTTAAAGCTCTTTGAACAAAATAAGACAGCCATTGGGTATGTTTGGCAAAACTCTCAGCACTATGTAAGTTCCATTTAAGGGGAATAACCTCATCCGGGGTAAAAAATAATAGATATTGTTATATAATTATGTGAATTTAGTTTAACCTCTTCTAAGGGAAAGATATCTTGTCATGTTTTATGTTCAAATTCTCCAAATGAACACTAAAAGAAATAACATAAAGTTAGGAACTCCAGGAGAACAAATTTGCTAACAGATAAAAGACACATCTAATCTTACTGATGTCAAATTGAGCATCACCTACCTGAAATTATTTCATATGAATTACTAGAAACCATATCAACTCCGCTGGTGCGCTCATCATCTGTCATTTGCTCAAAAGTTGGCTCGTTCTGTACATTGAAAATAAAAGCAATCATTGAAAAATTATTGTCTTGAAGAAATTTGTTGATACTACTGACAGTAACTAGTATTACTAATAATAGAAGTAACTGCAACAACAGTTGACTAAATGCTTTTAAACTAGCCATGAGATAACAGCTTGGAGACTTGATTTGGTAGTTCTAAACAACCACAAGTAGACATGCAAAGTAATTGACATTGCAGTATGTAGTGACATAGGAGTTAGGGTCCTTCTTTTTGTGGTTGAAGTACCTTACATGACAATAATGATAATGAAATGGGTTTGGGAGGAGGAAAAGGTTGAGTGAAAGCTAGAATTTTATGAAAGGAATAACACTGTTGAATAACACCTTCAGTTGAAGGTGATTTAGGTAAGTGAACTAAGGAAACTTGTTATTTCAAGACATTTACAGAAGATACCTGAGAACCTTGGCCAGAAAATTGTTAGCTGGTGCTGTGAATGAATGTAATGGGTAGTGATGATGATGATGATGATATTTACAATAGGAATGAGAACATTACCAACAATTGTTGTGACTGAACATTGACATTTCGTTCAGTTTTTACACTTTTTATCTTCTTTGTACGCATTGCATGCCATCACTTTGGTGAGATTAAGGTTATATGATTTATGCAAACTCCTGGTTGAGAAATGTTCAAAATAAATGGTTAAGTTTTGGAGAACAGTCCTTATTTTTGTGGTTGAAGTGTTTTACATGACAATAATGATGATGAAAATGATAGAAATGATAATAATGATAATAATGATGAAGACAAAGACAAGGACAATCATTATGATAATGATTATGACAACGACACAGACAATGACTGTTCTGGTCCATTAGTTTTGTCCCTAAGTAGAGGTTAAGATTCTTGAAGACAAGGCTGTCTCCAGCAGCTTAACTGCCATTTATTTCAGCAAATTTTCAAGGTGAGACAAAAAGCATAACATCTGGTTAAAGATGGACATGTGAGCAATACTTGTGCCTCTGCCATTAATTATTCATCGAGATCAACAGACTAAGGAGTTTTATGTTAAACAGTGATGGCTACAAAACAACTTAAATGAGAAAACAATGCCTTAAAGAAGCAAGCTGAAGAAATTACAAAAGAGTTGTCTACTTTGAGAGAAGGAATCAAGATAGCCAACAATGAGTTAACACATTCAAAGTCTTGAAGATCATCTGAAGAGACCTTTCAAGCAGACTCAAGAGATCTGCAATTTTACACTGATAGTTATGACGCACTGTGTAAGTTTTATAAGGATGCATCCAACAAACTGTAGATGATTGAAAAGAAGTTGCTAACTATCAAAGATAAATTATTCCTTAGTTAGAAGCTTAATATTTTTATAATAAATTAAAACTATTTGCCTTCTTTTCTAAGTATTGATTTTCTTCAATTCCTTTCTTTTGTATGTAATGATCTTGTCCTCTCCTTATGTATTAATTTTCTCGCAGATATGTTTATGCATATGTTTTCCCATATTTATTATTTTACATTGTATATACATAAACTCTACACCGTCCAGATTACAGGTGTAGCTATGCTATTTGTACAGTTACCTCTCTTTCATTAGTTAATTTTCATTACTTAATAAAAAATGTTCAATAAACAAATGTTGAGGTGAAACAAGAATGTGTACACACCACCAGCACATGACACAACTAACTAAAATTTCCCTGCACACTTGATTAGTACTGACAGGAACCCCAGACAGAATGATGACAGTGATGATAATAATGATAATGATGCTACTAATAATTAACAGAAAAGAAAATAGTGACAGAAATAATGGCAATAACTAATTTACTAGCATGATAGTCTGGATAAGGGTAGTTGTGAGAAAATTGTCTATAGTTGGAATGAGAACAATTAAATTAATTAAATCAATTTAAAAACAATCATCACCATGTGTGGTTTGGGAGCCGGTGATGAGTCAGAAGAGCCTAAAAGTGATGAACTTTCTCCAGTTTGGCTCACATCTGATCCTGATACCTAATTACAAAAACAAACAAGCAAGTAAATAAACATGACAAAGGGTAAAGCTACTGTAAAATCCAAGGGTAAATAGAATACGTATACCTTTTCTGACCCTAAAGTAACATAAGAGCACAACCATAAACGCAATGATTTGAAATAGACCACTTACAAGTAAGGATCATGATCTTTTAATAAACTCTGAATTATTTTTTTCTGAAGCATCTCAGTGGGCTGGAAACTTAAATCCTTAAATCTGATTGGCTAACCCCATGCTTGTGAGAGACTCAGCGTTTTATAAAATATGGACCATGGTCCAGAATGTTTTTAAAGCAAAGCAAGAAAAATTGAACTAGCAGAAAAAGAAAAGGAGTTAGATGCCTGTCTAGGTTGGTATGTATGGGAAAACAACTATGCCCTTGGTCTTGAGAACAGTCCGAGGACTTTGGCAGGGTTCACCCCCCCATCACCATCCTAATCATTGTTCTCCTCTTAGCCCTATCTCCTACTCATTCTTTTTCTTCCCACATTCCTCTTTACCCCACCTGTGACTAGAGAGCTACCCTTGGTAGTGTAAACAACCTAAGGACTTGGACTTGGACTTGGACTTGGACTTGGACTTGGACTTGGAAGGGTAAAACCTAAGCTAACCCCACCCCCCCCTTTACTGTCCTAGTTACTGTTCTCCTCTAAGCCCTATCTCCTGCTCATTCTCTTTCTTCCCACATTCCTCTTTACCCCATCTGTGACTGGAGAGCTGCCCTTGGTAGTGAGAACAACCGGAGGACTTGGACAGGGTCTCCCCCCCCCCCCACTTCACTGTCCTAGTCACTGTTCTCCTCCTACCCCTATCTCCTGCTCATTCTCTTTCTTCCCACATTCCTCTTTACCCCACCTGTGACTGGAAAGCATCTTAACAGACTATACTTAGCATGTCAATACTTTTTCTTCTAAATTCTTGCCTTGATTAAGTGACAACCATACCCAAATACAAGTATTTTGAGTCAAGAAGTACATCTCTAGTATCCCTGGTAGATACATATCTTAACTTACATTAGTTGTGTCATTACAGTTTTTACAATGTATTCTCCAAGGCTCATAAAAAAGGAATCCAGTGAGATAGACCATAAAAGATGACGTCTTGACATATGTGGTGAAAAAGGGCTTGTTAAATCCTTCACTTTTGAAGATAAACTATAATCAAATGAAATTCTCATTATTATTAGAAGCTTAAATCTGTAATCAAGCCATGAGACTTTTTCAGCCTGAGCTTATCCCAGTTACATAGCATGAAGAGACTGAGAATAAAACTACCCCTCCCCCCCTCAGATGGCATATGGGATTCCAGTCTATAACAAGGTTACCCCCAGCATTTCATCAGGCTTCTTCGACAATTCAACGGTACCCATTTATACTCCTGGGTGAAGAGCTAAGAGGCACAATGGAAGTAAATTATTTGGCCTAAGAACACAACACAATAACTTGGCAAGGTCTTGCACCCTGAACTCTCAACCTGGAGTCCAGGGTACCAACCATTACACCACCACACTTCCCACATTATGAGTAAAAACAATGGGAAATTTTTAATATTGTTTCCAGGTAACTCATGTTGAATATGTATTGTTTCATCATAGAAGAGTGATTTGATGGTTAGGTGCAAACCAGTCTTTCGCCTTATACAAACACATCAAGCCAACATTTTGCCTTGAAAACTAGAAAAGGGTGAAGTCTGGATAATCCTTGTAAGTAATATGCAATTAAGAGAAACTGCAACATAAAACAGAAGAGTCAGGCTTCATATTTCAGTTGGCATTGTTGCCCAGCTAGAATCAGAGAGGCCAAGTTCAAAAACCCTCCCAAACCTGAACTTTTCGGGTTTCTTATCGTGACTATTTTTGTTTCAGTTCACCTAAGAGGATCAGTTTGTTCTTTGTACATCAACCACAGGTAGGAATACGATTCGTTTCACTCCATTGGGAAAATTTTATTATGCTGTTGAAGACTGTAAAAAGTCATTCTCTCTACGTATCTTCCACCCCTTTCCCTATTCCCCCATGCTTAAAGATTGGTGCATTCTGTTAAATGTAAAGTGAGAAATTTTACTTACATCAGTCAACTCTGCTGAGCCGACCCAAATCACATCCACAATAAGCAAAACGATCACTCCCCAAATCAAACGGCGTTTACGTCGTACTCCTTCCTCTTGTGATAGGATAAAATGGCATAAAGACCTTCCACAACGCCGTAAATAGCTACAACAGAGACAGTTCGAACCCATCTGAAATTCGAAAATGTCCTAATATCCCTCGATGACCCTACGATTCACGATGCGATGTGATGCGAACTAGCAGGCTTCTTCGACTTCGATTTCCCAAGTGATTCCTTGAAAGAGCCCTGGCCTTTTTTTCTACATGATAACAAAAAAAATTTCTCAAGTCATGAATTACAAAAAAATATATAAAAAAACGACTCCTCGATTATATCTAAAAATACGTACAACGAAAAATATAGCAAGACTACCCTCATCGGTTCTGGGATTACTCTGTTATGGTAATCATTACGTCAAACACACTAGATGATGGTTACACTTACAATTTCCTTCTCCCTCAACTTAACGCTGACCGGATTGTTTGCTAACGTAGGGCTCAAATTGACTGCTCTCCAGTCTCCAGCGGAGGTGAGTGCGAGGCATGAGTGGAAAACCAGCGCGTGTCGCGTGTAATATACGACTTCTGTTTTAGACACTGATCTGCCTAAAGAAGACATTAGACTAAGCGTAGATGATGAAAAAAGGTAAAGAAAATGATTCCTGACGGATAGAGAGAATAATGATACATCTGACTTCCCTGTGGACCACCGTGAGTGAGGGTGACACCGACATAACGCGCGCGGGCCAGGTTCGAGATAATTAAAAGAAACAGTCATAGTAATCTGGGCGAAATCGATGAAAATTATTTTAAAAAAGTAATAAATATTAATGCAGGAAATGCAGAAACTGAAAAAGAACACTCGTAAGATGAAAAGGAAGGCGAAAAAAAAACTTGTATTCAGTTAGATTTCTCTCCCCACTGCGAAAGAACTGGCTTCACATATCTTTTTGATATCATAATAATTTTATTCAGTAAACCAAACAATAAGTGCAACACAAAAGGAAAACGTGTTCGCGATGAAACGCCGAATTCTTGAAACCAATATTTAAAAAAAAACGCAGCAACGAGTTTAGAGAATTGATATCTTGATCAGATACAAAGAAAAGACTTGGGAAACATCTGCAGATTTTGTTTTCACCATTCATTTCAGCAGGTGTTTATTGTCAACCTTAAAAAAATTACCGTTAGCGATGCTTCTTGAATTATTGAAGAAAGTTAGGGATAGTTAGCGATTTTGATGCTGGCATGACTTTGATGACAAGTTTTTTTTTTGTTTTTTTTTTTGACTTATCTTCTTTTTTATGAGAAAGTTTAGTTTTGATGCGATGACTATTTTTCTTATCTCCCACTTCAAGCGACATTTCACTACCGGTTGTCAAAAAATCTAGAGTGTTCTTTGTTATTTCTAGCTTCCTGATTTGAGTAATTTTTATGATAAATACATTTTCAATTTGAGTCGATTGCTCCCAAAGAGAAGTCCATCAATATGACCGAAACAGCGAAATAGAAAACCATTTTTTTAAAAATTTTTTCACTAGTTTAAGTCACCTTTGTTTGAAAGAAAGAAATCATATTTAACCACCCAGCTTTTCTCGATTTCATGTTAGAAATATATTTTGAATTGATAAGAGATGCTAATGAACTAATTTATTTTGTGATCCATGATCATTGAAGGAGATGTATCATCTGCATCAGGAAAATCGTGCTAAATGATGTGTTGCTAAATTCTCTCCAGTTCTTGCGATATGCCTTGATTTCAGGGTATTAACAATCAGAATACACCACACTGTAAATTCGAAGTTAAGCGCCTAATTGTCTGTGTTATCAAAAGTTTCTACGAGCTTTCGGCACATTACATTAATACAAAGTCATGAATTTCACTGCCCCACAGACCGCAATCTGATTTGAGTGGATCAAGATTAACTGCCCTATCGTACAACAAATGGAATTAATTGACAGGTCATCAGCGGTATCGTTGAAGCAATGAAACAGTTTAGGATCATGTGATTATCCTTGTGACATTTTCTCCTCGAAACCACTAAAAAAAGAGAGAAAAAAAACTCATGAAGCCATTTTGTTGTGAGTTATGAATAGAATAAGTTTCCATAGATGCTACAGGAAAAATGAGTAGCATCACGGAGATTTCCCTTTGCCTTTGAGCGGAGCTCCGATTAAGCTCCTCTCCCAGATAGGGATGGTTCTTGAAGGGTTCCGAAAAGTATTTGTCTATTAAAGTTTTCCTTTCTTCTTTAAAAAGTCACTTCGACCTTGAATCAAAATAAATAAAAAGGAGTAAAGCTACAATTAAAGGTTCCAAGTATATTCGAGACTGCGGAAAACTGGAATTAAACAAAAGAGCAAGAATATTGTGTTCGTGTGCGGTCCCCAGCTAGACTCTCAGGGAGTGGGGAGGGGAAACACATTTTTTTTTTTGAATGCCTCGATATCATGCTCCTAACAAGTTCGCGCTTTCCACGCACTTCCTTGGTTGTTTTTCTTCTGGATGGTTGATGTTGAATCTTGAATGATAAACTGATGTTGATGTTTGCTATGTAGCGTGACACAATGGACGAAAGCAGTGGGGCTCCGCCTGAATCAGTAAACCGCGCTTCATGGGAGAATTTCGAGGGAGAGAATGGCAAGATTAACAACCATATTTGTCACGATATTTCCTCTGGTGTGAAGGAAGAAAATCTTTCTGACAACAGTGCATTAATTAGCGATCCTAAAGCTCTCAGACAACCCGGTAATTCTTCACTTAATGGTGAGAAGAGCCTCACAGGAACTGACTTTAAGGAGAATTTAGATGAGAAATCACAACATTTGGAGACATCGCCGAGCGCGATAAACAGTGTAGAACAATTTAATCTTGAACCTGTAGTTGATTCCTCGAATCGTCTGGAAACGAGTGATCAGGGATTAGATAACGCGTTAGGTAATCGCGAATCTTCTCCAATATCGAATACAGGTGAATTGTCTACCGAAAAAACTTTCATTCAATCAAACGATTTATCGGAGCACTCGGCAGATGGTATTGTGCTGAACGGAGAAAGCGAATCACGCTTTTCAGCTGTCGACGAACCGCTTGCCGGAGAAAAGGTTATTTCTTCAGCAAAATGGACCACGTTTGAGGATAGTCGTGATAAAAAATTGCACACAGATGGAGTTGAAAGCAAATCTAAAGAGTTATCGATCGACGAAAAACAGAAAAACTCGAATATAAACACACCCAGGACAACCCCGAACATGGCGGCTTTTGATTCCCAAGCCGCAGTAACCACAAATATTATCTCCAATTTGCCTATCGTAACCGACCCTGGTACCTTTGAGGTTCACGCTGCATCATTTAATCATAAAAAAAATGGAGAAGGTTTAGCTTCGAATTCGAATTCTACGAGCGCTATGCGATCAGCTGTTCCTATTGTCAACCAAGCTTCACCTAACGACAATGGCGCCCTTCCCTTGTCTTCAGGCAGTTCACAGGAGCCCCGACCCAGCGATACCTCAATCACAAACCATCTAAAAGGAACTGAATGGGTCAGTTTTGGTGAGGAAGGGAATTCCAAAGAAAACCAGGCGGGCAAAACAAGTGTAAGTGGGAACGAACATGGTAACTTAGAAACGGCGAAGCGTCCTGTTGAAAACGATCTTCGGAAAGGCGATTTAACTGTTAATGACACAAAACATACATCAACCTCTACCGTTTTACGAGTAGAAAAGGAGTTGAATGGAAAAAGTTCAGACCAAACGGCTTCAGTAATTCCTCCCGTGTCGTTTACCTCGGCCGAATTGGATTTACTTGCGAGTAAATCGTGGATACAGTTCGATGAGTCTAGCAACAGTAAGTCAGTGCTGCAATCGAACTCAAGCGTTGTTCAAACATCGTCCGCTTCTCACTCGTGGGTCACGTTTGGTGATTCCAACATCCCGGTAGGTCAGAATTTAGACCCTTTAGAGTTGGATGTTAGTAGTAAGAGCCAATTCAGTCTTTCAACATCGAGAAGCCCAAATCCATTCACAACGGTACCTCCTTCATCAACAACCAATCCTTTCAAGCCTGCTACGCCAAGTAATTCAAATCCATTCCAGGCTGATGCTACCGCTGTTGTTTCTTCAAGCCCTTATTCTACATCAGGTCAAGGTCCAATTTCTTCTTCAACACCTCTTACTGGTGTGAAAAAAATGTTGGTCGCTGAGGGTAGTCTACAAGAGGCTGGTTTACCACCCACAGCTGATTTGAACATTCCCCATGGTGTGTGTCCTCTCAGTAACTCAACACCAGTTGACAACAACCAGGCAGTGGTTGCTCAAGATCAAGTTGATGCAAGATCTAAAGTACCAGTTAGTAAAACTCAGCAGCCTGCCCAAGTTTGCGAAGAGCCACTGCACGAGGAGAGGTCATTGACCACAAGTGGCTCATGGTCTATGCTTCTCCGCTTCCCTGACAAGAAACGGAAAATTGGATCTCGTGAGTGGAAGCCAGTGGTTATAAAGTTAGAGGGTACCACCTTACAGATTTTTGAGGAGTATGAATTATCAGCACCCTTCAGAGAGATTCCTCTACAAGCATATTTTGTGTTCACGACACCAAAGTTGCAGTCCTTTGAACATGGAGCTAAAGTTCATGCAGTTAAGTTAGAGTATGTAAAGTACTCAGAAACTAGAAGCCTACGTCATCGTGGCACTGTTGAACACGTGGCACAAGGAACACCCATCATTAAAGTGGCATCTCCAAGTCACAAAGTCATCAGAGAACTTCTTGAATCTTTCAACAACTCTCTTCGTCTTCTTCCATCTTACAGAGACAGAGGAATAACATACCGTCATGATGAAGTGTTTGTTGATATTGAAGATGTCACAAATGTTCTATCATCTGGTGATGGTACCATTCTAAAGAAGAATTCAAAAGTTTTAGTCAAGTTTCGTGCTTTTCTTACAGGCGATCCTGAATGTCAGTTAGTTCTAAATGATATTGTTCTAAGAGAACGAGAGGAAGCTCGTCTACAATCCGAGGAAAAACCTCAGAGGGTTCATCATTGGGTGAAACTGCGTCGTTGTGATTTTCATAAGTGTGTCAATGTCACAACTTTTGAACAATCACATGCTATTACATTTCATCCATTAGATGCATGTACTTTTGAGCTCATGCGATTTCCAGTTGACCATCACAAGCCTTTACCTCTTCTGTTAAAGACTGTGTTGAATGTCCATAGTGAGCAAAGAGTTGAACTCAAAGTAGAAATCCAAGTGTGTCAGGAAGCAAAGATGGCGAAGTACATTCGAAACAATGTGATTTTCAGATTTCCCATTCCAGAAACTTGGGTACCTCTTTTTAGAACAACAAAGGCCTTTAGAGGCGAGAAGTCCATCAAATCCAGTAAGGGGAACCGAGCTGCAGGAATTAAGAGCAGACTGAGGAATTCTAAGTGTTCCATAGCTGTGTCTCTTGGCAAAGCAAAGTATGAACCAGAATATGCATCTGTGGTGTGGAGAATTGATCAACTACCTTTCATCCACAGCAGAATTCCAGCGGATGCACCACAAACACTCACGTGTGTTCTAGATCTGCCTCCTGGAATGGAATACCCAGAAAACTTCAAACCCACTGCAGAGCTTGAGTATGATGTGGCCTATGTGCTAGTTTCGGATACCACAGTGATTGCTGTCAAAGTATCCAATCAGAACATTCCTGACAAATGGGTCTGCTACAGGGCACTGTACCACTATGAGGTCAACATTGACATTTCCAGACCAGCCTCTGGTCCAGTCAGAGATGTCGGGTGTACACAGCAGTAGGAGGAAGCAGGACAAGAGTACTGTTCTCAGTTATATTTGGTATGTACTGACTTCCATATTGGAAATTTTTTTTTATTGCATACAGTACTCTGATGGTCCTGGTAAGAGTAGTTCTGAAAGTGACTGTTGTCGGTAACATTAGTTTCTGCAACCTAAACTGTTATGACCATCCAAGTCAAATTACTTTGCTGATATCTTTGTCACTTGAATCTGGTGATGCAGAGGTGGCAGAGCACTTTGAAGTGTTGAGGGGCTTGGCCTGTATACCAAGCCAAGTACATACCCCTACTCAAATTTTCCCAAAAAGATATACTGATTTTCACTTCTTGAACATGCGCAAGAGCTATTCAAAGGAAATTAGTCCTAACACATTCAATTTTGTCAAGCATGATCCTGATGAAATGATTTGGAAAGAGTGCAAGACTGAATATTTTTCAAACAAATTTTATGCTGTGCCAAAAATATCATAGGGGGACTGAAACATGGGAGCAGAGGGAGGGCTGAGGCCCCCTAAATCTAGGCTTGGGGGGGATGTTGTCCCTCTCCCCCTTTCTTTCTGCTCTGGCGCTATGGAATGAATTCCTTTCAGGCTGTTGAAATGGCATTTACAGACATGGTTAGCAGTCTTTCAAAGGATTTGCCTTACCTGGGCCATTAAACTTTGCAATTGGTTACCTCTCCTGGACTCAAACCATTCACCCTCTTCACTTCAGGGTGTGATTGAAAATGAATTTCTCCTTACAATATCCATACATTTTTGTGCATTAAGGCAATTTGAGAATTAAAAAAGGGGATTTCATTTGATTTTGCATCAAATTGTTTGATCCAATAGTGCAAGAAATGTTTGGTGAAGGGTGAAGAATTGATTGGGTGTGAAAAGGGACAGTGTGGAATCTTGAATTTTTGGCATAGAACAAAAAAAAAATTTGCAAATTCATCTCTGACAAATGAAACATATGGTAAAGAGGTTCTTTTTCAAGCTGCAGCAAGTACTTACTTGTAGTGCATTGCTGGTTGTTGTTTTTTTTTATTTTTTTTTTTAAGGCGGCTAAATTGATGCAGCTTACTATGCCAAACTGCTTTATTTAGGAGGTCAGAGAATTTTTCTTTTAATGCAAGTGACTGAAAACTTTAATTTATGAAGGCCAAGTGGCTTTACCAATGATTGTAAGTCTTAAAGATGAAAATAATTGTTTTGGAAAAACCTAGAGAAAAGTCTTCAATTTTGGTTATTTAGAGCTGTGTTTCATCTGCCCTACGCAGCCAGAGTTGATAGGTTTTACATTATTTACATTGTGCTATTTGGGTTTAAACTATTAACTTTGCATTGACAGAACACCCAGTATTGAGCAGAATCTACCAAGAGTCTTGGGAATGTCAGCTTAATATAGGTTTCACTGTCCCTTTTTTGAATTGTTGATCACAATTCCATCTTTGTGCTTAGAGACAGAAACAGTCTCCATTAGAAATGCACTTGGATTTGTTGCCTAAAGTGCACTTTGCTGAAGTACAAATGTTTTCTTTGCATCTTCAATTAGATTTTGAGACGTTGTTTTGAAGCAAGGTGAACAATTTTCATGGTTTGAAAGTTACTGTCATAATTTAATTGATTTTTTAAACTTTTTTCCATCTAGGTCAGGTGAATGAATTCTAATGGATGACAGTGTCATAATGGAAGGCCAAATACATGTCACCTTGGCCATGGTTTGCAATGATTTGTTGAGTCTTACCTACATATTTTATATTTTCTGTTGTTGCTGTACTTTTTTTGTTAAAAGAATGGGTGAGGAATAGCAACTCTTAAAGAAACTGCAGGAATATCATATTGTTTTCAGCCATTTTTAAGTAACATTTTAGAGAATTTGACTTGAAATAGTTTGGTAGTGTGGAAAAACATCAAAGAGATAAAAATTTTCTGAAAAGGAATGAGAGTGTTCATAGATGGTTAGGATAAATGCAGATTGCCAACATTGAACCCAAAGCATTCAGGTTTTTTTTTATTAGTTTTAATTTTTTTTTGTGATTATGTGCAAACTGAGCTGTGGCTCTGGTTAGAAAAACATTTTTATTTTTAGAGTTCAATCCTGAGCCAAGTTCATAAGATTTTCTTGAGCAGCTCTGCCTTCTCTCTGTTTCATTCCTTTTTTTGTTTTCAATTTTAAGATAGGTGTAATCCATAATGATGGTGACATGATTATGGAGTTCACCTATTTTTTGTGAGACTCTTTCACATGCTCTTTCTTTTTGGTTTATATTTTGGCTCAAGTATTGTCAGCTGCTTTCTGTTCAGGAAAATCTTTCCAACAGTGTAATTAACAATTTCCTAAAGAAACTGTTGTGTCAATCAAATGAATGGTCTCAAGTCAAGTGCTAAAAATTGCATGTGGTATTGTATTCCAATTTTTCAGGCTAGAATATCAAAAATTTGTTGCTTAGAACTTGTGGCTTGTAAACTTGCCTGTGAATAATTAATAAGAAAAAAAAGAGTGTGGTATCACCTTCAACAGTTAATTTTAAGGTGCTAAAGCAGTACAGGGATGAACTTTGCTTTCTGATGTTTTTGGAATTCTTTTTCTTTTTTTACTAGTTTCTATTATTTATAAGAAATTTAAGTCAGCGCAAAGACTATCACATCAGAGAGAATATTTTATCACAGCTTTTCATTTTAGCGATCTCATACCATCCCTTACTTTTAATTTGTTTCATTTATTATTAACCTTTTAAAGTATAGCACAGGGTAATTGTTGTCAAGTTGTAACAATACAGCATCATTTGCGAACTGAATTTTATATTTTTTGATGGAATAAGGAGTTTTTTATGTGTACTACAGTGCTTCTGATGGGAAGTTATAACTTTTATTTGAAATGTTTTTGGTGAAAGTTTTACTATTTTCAAGTTAGAGTAAAAATTATTCCCTCAGTGTGATGACCTACTTGGAAAACAGGAAAAAAACCATGAGTGTTATTTCTGTGGCACTTGAAATGTTGGCAGTTAGTTTGAATGTACACCTCAAGTGTTCTTCCTTATTTTAAGTGATGAGGTAAAATGAATTTTTTATTTAACTTTTGGAGCAATCCTTTTAAATGTGTTATCTTCTAGAATACCATCGGCTGTAACAAGAAGTACAACAGCGGGTAAATTTTATGGGTTAAAGCCTGAAAAGGAGAATACTGTACTTGGTTCAATCTATGATTTGAATTCACATTTTTTTTATTGTTTTTTTGTGATGGTAAATATATGGATCATTAAGAATGCTTAAGAATTTGAATATCAATAGAATATTAGCCAAACTCTAAGTTCTCAAAATCAATAACACCTTGACAAGTCAAAGTATTTAATTTCATTCCTTTTTAAGGTTCATAAAAGAAGATTTTATCAAACAGACCATTTCAGAAAAGACCCAAGCCTCTGTTTCAAGGTGAGGCTTGTTGCATAACCTTTGTTGGGATAATGACCTTTTATTGTCAGGTAAATATAAGTCATTTTCACAATGAAGGCTTTGCACAGGGCTCATTTTCAAATGAGGGCTCTTGAAGCTCAGAAATGGCCTATTTTTTAAAAACAGTTGTGCACAGGGCCATTGTTTTTTTTAGCAAGAGGGAAATTGTCTCTGACAATTACTTCTTACAAACTCTTTTTTTACAAGACTGCTATTAAGCCCAAATTTAAGTGACAATAAATCATATAGTTTCCTAGCAGTCAACCCTTTTATTCTTAGGTGTGACTAATGACTATTTTCTGAGTACAATATCCATACACTATCAAGCAGAAAGGTGATGTGAAAAAAAGAAATATTGTAACTGGAAGATTTAGTTGGATTTAATATCAAATTTGTAAGACATTCATGGGAGACAGTAAGGAGAATTGATTTTGGATTGGGGGGGGGGAATGGCAAAGGGGTTAAATCATAGAATTGGATTCAATTTAAGCACCATTGAAGATTGCCTATCATTTAAAATAGATTAAAACCTTGAAGTAATGATTTACTTGGGTAAAGGGATACCACTGAGGTACAAATAAATCAAAAAGGATCTAGGATGTCCAAGAATGGCAAGGATTGATTAAGATTACACACAGAAATCTTGTGAAATTCGGGCTGAAATTTTCAAGGGAGACAAATAGTGATGCAGCCATTTGCATCGTATCTTTAGCGAAGAGAGAGTTTTGCTTCAGACTGTTATGTAAACAATAACTGCAGCAAAGATTCTCCTATAGTTTGTTAACTATGACTTTACTTGACTGTTATCTTCATATTGAAGACAGACATATCTTAGAGTTATTGGGAATTGTAACATGTTATTCAATCATGAACTGGGTAAATGTTTTTGGTTTTGAAATCTGAGGTTTCTTAACCTTTCATGGAAATAATAGCAGAATACTGTTTTAAATCTTTTTTATTACTGTATGCAAAGCCAATCAAAGAGACCTACATTGTCATAACTGAAAAATGATTGCTTTCGCAATGATTACTTCTGAAGTATTAGAGTTAAAGTATAAGTAACTTAAAATAGATAAAACACCATGGGTAGCTCTTAACCCTTTGATTCCAGTGAGTGATCAAGACAGAATTTCTCCTTATTATATCTCTTCAATATCATGCAGGCAAGTAATGAGAATAGAGAAAAATATCAGTTATAAGATTACTAATTGATCTGATGCCAAATTCTCCAAACTTGCACAATGAGAATCATTTAGCAGACAGTAAGGAGAATTACTAATGAGATCTTGGAAGTTTAAGGGTTAAAGGCCAGTTTTATCCTTCACAGGAATTTTTAACACTTCACTTGTTTAAGTGGATAAAGATATTCTTTTATATGTCATTTTTATTCATATTTTTTGGGGTTAGAGTGTCAAAAATTGTTATAATTTCCGGTACTCTATGAACAGTTTCAGGATTTGATTGTTCATTCTCCTCTCTAGCTGCTACACACTTTCCTGTGAATGAGTAACCAGAATTTGGTCTTATATTAAGATAAGAACTTCTACCTGATAATTTTAAGTATTCTCATTACCTGTTTCCTGGGTAATGTATGGATATTTTAGGGAGAAATTACTTTTAAATCACTCCTGCGAGTCAAAGGCTTAAGTTTAGAGGTGGGAAATGGTAATGTGTTACATATGTGAGGGGTTTTGTGTGTAGCTAGCTGTTAGTAGTAAATAGTAATGTCATTGTAACTAAACATAGCGCAACATTCATTATATTCTACGTACTGTAAAGGATTGTGTGAGCTTCACAGACTTTACACAGAAAATGCATATTGTACTCTATATATTAAGTATTCATCAGAAAATGTACTACACACTACGAATAAATAGCATGAAATGAAACATGCGATACCTGTTTGGTTTTCTGGTACCATTTCACTTTCCCTCGCCTGTGTGAAAAACTGGAATTATTTGTTTTTTAAGCAGGAGAAGTATGACATGCATCGAAAACTTCAACATCCCGCACACCCAGGGGCAACCCCTCCCCCCAGTGATAAGAACTTTTGATAATTTGCACATTCAAATTCCCTTCCCCATGGGGCAAAAATTATGTTTAAATGCCCCACCAATTTTTTTTTTTTTAAAGGTGAAATCAGCACCGTGACTGGTGATGTTTCCGCACAGCCCATACCATTGTAAAAGAGAAATCTGTTTTCCTAAGGGTTTCTACACATTGTTTTAACGACGTTGTTTTCTCTTCTAGGCCAAGAACTGAATGCATAATGTTTGAGTAAGAAAATTTATGGGGCAAAATTAATGCGCAAAAAGTTTTACGTAAATCAAATTAACGCGAAATTTTCGAAAACAACAGGCCGTGGAAATTTTAGGAGGAAAGGAAGGTAAATTTCCGCACAGCCCCATACCATTGTAAAACAAATCTGTTTTCAATAGGACAGTCGAAAGACATTTATTTAGAAATTAATTCTTAAAGAAGAAATGTCAGCTGGTGACTTCGAGGCATTAATAGTGGAGCTCTTAGCAGACAAGGTTTTGTTATTGAAATAAAGGTGCTGTAAAGCAATGATATAACAGTGTGATTTAAATGAACATCGACGTAAATTGAGATAAATCGACGCGATTTTTTTAAAATCGCCTAAAAAAGAGCATCGTTAATTTTATACATATAATAAGTTATTTACCTTAGACACCTTCATATAATTATATAGATGTAGCACTCGTATTCCGATAGAAAGACTTTTCACTCCTCGTTCAAATTCCCCACCAGCCAGGCCGGCTTCAAATTTATAAAATCTAAAAAAAAGTAATCAAAAGTTGAGAGATTTTAATGAGATATTTTGTCTGTGAAATGCTAGGTCCAGGTAAGCAATTTTTAAGGATGTTTATTTGCTTCCTCTTGTTTCTTTTTCCTTTTATGCAAAATGAAATTGTTGATCATTGTTGTGGTCATGTGAAGAATGTAGTTCAGAACTGCCATCCTTTATAAACTTCATTCACACTCAGAAATTCTATTTCCACTTTTAGACTTAAAACTCCGAAAACAACACCCTGTAGAGTGGTAAATTCCTTTTGAGACCTCATAAGCGATTCTCCTCACCGCCCCAGGGCCAAGTGAGAACTAATCAGGGCATTGGCGGTCGAGGGCATTTAAATGAGAAAACGAAGTTTTGCAGGAACTTCTCCTGATTAACGCACGGAAGGTTTGAACGAATAATTTTTTGGAAGTCATAGGCTATGGGATGCTCTTTTCAAAAGTTAAAATTTTTTTATCTGTTATTTCTGGTTTGCATGACCTCTTTCGAAGCAGCTTTGCTTGACCACATCATGCAAATTCCACGTAATGTAACGCGCGCGACTACACGGTCGCGTGAAGCTTCAGCCAGATGCTTTTGCTACCTCTTTAGTCTTTTTCAGTCTTTACTCGGTCCAAACGTGAGGCTCGGTCGCATAGCAAAAAGCGTTCTCTAGCGAAGTCAACGTCGTGAATGTTAGCCACGAATATGTGGTAACACACAACACAAAGATCTCTCTTTTTTCATATGAATCTATTATAACGTTCTTTTTGGAACCTTTGTGCAACTTTTGGTCATAATGGCAGAGGTTGAAAGGTCAAGAATACGCAGCGTAGTTCAGGTGAGTAAATGAAGTTGGAAGATTAGTTGAGGATTATGTTCGATCGCTTGTAAAGGTTGTAGGTATTATTTGAATAAATCATGTCTGATGAAAATTATTCTCTTTTTGTTTCGGTGGGAAGACTGTAAAGCATTCCAATTCTCCAAGCACGAGGATAACGAGATCGCGGTCTCGATCGAGATCACCGGTTGAAGGAAGGTACGTGAAGTTTATGATGACCGATCATTTTATGTATTTAGTAACTCAGTGATAATTTAAACGATCTGAGTACAGAAACAAATCAATTACTTATTACTGTAAGATCTAGATCGATATGATGGATGCTGTGGGTGAACTGGAAAAATAGTTTTAACTTATCAAAGCACGTTTGCCTGTAACGTTCAAGATGTAGTATGCACTCATTTATAATGTAGTTTGAATTCATTCTGGGAAGGTTTGAATCTAAAAGAGTTCAAACGACGTTGGTTGTGTTTTCTCTTCTTTCTATTAACAAAATAATATGTAATGGAGGAAATAAACCACAGGTCTATGCTGCAGTGCTGATAAATTATCATTTTTGTCTTCCTAATTTCCATTGGCCCTGTTCTTGCCATTGCATAAAATAATGTGCCCCCCTCCCCTTAAGAGTGGTTTGTCGGTCCCTTCAGTGCTGTTTTCTTGTGTAGAAAGGAGAATTGAGTGCACAAAAAGCATGACTTCAGAAATGGCTGCAGAATTTTATGCAGCCCCTCATTTTCAGGCACAGAAAAAGGTATGACCCCATCCCATTTGCACCAGCCCACCAAACTGTCTGGGTAAATGACAAAATGCAGAAAAAGAGGAGATATGGGAGGAGGGGGGGGGAGGGTATCCTGCAATGCAGTGGGAACTGGTGGAGAAGGATTAATGATATTCCTAATCTGATTATACCTTGGAAATCTGAATAAGCTGAAGCAGTGAGGGTCACAGGATTAAAGAGAGGACATTGTCTTTCTCCACCATCAGAAGGCCTAACTTCATGTATTTTCTTGTTTTGTAGAAGGAAAGCTAATGAGGATAAAGAGAACATACGCAGGAGTGATGATGATGATGAGGATGAAAAGGAATACCACGGAAGACTGCAACAAAGTGATAGTGACAATGACACAAGATCTCAGCGGAGGAAAGAAAGGAAGAAATATGACTCAGAACGATATAAGGAGCGAGAAAGACATGACAATCGAAGACGTCGCAGTGATGATGATGATGGTGATAATGGTGGCTGGCGTGCAGATCGGCGAAAAAGGCAGGAACATAGATCTGACAGAAGAAGGCAAGATACACCTTCAGATGATGAGAGGTATGACAATCGCAATCCAGTTGAGAAAAAAGGTAAATATGATGAGAGAAGAGAACAGCCAGAAGAAGAAGGATCAACAGAGAAGACTGAAGAGCCAGAAAAGGTTGTAAGAAAGAAGGCAAATACAGCTAATCCACTCCTGACAAGAACAGGTAAATTGTACTTTAATGTGCAGCATATTTGAAAATGAGACTTGTCATTCATTCATTCTCTCATGACTTTACTTCTTAACACTTTTTTCTCAAGATCAGTATAGATATTCTCCCTACTGCTCTCTATACATTTCCTAAAGTGCTAAGAAGGAGAACTTGTTTGGCAATCAAAGGCCTCTTTAGTTGGTGACAATTTCACTTTTATTCTTTTGATCTTATTGTTTGATTCAGAGGTGATATTGTAAGGAGAAAATAGATGGTAGTTATTCCTACAAGTCAAAGGGTTCATGAAACTCATTCTGGAATGAATTTCATGCCCATGTCACTTCTTCCATCATGCAGGGCGTGAAATTTTGCCTAATACAGGCGCCAATGCGACTAAATTTTTCATTTTGGCGACCAAATCCTGAAAGTTAGTCACCAAATTGGCGACTAGAACATTTCATGTTAGCCAAGTGGCTATCAGAAAAAAAAATTAATTTCACACCCTGCCATGTACATGCACACTGTCAACCCCACTTTGGGCTTTGACACAAGTGACAGTTTTTGGTGCTGGATTTTCAATGTAATGAACAATTATTTACCAAAGGGGAGGTGACTAACAGTAGAAATTAGTTTTAATTAATTCTGTCATTATACCAAAAATGGTCAGAAGTTAAATTGTTGGCATGTGATTTTGTCTCTTCCACTGCTCAGAGGTGAATATTGCTAACTAATCATTTGTGAACCAGTTAATCAGAGTACCTGAAAAGCATTATTCACCTGTAGTGTATATATTAATGCATATACAGTGAAAATCTGATTGGTCAAGATAATTATGCAATGACGTGTGAGGCTGACATGGTAAAACCTAATATCTACATGGATATTGCATTCATCTTGTTGAGTTTAATTCTGCCTAGTTCTAGTCCTCTTCTAAGCCCGCTGTCTATGTAGTGTTATCAATCTTTTGAAACCTCAAATCACATGTCTTTGTTGTCTGCCTCAGCCTATGGCTTCAGTAGAGAACTCAGGCCTTGGTTTTTTTCACAAGAGTAGGAAACATACATGTACGTGTAGTTCCTGTTGTTGTGGTCTGGCTGTGATTCTGAAATTAGGGGCATCTGCAAAATTTCCTTAAAAAATTGTAAACTGTTCAATGCAGTCTGGTCAAAGTCCTCTGCAAAGTGTTATAAAGGAACGGGAGCCAATGGATATGGCACTATAGAAATCCTTCATTATTATTATTATTATTATTGTTATTATTTCTTCTATCACAGTCTTTGCTGGTGTTCTTTTTGTGCACCAGCTGGCACAAACCATGCACCTAGTCAATCATTCTGTTCAAACACTAAGCACCTTTCTGAGGACTTGTGCAGATCCCAGCATGCAGATCTTTTGAATCTCTGTCACAATAGCTGCTTGTGATACTTTCTTTATGTTTTCCACCATCCCCTTCCTTACTGTACCAAGCATACCATTATTATTATTATGTGGCAGTGTATACTTAAGTATGCCTAGGCATGATTACATTAAGTTGGGCAGGCTAGCTGTGACCGAGAAAACAAAACCTATAAATATATATTTACACATCTAAAACTATATATCTAATTTGTTTATATTCATTAAAAAATTAGTGTCCATAACTGTTTGCTTTTGTCCATCAAAAAAAAAAAAAAAAAAAAATTTTTTTTTAAATTTTTAAAATATTAAAAAATATAAAAAATGTTTATATTTAAGTAATAAGCTAATAAGACTTTTCATAAAAATATTATTATTATAATATAATATAATTATTATTATTATATATATATTATATAATATTATTATTATTGTTGTTATTATTATTATTATTATTATTATTATTATTATTATTATATCATGCTCAACCTCATCCAATAGTTGCTTATTATAATTGTTTCCATAATAAGCTTGATGGCATGAACACTATGATGATTTCATTAAATTTTCTTTGAAGGGGGAGCTTACATTCCACCAGCAAGACTCAAAATGATGCAGGAAGGTATTGAAGATAAGAGCAGGTTCGTTCATACATAGAAATGAAGTCAGAATTCATTCTCTTTTTCTTCATAATTGAAGCCTTTTATGGTTGATTCTTCAATGCTTTTATTGATGGCAAGTTGAAGGATTTACTTAGTCTTTTTGTTCATATTCAAGAATTAAGAGGCCTAATTGTTTTGGACTTTGCCAAGTGCAGTCTTCCTTGACACCGTATTTACCTGTGTATAAGTTGACCCCCAATTTTTGAGGCTAAAAACTAGTTTTTCTTTATTTCCAGGTAAAAATTTCTTGGAATACTTATCTGGTATTTCTTAGGTTTTCCTTTTAGTGACTACAGATATGTGAGCAAATCACAGCAAGTTTCAATTTGAAGTTTTAATATTATAGCATATATAAGAGTGTTTTTACCCAGTTTAGCAACAAAGGTTTATGCTGGCTTTTTGATAATAATTTTTGTGAAATGCTTACAAAATCAAACATGATAATTCCAAACAAGCCTTTTTATGTGTAAGAGATAAAAAGTCAATTTCTTCATCATAAGCCATCCCAGATCTTTTTGTGATTTATTATTACCTCTTTTGTTCTTATGGTTAATCTTCACACGCTTAATAAATATAATTTGTATTCTTTTTCAAGTTGAAGTGTAAAAAAATAGCTTGACAATATTCTGACAGGGCCCCTTCAAAACTACCATATCATCAATCAGCTTTACATACGAAATGAAAATTGAGTTAAATGTTGTTTTATTTTCACAGAAAGTAGCCATAAATTGGATCTAACCATATGTCATGTGTTATTTACAGTGAAGCCTATCAGCGTATCAGCTGGGAAGCTCTGAAGAAAAGTATCAATGGTCTCGTTAACAAGGTACAGAGCTGATCATTTTGTCAAGTCTCTTAACAATAGAGCAGTTTCTTTAATAACAGGACACCTGGATGTGTTAACAAGGGATGTATTGGTAGTTACCTATAATTCTGACTGGTTACAGGCGGAAAATAGTAAATTCACTTTCCAAAGTACAGGAATGAAATTGCAAAATGAAGACAAGTAAAAAAAAGTCAACAACTCAGGATATTACATGTATGTCCAGTCACCCAACCAACTAGCAACCCCAGACAACTGGGCTTAACCCTGTACACAATAACATCAGTATACATATTCTCCATACTGTTCTATATGTATTTCCCAAAGTGTTGACAGGGAGAATTTGTTCAATAATCAAGAGCTTCTTTGGCTGGTGATCATTTTAGATATTCTTCTGACCTTAATGTGTGATTCAGGTGTGATATTGTAGGGAGAAATTAGATGCTAATCACTCTTAGGGGTTAAAGGGTTGACTTCAGTGATAAACAGAAGCATAGTTATAAAAGACTACAATTAGAACAAAACTTGAGCAAATTTTAGATGTGGTCTGTCTGTGGCATCCCGTATAATGATATTAGTCATAGTAGTGGTATATATTAGTCTTTTTGGTATACATCTGGGCATGTGGAAACATATATTTCACCTTTTCCTACCTAGGTTAACACATCAAACATTGGCAACATTGTAGGAGAGCTTTTTCAAGAAAACATTGTGAGAGGAAGGTATGACAACAGTGTGTGCTTTTTCACAAATAGATTCTGGTAGATTCCATTTTGCTATACATCTGTACTATAATAGATCACAGGAAATGTCAAAATTCGGTAAGAACAAAAAACTGGCGCATTGAAGTATAGCAGAGTGTGTCAGTGATGTTCTTACCATATTTTGATGTCTTCAGTGATCTATGACTGTACAGACCCAAGATAACATGGAATCCATCTGATTTATATACTTAACCCTTTACAACCTGACATCAATATGCATATTCTCCATAATGTTTTCTATACATTTCCAAAGGTGCTGACAAGGAGAATTTGTTTAAAAATCAAGAGTTTCTTTTGTTGGTGATAATTTCTTTTATTCTCATGACCTTACTGCCTCATTGAGGGGCAATTTTCTAAGGAGAAACTTGATGTTAGTCACTCTCAGGGGTGAAAGGGTTAGGCAAAGAAGCAAAAATTGTGTATGGTGACATCATCTAATGCATCTGTCTTCCAATAGATCCTAAGTAACAACCAATCAGAATTCATTTAAATTGAGATTATTACATAAATGCTATTTATCTGTCTTGTGGGACTTTTAGAGATGAGTAAAATATGCAGTGCTCTGTCAAACATGGTTGTGGAGCTGTGTGGCTTATGATTTTCACATGTAATGAGTTCTTAACCATTTTGCATCCTGTTGTAGGGGTGTCCTTTGTCAATCAATTATCAGAGCACAGGCAGCGTCACCCACATTCACTCATGTTTATGCTGCTCTTGTAGCCATCTTGAACACAAAGGTACAGTACATTCGTGAATTACATGGTTTACATGTAAGTGTGACAAAAGAGTTCCATAGAAACTCGTCAGTTTTTTCCCATGCTGAATGTATATAAACTGTTGGGAAACTGAGCAAAAACCAATGTTGCAATAATAGCAGAGAATGTCTGTTATTTCTTTGGTTTGTTTCTCAAGTTAATTGAAACCTTTGGGCCAAAAACCATCGTTAGGAAAAAAATATAGCAAGTCAAATCAGCAGAGAATCTTTTTTGAAGAGTTTTGAAAGTTGTTGTAATGCAATTGTAAGTAATATTAGTAGTAATATTTGTTGAATAAGGTAGCTTCTTAATCCAACAAAAATGTATTTATGTATTGCATGATAATGTTACAGTGAATTAAAACATATCCTTTTACTTGTTTTCAGTTTCCTAAAAATGGTGAACTTCTTTTGCGTCGGCTGGTGCTGCAGTTTAGGAGAGCTTACAGAAGAAATGACAAGGTAGACAATCTTCAGTTGATAAATTTCAGGTGTTCATGACAAATATAATGTATTTAAATATGAATTTGTACTTTCCATGGTCACTGGGACAGTCACAGCTTGGAGCAATGTGATTCTGGTAGCCTTGGTGAAACTTGAGTGTGTTCCTTAGGTGGGTAGAAGTTGCAAAATGATGCCACTAGTATTAACTCAAGTTTAACATCACCTAACTGTCACCGTTCCAGTCACAGCTTGGAGCAATGTGATTCTAGTAGCCTTTGCTGAAGCTTGAGTGTGATCCTCACCTGCATAGAAGTTACAAAATGATGCCATGAGTATTATCCCAAGTTTAACATCACCAAACTCTCACAAGAGCCCGGTAAAGTCTCTTCTTTTTCATTCCTCAGGCTGTGTGCTTATCATCCACAAGGTTCATAGCTCATTTGGTCAACCAACAAGTGGTTAGTTTATATATATCTTATTAAACATTTTGGTGTGTAGTATCACTGAGTATTTTTACAAATTGTCGTATTTTCATGAGCCCATAGGGTGAGTCGAAATGCAAACAACAAGTGAAAATACTCAGCAGTACCAAACCCCAAAATATCCTAAAAGTTATTTATTAGAAACTACTTTATTTTATGAATTTCTTATAAGGCAGGAAAAGTGATTCACATGTTATTTGTCGTCTTCTTAGTGCAGTTAGATAATAAAAGTTTTTCTCACTGAACAATAATCATGTTGATTAAATTCTATATGAAATATTTATCTATAAAGAGTCTTAGTCTTCTTAGAAGTGTTTTATCATTTTGCTCATCAGGTTACAGTATCTGACAAGTGTTACCCTTTCTTTTCCAGGCCCATGAGATTTTAGCTTTGGAGATCCTGACATTATTGTTACACAAACCCACAGATGATAGTGTTGAAGTTGCAGTGAGTATTTATCTTTAATTAGTTTCTTCCACATCTTGTGAAATTAAACACTAAGTGATACTGTGTTTTATATTTTTTGTTCTCTAGATTGGGTTCCTGAAAGAAGTTGGAATGAAATTAACTGAAGTATCTTCCAGGGGTGTTCATGGTAGGTTTGTCTGACGAAGGGCTTGTGATCCAAATGCCAGCTTTTGAAACTCTTAACGGTTGGCTGATTTACATCATCATCATCATCATCATCATCATCATCATCATCAGTTAACCCTTTGACCCCTAAGAGTGACAAGCATCTAATTTCTCCTTACAATATCTCCCCAAAATCACAGGTTAAGGTCACGAGAATAAAGAAAATGATCACCAACTAGAGAAGCTCTTGATTGTGAAACAAATTCTCCTTTTCAGAACATTAGGAAATGTATAGAAGACAGTGAGGAGAATCTGCATGCTGATATTAGGGTGTAAAGGGTTAACAAAATCTTGTAATACCCCCACCAATGCAACACCACTGTTTCTTAGAAGCATAATCTCTTAACCCTTTAACTCCCAGAGGTGATTATTATTAACTTCTCCTGATAATATCCATACATTATCTGGCAAACAGGTAATGAGAATACTCAAACTTATCAGGTAGAAGTTGTCATCTTGACCTAACACCAAATTCTTGTAACAAACATACAACAAACTGTTTAGCAGCTAGAAGGGAGAAGTAACAATTAGATTTTGAGAGTTAAAGGGTTAAACAGTTGAAACAAATTTCAGTGACAAATTTATTGGTATATTTACCTTTTAAGCTTATTGATACTGTGACTGCCGCCCTAACAGCTTCTGATTAGCATGAAAGATCTTCCAAATTGTGCAAATATTGTTTAGTTTATAGAACTTTCATATGGTAATAATTTTTGGGCTAATTGTCCTTTCATTTGACTCACAGCTGTGTTTGAGAGGCTGCGGAACATTCTTCATAATGCAGAGATTGACAAGCGAGTTCAGTACATGATTGAAGTGATGTTTGCTGTAAGAAAGGATGGATTTAAGGTAGGTATATACATTATGGTACACTTTGAAAGATGTCCTGTGGCTCAAATTTTTTCTGTAGATTTAGGTTTTCACAGTTTTGAAAAATTTAAATCCAGAAGAAAATGTGAGCTCCTAGAGAGATAATCATAATGAGAATTTTTAAGCAATTGTAAGTATTTATTAAATATTCATATTATTAATTGATTAAAACAATGTTAAATGTATGGGTCTTTTTTTAGGATCATGTTGCAGTACCTGATGAACTTGACCTTGTTGAAGAGGAAGATCAAATCACTCATTTATTGCGGCTGGAGGAAGCATCAAATCCAGAGGACATTTTAAGTATGTCTTCTGTCAAGTGACATTTAATGAACTAGTGTTTTTCAGAACATTGTATTTCTGACAATTGTGGAAAATCTATTTACTTCTATGCATCTTTTAATCAGATGTCTTCAAGCTTGATCCAAATTTCTTGGAAAATGAAGAGAAATACAAAGAAATCAGAAGAGGTGGGTACATTTTTTGAACAGTTGCATATTGGAGAAATTATCATTTTTAAAACATTCTTAAAAATTTCATGTTCCTAACTTTATGTTATTTTAATTTTAATTTAGATATTCTTGGAGAAGGAGACTCAGATGATTCTTCTGATGGAGATGATGATGATGACGACGACGATGATGACGATGACGAAGGCGAGGGCCAAGGTATAGTCCAACTTCATTTTGTTACCTTTGAAGAGAGAAGTTACAGTTTGTCCTTAGAGCACTATGGGATTTATACTGTTTATGGCTTCAAACCAAGACCAAACAGACTGTTTCATGCATATGTTTCCTGTTGTAGCTAAGAAAAATAGATGTCAGAGCTGGCAAGCTTTGATTCTTCCTCTGACAACAGTTGTGTTTTTTTCTTCTTTGTAGATGACAAAAAAATGGAGATTATTGATCACACTGAAACAAATCTTGTAGCTTTGAGAAGAACGATATACCTCACCATTCAGTCCAGGTACACTCTTTTGACTAGTAGTTTAAAATAAAACTTTCATAGTGGCAAACATCATTTTTGATTACAGAGGATCAAAGCATTGGGATTGAAAAGCAAGGAGCAAGAGAATCAAGGATTAAGAATCAAGAGTTGAGACACTCAAATAACTTTCAAGGATCTCGATCCACAGTTTTGGGGGAAATTATTTAATTTTTACATGCAAGACAATAGGGATGTGTATGTTGGATATCTTTTTCCCATTTCAAGGCAATCACTTTTTCCTTAGAAAAAGTGATCTTTTGCATCTACAACGTAGTGCATTCTTGGTGTTGTCACAAAATGGAGACCACACAGGTGTCATTTGATTTGAGACAATAGCATTGCAATTCTTTATCTTTTTTCATGCCTAATTGTTGTATTTTATTTGGGTGATTGTAGTTTGGATTATGAGGAATGTGCCCACAAACTGCTGAAGATGCAAATTAAACCAGAACAAATGGTAAGTTATTAGAGGCTTGGAGAAATGCTGGAAGCTTTTGAGCTGGTTCCTATCTTTTTCAATCCAAAAAATTGCTATTAGTGTGTTCTGTTGATTTTATGCCCCATGCTCCACCTGCTGCTATGTTTCGTTGTTCGTTAGAATTATTATTTTTATCATATCATAATTATCAGTACTATTATCTTCCTTTTCTTTTTCGTTCGAATCAACTCATCCCTTGTAAACAAAGTTTCCTTACTTCATACTTTAGAATGTTATTGAGGTGATGTTTCATAAATATTTGTATTACTTCTTTCACAGTCTGAGTTCTGTACAATGGTCATCGATTGCTGTTCTCAACAAAGATCTTATGAGAAGTTCTTTGGTCTCCTGGCCCAGGTTAGTGACTTGTAAACTGTACAAATTATTCGGCTTTTCTTCTCTTCGTTTTGAATCTTTGCTGGATTATTTTTCGATCAGAGACTTAACTGCAGAAGTGCTTTGATTAGCACGCTCTGAACTCCGGATGGGAAGGCCTGGGTTCTTGCTCTGGCGAGGGATCATTGTGTTGTTTGCTTGGGTAAGGTCTTCTGCTGTCACAATGCCTCAATCCACCCTGGGGTGTAAAGTAGTATGGGTGAGACCGAGGGGAACACAGCCCCTGTGCAAGACTTCACATTCATTAGCCATTTAACCTTTAACATTTCTTTTTAGCGGTTCTGCCAGCTAAATAAAGAGTACATGGAGGAGTATCTCAAGGCTTTTCAGGAACAAGTGAGTTTTTATATTAAATCTTTCAATTCTCAATCATTTTTCTCCAAGGAGAGGATGTAAATTCTTGTACATAAACTTTGTTACACTGTCAGATAGATGATGACCTTGAGACAAGTTATCAAGTTGGGGATATTGTTTGGTTAAAGAATCATTTTCACGGGTACTATCCAACAAAGAAACACATGGTCGGTTGTTTGTTACAGGGGTTTGCTGTCTTTTTAGCCTGCGAGTAGATGCTTAGAATGCTGATAATTACATTTCCGAACTTATAGATTTCAAAATTTTCCTTTCCCTGGTTGGGGATATTTTGCTTTTTAGATCTTTGGAAACAAAAGCTTAAAACAGCTGTACGTCGGTGTCTCGAGAAGTTTTCTTTCAAGTCTAAAATTAATGATAGGGGGAGGGAAATTGTAAAACGAGAAGGAAAAAAATAACTAAAGGGGGGAGGGAAAGTGTAGAGGAGAAGAAAAAACCACAGAAGACCGAGGATGATGAAGGATGGTGAAGATTGACAGATAATAAACGATGAACTTTACCATGTGTTTATTTCTCAGTACGAAACAATCCATCGCCTTGAGACGAACAAACTTAGGAACGTGGCCAAGTTCTTCGCTCATCTTCTTTTCACCGATGCCATCCCTTGGACGGTAAGACTGCTAGACTAGAATGAAATGATTTCAGAAGGGTGCGGTTTTAAAGTGGTGATGATGTGTCCGCACTAACAGCTGTATCACTTACAACAAGATTCGAGCCTGTAAGGGGCTTGGCATTGAAAATCCCTCGTGAGGACCAACGCAACGGTCAAACGTCACGCAAACGCGAAGGGATTAATTTTGGCCGGCGTAGTGAATATTTTCAAACTAAATAACATCCACACCAGGTGAAATTCGATTTAATGATCCCTTTTCTTACCTCTGTGTAGGTGCTAGACTGTATAAAACTGAATGAAGACGAAACCACCTCCTCAAGGTACGTTACAGTTTGGTTATGAGATTCGCCTGCGCATTATTATTAGCGCTGAAAGACGCGCGTTTCTCCGCCCACAGAAGGTTTGAGATGAGTCAGGGAGAGGCTTGTCAGGGATCTGGTACCAGTAGTGCCAGACCCCTTACAGACCTCTCGCTGGCTCGCTTTGTTCCGGGCTTCATACTTTCAGGCGGGCGAAAAAACGCGCGCGCCGAAGCGCTTATAATAGGAACCTTTAGCAGTTAGGACTGCAACGCCAAGGAAGACGTCGATTTCAAAGTGAATACATACATATTTTTAGTTGGAATTTCGCGAATGACTGGATGTGTTTACTATCTCTAATGGCGCCGCAAGTTAACCTCAGCATAACGTATGAGAGCGGCGTTGAGTTCCAATGGAAACTTGGAATAATCTGCAGTCGGGTTTTCTTTCTCGGACCACGCAAATCTTGATGATTTCACGTTGTTATTTTGCAGAAGACGGCTAAGAAATGCACACAGTGTTAAAACGCACGTGATGAGCTATTGATCTGCTTATTAGATCTTTTGTTTTGCCACGTCCTCGTTACCGTCGCCGTCGTGGTTTGCTAAAGGTCCCTAGTGAGGACCTGCTCGAAGTCTAGTACGAGAATAACTTTTATTGAAGTGTATCAATTTCCATGCAGAATAATTCTCCACTCACTTCGTTTTCTTTATTCCATATTTGCAGCCGTGTTTTTATCAAGATTCTGTTCCAAGAGTTAGCCGAATACTTGGGTCTTCCAAAACTCAACGAGCGCCTGAAAGATCCGTAAGTACTAAAAAGGTTTTTTTATTGAAATTTACAGCAATTTTCAGGTGAGTGTCGATAGTCATCCGGGATTTCCCTGGTTTTGTTTTACTTCGCTCTGTGATGGGATCAGAAAACTCGCGCCGCTCCCTCAACCAATCAGTCGCCGAACTAAAATTACTCACGACTTGATTTCGCGCGCTTCATGTTGTGTCCTTGTTTTTACTTTGAGTTCCCTCAGATTGGCCGTCGTAATTGCTTTGGTTTTGGGTCCACGACACTCAAACGAAAAATGCTGGATGTATTTTCTAGTTTGATAACATATAAATTGTTTACTTCATGTTTGAGAATACGCGCGTATCCGAAGAATTTTCATGGCATAAATCTTTTTAGATGCTCCATTTGCCAGTCTTTCTTGCGTTATGAAGACGAATCCACTGAAACAAAAGAAGATCAGCGGTATAAGCTACTAAAAGTGCGGTGCACGGAAACTCATAACTTACCTCCCCCCTCCCCTCCCCCTCCCCGACACCTCCTTCTGGAAAACCTAGCTACGTTCCTGAATGTGTTATGATGTAAGTTTTGCTGTGGTGAGTTCACTCGCCCAGCTGAAGCTCGTTTACGAAGTGAAAACTACTACAACGTACTCTCCAAGTATATTGTTCGATATCAATGGGGCTATCTGACCTTCTCTCGACTTTGTCTTAACAATATTTTGTTCTTACTTCTTAGGTTTCTGGCGCAATATTTTGAAGGAATCTTTCCCCGCGACAATCCACGTAACACTCGGTTTTCAATCAATTTCTTCACCTCAATTGGTCTTGGTGGTATCACGTACGTACCATTTTATATCTACAAATACAGGAATTTTTCAATTGTCACAGAACGTCTTGTAAACACGATGAATTTAGGGAAATTTGTTCAATCCAGGGGCGAAGGTTAGAATCGGTCTTGGGGTTTGCACAACTTTCGTGAATTCTCCCAAGCTATCTCAGTGAGCTGTGAGGATAAGAAAGATGGGTGACATAACAAAGAGTGAATACTCAAGTCAGATTTTTATGTGCATTTATTTTAGAGACGAACTGAGAGAGCATTTGAAAAACGCTCCTAAAATGATCATGTCCCAGCAGAGGCCTGGTGAGAGTGATAGCGATTCGGATTCTTCTGACGACAGCGACAGTGAAGGTTCGTGGGAAAGGTTCTTCTGAGTCTCGTCTTACGACTTCTCGACTTTTTTCGTTTAGCATAACGTAACTTAACGTCTCTCTCTTCTTTACAGATAGTTCAAGTTCGGAAGATTCTTCCGAAGAATCTCCGGAGTCTTCTGAAGACTCCTCGGACGATGATCTTAAGAAGAAAAGGTGTGTTAACACATTTGTTAGAGGACTATACCGGTATCACAGGGGTCATGGGTTCAACTCCTGCACACGCTTGATTATATATTTCAGGCTTGATTTTCACTACCGCTTCAGCAGTTTTCCTCACTGCCAAGACCAGTCTCATCTTTACTTAACACATTTGTTTGCGCATTACCAACGAACAATCGAAAATTTCCGTCGATAACGATTATGACGGAGAGTTTAGATAGTTATTCCAGTCTTACAGTACAACACATAATGGCAGAACGCACATGTTTTTCATGTCAGACTCAATTTATGTAATGCGCGTTATTTGGCCATGTATGTGCAAGTCCAAAGCTGTTGCTTCCTTACTTTCAGGTTTAACCTTATGAGCAACCAATAAACAGCGGATTTCGATCAACTGTCGTAAACGAAAACCAAAGAAATCATAACTCTGAATACTGAGCGTCGTAAAACCAAAAGGATAGTAATCACAACAGCCAATCATAGCAAAGAAAATATCACGAGAAGCCAATGAGAACTTGAAGTAAAAACGAGCAAACTGCGTGCAGCGCAGGAAAACGCGAGTGATACAGTCGCGATTGATTATAATTTTGAATTGGACTGTTTGAGAAAGTGGCGCGACTTTTCTGGACCAATCACATAACGAAGTAAATCAGAACCCAAGCAATCCCGAATTACTTTTGACACTCTATTGAAAATTTTTTCAACAAGGAATAATAATAGTAATAATAATAATGATACAAAAAATTCTATAGCGCCCTATTCTAGAGCTCTAAGGCGCTTTACAATAAAAATTTTAAAGCAGTAGCTTAGTAAATAATACATTCAAGGAACAGCGATATCACCCAAACTAATTGGACTCAGAGTAAACACAAGCGAACCAGCCGAAGCACGTGAAAACGTTTGTTATCAAATCACGATTTGTTTGAGCAGTACATGTGACTTGTTGAGAGGGTGGCACGAATTTTTGGACCAATCACTGAGCTAAGAGGAGCAAACCAATGCATTTCCGAATTGATTTTGAAAAACAATTGAAAACCATTGACAGATGTTTTCTTATCTATTCTCCTAAAACTTGTATCAATAAAATTTTGTCCTCCTTGTTTTCCAGGCACAAGAAGAAGCATTCGTCTCGGAAGAAGAAGAAAGAATCGAATTCCAAGAAGAAAGAATCAGATTCCAAGAGACACAAGAAAAGGCGATGAAAGAATTAGTTTGAGATTGGAAAGGAATAATTTTTATTTAGTTTGTGGTCATTATTCAAACATGCTCTTCAATAATTCTTATCGTTTTAGAGAAACAGAAGACAGTGGAGACTTGGGGCGAGACTGAAATAAATAGAGAAGAGTCCGTGACCTTCCTTCCCTCCCTTTCTCGCCTCACCCCCTCCTCGTCTGTTATTTGTTGTCGTTTTTATGTACCTATCCTGATTAGGAAACAGGAAACAGGATGAGTTAAGTTTTAACGCTTTTGGAAATAGGAACTTCCCGTCATACGAAGGTGAGCGATTCAGCGATTCAGCGTGATCTTTCATAGGGCTGCGATGTTTGACTCAGGGTCATATTGGCCTCTTTAGGGAGGGATGGGTGAAGATGAAAGGCATCGTTTTCAACAGATACTTCTATTCTATCTCTTTGCAGAAATTCCTTAAAAAAACTATGTAGTTTTCGTGGAAAATGTAAATAAAATTTATAAATTGTACTTCTGTTATATTTGGTTTTCGTTTTCTAAATGTCTAGTTTTCAGCTTTACCTATATTTAAGATTTATTAAATCGGAGGCGTCTTGGCAGATCTTTGATTCCCCTCTTTGAGTTCACGAAGGGTTCAGATAAAAACCCGCCAGTGTTTCCCATTGTCTCTATTTCGAGCAATTTTTCTCTTGAGTTTCGAATGTAATCACAGATTGCAAGAGTTCTACTTTACTTCTCTCTGTGACTGGTTTAAAGAAATGTATCCGCGATGATAGCAATTTATCCAGGATAGCGTTATGGACCCTTCGAACAACTTGGGGCCAAGCTACCGGTTAATACGGCTCAAACTTTCGTGACCTAGCGACTTGAAAGTCTTTTGAATATGTCTATTGTTGCGAAGGTTGCAAACTTTCGTGACCTGTAGCCTTTCTCTTCAGACTTAAAGTTCACATTTTCTAATTTTGAAAAGTTCAAATATCCCAATTTCTGCTTGATAATGTATTGAGAATTGTTATAGAAGGTCTGTGAGCGATTGCAGATGTTTGCAAAATCGGTTTGTTCTTAGCGGCGAGTCTAACAGCTAACTATTATGACATAACATCCCTTGCCATTCCCCTCCGGCCTTAAAACACGTGCACATCACGCACAACCGTGACTTTTGCGAAGCGAAAAACAACCTTTTGTTTTTAAAATTTCGATTAACGATAGCGTCTACACCTTTTGATATCACACACTTATTACGCAACAGGGTTCGTAAAGGGAGAAGACGGTGCAAGTACACACCAAAAGTCAGTCCGGGATTTATTAAGCTTACTCCACTTAACCTTTTTGCCGTTTCGTTATCTGCTATGTGGGTTTTTGCGGTCGATTAAATTATGGTGTATTAGGCGGGCTCACTTCCTCCGCCTTCTACAAAAAGCATGCAATCAACTACTTAACGACACCGAAAACAAAGAAACACAAATAAAGCAATGAGAAACATTAATTTTTCAATGTCGTACTAGGGCCACCAGACCCGGTTTCTGTAAAGACCCATCACAATTTGTTCTATTTACTTGACAGGCCTTGGCCAGCCCTGTTATTAAGATCTCATTTTTTGCTCACCACAATCTTGAGAACCGGGTATGGAAATCTTTTATGATCAACCTAGCCCCGTAACTGGAACAAAATTGTAAGGTCATTCTTCGTTCATCTCTGCGCTGCTTCCTTAAGAAAAGTACCAGGGCTGAAATATCCCATACGAACAGAGGACAATTTTGTCCCGCTTATTGGCCAGGACTCTCGTGTACACGCGTTTCATTTTAATGATCTTTGGTCAGTGCTTGAACTACTGTCCTTTCCAAAAATAGGGAACTTTTGGGCTGTCTGTCTCTTTCCCGTTAAGTCCAACCCTTTAGGGAATTACCCTACACACTAGCTCGCATGAACCTTGATCTCCACAGCAATTGGTATCACGCACTAAAACGTGGACTACAGTCATGGAGCTTAGAGCTGTAGTGGCTTCCGGCAATGAGAAGACCTTTCTGTGGTTACGCAACTGTTCACTAAGTCAATATTCCTAATGAGCTCTATTAACTTTTACGAATAAGAGTTTACAGAAGTAAGAATTCTAGCCATGTCGTCTTTCGAACTCTTATCTAACTTTTCTCATATTTTAGACTTTGAATTATGTGGAAATTCACTATTGTTTCAGAAAAAAACCCCTTTGGAACTTCGTGGTTCGCGATCATGTTTCATGTACGTGAAAGTTTTCGCTTCAATACACGTGATCAATATCTGCAGAAGTAAGCAATTCACCTCCACACAAGGAAGCATTTGTCATCTTCTAAATTGGGCCATATTGGGCCTGATAATTTGCGTAATTGTCCGCCCAACCCGAAATTTTTTAATTTAAACGTATCCTGTGAAGAAACAGGATCTTTCTCTTGGTGAAAAATATTTCTTTCCGTGTTTGGCGATTTATGTGGCAAACAGTTGCTAACATACATTGAAGATTACGTAATTACTTATTCACAATTTCGATTCATAAATAAACATAGATTTACCGTTGAAAAGAATTTATTTTCGTTGCATTACCTCTACGGTATGCATACAAGCATCCTTTCTGCTTAAACTATAAATTTACACTTACTAACGTGTTATAAACAACAATCTTTACAACTTCTTGCGAAACTTTGTACCGCAACTTCTCTGTACATTCTTGTCCGACAAATACACTCAAAATTTTTGTAGTAATACTACATTACAATATTCAAGAGCATCTTTGGAGTTAGAATTTTACAAAAACTCATCAAGTTCTTTTTCAATATTAAACAAAATCAATTTAATCGTTGGCAACCTCGCAAAAAAATCAGGAAGTTTGCTCAGGAGCGCCTAGAAAATTAGCACAATAATCGAGTTAAATCTTTCACGATTTGGCGCACCTTTCGAGCGTGTAAAAACGCCCGTTTATTTCTAGTTCAGTTTCAAATCAAAAGCATCGCACCTCCTCTTCATAACGAGCCGTAAGATTTCTAGCCATAGTTGTATACTGCACAAATGTTTGGAACAACTCCGACAGTTTTTGGTGTAGTTTCGGGTCTGGAAGCTCGAAATTCCGCGAGCCTGACAGCAACTCAGTGCGAAGTTTCTCGAGCAAAACGAAAACATCGAGTAGAGTTTTAGCTTGTTCGTCAAATTGAGGCATCTGCTCGTTCACACTGTAGTCTTCGAGGAGACGAGGGAACAAAACGGACTTTTCCATAGATTCCACTTCGTCAGCAAACCTCTTAATAGCTTCCACGAGGCAGTTTTCGGGGTCCAATGTGGTCTTGGCTTTGAATTCCTTGAAAGAAGGCAGCTCATGGTTAGGACCAAGGTTTTGCGCTGATGTTTTGATGTACCTTGCCAGCAAAGTAAGCTGATTTAACCGTTGGCAAGAGTCTTGGATTTCTCTCTCAAGGGGAATCATGTTCGCATCGTTTTCAGTCGGCGGACTGTATCCCAGTGACAGCTTAATTTTCAAAGCTTTAACCATGAAGTAGAAAGCTCTCATGTTCATGTTATTTTGAAGATAGGAGTCTTTCCCGCTCGTCGGCATTAACTCTTTCACAGGCAAATCTATCAACTTCATAGGGATGAGTACGGTGTTATCCATTCTGTCGACTGTCTTCACAAACTGCTCCATGACAGCCACGAAAGAGTTATCCACGGTTTTCAAACGCCTTGAAGATTCCATTTTCTTCCTTCGACGGAACTACTGAAACTGACAGCTGCGAACGGATGGGCTCCAAATTTTTCCTGTTGTCAAACTAGTGTATCAGCAACAGCGGAAAGTTTCTGTTCGCCTCTCTGAAGTTACAAATAAATGTCAGTCAGGTCTAACGCTTTCGTTCTTCCGGACAATTCGTCTATAACCCTGAAACGATGGCGATCTAATTGTTTTATGGTTTCAAGCAACGTGACACAGTTTTCCTGCCCGCGTGTGGCGTGAAGGTTTGTTATTGTTTTGCGATGTCTGTTCACGTGCTGTCCACATGAAATCGCCGTGGGCTCATTCGCAGTCAACAGACTAAACGTGCTTAAATTTCCGTCCTCGTGTAGTCAAAATACAACTTTTCGAATTCTGCAGTCTTTTGATTCGTTCACTTAAGTTTTAAACGGCTATCAAAGCAGTAATTTCACATTCAGATAAAAAAAGAAATTACGTGTTATGAATTTGAACTGCGTTGTGCTCAAAACCACCTGATGTTGCAACTCAATTTTGATTGGCTATTAAGACAATAAGAAGGGGTGTGTTAAGGGCGTGAAGGTGGCGTGTTCTGTCACGCCAGCCATCTGTTTTTTATTTGTCAAATCATAAATTCTTAATTAATTACGGAATAAAATCTCGTGAGATTGGACTTTCTTATGTCTTTTACTTCAATATTATTTTCTGGTTTCAGGAAGACGCTACTTATTACAGTGCCAACTAAATCATCTTAATTTAGGCGAAAATAATATTGAAACGACCAGCTCTCTACGTAATCTTCATTCACCTTCTTTCGGTTTTCTTTGCTTGAAGACGATCGATCTTTCCTTTCCAAGCACTTCCAAATTAGTCCTCAGCGATTTTAGTACCTAAATCCCTCTGAAAAGCTACAAATATGACCAGAATTCTTGATGTTGATTTCCGTGCAGATATGCATGTATTATTTTGACGTTTCCAGCCTAAGTTTTCGGCCAATTGTAAGCCAGCAAAGTAGACTAACACAAAATACATGAATACATAACTTAATCTTTGCTTATGTAAGCAACACCGCTTTGTATGACTCCTAATGAAAAATGTACATACATTATTGTGAAAGTCAAACAAAAGTGCGAAATCTGCGAAATCTCTTTGCGAACTCTTTAAAGCATTTCCTGATCACATGTTAACTTAATTTACATATATTTTTTTTGCGTGATGCATGACAGTCTTTTGATTTTATAATTTTCATTTGAATACCAAATATCAACTTTTCTTTTATCCTCTCACTCGTACAGCCGCCGTGCAGACTAAAAATTTATTTGTTGCGTGATATTCTTTGAAACTTTCTTCCTTCAAAGTAGCTGCAAACAACACATGATGAGATAATGAATTCTCCTCTGCTTGTCTACACCAAAAATAGTCTCGGAAGTCTAAATCTAACTAAACCTTCTAAATCTGTCCAGATGCAGGAGACATGTTTAGACGTAGTGATGAAAACGAGTATAAACGATAGCTATGATGAATTAAAAAATTAAAGCTGAAGGAGTTTGAAGATATTTTTAGGGCATTCCAAACAATTCTTTGGTCAACAGGCACATGTTTCTTGCATGTGATAAGAAATAGGGTACGAAAGTCCAATCACACCATCACTTCCTCGGTTTTGTCTAAAACAGCACAAACGTAAGTCAAACTAAACACACTCTTTTTTCACGTGTGATCTCGTTCACTCGGACTAATCTCCTGGAGGCTTAGTATTAGCCGTTGGACTCAAGAGCCAACGTGACCGGCGGACAAAAGGAGGGTCTTCATCGAAGCATCTAGCGCGCATGTTGGCACGTCCTCCACGAATTTGACTCGAATATCATCTCACCTGCCCTTTGTTCGCGGCTAAGCAAGGAACCTCGGTAAGCAGTACGCTTAATTTCTATCCATTGATTTCTGGGCTGAATTTTATACCAGTTATTCTAAGCTATCTGGTTAGAGATTGGACGGGTTTAAAAAAGAAAAAAAAACTCCCTAATTTGATTGCTTGAGCAATATTTCCTGAATGATTGATGGTAGTATTTTCATTTTCGTATGACTGACCGCACTTTTGAGTGCAACAAAGAAACACGCTCTGCGGTCAGATAAATTAAGCGTTTGCTCTGAACCCACACTTTAACACAGAGGTGATGGTGTGTTTGGAAAATAATCTTGTAGAAATGTTCCTTTTATTTTTGATCATGTTCTTACTTTCTTGAAATGAGCACTTAAAATTTCTGTTTCTGAAGTTTCTCGAAGCACTTCGATATTGCCTATGTTTATTTACATTTGTTTCACGTGCCAGGCTACTTCGTGTAAAAATTTTCACGTTTTGTGACTCCTTTGAGCGAGTCAAACTAATGAGTGACCCGGCAGTGAACACAACTGAGCAAGTTTCCTTCTTTCTTAGATCCCAATATATTGACCTTACTGCCTTTTATAACACTACTTTATCGATTTTGGTTGAAGCAAAGTCTGTGGAAACAGGAGTGAATACAATTGTTTTGATTTACAGATATTTTTCTTGCTAATCGCTTTGAAAAGTAAACCAGTGATTGAATGTTCTTTTAACCCTCCGCAAAACTGAAAAGAGTTCGTTGAAGGCTTGAAAGTTATGTTTAAATTAATTTAACAAATAGATTCCAAGTTGCCGTGCGTCTGTTCAATAATAGATCACAGATGACGTCAAAATGTGGTAAGAACAAAAAAGTAGCACGCGAGGCGCAGCCGAGTGTCGCTGATGTTCTTACCACATTTTGACGTCCTCTGTGATCTATTACTGAACAGACGCACGACAACTTGGAATCTATTTGTTTTATATAATAAAGAATTGAATATACGGAAAAAAGTTTTTTAATGACGACGTCATCTATACTTCTGTCCTCCAATAGATCATAAGTGAGAACCAATCAGAATGCGTACATAACTTACTATATAAATAACCCTGGATTGAAAAGAGACTTACACAAATGCCGACTGCAGATAACATATTTGTCATTTTAACATTCAGTTGTGTAGCCTGCAGTGCAGGCGTCTCATTATTGCGGCAAACTAACGTCATAAGCTAGCGAGAAGCCCTCTTTTGTACGTAGTAAACCTAGAAATGGATAACTCGCTAAAATGGGTTCTTCTCAACACAGTAAGCGGTTAGATAACAAGCGGTATATTGTGGATGTAAGGTAAAGTATTTTTGTTGAGGATTTGACCGTATCTTTTTTATACCTAAGAGCGGTCGTAAATATTCCCATACAAACTCTTAAAACTTCGCCATGACTCTTTTTTCGCAAGATAACCACCTCACAGCTGCTGGAGCTTGGGCCACCTGTGATCCGATCAGCCATGTTTGATTTGGAGTTAGTGTGGACGGTGGGGGTAGGGGGCGGGGGAGGGGTGAAAAGGCCACCTGGTGTTTTGTTTTTCATCAGCCTCTTCGGGCACCTGATTAATCACCACTTCTCCGACCCCTAAGCACGGCCTGTAACGCATAACATCACACTCTTGTCACGCAACGCATCAAACAAATAATTTGCTACATGTTCCAGTCTATGGTACCTTTCAATTTATTTGAGGACTGCTTTTTATGGTAGAATTAAAAAGATATTCACCCTTACGTTTGCAGTCTTCAATAGCTTATTAAATTATGATTATAAAACATATGAAACAGCAATTTTATTAGTAATCTACATTACTTTCATCTTCCATTCCGATTTGTAACCTATATAAACTTTCTAAAATTTATTAAAATTTGTAAAAGATTTATAGACTGTTTTGATAATTTTATCGGTCCGTTATCTGAATCAATTTCATAGTTTTTAAGGGATCAACACTTATTTCCCGTAGAGATCCAAGGGGTTTGCACAATGTCATGACCATATAAGCACCAATATTGGTCTAATATTACAAATCCTTCTGATTAGGGTTCTGGATAACAATCAACGAATAATCCCCGGACGGAGCTACCATGATCTCATACTTTCGTGAACGCACGCGAAGAAATTTAAGATCGTTAAGCGGGTCGAGATCTCGAACACAACTTCGCGCCAAACTCGTTAAGTGCTGAAAATTGCTCGCGTAAAGCTGTGTAGTTGCGTTATCCATCGTGGACTTAATTGCAAGGCCTTGTGGGTTCAGCACAATCAGACCGAGGACACCTGGGTGTGAGTTGATGCGTTTCAAAGTATCTTCTACATCTCCTGATGGTGCGGGTTCCATTTCTGTGTCAGAAATCTTAGAAACTATAAGGGTAAAGAGAAATGTTTAATAGTACAAAAAGGGAAAAAAAGAGGCATTAAAAGGAGCAAATTAAAAAGTGTCGTCTGTCGAAACAAGCCTTAGAGCCCACTCCTTCCCTCTTTCACTGTCCTTCTACAGTACCTTATTAAGGGGAATGCCCCGCCCTAAAGGGATCCGTCTACGGTATGTAGGAATATCATAGCTTAGAGATTCCATGAGTTCAGGTATGGAAAGGATGGAGTCTGTTAGTATAGCAACTGGCCGAAGAATTTGAATGACTGAGGTTTGAATTCTTTCAAAGGATTCAGAGTTCATTTTTACCCCTCCTCTTGACAAATGGTTGGCACCTTTACCTGTAAATAATAACATAATTGAAAGGTTCTAAAGGTACACAGCTCGCAAGGCAATCGATACTTTTTATCCTTTTTTGTTGCTCTTCTAAAGATTATTAAATCATCTATTTTCTAAGCATATTTCATGGAGCTTACGTGAGTGTAAGACCAAGAAGAAACGCGAATCACACTTTCCTTCTTTTACACGTGACACCCCTCACGCTGATCTGGCGTCTGCCCTCACTCAAAGGGGAAAAAGGGAGAAAAAACTTGGTCTGCAGGCTTAATGGTAGTAGCAGGCTACTCTTGAAAGGAGCTCTTATACTATAATTAAGTCCAGCAGATATGGGCTTCAATCAATTGGAGGTATACCAAAGTTGGTTAAAGGTGGTGGATACAATATGAAAGGCTGGGGGGTGGGGTTTGTAATATAGGTCAGAACATCCCTTCACACTCAGTATCCGCCCCCTCCTCTCTAATCCCTCTTGATGCATTTCAAATGTTTTTGATGTCTTCGTCGCTGATTATTTTCATGAAAATCTCAATCACCCATTAATTTCTTTTTGTAGAACGTTTAGCCACGCTCAAAGAATTGCGTTACACTTCAAAGATTGCGTTACCTGGTGTGGGAAAACATTCAGGTGTTGAGATTCACCTCATATGTGACGCTAAAATTTCCTCACTGGGTTAATTTCGAAGAACAGAATATTACCTATTTAAAAATAAACTTCTATTTTTTCCGAAAAAAGATTCCGATAAATATACATCCTCTTCTTTCAATGAAAAAGCGACGTTCCCTTTACCGTATTCTAGTAGATAACTTGCTTCGACTAGTTTCAGTTACATCGGCCAAAAGTGTTGTGTTGCCTTCAAATTCAGGAAAATAAAATTGTAAATTAATAACGGGGGTAATATAATTATAACAATGGCGACTTCGTCATCTGAAGTGACCTCAGATTGTCTGAAAATTTTATTCGATTTGATCAGAAAAAAACCTATTTTAGCGACTTAGGCGAAATACATCGCTCTGAAAATGAACTTACGTTTTCGAATTCAAAGCTGAAACATGAACATATCAGGTAAATGCAGTCAACAGAAAACATAATTCAAAAGATACTCATCAAAAGAATCATTGAGACGAAGTCGTGGCTGGATCGCCACTATGAATTGGAAGGAACTGTTCGTATTGTTTTGCTGTTGTTACGACATTTCAATGCATTTCAAAGCAAGGTTAGCAAATCTGATGAGTTTCGGTTTTCAATAGCCTGAAAGATCAACTTCATGGCAATTAAATAATCCTGTAACTCCTTCGTGAATCAAAAACTCAAAGCCACAGCGATTTAGTTATGTTTTACAAAGCTCACGAAATATTGACAGAAGGATTTTAAGATCTCTACATTGGAATACGACACTCCTTATGGTTTAAAACACAATTTAGTCATTTAACCTCGTCGAAAACTGTAGTGTATGTTTGTTACCAGAAACAGGAATTTTCTTATATACTTACGAAGCAAGCTCCTCGTCGGCTGGGAAAGCGTTCACAGGTTATCTCGATCGATCGAAGCCAGCGATGTTAAACAACCTTGGATCCCAAAGTCAAATATACGCGAAAGTGATTCAGTTTGAAGAATATGTTTGGTTTTCAAACGTTGTTTACAGTGTTCCTTCGATACGACGGAAACACGTTTTGACATTTGTGGAATGCATAGGACACTAGCGGTTTCAATAGATAATTATTGTTCATATTTGTAAATTCCATTTGACACTAAAGGATGCGGATTATTGGCTATTTCATCAGGAAAAAATTAGTCACTATCTTATATTAACTATTCAATTAGAATAAGTCACGCCATGCTATTTTTTTAACCGTCTTAAATAATGCTTTTCCGCAGATAAGCCTTATTTCATAACTCAAATATTTTGAGGCAATTACAAAGTATATTGGATGACGACGTTTGCCGTGAATGAAATTACCATAATTAAATTTTTCACGGTTATGATGTAGATGCAAGAGGAGGGGGGAGGGGGCGGGCTTGGGAGTGGGGAGAGGCAAGAAGGTATTATAATATAATAAGCGGTTACCAACGAAACCATACTTCTTCCATGCGAAACCACAAAACACAAACTAATGTATTCACGAAGTCGGATCACACTTCTATCACAATTCTTACGGCAGCTTTAAACAGCACACGATCGAAGAAGATCGCGGGGTTGCGAAAAGAAATTAGCCTCTCCCTCCCTCCCTCGCCTACCTATCCCCCTCCTCGACAGGTATCACAAACGAATTCATATCGACAGGCAATAGAGCCTGAGGTCATTATTTGGGGTAAGTACGTCATGTATGGGGAATTATTATCTCCAATACATATTATGTCTTATACTTTTCAAACATACAATGTCCTATACTTTACATATAATAATCCCCCATATGCAATTTCCCATGCATGACCTACTCAAGTTATTTGGCGACCATATAACTGAGAAGGAGCTCAAATGACCCTGAGCAAGATTTTCTCACCACCAGTCCCCGACGCGTTTTCCTTTGGAATGCAACAGAAAAATGAAAATAGAAAACTGTGTCCGAAAGGAAGAGCCGAAAAGCCATTTTTTTTTAACGAACGTGGAGACTTAACAAAGCAGATATTTTGTTGACGATGAAATCTAATGTGGATTTCTTGATAAGTGGGCCTATCCGGATGGACTGGTGTTAATTTCAACTCATGTATGTGCGTAAGTATTGAAATGTAATGTCAGGATTCGTTATGCAAATTTCGTGCCGTTAGCACGGCCTAAGGAGTGTACGTTTTGAAAACTCAACACTTCAACTTTGTGAAATTCCCTTGAAAATAAAAAACGGACACTGCAATACCACCAAAATGTCGTCTAGACTTGTCTTTATTATTTACACATAAAAATATAAGCAACCACTGACATGCTTCTTTACATAATACCTCACAAATTTGTTCTGCAGTTCTGTCAAACCGTACAAGAAACATGAAATTTTAACACACTATCTCACTTGGGACAGTCGTACGTCTGTCGACACAGGACTCAACTATCTAAAGTCCTAATATAAGACCAAACATTGCTTGCAGAATTCGTCTCAAAACAATATAAAATACTACGTAACAATTTACAAAATAGAAAATCAATTATTCGCCTGCTAGGTCGGTCAAAGAAGAAATGATTTCGTTGCCCCAGTAATCGATGATTTTTTTTCCTAATTCTATCAGTTTGGAAAAAAGACAAATATGTTTTCCTAGTTTGTTTATTTTTCAATTAGATGAAACATCCTCTCCCGTAGATAACCTACAGGTATCAGTCAACAAAGATCAATAATGAAGAATACCAACTGACTGATAAAGAGCTTTTCGATTAAGTGTCGTAAAACCAACGTAATTACAACGGCCAATCAGAAGAAAGAAAGTTACACTGAAGAGCCAATGAGAACAAGCTAACCATCGAAATGGCGGGAAAACGCGGCGACCAAATCGTGTTTAGTGTTCGTTTCTCATCTAATTGGTTATGAAAGTGGCACGAGTTTTCTAGATCAATTGCAAAGCAAAGTGAAATAAAACCCAATGCAACCCCGGAGTACTTTCGACACTCAATTGAAAATTACTCTAAGAGAACTCAATCAAACTCGAGCCCTACTGTTGCGCGAGTATCGAATTTTTTGATCGGTTTAGTCGATCAGTATTAATCAGTTAGTTATGAATGTTTGTTATAAATAGGACTGTGGAGATAATTGTTCATAAGCCGAAGAGATATGAACACCTTCATGTTCTGCAGAGATTAATTTAAACTTTCTTCGACGTATTATTTACGCGAACTATTTTAAATTACTATGCAATCTACCACATTACAACATCATGGAAAAAGAATCGCAGTTCACCATCCACTAAGAATACCTGGTGAAAAAAAAACACAGTTTCCCCGCACTGTGAAAAATTCTATTACTATAATGATGCTTTCTACTGTGTGACATGAAAATAATTTTGCTTAACGCGAACCAACCAGTTCAAAAAATTATCATAAATTATTCGATGAACAACGCGGTTTTGTCGAACGCAAACTATATTCGAGAATTCTCTCATAATAAAGCATTTACATCCTAGCCTGCGTGTAGCCCTACCCTCCCTCCCAAGAAGAAATGGAAGGGTTCCGTTTCTCCTTAAGGGGAGAAGGGAGGAGGGTATGACAACACATAGGCTATTAAATCCACATTGACAGCCTCTACCTGATTCACTACAATGGAAATCGTCCTTGTAAAAAAATCTCACGCGACAGGTTTGCGTGTAAGGTGACGGTCTCGCGTCACGCGTGACAGTAGTTCCTGTCTAAATTGCCTTACCAAACGCTAGTTTATACCTAAACCTAGCGCTACAGTCTATTTCAAACTTGTCTATTAATTGTCATTTAAAAAAACTACGACACAATTCAATTACGAAACTAAGCAGTGAGGTGTCTACATATTATACGCCACGTAGATAGGATCCAACTGGTCCCCCAGGAACCCGTCCCTCAGATGCATCCGTTGTTTCTCTCCGCGAGAATTGATCGGGACTACACCAGGGTCAACCACTACCACCACCCCTACGACAAGTTGCTGTTCATTCAGTACGGATGTCGTCACCAGCGGAACCACGTCAAGTGCCTCGCGTTCATCTGCATCAAGCTCCACTGCTACCACAAGTAGGTTTGTCATCGTGAAGACCGCACTAGGGAGGGGAGGGTAAAAGAAAAATAAATAAACGAAATAAAAGAAAAAATGTGATGGCCAAAAAGTCATTATTTTATACCCAACGGCCCGCAACTAAGGTGACTTTTTCCATTTTATCTGCAACGAAGCGATGGATAAATGCAACAGGAGACAAGACACTCAAGTGCGAGGATATCACACTAACCTTTCACAGATTGAGCGATGACATCTCGTCACTGTGTTCTCGATATCTACCGGGTGATACCTCATACCACGCAATATCATGGTTTCTTCAAGAGGGCCAACCACAAATAACGCGTCATGCCGGGCTGTTGAAAAATAAAAGCAACAAAAACATTTAAGCGACAGAAATTACAAAAAAGCGGTTACATTTCAACTTAGCTGTTTAGCGTCTGCGCAAGTAATATCCCGCCGAAGTCATTAAGTGACGCCGTTTTAAACCGTTTACTTTTTTTGCGATAAAGCTCAAAACAGATTGTCAAGTCAACAGGATAACCACAGCTAAATTAACTGAACTTCGTGTTCGAACGTTTCAATTGTTTGCATATTGCGCGGTCGTTCCTTTGGTTCTCCTATGAAATTTGAACAGGAAAATTGGCGCGCGACTGGCCAAACTCAAACCAACTGCACATGCGCAACGGGATCAATAACTAACAAAGAAATGTGTAACATCTACATGGGAATAAAACTACTCAGATGTTAAGAGTGAAAGGATGGTAACCGTTAAAAAAATTATTTAAGTAGAAGCTAGCCGCGTTCAATAATGTTTAGGGCATTTTATAGCATTGAATATGAAAATTGCTGCAACGACTAGTTGAAACATTCCAATTTTAAGTACGTCAAGCATATCAGACTGGACTACGAGCAGTCCCTGCTTTTCGGTGAAGTCCATCGTGCGAGTCAATAACAGTCAGTGAAAAAAAAATAGATGTCAGCACGCCACGCAGAACCGTGGATGTAAAGCGCATGAAAAGTAGGCGCCTCTCTCCTTGAACTCCATGTGGTGCGCTAAAATGGAATCTTTTTTGACTAGCGCGACGGACTTTGCTGATAAGGAGAGACTGCTCGTAGTCTAATTTCAGACTGCAGCAAATTGCACAACAAGGAAAACTGCTTTGTAGAACCACTTTGAGAGCTTTTTGTTTGAAAGTGCAAAGTTTATCTTAAAGTTCCTAAAGCTTAATCATACATGCATTGTATCATCCCACCTCCATCTGTCTGCGTGAAATCTGTTCTCTTGATAAATCCCAGGTATCCCGTTCGCGCGTACGGGACTGCAGTCTCCGTCGTGCTTCCTGTTGTCAACTTAACGTTGAAGCGGTCATCTGTTAGCGTATCCTCTCCTGTCATGAAGTAACCGCTGCCATTATGCGGGCTAGTGACCCAGATCTACAACATTATAACAAATGACTTGTAATTAGTGCTGATTAGTGGGAATTACTGACATAATTCGTGAATAACATACCTCTCCGAGATGCGAATCGGCGCACATGCCCTTAGTCTCTGGATTGGCGATCACTACTTTCACACCAGGCAAAATCTGAACACCAAAACCAAAACCAAAACAAAATTATTGTAAGAAAATAACAAGTGTCAAGACTACGAGCATTCGTTTATAATATCTTGCCAAGACTCACCTTTCCAGATTCCAATAAGCATAAACTGTGAGGACTTCCTCGTTCTACAAGAGTGACTCTACAAAAATAAGACAAGGCACGTGAAAATACGGTTACATTGCCAAAGTTCTCATGAAAAGAGATGCTTATCGTATGACCTGAAGAAATATGCGCTAATCTGTGAACTAATCTGGGGACTACGAGCTCATTATATCCGAATGAGATCAACCAATGCGCTATCAAAGCTAAAGCACTCACAACTGCCAATCATAACTACACTAAGCGCTATCGCTGTGTCTTACTCAGTCCGTGGCGCGAGTCAGCGAAAATAAATCGTGCACCGCAAACACCGAGGGCACGGTGCGCACGCTTCTCGCTTCCAGAGCTCGAGCGCTATTTTCGCTAATTTGTGCAAATGACTAAGCCGAGAAATCAGGACTGCTCGCTGTCTGACTCGCAAGAAGAAAAAAATTAATGTGAATACGTGTGAACGGTTTTTACGCGTGTAAAAAATGTGGGTGAATATGTCGCGTTTAGTTAAAGCTTTTTTCATTTGATTGTTTAGGAGAGAGGATCTGCTCTTAAAACGAATCACAGAACGAAATGGAACAAAACCAACACAATGCCGGGTGACTTCTGAGGCTCAATTGGATATCGTGTTACGACAATCAACAGATTCCTCATGAGTCTTTCTAGGAATCAGAATTTGATGACATAACACAATCAGACGTCTAAACAGAGTGACAGTATTATTGTTTTCATATCTCACCTGTCATTTCTTAGGGCTCTCGTGTCCACATACACGCTGGATGCCTCGGGCGTGGATGCACCCTGAAACAAAACGTGCACAAAGCGAGTGAGATAGAACATGCGTGCGTGTTGCATACGCAAGTACCTTAACCAACATGAGTGCGAGTCAACAAGGCGCGTGCCCGCTCTTACACCTTTCATTGCTTATAATGGACAAATTAGAGAATTCTCACCTGCGTGCAAATGGCAACATTAGTTCTGCATCCAAATGAAGTGCTTACTGCTCGAGCAGAAAGACCCAGACCAGAAAACAGAGTAGAAAATGCTGTGGTAAGGTTTATTCTGGGGCGTTCCTCAGCTACCACTACACAGTTACGTACACAGGTTAAATTGACACCCTTCGACTGTGAGAACAAATAGGCATAACATAACATTAACCCTTTTTGACATTTAGGAGTGACGAGCATCTAATCTCTCCTTACAGTATCACCCTTAAATCAAACATGGACGTTAACTTCAATAACGCTGACCAAAGCGGAATGCAGGGCGTTAAAGTTATTTTCTCACAAGCTTTTGTAGCCTTGTGATACAACATTAAATCTGTAGGCGGATAATCACGGTTTCTTCGTATTCTTCAGCTTCCACACTGGCGAAAAATTAATCTGATACCTTTCCTCGAAACATGTCTTCTTTCAAACAAAATATCCACAATACCTTGAGCGCCGGTATTGACTGCCCCAGTCCCTTGGTACACAAATCCATAACAGGGTAAGAACAGAACGTGTCGCGGACTGGGAAGGAAAACAAAAACACAGTCAGCAAAACTTTTTTCGTTGGGTTTGGAAGGAGAATCATTCATAACAGGGAACAGAACTCACCTTTATACTGACTAACTACAGATAACCAAAGAGCGGGATTCGTCTCCAGGTCTCCTGGAGGTATGAGGATTGTGTGATGTCCAGAATAGACACTACAAATTGAATTGAAAGAATTGTCACTAAATGAACTGAAAAGAAAACAGCAAAGGATGGATAAACAATAAGTCAAATCTACATTTGCCGTATTTCCACAGGAATAATAGAAAATTCTCAGTATTTTGGTAATTATTTACCCAGTTAAACACCAGAGTAGAAATCCTAAACCACAGTAAGGGTCGAGACAAACCGCGATGTCACGAGAAGGATACAGCTCACACGCTAACTTCATAGAGCGACACAATGCAGTCACTGCTGCGTGTGACATCTGTGAAGAAAAGAATAAAGAAAATTGGTAACCTTGCGTAACACACGAAAGTTCCAATTTTATTTGTAATGTAAAGTGTACACTACTATTGCGTGACCATTTGGTAACCAAAGACGTTCCAAAAAATTGGAGGAAACCTAAAATAACATTTCGTTAAGAGGAAACAAACACCTGAGGTGGTAAGAACCCAAAATAAGAACAAGGATGGGTTGATAAAAATTGAAGGAATTACTATAACTATGAACAAAAGTTTTTTTCTACCCCTTAAACTACTGAGATTTAAATAAATTCCCCTTTCTAGCTGTTATTCATTTCTGTTCAAACCAGCTTAGAGAATTTAGTGTTGTATCAACAAAATATCTCCTATTGATAAATTTATCTTTTCTCAGTACAAGTTTGCTTGATAATGCACTAACGTTGTTAAAGTTACATGTTCATCGCTTCTGAAAGTTAAACAGGCTGAGGGTAATCATAGAGGGGTTATTTTCAAATTTCTATATTACTCTACCAACATGGAAGGACGGACCCCCTCCCTCCCCTCCCTGCACAACACCTCAAGGCCTGAAGTAAGACCAGAACATGCTAAGCGTCCATCTACTCTAACCTTCACTCCAGACAGCATTCCGGTAGTAGAGACGCTAAAATCGAGATAAGCGATCATTTCCGGTGTAGGAGCTCTGTACGGATTGGTCAGCTTCTTCTTAGGGGCATCATCGACTTCCACCACAGTGGGCCATGATTTTATGTCTACTACGCCAACAGCTTCTTTGGACCTCAACGCCTTAGCTATGTTGTGAGTTGTTAGCACTGCACGTGATTTGCTGACGTCAATGACCATTTTGACGGTGGGGAGGGTAGAGGAGATGTTGTTTGCGTGAGGGGGACGGACGGGAACTGGAATGAGACCTAAGAGATGAAAGAGGGAGGAATTAACAAAACCCACCGGGCCACATCATAACAAAATATTCTGGAACGAGTTCCATAAAAAACCAAAACAAAACCAAAGTAATTCTTAACATATGAAATACTGCAAGAGGCCGATGAAAATTCAAGCACGGAAACAAAGGTGACCAAGTGGCCTATGGTTTTTCGTTTGATTGGTTGAGACAACAGAAAAACCATTGCAATCTTGGATTACACCCGAAACTCAATTGAAAACGACTCCGAAACTGTTATCCCTTGAGCAGTTGTTATTTGGAAAGTCACACCCAAGAAAACTTATAAATAGTTTCTTCTTTCAACACATCCCATGATAGTTTCGCGTTCCTTAATTCTAACTCAAGTGTCAACCAAAGACTATCACATCATACCAGCATAGAGGCAAGCAAAGACTGCAACTATGAAGTCCACACCTAGAAAGAAGAGAAGACACAGCAGTCAGCAAAAAGGTTACGAAACCACATTAACCATTTCCTATCAACAGAAATGTGTCATGTTACCAGGGCTCCACTGAGAATACAGTATACCGCCTAGATTTGTGCCCGCATTTCAACTGTTCGCACATGCGGACGGTCGATGGAATGATCTCGTTATAAACCAAATTTTCTTGGGTTGGGTTGTTATTATTTATATACCATTTTTGATTGGTAAGGGGCTCAGCTGCGAGCGTTACGAGCTCCGTCATGATAGCATTTTTCATTAAGTTTGTCTCAGGTAACTGTTTGCTATCCTGTGTGCTTCACGTGCGGTAGGCTGAGCCAACACATCATTAATCTATTTGTAATCAGCATATACAACAAACCCCATAATGTAGTCGTTTGTGACAAGTGGAAATCGTTCCCAACGAGATGACGCAAAACAGAGGTTTTTGATGAAATGTAAGCTGTGAGATTCTAAACAAGAAAAGAGCGTAAAAACATACCAGGGGTGAAAAGAAGAGCTACGTTGTCACCAGAACTAAGACGACCTTGTTCCACGGCCATCTGAGCGACGCGTTCGGCTCGTTTATGAAGCTGAGTTGTTGTTAATAACGCTGATACAGTGCCCTAAAATAAAACCACACAAAGCACAACTGACGTTTTAGCGCAAATTATCAACCAAGTAAACCTAAGCAAATAAATAACCACAAACGTTGTTTCGCCTGTGGTCATGCGACTTTTCCCGCGCTTTTCTGTGACCTTAACAAGCTTTTTCCTCACGCGTGCAAACCTGCGCTTGGTTATTGTTTACTTAGATTCCCATCGATTCACCACACTGTTTACGCTAGCTCGCACCAAGCTTTCGCTGAGTTGGTTGACTTTCCATCAAAACCGCTCTAAAACATAGTTAATCACCTTTGCATTCATTAGTGTGAATAACACATGATCAGGCATGGTTTGTGCCCTCCACTTGAGAATCTCAGCCAGGAACTGATACTGCGGAACAAAACGTGAAATTACATTTCAAACATGTTTCGACATTACTCATGTCGTCTTCCGTTGAAAATTTAGGTTTGCTAACTTTTGGAATCCGATTCTCCCATTTAATTGACATTGCCAGGTGCCATAATGGACTCCTAACATTGCCTCTTTTATCTCTTATTTTTCATATTTGTAATAATACACTCCACTCAGCTACGCTACGCAAAGTTAGTCAGGTAGAGAGAGTATTTTGTTCACTCATGTCCAAGCTCACGCTCCCTCTGATCTAAAGAGTCATTCTCCGTTCTATGTCCTAAAACATCTCTTTGTTACTAGCTACAAGAACTTTTCAACTAACGACGATAACTCCCTCTGGCTGAAAAGTTTTACATGTTTCCCTTCATTGTTTTCACTTCACTTAAACCCACTGAGCTCTGTTAGCTACATCCCCCTCGTCCGTTCCCGTGAAAATCTCCTTGTGGCTCCGACGTAATCTGTCTCCCTTCAAATTACAAGTTGTTTAGGCAAGTCACACGACCTTGACCTGAAGGAGGCGTTAATAATCCTCATATGGAAAATACTTTCAGGTCACAGCTTAAGCTGCTTCAATGCTGCTCTAACAGAACCCAAAAGAGTGTTTGTACATTCAAGATGCAAGCGCTATGTGAGTTACGTTACCTTTCTCGCCATATCGCTGTCCTCCTCTATGTCTGCGATCTCTCGGCCAGCGGCCCCTCCGATTCTTGTCCCCATTACAATGTTACCGACCATGGTGGCAGCAGGACCAGGCTCTGAGGAAAAGAAACAAATTTAGCTCAACCCAGCCTTCAACTGAAGATAATGTTAAACAGTGAAGTCCTTATGATCTGCAGCGCTGTTCACCCCTAGAATATGACATGTTGTATTCATCCTTTCACACAAAGCTGTATTTCACCTATCACGCGGCAGTCCTTGAATATTCGTTTGTAACGTAGTACCTGTATTTTGCTTACATACGATGGCCCTTACAGTTCTGCTTTCCACACAAAGCTGTATTTTCAGCTGTATGATTGCTTACAATTTTGTTCATCACACAATCTCTGGATTTTTCTTTAATAAAAAGCCCTAACTTTAAACAGACGCTCAACGCTTGTCACGCGTAATGCAACATAAGCTGATTCTCACCAGGGTGTTTTTGCCTTGGCTGAGGTAGATTTGTGACGCATGTTTCGGGACACATCAAAATGTTCGCTGGGTGAAGAGAACCTTCCATAAACTTTTGTTTTGTCTCGTGTATATGAACAGCGCCGGAGCTTGTCTAAAGAAACAAACACAACTTGAGTATAACTTCAGGGCAAAGGTTTCACTCTTCATTAGATCTTCTTGTAGAAACTTGTTGATAAGGCGTTGAAAGTTATCTGGGACTGTCCATGTTTTGGCCGTTGTGATTTTTCGGGTTTCAGTTCACGACGCACAATCCAGATGCTTTCAGACACACACATTGTCCTTTGGTCGTACAAATTTGACCATTCAATACCGTAACAAGGCGAATTTCAAAAAAACTATTAATTGATATGAAAACCCACCTTAGGTAATCCATTAGGAGCCACGAGACATAAACAATAAATACCAACCTGAAACAGAAAAAAAATACTCCAATGTGAGTACAATTCCACAGAGAATTAGTACTTCACACACGACACACAACCTAAAGTATTGTGAGTCACGCCAATTGTATCACGGAGCACTATGGTACTTAGCCATATCAAAGAAGAGGGTTATGTACCACGGGGTAAAATATGAACCATTCATATGGCCAAAGGGGGTAAGTTTCTAAAGAAACCGTGGTGCTGCGTCGGCGGGAGAGTATAACAGTGTAATTTGGTATTATCAACTGAGTTGATAACGTAAATTGACCACTTCGTCAAAGCGAAACTGAAACTTCGCTCTGACGAGGGACTAACGCTCGAAACGTCAGCTTCGAAACTCTTCATGGCGGCCAATTTACGTTATCAACTCAGTTGATAATAACAAATTACCCCATTCATATGGCCAGATTGACATCCAAGATGGCGAATTGATGTAACGCAATCTTGAATGCCAATCTTGCCACATGATTGGTTCCTCTGTACCACGTGGTACGCAATCCCCTTCTCTCATTGGCTGAGAACCATACTACCCGCTTATACTGTTCACTAATACTACTCACAATTTTAAACACATTCTTATCGATTAAGTTCCGGAAAATTCACACCCTCTCGAGCAGATACTTACATTGTGAATACTGTCCACTGAGGGCAACACGTGACTCATCCATTGAAAGCTCTGTAAGAGAATTAACAGAAAAAAAATTCTTATCATACATTAGAAAAAGGGATAAGAACACACTTTGTAATATCAGAAAAATTGCTAAAAATCTCCAAAACTGAACTGGAACCTATGAAAATGTACAGAATATTTTTTACTCTCAAGTGAGCAATTTTCAAATGAGAATTGAAAGTAATCCGACATTGCATTGGTATTACTTCGTCGTGTTATGTCATTGTTCTATAAAATTCGCCTTGTCTCTCGACTAATCAAATGGGAAACAAAACCCAATCACGCTCACTAATGATTTTCTGCGCCTAAGGGAGTCAACTAGCTTTTTCTTTGAGTTCTGATGAGCTTCTCCTAATATGTTTTTACTTCTGATAGGCTTTTGCGATTGCTTTGATTTGTATTTTCCGATACTCCTTCGAAAAGCGCTCTATGTCAAAAATAATTCTCTCTGTTGTCATTCTCTGTTGGTTAGTTGTGAGAAGTTCGTGTTCCTCACAAATTTTATTCCCGTGTTGATTGTATTAATTCGCCTAACTAGTTGATGTGGCAGTGTCTTGTAATTGTACGGTCACACAGGGAAAGACTAATCCTTAAAGTCAAGGGTTTATTTCGCTTTCTCAATTACAATTACAGTTTGAACTCACCTCTTCTTCTGTGCACTGTGGTCGTTGTTCAGCCACTACCACAATTCTATCATCCTTTAGAATTGACAGTGAAAATATAGCTATCCTGCGAAAAAAAGTAACAAAAAGGATAATGAAACTTCTGTAAAGTTACTTTGACACTGTACATCACTGTTTGTGCATCTACAAAAATAGAGCCTAATCTTTTCCCATATCTAATGTTAGACACTATCTTTAATAGGTTTCATTCTTTGTATCGGTAATTTTCAATTACCCCACTCCTCCCCTTTAACAAAACCACAATTTCAGACTCGAAATATTCTAATCGACCAGTACTAACAATGTCATCACTACGCATGCGCTTCATGCTGAAGAAAACAAAATAAGCTCCAAAGATGTCTTCAATAAGGATCTATGAGCTGACTTTTTTCACACTAAAATTCAACCATGTAAGCAATTTTGAAATGTCAATATTTTTATTAATTGTCACCCACCTGCCTCTGTAGACAAATTTCACTGGATCGACAGCAAGGATTGTTGCCTTGAGATCATCAGAATTGTGTCGTCTTCCACTGACTTTAATCAAACCATCAGCTGTTCCACACACAAATACTAAACCACCCTACAGAGAAATTGCAAGGACTCAAACCTTCCTCTAACACTCTATCACACCAGGCAATAACAACCAAGAAAAAGAATGCAAGGTCAAGTTTTACTCCAGCCGATTATGTTCAGTTCACACCATCACAGTAAAAAGGTCAAATGTCGCATATGTTCAATCTAAAAATGCTTTGAGAAAGCACCTTTCATCACTGAAGGTGAAATGTGTGGCTCTTAGCGCACTTGCCATATAATAGTCTGTTAAATCCAACTAATCAAACTACTTTTTTTTCAAAGAGATTGCTCTCATGGATCAGAACTTTCTGGCAACACCAGTCAACTCATGCACCATTCTATTGGCATTTCATAAGAAAGATTCCGTCCAGTTACCATAGGCCAAAAAGGTGAAAGTCACCCATGAACACATGAGAATTTTGCATGCTCAGCTCTCAAAAAACTGCAGTTGACAGATGTGCAATTGCTCGAGGTGAACTTAGAGAAAACAAAGCATTAGCACTAAAATAAATATTTTCTTACTGGTCCTAAAAATCCAAGCAGTCCAGTTCTAACAAAGTCACTAAGTGGATACTGTTCAAATGGTGCACCATCATCTAAAGTTGGTTGAACCTGTTGATCAAAGCAAAAATCAGAATGCATTACATTAGAAAACACAATGTCTCTTTATATAAAACCTAGAAGTGATCAACATGTAACTTCTCCCTAAAGTATCCATACATTATCTGGCAAATGTGTAATGAGACTAATCAGACTTATCAGGTGGAAGTTGTTAACTTGATCTAACATCAAATTCGTGTAACTAATTTATTTGGAAATGTGTACCAGCTGAAGGGGAGAATTACCTATCAGGTCTTACAAGTTAAAGAGTTAATAATCATCATAGCTATCTTGCTACAATAAACAAAAAAGAACAAAGAAACAGTGAAACTTTTGCTTTTATTGCTATGATGGTGAGAGAATCTTCAAGATTTTTGGGAATAACTTGGTTTGCTTAGGAAATTCAGTCCTCTATGATTGAAGTCATTATGCGCAGCCATTTAAACTCACTTTTACCTTAAATGTGTGGTTTGTTTTTCCAGCTAGACCCCAGTATGCACTCCCTGTGGCTCCACTTGATATGCACAGTTCACCAACTTCATCACTCTTACACAAGTAAGGGGGTCCTTCAAGTTTCACCACTGCTATCTTGGCTGTAAGTTGAAAATGAATAAGTACAGTTAAATACAGTTTACTCATGCCACCAACAAATTGCAACTGATGATATGCTTGTGGTGGCCAGTGGTTCCTATCATGTGTGGGAGTTAATGGCTAGGGTTGTCAGCCTCGCGTGTGATTCACTCTCTTAGGGCTGGCTGGTCACAAAGGAGGAGGGAGGGGGGAGGGGGGGTCTCCAACATTCTTGCCCCCAACTTCCCTTTTTACCCACCAACTATACACATATTTATGCTGCCAAAAATCAGTTTAACAAAGAGCTAAACTACCTCGATATAATACAAAAAGGATCTAGGTTTACCTCCAGGCAACACTGTCCCACAATCCTGCAGGGTCAGTGATGTTAGAGATCCTTCTTTGTCAACTCTTACCACACCATAACTCAGTCCAGATAATGAAAGAACTCCACGCCCAGTTGCAGTAGTTCCTGGCTTGCCCGGTCTGAACATTGAATCGCAACATGTAACATGTTAAAGTGAATGTGGAATTTAAGGTAATACTTACAACGTCAGGTTTTGAGAATGACAATAAAAGAAAAAACAGCAGTAGAGATAATGCTTTGTGGGAAAGTTAATTACCTTCTTAAGGCAACTGTCATTGTTTCTGTTGAACTTGCACATGGACAGAGGGCCTCAGGTTTCAAACCTTTTGCTTCAAAGGCATTTACAAAAGAATCACAGGCTGACAAAGACCCTAGGAAGAAAAATAAATAAAGATGTCAGAAATGTACTCTGTGGTTTCTCAAGGCCCCCTTGCCATCTATTATAATATTGTTATTCATAAGTATTGTAAAATTATTAACCTTGTGATGTAAACCATCCATGATTTATAACTATCTTGTAATATTTCTACTACTATCTTTTTTATGAATGGCAAATAAAATTATTTTGTATTGTAGACTACATCCATATAGTAAGGCAAGTACTTTGTCCTCTGCAAAGCTTAAAATGAATAATTTGCTATCAAACTCTCTGACTGACCAGGTTCATAATCTTTCCAACTTTTCCAGGGCATTTCTATTTTTGACTAACAATAAAACAAGTTGGTGTCATACTGGGGAGAAAAGATTACTCTATCACAGTACATGAGCATCTGTGTTATTATAATCTCAGAAAAGAAATTTTCAGTCACCAAGGTTCCTTAACTTATCAGGCCTACAGAGTTTTTCGCAAACCCTGGTTAACTGGCAATAAACTTCATCCAACAAACTCAAGAGGAAAATAAGTGAGGCAAATGGACAATTTATTAGCTGGAGAAGATAATCTTGATATGATGCCAAATTCTCCTTAATAATTAACAAAAGAATGTATGACCACCAGAAGGGAGAAATACTGAACAGTACTTGGGAGTTGAATGTTAAGTTAGCTTCCCTAAAATCACTTACATGGATTCACTGCACCTGCCAGAAGTAAAAACCGAATGGTACCAAGATTGACATCTTTGATATCTTTGCTGGCATGAAGAGACCAGTGGAGATTCCTTGAACTGACCAAAGCACATGTTGCTAATGGAAAAAAAAATGGCAGAGATAATGTACTCATCTCACAACAACTGAGTGTTGAAAGTATCTGGGCTTGCTTTGGTTTTGCTTTACTTTCCCCTGTGATTGGTCCACTGTGCTTTCAAACATTTCATAACAATTTTCAATTGAGTGTTGAAAGTATTTAGGATTGCTTTGGTTTTGCTTTGGTTTTGCTTTATTTTCCTCTGTGATTGGTCCAAAAAACTTGCACCACTTTCTCAAACAATCAGATACAAAACTACAATCAATCTTGACTTGGTCTGCAACATTTTCCTCATATTTTGGGCAGTTTGGTTGTTTTTACGTTGAGTTCAAACTGGCTTTTAAGGGTATTTAACTTTTTTCTAATTGAATGTTATGATTACTTTCACAATCAAAGAATCATTTTTTAATAAGCAATTTCAGCATCAGGAAAGTAGTTGGAGAATTTAAGGTATTGTTGAAGCTTGCAGCAAGTTGGAGAATCATTTACCTCTGTGTTTTGTTACCATCTGCAGCCACATGTTTGGTGAATGATCTAGAACGGATGGTGGCACATAAATCACATGCATTCCATTCATAACACTCTGCAAAACAAAAAAAACAAAGATGATTTTTTTTAACAGGGTGAGAGAATTCCCTTATGTCTATCACAGTCCTATGAGGACTGTGACAATTACTTCTTGCAAAGCTTAAAATTGTAAAGACCCTTCTTCACATGAACAAAAAAGAGATTTTCTCCACCTACAGTGTAGCCCAGACCAGTACAAATGATGAAAAAACACTGAAACATGCTAAACCAAAAACCTAAAGAACTTCAAAGAACACACTCACTGTTAAAATGGAATGCCACAATCCAACTTCCCTCTTAGGGTCAAGAACACTGATCATTATCTCACCTAATTAAACAAAAATGATTAAATTAAAAAACAATTTCTTTTTTGGGAAGGGGAGGTTGAACAACTCATTATGTAAGTCTTTAACAATGGATCAAAATCCTGGATTTTGTAAAAAAAAAAATGAAGAAAAGAAAAGTGGACAAAGGCTTGTTTTCTGTTCAGTTATGCCAGGTTGAGTCTTCAGAGGTATTTTTTAAAACATGCATCCTAAATTACTTGCTAAATTGTGTTTGCAAATGTTGTTTGAAAGGGGTAAAACAATCCTGCCATCTGCATTCCAATAAAATAAATGTACTCAAAATTTGGTACCAGAAGGTCAACTTTTCAGAAAAGAACATATAGATATAAATCAGTGACTTTGAACTCAGCATCAAAAACTTGAGAACAAAACCTAACAAAGCCTTTCACTGCTCACCTTCCGTGTATGAACACGCCTGACTCAGGACCTGAGCATGTAGGTTCATACTCATCCGTGTCACAGTCACACCCATCACTGCCCCATCCTTTCCTACTGTGGACTGGTGACAAACAGAAAACTTGATTAAATTTCAAACTTCTCTAATGCAATTTAACATGTTCAAAATTCAGTTCAAAGATTATTTGCATAGTTTATTCCATTGCCCCAGTTTGAAATCAATTTTTGATCCTAACCTTTACCTACATGTACATTTGTTCCATCTCTACCAAAGAATTAGGCAGTTGAATTTAAAAAATTGATCTGTTCCTATGCCAGAGACTTCAAACTCAGGTGGTTGAAAAAACTCAAAGAATGAAAGGTCAGTTTAAATCCTGTTGAACACCTAGATCTTTTATATCCGGGTTCTTCCAACCCAAATCCAATTCAAGATTTGCACAGAGAAGGTCATTGCAGCATGATTTAATGACATCACAGCAGGTAAAACAAGTGATGGACTTCATGAACTACAATAGATCAACCACAGTGCTTGCAAACCTCAATGTATGCTGGAGAACTTCTGTCCAGATTGGAAGGTGGTTGCCAATCTTTAGGATGTCTGTTAAGGTTTGCAGTGACAAACCATTGTAACTTGGGCCAACCTAAAGAAAAATACTTGTCTATAAGAAAGCACTGCACATAAAAATATGAAAAATATGTACAGTGTGCAACTGCTGAAAGCAAACAAAGTTAATATTGAATCAATGAAGCAACCAGTCAAGAGGTAAGAAAATTGTACACAGGCTGTGAACACAGGCTAGGGTGAATGATTGGGCACTGTCATGAATAAGAAACCCAGGAATGAAACTGGGGATTTTAATAAAGAAGTAGCCAATAATTAAAAATTCATAATTCATAGGGACCTTATAAGCCCTTCACTGGTGAAAGTGAACTATTTAAATTGACCTTAAACACTTCCTTATTTCAAGATATAACACCTGTATTTCATTGAAAAGACTTGACACTTCTGGTTAAAGTCCCCTTCCCCAGCAGCACATGGTTCAAATTTCCCACCACCCAAGCATGGACAATGGTCAAATGCCTGTGGTTTGCCCAGGGGGGAAGGAGGAGGGGGGATGTTGAAGCTTCAAATTGATTGGTGCATTACAGTACCACTCACATGATCTGCAGCACCACCACATGCGTCAAGTTGCATAATTTGAGATAATTACACAAAGTCATGTTTCCAGCGTGAGTAGCTACACACAATTTCCAGTATCATTACATATAGCTTATTTAGACTGCCCCAGTGAATTGGAGATTAGTCAAAAACCAGTGAAATATTTCTTACCTTTAAATGTGCAAACATGTCCTGTGTCATCTTTAGGTAAACTCTTGAGACATGTTTCAGAAGTCAGGGCCCAGGAAACTCCACAACTTCCAAGAAGGAAGCCAATTTGCTGACAACCAGGATACTGTAAAAATAGGTTTCACATTTCACTCTGGGTCTTCAAAGTTAAGGATCATTAATGTACATGTACAAAGTATATGTTCACTTAGGTAGACAGGGTTTAAATTTAATGGCATGAAAAAAATTATACAGAAGAAAAACAAATGAGATATGGAATAACCAAGCAGTTGAAATTCTGACTCTGAATTTAAAGACCTCTTCACATTTTAGCCCAAGTTGGGTTATTTTGCTGTTTTGTTGGGCAAAATACTTAAGTCAAACAGTGCTTCCCTTCCCTTCACCTAGGTGTATAACTCTGGCAAGTCCTTTAGAGAAATTTGAATAATTATTTGTGGTTACATACAATACAATAGAGATACTGGCATTCAATTCAGAGGTAGTGTTTGAACTCTTAGCTTAGAATACTCATTTCCTGTAACAGAAATTTAAGTAAGTTTGAAAAAAATCTGCCACTTAGCTTTGGAGACTTTACTCAGTAGCAAAACCATATGATATAGGAAACTGATGCAGAAGAAAAACTTATTTTTCTAAGATGTACTCAGTACAAGTTCAGTGCTAAATAAAATGCACGCTAAAAACTGCCCATGTTAGTCAAGAAGTTTGGTTAAACACCAACTTGGAGAAGCTAAGATTTTAATTAGCACCACATTTGATTGAGTAAATACAATATTTTGAGACTTACATCTTTGCTTGCAGGTGGTTCAATAGGAACAGGTATGATACCAGCAATGAGACATCCATAAAAACTTGTTATGAAATTGATGGGGTCATCAGATTGATACACCAATGCAACCTGTATCAGGAAAAAAAAATTTTAAATGCTCATAACTGATTTTTTTCCTCTTTGATAACCAAGCTTAAAATTCAGGTCAATAGCATCTTTTTTTTTTTAATCTTTCTGACCAATGCTTTGGATATTGCTCATCCTTCCAGTATGGAGGACGAGCGGCTTTCATGTAAACAAGTATAATGGGTATCTACAGGACAAGGGACAATGTTCCAGATAGCATGCCATCATTCCCTTGTATTTAGAGTATGTTGCTCTAGATTAGAATCCCCGCTGCATTCATTAGAAAATGTAATGGATGTATGACATGATCTGAACTGAGTAGACTGCCAAGGTGAGCTACATATACGGTGTATGCTTGGGCAGCAAGCTTGGTGTATTGCTTTGCAACATGTCCTTCTAGGAGGGTCTGAGGGAATGCTCCCTGCAAAACTTTGATCTTTGAAACTCTTTGAGATCCAGCATTTGATGGTATGTTTGAGTAACTTTTGTTAGCAAGACATTGATTTGAGAATCACTTCAAAGATAGTTTTTTTTCTGTCTTTGATTGCAATTCATTAAGTGGCCTTGCAAAATGTTCTGAATTGCAGCAGGTTTCTGCCACCTACTGGCTTCTAATGACAAGACTGCACTGACTCTCAAATTGTTCTGCTTCCCACCATCAAAATGTATGATTCAGGAACATGGCATTAATATAGCGCATTACATATAAGTCTGCATCACACAACTGTAAACAATTACTGCACATTTTACAACAATGAATAATACAAGTTCTGAAAAAACTGCCAATAAATGTGAGTTCTTATTTCCACTTATTTATTCAAGTGTAGATCAAACAAACTCACCCTGTCTCCAGTCATAATTGATGTTCCCTCCTTGTGACTTCCAACTTTGTTCAATAAAGCATAGGCTAGCTTCATGGATCTTGACAGAAGTTTGCCTTAAAATCAAAGCCAAAATTAAAACACCACTTGAAAATTTCTTCAATAAGCCAGTGTGACATGCACTCACTTGTCCTCTCTTGCATTTCAACATTGCCGTAGCCTATCAACTAAGTGACGAGTAACAGGTACAGCTTTTCCTAACAATACCAGTATATGTACTTTATCCCATATATCTGCCATGAAAATCTAAACAAAATTTTCTTTTCTTTTACAAAGTGGATTCATATCAAGGTAACAAAAAGCACTAAGGAGGAAAAAAATAATAAATCAAAACTGGATAGTTGGGGGTTTAAAATGGTAGGAATGGTGGCTAAACTGAAAAAAAAATCATTGCTAGTATCGATATTGTACCACAGTAATGGTACTTGAGCTTGAATATACTGTTGTACACAAGTAGAGATTAAATTAACCAGTCATAATTTAAAAAAGTTTACAGTCACCAACCATATGTCAGAGTAACATTTGTTTTTCCATGGTTGTCCACGACAGAGAAGCATGAAGCTTTTGGAGACCTGGTGGCAAACTTGCTTAGAGCCTCCTCCAAGTTCTTGGGCAGCTCCTCAGGAACCTGTAACATCATGAAAACAAGAGAGGGTCAAACAATACCAACCACAGAACAATTCTATTATACATATAAATGTTTTTTTTACAGACAGAGGGTTCACAATAATTAATTGAAAATATTTGCTTGGAAGCTCAGAACTGGTCCAGCTTTTTATCATGAAGATCATGGTCTGTATTTTTTTTCACAGCAACATTGGTAGTAAAATGGGAAAAAAAACAAGTTATTTACCATTATAGGAAAAACTGTCTGGGAAAAAAACATGCTTGCAAAGAGGAACTTGGGCACAGTTTTTCCCATACAGCTGTGCACACCTCCAACTCAGAATATAACATATTTAGTTACCTGCAAAATTTCCCCAGTGACAGGTCGTAGGGTTTGTCCTTCAGGTCGAGGAGCATTTGGATCAGGTTTAGTTGCTGCAGAACAATAAAATCAGCTTAAGCAAAATGAACATTATTAGTACGTACTAAAACAGTTGATAGCATCAGAGGCACACTCTAAGTACACAATTGTAAATGGCCTATTTTGTCACCAATTGTAGATTCATGATAAAACGTTTCCTCTACAGATAAGATATGGATGGGGAGGTATGAGATGTAAAGTTTCATGTGGTTACCTTCTAGAAGTTCATCATCCTCTTCTTTGTAAAACTGTTCCAATGGTTTTCTTTTAGGCCTCTGAGACATTTAGAAAAACACATTTAAAAATAAAATGACCCAAAAATTAAGATGACCAATAAAACAACAACAACTAGAGCTAGTACACCTCTCATCTTAGAGTTTAGTGAATTGATCTGCTGAAAAAAGTGTATTTTTGTTACAAATGATTAACCCTTTTTCACCCCAACATCAGAGTGCATATTCTCCATACTGTTCTCTATACATTTGGAAAGGTGCTGACAAGGAGAAATTGCTTAACAATCAAGAGCTTCTGTAGTTGTTGATTATTTACATCATTCTCATGATTGTGCATGTAATGTTTGATTCAGGGGTGATGCTGTAAGGAGAAATTAGATGCTTGTCACTCCTATGGGTTAAAAGATTAAAGGGAGTAAGTTTCCAAAAAAACTGTGCTGTTGCATCTGCAAAGCTATTACACGATAATTTTTTTTTTTTATCACCTGAGTTGATAAATGTAGACTGGCCTACATACTGAGATACTAAAGCTGATGCTTCCAGTGTTAGCCCTTTACAATTGGCTCTCATGAAGGGCTTCAACTTCAAATGTCAACTTTAGAAACTCTTTACAGAGGCCAATTTACAATATCAACTCAGTTGATGAAACCAAATTATTTTCATTACATTTAACTGTACCTTTAGTGTATTGAGAAGTTGTTGAATTTTTGATGATACTCTACTACTTGACACTACAAAAGGAGGCAAATGAATCACTGTGATCTAAATTGTATTAACTGATTTAACTGTAACTAGAGCATGAACATGCATGTATGCTTAAATATCTTAAGTTGATTTGCTGCCAAAGAGTGAGCTTTTTGACTGCGCTGCTGTCATATTGTGATCCTGCCACATCGCCTCTCTGAGAAAGGGGGAGGGGTTACGGGGTTGTATTTGAGAGACTTGAGAAGCTCTGTATATGTATCTTGACTCTGAAAAGTCTGTGCTTACTGAATCTCACACATCATGTGCATGTTAATGCAACACTAACCTAACATCAGTATGCATATTCTCCATACTGTTCTCTATGCATTTCCTGGGGTGCTGACAAGGAGAATTTTGAGTATTGAATGAAAGATTTTACTTTAGGGTTGTTTAGCCAAACCAATTGAAAGTATTAATCAGCAAAGCCAAATTTAGAAAATTTCAACATAACATATTCAATGGGAACTCAGAAAAAGCCTAGGGAAAACTAAAGGGAAAGGTAAGGGCATTGTAAACATTTTTAGTTAGTTTTGTATCAGTTTGGTTGAGGGAATGGTGCAGAATTCTATACCAATCACCAAGGACAGTGACCAAAACCAATGCAAATATGAATAAAGGAAATGACTTTCTAAAGAAAAAGTGGTGTTGCTTTGGGGGGGACAGGGGGTATTGCAGCACCATTAAGACTTTCTATGGCTGTAAATTTATATTAATTTATCAGTTTAGTTGATAAAACCACATTACAATACAAATATGAATCTTTTAACCCTCATTTGAAAAAAAATTTTTTGTTGGTTCGATGAATCTCACCTGACACTTGTCCATCATCCTCTATTGTCCTCACTGATGACATATGCATCACTCGACTTCCTTTGGTATCAAATGGTCCTTGCCTTGTCAAGTCTGGGGGAGGGGTTACAGGAGGAAAACTGCTTGTGCTGTGACGGTGTTGTATGTACATGTCTGGGGGAGGGGACGGGAATTCCTCAGAGCCTGCTCGAGGTATAGAGGTACGAGAACTAACTGAGCCAGTGGGAGTGTACTCATTTGGGGCTTGGTTTCCAATAGAGTCTTGTGAAGATACAGAACCTAAAATTTAGATAGATGAAAAATCAATAGGGACCACTTGAACACCACGTAAAGTAAATTATGACATGACAAATTGGGAATGATACTTGTTGGTTAACACTTATCCCACAGAACATTTTAAAGCTTTCTCACAAGGAAAGTCAAGCCAAAACCACATGAACTCATCCCAGTTTCTCTAACATGAAGTGACACTCCCTTTACTGAACATGATAATTTTATAATCTCGGGTGAAGAGAGGCAGTGTGAAAGTGGTGTCCTGCTCAAGCACAACAATAAAACCAAGAATAAAACTAAAATTCTTCATCTAAAGTCCACTTCAAGAAAGACAGTGCTCATTGGAATAATACATGATGACAGTATTTTTTTTTACCCTTTAACCCCTAAGAGTGATTAGCAAGTAGTTTCTCCTATCAGTATTACCCCTTAAACAAACATTGAGGTCATGAGAATAAAGGAAATGATCACCAACTAACAAAGCTGTTGATTGTTAAACAAATTCTCTTTGTCAGTACCATAGGAAATGTATAGTGAATAGTATGGAGAAAGTGTATACTGATGTTAAGGTGTTAAGGGTTAATTAGAATAGGGCATAGCAAAGTGTAGCAGGGTACAACTTAGTCATTTGTTTAACAAGGACGCATACAAAGGGAGGCCCAACAAAGGGAGCAACATAACGAGACCAGAAGTATTGCTACTTCTTCTGAATGGTATGCTAATGTATTGCAGGTTTCTCAGAGCATTCTGTCAACTTTTTTGAATGTTCATCAGTAACCTTTTAAACTCTTGGGTGCACAGAGGCCCTGTGAGATTTAGTTACTTTGCTCAAAGATCACAATGCCATAACTAAGCAAGGACTTACAGTAACCTGTTACACCCTAACATCAGTATGTATATCCTCCATACTTTTCTCTATACATTACCTATGTAGTGCTATCAAGGATAATTTGTTTCACAATCAAGAGCTTCTGTAGTTGGTGATCATTTCCTTCATTCTCATGACCTTAATGTGTGATTAGGGGTGATATTGATGGGAGAAATTAGCTACATATGGTCACTCAAAAGGTTAACCAAACCATCTAATCTGGTCTCCAACATGCAAACTGCATTGTAAAAAGTCTCCATCTCTTGCATCAGTTTAACCTACAGTTCGTGTACATTAATGTACCTCTTAGAAGTTGCGGTTGTGTGCCATTTTCCACAGGCTTTCGCCTCATAAGTGACTGTCTTTTAAATGGTGCAGGCATCTCATCTTGCGTATTGAGTCTTTTTGCTAAGGCTGCCTGCAGAGCCTCTGACCTTTGCACTAAGATGACAATGAAATGTGTTATTTTTAAAACATGTTGAAAGATTTACCATGTTGTAAAGCCTCAATTTTGACACACAAAGCAGACATAGTCTGGAATCACTTTTTAGTTCATAAACTTTACAGAGATCTGAGCTCAACTACTCTGTGACCTAAAATCATCACATGGTCACCATAAATAAAATCTTAGTCAGTAGAAGTTACTCAAGGAAAGAAAATGTGACCAATATGACATTCTGTTTCATATAAATGTCAATCTTGCCTTCCCTTTAGAAGAAATATAATTTAAAATGTTACAGCTTGATACAAGACTATCAAACATACCTTTAGGTTTTCTAAATTGAAAACTGTTGTAGCAAATTTATTTCAAAATTCATTGCCAAAAGTTTTTTTCCTACTTGCCATGGCAACCAACCAAAACAGTCCCAGCTTAGAGCCACGATATATATATACATATATATAAGTGTGGGGGTAGAGTCTACCTTGGCATAAAGTGCTCAATGCTGTGGTAGCACAGCTGGGTATATATAAGTGAAAGAATCAAAGAGGAAGCATTGATTCTCTGTTACTCTGAGTTTCACGCCTAAGCGCTTGTCAGACAGAACTTTTCTCTAAAAAGATCTGTCTGACGAGCGCTTAGGCGCGAAACTCAGAGTAACAGAGAATTGATGTGTCCTCTTTGATTCTTTCACTTATATATATATATTTGGATTTGGCATGAAAAATTGACAATTTTTTGGACAATTTAAAAACAATTTTGTTATAAAATATCTATACTGAAAGTCACATAAGTAGCAAAGTAAACAAGCACTCTAAATCCAACAAAATTAAATGAATAAATACACAAAGATAAGAGTGTTTTAATATCTTCTACCAAAAAATCAAGACAATTTAACTCAACTGCAAAACAAAATCTTTCCAATCACATCTGAGTACCTTAAAAATATCATTTCATTGCCAATCTCAATATCAAATTTCACACACATGCCAAAAAAAACACCATACATGTAACTTCAAGGATTAAGCTCTGACTAGAGGTAAAATAGTAAAATAGTGTGAGCTGTCCTTAACAGAGAAGCTTCACACATTTCAGAGATAATGAACAAAGATATCACAACTCTCATCTCAAAAGAATTTTCACAAAACATCAACTTTGCAACACAAGGAACACACACAGATCAGCTTTATACATAGAGCTAAAAAATTATAAAGAGCACAGAGTGAATCTAATATATACTAACACAACAGATTGTTGTTATTGTGGCCTTCTTTCTTGTCAACTTCATGTTGAATAAGCTGTGCTTGGTCTGGATGCACATTTCCCATGTTTTTTACGACATGTAACATAACCTACCTGCGCTGTAGTGATCATTCATGTTTGGACTGCCAGGTGAAGCAACATTTGAATCTATAAAAAGACCATAAATATTTCACATTTTAGTTGAAACCACAGAGAGATAAGGTTTATAATTTGGCAAAACTGTATATTGAAGTCTGAATCCTACAAAAACTAGATTAGTTCTAAGTCCTACAATGAAGTCTTGAAATGAAAATTTAAACATACAGTAAAGTGGTCCCCTGGCTCTATTGTCTAACATTTTACAATTAAAAAAAACCCTAAAAAAGGTGTCTCTTACTTAAACCATCACCTATTTGTGATACCAAGCTTAGAAAACAACAACATCTCTTTTCTCTTATATTGTTCCTCAATTGTTGAAACACATATTGTTTCATGAGCATTAGCTAGGGCAATACCATGCAAAGTTATCTTTCATATGATTGGCTAAACTGGTCAACAACAATATCAAAGCTACATTAATTCAAAGATCAGTTCATTTAGCTGAGAACGACATCGTTGATTTCGTGACTATCATTCTTAATCCTTCTTTAATGGTGCAGGTTTAGAGATCATGCTCACTACAACCTTGTGAAGCTTGTGAATCAGGTCTTACTAAGTAAGTGGATTTAGAATTTTAAAAATAGCATGGTAATGTTTAAATATTGTTCACACATCCAAAGTTTCCTGCTAAATCTTTCTGTAGCTTTTAAGTGGTTTTTGTGGCAGTAAATTGTGTCTTTTTCAAATTACACAGCTAATTATGCAGCAACTCTTTGATAAGTTTTTTTAACATTCTAAAATTATGTCCTTTAGACAGCACATCTTTCTAAGTATGGGGGAAATATGAAGTGTTAAAAATACAAGGGGACCTCCTTGCAGCAGATAAAACAAGAATTTCATTTGTTCCAACTATTAATAAATTATTTTACATTTTCAACCTGCTAATGAATCTTTACATGAAATGTAGTACATGAAACTGGGGAGAGAGGTAGCCAAATTGTTTATGTTCTAAACTGTGCATCAAGGGGTCTGGGTTCAAATCATGGTTGGGCCTTTAATTTTTGAGCTTGATAAATCATTCTAGGCAGTGCTCCAAGCTGCAACTGTTTTTGTTGGAATTGCGAGTAGGAAAACTTTGGTATTTGCATTTGCAGTGGTAGTAGCTAATTTGATGATCTGTGCTTGGAAGTCTTGAAAAAAGCTGTAATTTAATTGCTTAATATTTGTGGACCTAACTTTATTACAAACAATATTTATTAAGAGGCCTTGCCGAAGTCTTTTTGTTACCATAAAAATAACAGAAATAGACTTTGTCAGGGATTTTTTTTCCAGCAGCTAGCCGCAAAAAAAGGTACAGTAGCTGGTGCTAAACTAGTGAGTAGCAAATTAAAGGTACGAGCATCTTATCTGCTTATGTCTATTCTCCTAGCTACCAATAACTGTTTTCACTCCAGTTTTAATTTAATCTTTTGAGGGTTCGTACAAAATTAACGCACAGGTCAAAATTCACATCAGATCCAGCTAGTCATTTTCCTGTTTTGTCTACTCCAGTTAGCTGCTGCTTACTGAACAAGTAGCCGCTAAAAAAGCTGGCTGCCACATGTGATGCCTCTGGAGAACAATGAATGTTTGAGTTCATCCTTGGAAAATTTATACAATTCCCATTCTTACCTCTTGATAGGTAGGGCCCGAGCAATTTTGCTCTTTTTTTTTCATATCCCTTCTGAGTTATATCACCTGCAAAGAAACACAATCATGTGTTACAATATTTAGAAGAGATGAACTGTTTCTAGGTAGCAGATGGTAAAGTGGGATTAGTAACAGATGGCACCACCACCCATCCATAACTACTACAGGCCTCACATGGTCCATGCATCATTACCCAGTAGCTTTGCCATATACCATTAGTTTGTCTAAGTTCACTGTTTATATAATATTAGAGTGGTAAATATTGCCAGCCTGTTTGTACAACCTTTCCATCTCTTAGAGTAACTGAAGAGGAATTTCTCTTTACAAATTCAATCAATCTTCAATTTGAGTGGTTATGAAACGAAAGAAAAATATCAAGTAAAGGATATTGCTTGATTTACGTCTAAATACTTGTGGTAAATATTATATAAAATGTATCGCAGATAATGAAGAGAATTTGACATTTTGATCCTGGGGCTTGGTGGCAGGAGCTTATGCAAGACTGATTCACCTGCTCACACTTAAGGCACCACTTTCAAGGCACTCTAGGGAATTAAAACTTGATTGCCTTCAAGATAAGCTAAAATTTAAACCGTTTCACAGGCACTGATCACAACATGCACCTTAGTGACAATTTTAAGAGAAAAGATATCAAATACTGCTCTCTGGTTTGGGTGCATACATGTAATAGAAGTGAAATAAATATGCATATCAGGGAAATTAACTGCAAATAGCCCAAGATGTTAAAAATGGCAGCTTTCACTTGTTGTAGTTTGATGAATGCAGTAAGGAACTGATAATGTAAAATTTTATGCATTATGCACCCAAATCAGTTTTTATTAAATGGACAGCACTTGACATGTATTCCTATGAATGATAATGAGGTATTTATAAAAGTTCCATCATTTGAAAGTTGTTCTTGAATGGAGAAGCCACTTCCTCTACATCAAGGCTAGGAAAAGTCAAAGGCAACAAAATGAGGTTATTCTGAAAATTGACTGGTGTCGACAAGGTTGTGTTGAAGGTGTCTCTAAACTTATATACCGTGGCCATCTTTAAATTCAAATTATCTCGCAATTACCATATTCAATTATCAACATTCGTCGAGGAAAAAATGAAGAAAATTTACGAATCACTCCAAAATATCAATCCTCTACACGGAAAATGCAAGGGTACATTCCAGATCATCATTAGTACGAGCAAACAAAGACAATCTCGCGCACAAACAAATATTGCCATAAACAACAAAAGTTAGTCATATTTAAATGATTGATTCTCGACGTCTCGATTTTTTATAGGGCTAAACTGCTTTAACCCAGATTAAAACACTGCAAGCTTGTAATTTTTTCGCATGGCTTCAAATAATTTTAAGAATATTTCGCAACCCGTTTGAAAAATAAAAATATGTCGACATTTTCAAGCTGTCAAAAAAATTATTTCCACTCGGTTCGTTTAATCAAGTGCTACCTGGGGGCTAAAACATTCTTTCAAAATCCCATTCATAGGGAGATCGCAACATGTAGTTAGCTTATTGACGATGTTGAGTCAAAACATTAAAAAAAATCATTGGAAATCTGCAAGCAGTTAACTTATGTTGCCGACGAAAGTAACATCGCTTGATGGATTGTACTTTCGCAATAATAACTGTTTATACTTTTGCTATGTGCATAGTATTAATATCAATAACGTTTTTCTTTACCGTTGCACGAGTTTCTAAAACATGATGTTGACACAGTCATCACAAAATCGTGATCACACAGGAAAATACCGAGTGTAATCTCTTTATATATGCATGACTTCATAGTTTTTTTCCAATGCAAGGTAGCGACACAATCACGTTAGCTATGTGAAGATTTCGCTATAAATTACTAGCCACAAGGAAATTTTTACTCGATTTTACACTCCCTTTGAATCAAGACAAGCCAAACAGTTTTAGAACTGTTGTTTTCAATGAAGATCAACCAATATTTTCTGTAAATAAAACATCGGCATATTTCACTTCCCTTCATTTACTTCCAAGACAGTTCGACACACTCACCTTCGGCAAGCTCTGTATTCAACTCACGTAGTTTTTCGAGCACTTGTGCCGGTAGGGAAGATTCTGGCGGCTCTGCCATACTTGTTGGTCTTGATCGCAGTAAAGGTTCTGCTGAAAAAATTACAAAATTCAAGGCATGAATTGGGCGAGGCGACAGCTTCTGTCGACACTGTTTACGTGCACTACTCGCGATCAAGCGCGAGTACTCTCGAGCGTCACGTGACAAATTTCCCTGGACTACTACCCAGCCTGCAACAGGATCACCATCGGCGGAGACATCTTTCGCAAATTTTACCGTAAGAATTAATAGTTATTAGAATTCTCTACTCATGTTTCTTTGTCAACACCGATAGGATTTCCTTTCTCTGAGGAACAGACGATAACACGCTGGTAACATTTATAGATCTGTAGTCGTGAGAAGATTGCGTGACATGTTAATTTGAGGCTGTCACGCACTCTGCTCCACAAAGCGTAGTTTTCAGTTTCTTTTGCTAAGTTACTTTTCCATGATTGATTCGATTTAAAGGAAAAAAAGTTTGGACAGTTGCATGACTAAATGAAAAAAGACAACAAAATTTTTCTACTTGGCTGTTAAACTTGTCAGAACTTATCGAAACGGCTGCAACTTGGCTGTAACAGTCTCAAAATTCAGGAGTAAGTATCTAAAGAAACTGTGGTGCTGCGTCGGTAGGGTCACAACAAGATAATTTGGTTTTACCGACTGAGTTGGTAATGTAAAGGGTTTCTAAAGCTTGACTTTTCGAGCGTTAGCCCTTTGATCAGAGCAATAGCCCTTCGTCATTCACTCTGACGAAGGGCAAACGTAAGAAACGCAAGCTTTAGAAACTCTTTACGGTGTGGAATAATTTCCGGGTAAAATTACACGCCTGAAAATACGACACTGTAATGTAGAAATATTGATAAAACCTCTTTACATAGAACACGAGAATTAAATGTTTTGTATATGAACGAAAAAGGGCCCCATTGCGGGCGTTTTGATAGCCATTTTGCACCCAAATATTTCTCCATAATTTTTTTGCGGGTTTCTGTTTAACTGGCGCGGGTTCCACTCCAATCAGTCTCTTGCAAATGTCCCTTATGATATTTGCTTGATGAACTCAGATGTCATGTAATGACATCGACCGTGAATTATTCTCCGTATAAGAAAGTGCGACATACAGGTAACAGGTGTAATCATTAACATATGAAATAAAACTCAGCCAAAAAGTATCCGCGTTATTGAATTATCCTCGTAACATCCAGCGGTAATTAACTCAAAAGGGTTCACGCATACTCCTGAACAAAATTGTTTGTTTAAGTTTTAAGTTCAAGCCTTTTTTCCGTTAGATTAATCCGTTGATGTCAGATCAATAGTGTTCGGAATAAATATTTAAAGACATTGTGGTTTGTTTAAATTTCAATAACCATCGCCGCTACAGTTGTGAATATAATTCCTCTTAATCCCAACGTTAACTCGATGAAATTAAATTTCCTACAAAACGTCATATCATTTTTCCGCTATTTGCTTTGACACTTTGAAGTTATTATCATTACAAAGTGAGCTAGCTTCATATGGCATTGTATGGTCGGGCAGTGCTCACAAGTCAGTTGAAAAGATCGTCTCCGTGGGGTGTCAATTCCTTTTGTTTTTCTCCGCCGGTTCTATTCCATAAAGAAAATAAATCACTCCACTCACCGTTGAAACGAACATTGCGGGGATACGACCATCGTTTGTGAACTGCCATCTTCGCGGCGAAGTGCTGTTTTTGCCTTGTAAATAAACTGCCTTCACAAAACGACGAGGCGACGAAAAGTGAACCTGAATTGTTTAGGCCTTTTGTGGGTATGACGTCACACACGTTTATATGGAATACGTTTTTAAATTTCCACGTGGAATATTTACGGAGGGTAGCTACTGCTCGCAAACGTTGCTTAATAAGCCTTGAAGTTTTCCTTTTTTTCAGGATTATGTTTGCCGTTATTTCAGATAATCTGGTATTTCTCTTTTAGACGTTTTTGACAAATTTGTCGATCGCCGTTCTATTTCTCTCAGACAGTAATATAAATATTTATTATTAGCATAAAAACAAGACAATGGTTTATGATTTTTTCCTTCTCTTAAACAACATATAAAAAAGCAAACGCACTCACGCAAAGTGTCAAATGTCAAAAGTTTCTGTTAGTTCGAACTGCATCAAAGAGATCGAACAAAAATGTTCTTCAGTTCTATCGATTGAAATCTCAGACTATGAATCTATATCATTAAATGCAAAGCTGTTTTCTTAAATGAAACTAATTTTCAAACGACATCCGTCGTCTCAACTCGTACAACACGCGATCAACCTCCTCCAAAATATTATAATGAAAAAATTTCCGAACTGCAAAATATAAGAAAGTGGTTTCACTGATAAGGGTGTGTACTGTGGAATGAATAACCAGCCTGGCCTAGGAGACCAACTACGAAAATCCTAATTTTCCGACGAAACTCCGTGATATTTTTTCCGGTACCTTTGCAAACAAAGATAAATACCTATACTGGAACAGTCGTAACAAAAGGAAAGTATTGTACATAATCAGAGTAATATCCAACCATTTTACTAAATAATTCTCTTTTGACTTAGTGTTCGGAAAAACTTAAAAATTTTAAAATTTGCTGAATTTTAAGTATTTCCGAACACTGATCCAATTTAGTTTCGGCAGTTAGGCAGCTTAGATGATTTAGTTAAAGCTATCACGGCAATCTTAATTACTGATCCACCTTAATAAGACTAGCTGTTTGCGGGTCAGCCAATGTAATATATTGATAATTTCAAAGCTGATTGAAAGGGAGTGAAGTTTAGGACCATCCAGTCGTTAGCCCGTACTACTCCAGAGAGTTATACACTTAGAATTAAAATCTGAAATTGAAATATTTATGCCCAAACACAAACTGAAGCGTTTCAGGAGAACTTAGGGATAGTTGTTTTGACTCTGCGTTTTGCAGTATGATTCACTCTCATAGGATTTTCAAGAGGGTCCTTCCGGATTACATTTTAATGAGATAAAATGTATTTATATGGTCTTACACCAGTGATAAAGTTATTATCTTGAATTTAAATTTGAAATAATTTTTTTTGCCGTCATGTACTCCTTTCGCGGTGGTTTCGAGTGGATGAGTTCATTTCTGGTGAATTTGAAATTAGCCTTCACGTGAAGAAGGGTTTTGATCCACTCTGTTTAAATAAGAGCTTTGAGTATCTCTAGAGATGGACTTGATGGAAATGCATTTGAACCTCAGAGCGAAGAATGAAAAAGAAAATATTGCCTCTGGTCTCGTTAAAACCACACTGGCGAACGCATTTGAAGATCTTTCGATCCAACCTATAAACCACTCAAAAACATGATTGAAAATGACTGCAAAGATGACACTGAAGACAATTGAAAAAGACTTTTAAAAGGAAGGGGTAAATGTATTTTTCAATTACTTAAAAACTCAAATTCTATTTTTGGAAAGCATGTGGATTGATAAAATGTGCAGTGGAACGCCAATAGCCGAACTCCATAAGATTAAAAGAAGTATTGACGGCGCCGGCCGGCCTCGGATTGGAGGTGTGGCGTTTTTGTAGCGACTAAGCAACTCGCAGATTAAAAAGAGGTGAGTGAAGGCGGCAATTTATTAAAGACACGGTATTATTTATTACCTGAGAGGGGGGGGGGGGGTTCGGAGGATTTTGAGGGGGATCTTGTGGTTTTCATGAGCAACGGTCAGGGGGAATAAGTCGTCGCTAACATAGTATAATTAAAGTGGGGACTTAAAAAAAATTGACTGAAAATAAGGGTGGATTATTAGAATACTACCGAGCCTGCGGTTGGGATTAGGTAAATTTTACTGTGATACAGCCAAAGTCCTGCACCCCCCCCCCCAGGCGATAAATAATGAACAGTTAAAGTCATTACCAATGAAGTCCGCAGAATATCGGATACTGTGTTGTGATTGGTTAATGTTCTTATAGATGGGAAAGGTATAAACAAGGTTTTCGCTGTGAAGTAATTATAAAAAATTCTTTTACATTTGTAATAGCGTAACGAGTTAAAACTAAAACATAGGTTTGCTATCAGTTTCTATTCGTCCTAAGCCTTACAATAAATTTTGCCGTCAATGTGCTTTTTAAATTGTACGTTTGTACCATTGGGTTTCTTTCGAACAGACAAAATGTCATTCATGACCACCATATCGTTCAAAACTATCCATAATTGGCTCAATGTGACAGACATCATTCACAAGTTTCATAAAGTCATTATGTACCCTCGCTTCGGTACGATCCCCTTCCCCCCCCCCCCACGACTAGGTAAGTTGCACTTCAATATCTCTTTTACTTGCCAGTTGTAAATGTTGGTAGCGAGAGAACCTGCATAACATGACAATGACTATATTCACAGATTTATATTAAAGGATAATTTCAAGAAACGATTTTAAAATGTTGATCATTATTGCGTTGGTGATGTAAAGCGGAACTTGACTTCAACTCAGTTTAAATAGCACAAAAACATGAATCGACGAGTTGATTATCTGTTCTGTTTTTAAAGGCTTCTTTTCAGTAATGCTTAAATTACAGTCCACCCGCGGAGATAATTTCTTTGCTTAAAAATTTCTTTTATTATCATGAAATAACTGTATATTTTTATTAAGACCAAATCTTTGTTTTCAACATAAATTTCAGAAGCAATTTTGCTTTTTCCTTAGCTACATCGAAGGTTAATTGAGACCATTGAAAATTCTGCTTTCGCTTTATTTAAAGAAAAATACTCATATAAATCCTAGGGATTTGTAATTTCTATTAGCAAAGGAAATTCGGACGTTTAGCTAAACCCATGATGTTATAGCAGCTTAGGATTTCACCAACTAAGTTACAATCATACCAGCTGAAAAGTAAACCGGTGAAATGCAAGTGATACGAGAACCCAACAAAGTGCTTCATTGAAATAAACACGTTACAAACCTGTCTCTTTTGAATGTATCCCGGATGCAGTGGAGCCGTATACCGAATATCGAAAGAGCGTGCTAAAAATCCAAGCCATTGTGGAAGCTGTTGAGCTCACCGCCACGTATGAAACCCACGCAACAATTTTAGAGGACTTACAAAGAAAAACAAAAGATTTGTACAGCATTTATACCTAGGTTATTTGTATAGTCTACTGATGTTATACCGCGACAAGCACCAGCGTTAACCACCAGTAGAATTATACGAAACAAGCGATTTGATTGGTTCGTTTTGCTTGCTGTTACCAGTCCACGTCGAAAACTTGACATGTTTATAAGTCTGTTATTTACAGTCGCTGAGGGCATGATATTTAGGAAGTTGCAAAGGTTTTTGACTGCTCCCTTTTTTCAAAACTACTCACATGCAATGACAGAGGCTTCTTTAGTGATTTCCCGGGCGAATGGTTGAAATAATCAATAACCTTTCGATATCATTCTCATGCAATATCGCACGTCACGAACTTGATCGTTTTCACAATACTGCAGCAGAGTTCGGTTCAAGCATGTTGACGAGCTAATTCGACCAATCGTAAAGGTTCACTTCTCTGTTACAAAGCAGGGATTTTTTTTTTAAAGAGGGCTGGGTTACAGTTGTGAAGTCCAGCGGGCATTTTTTGAAAAGGCTTTTACTGCTGTTCCTCTTCTCTTGTGTATCGTGAGCTCGGCAAATGGAGTATCTAAATTAGAAGCAGTTAATACCAGGCAGTCAAACGACAGAAATACGCGAGGGGGTCAGTTCCGGCCAACCGAACACCAATTTCCCGCATATAATTCAAAGGAAAACATAGAAACAACTGCTGTCTCGCAGAGTAAGAAAAAAAAAAATAAAACGTTCCTAGAAATCTGTAAAAGGAAACAAAAATGGGGAAAAGGGAGACTCGAGACTTTTCGAACAAAAAGTTTATTCAAGTACGCGTATCCTGTTAATTTACCATTCTATTTTAAGCTGTAACAAAAAAGTTATACGCTTTTAAAACGCCGGGACTTACTGGCTTGTGTGGTTGTTTGTAAATCGTGTACCACGTGAGACAAGTTTACTCTTAACAGCCTGAAAGCACGCCACTTAGTCATTACACAGTGAACGCATGTGCAGACGTTTAACCGTTGTGTTTCCCTAGATACGCAGCTGAGGATTTTTTTAAGTCGAATCCTGCGAAGCGTGAAATTATCTTCAGTCTGACCGAAAGAAGACGAGAGGACCATGACGGACATGTTTTTGTTTTATGCAACGAACGGGTAATAAAACTATCCTAGTTTAAAGTAATATTACTAGCGGTTTAGTACCGTCTAATTTCTTCGAGTTCGTGTTGAAATTCCGGTCAAGTTAATTCCAGAGAGAAATTACATTGTGAGGCAGCACGTATATTTTATATTATAAAAAACTGGATCATTGGATAATGCAATTCAAGAGTTTTCATTGGCTTAGCTATCATAGGCTATGAGCTATTATACCATGCGCGCGCATGAAGACGAGTTAAAATGGAAGTGTTTTTGTACATTGTAACATTCTGTTTGTTCTAACACAATAAAGTTAGGAAGATTTATCTATATTTAGGGGCGTCTTAAATAAAACAATTATTCCATCGACGCTTGTGATTATGGCCAACAAGGCCTGCTATCTATCATCCCATATACCATGCGCGCTCGTGGAATAATTGTTTAACTTGTCGAAGGATACGGCTTCTGGTGTTCTTATATACGTTAAGTAGCCTATTCTTTGCTTAATTATAAGGCCGTAACTGATGCGTTTTCATAAGAATACTGCATTTGCATTTTATGGTTCTCGTCCATCGTCTTCACAAGAACACCCGAAAATGCAGATAAAAACAACAGTGCGTGACTTAATTTTCGACAATGTTTTCAAGCTCATAGCTCAGTTTAAAATTAATTGAATAATTATGAAATAAAGATTATGGTGTTGATGATAAAAGCGCGCGAAAAAGGTTGTCACCAGCCTCAGGAGAAGGCCAGCACTTAGTTCTCTCACGGTCATGCTTCGCTTTCTCGCTTTTCCCCTTTGACATGAAAAGGAGCTAAATTTTCGATTAGACAAGGGTCAGGACTTTGTTCCCGCAGGCTTTCCTGTTCACCAACAGCTTTCTGAAACATTCGCGGGCCCGCAACTATTCCACTGCTTAGGTCTTCGTCTTCACAACTGTCTTTAGCAGAATTTTTTGTCGATGGTTCTAGTTGTTCATATTGATATTTTCGACTGTTCTTCTTCGCAGTCAAATGGCATCGTCTTTGGCGTTTGTGCTTTTCTTTTAATTCCAGAGCCAACTTGAAAACCTGGGATTTCAAGTCCGTAACCATTTGTGTTATCTCTGTGGACAGCAGGTTTACTTGTCTGTTGTCTGGAATGCAAAGGAAAGAACAAAATACGTTTTAAACCCGGAAGAGTATGACCGTAACCTAAGATATCTAAAACTCCTGCAAACCTTTCAGTTTGCCTAACATCCATGCACATAAAGTACTACCTCTGTGGTCCTCGCCAAAGTTAGATAGTGGGATAACTAGTTAGAAAACGCTATATATTTCATTTTTGTGTTCTCGTTAAACTGTAGAATTGCCTCGACGTCTTTGATCTTTGTCTGTATTCTTACCAGTCACAGGGGCAGATCCAAGCAATTTTGATATGACGGGATTCCAAACTTTGAATCAGAAAACAAATTGGTTTTACACTCTAGAGCTTAAATAAGCTCAGAAATATTTCACGACGGGAAAATTTGAAACAATTAAAGTTGATTGGTAGCATTTGTTCCTACCATCGCAAGACTTTTGAGGTCACTATATCAACAAAAACCTCCCAAGTCTGAAAAGGGCCAGGGGAATGTACCATGGTAATTATTGGCTTTTGAAAGTTTCAAGTAGTTAATTACCTTGTGGTTGTATTTTCAATCTTTTTTTCACACGATATATAATTTCCCACACCACACCTAACAGAATACAGACGCCCAGAGCCCCTAAGAGTATCATCAGGTTTTGTCTGAATAACTGGCTGCTGCTGTCAAATACACCTGTAGAACGTTCAACCTCTAATGGTTCTGGAGACTCCTGCAAAAGAAGTACACTCGAGGTGTTTGAGTCTAGTAGGTGAACGAGGATGTAAAGCAGTCTTTCTGAAAAATGGAAAGGAGCTTGGCATCTGCATGATTGGCCTAAACAGAGAGTTCTATCACAAATGCTGCAATCTGATTGGCTACGCTACTCGCTTCGTATCTATTCCGTAGGTTTTGATTAGGGACCTTAAGCAAACCACGACGGTGACGACAACGAGGACATGGAAAAACAAAAGATCTAATTGGCAGAACAATAGCTCAGCACGTGCGTTTTAAAATTTTGTACATTTCTCGGCCGTCCTATGCAAAACAACCACGTGAAATCACCACAATTTGCGTCGTCTGCGAACCGAAATTTTTATTTCCATTTGGAACTTAACACTTCTTTTATACGTTATGCTGAAGTTGAGCTGTGGCGCCGCATGAGACGGTAAACACATACAGCCATTTTTGAGATTCTAATCAAAGGCAGAAATTCATTTTTTAATCGAAGTCTTTCTTGGCGTTGCCGTCCTGACTGCTTAAGGTCCCTAGTAATAGATCACAAAAGACATCAAAAGGTGGGAAGAACACCAGTGACACAATCATTGCGCCTCGTGTGCCACTTTTTATTGTTACCACATTCTGACGTCATCTTTGATATATTTGCTGAACAACCGCGCAGCAGCATGGAACCTACTTGTTAAATAAATAGTGAGACAAGTGAGAAGCTTAACATTGTACAGTATTAAAGGAAAGAAAATCATCAGCGTGTGTTTTTGTCAAGTTTTGAACGACTAGTGAGAACATCTGATCTCGGTTTCTATGCGTTGATTTGGCCTCACCCCCTTCAACCATCACACGATAGAAATCTCGAGCTCGTAATGTGTTTGGTAATTAGTGGTTATGTGGGTCTCAGTATTTGTGAGATTGTAAGCTTTTGAATGAAGAGTCGTGAAAACAGAACAAAAGTGATCACAGCAGCCAATCAGAGAAAAGAAAAATACTGAGAAAAGGCTGATAGGAACTGCGCGTGATAACCGGCGACCTGCCCTAAAGCGCGGGTGACCAACTCGCATTTCTTTGGTTGAAAGATGGTGTGACCTATCTAGACAAATTACCAAGGGAATTAAGAAAAACCAAAGTAATTGTGGAATACTTTGAACTTTAAACTGAAAATTACTTAAACAGTTTAGTGAATAGCTGATCAATTCCGACAAAAAAACACGATCAAATAGAAGACAACGGGGTGATAAAGAGAGGTTCTTTCCTTTCTCCCCTCCTATTCCAGGGAAGGTTAATATCCCGATGATCACTCTAACAGCCTGGAAGCACGTCACTTAACCGTGACAACGTTTGCACGTGCGCAGAGTTTTAAACGCTGTGTTGCAAGTAGGCTCACATTGGCGTTGCAGCACTAGCAACAAAGCTCGCGAGATGGGAGCCAGCGAGCGAAGCGTGCATGCGTGTGAGAGGTCTGCAGAAGATCTGGCGCGACGGGCACAATGTTTAGAGGTTAATTTTCGTGGCAAAACTCACGCAGAGCTCAAATGTGGTGAGAAGATAAGAACACGAGCTGATTATGCTCTCCCACCTGAGAGATTTGTCTAGGTAACATCATGATCTCGGGTGCAATTCGGTGAAAAGAGCACGAGCCGTTAGTACGAGTGCAATTTGTAGTCTTTGAAAAATTTACAAGTGCCTATTTGCACCAAGTTGCAGGAGAAATCATCTTTTTACATGTTAATAATTTACATGACAACGCATCACAGAAAGTCAAGACGGACGAAATTTTGGCAGCGCGCGCGCTATTTGTTATTTGCACTCATGTTACAACTTTGCACCCGTGTTATATAAAAAATGTACTCGTTTTCGGCCAATGAGACGTGCGTAATTTTTCATGTATATTATTAATATTAAAATACCTGAATAGCCTCTACATTTTCTGCTACATGTTGAAAAATCAAGGCAATGTTCTGTTGTATGTAGTCACGGAAACATTTGCCAAGTTTTGTCGAGTTGCCCCCGGTCACTACACCATACACAGAAGAGTAATCGTAAACTCTGTAAATTCTCAGGAATGTTTTCTCGAAGAGATTTTTTCTGCTCCCGACAACGTAGCCATCGATGAGAACACCACTGATTTGATTCGAAGACAGAAGCTCGTAGATCTCCTCAAAATTTCTGTGTTTCTTTTCTAAAAAATAATATCAGAATATCGAGCACGTAAACTGAGATTTATTTTCATCACATATTGAAAATTTCACGCCAGTACAAATTGACCTCATAAGTTACAAATAACCATTTTTTTAAATAGTTTGAGACAATTTTTTTACGGCTGAAACAAAAATGGACAGAAAGGTCTCGGGAGGGGTACTTGGGTCAATTTGTGTTGGGTATGTGCCGCTGGCCTCTCAGATCCCCTACCCCACGTCAGTAATCCAATCGTAAAAAGCGACCCCAGGCAGTGAAACTTCCCCGTAACCCTATTACTTGGAGGTAATGCCCTTCCTCCTGGAATATGTCAAACTTTTAAAGCTTAGTTTTTTGTTGTGCTGATGTAATGTTCATGTAGAGTTTGATACTCTTAATTAATAGGTAACAAAATGAAGAAGTTATAACTGATATAGGTCACGTACCTTTGTCAAATCTAGCGTTCTTTCTCAATCCCAAATTGTATTCTGCAGAACCGTAGATAGCAGAGATCTAAAGCAAACAAACAGCATAATGATGATACCGAAACTTGTGGAAGGAGGGGTTGGGCGGTGGGTCGGACGATTTTTTGGGGGATCACATGGTTTTCTGGGAGAACAGATGGGGTCGCTGACAGAGTATAAAGGAGGGGGGGGGGGGCGCAATAAAAAATTAGCTGCCAATGAGGGGAGATCATTAGAATACTGCAAGGACTCAGGGGGTCAGTTATATTTCAGTGTGACACAAAAAATCCTCTGACCCCTCCCCCGGCGATTAATAATAACCTGACCCTAACGAAATAAGGCAACATCATGAGTTGAAAATGAGATTACGTTGGATTCGAATAAAGAAGATAACATGCAAAACTTGCATTTGCTCCGTATAGTTTGTAGTCCACACCAACTGATACACTTGTCAGCGACACAGCGATGAAACCAACCAAGATACCGATGATAACAACGCCCGTCAGTGTCCAAACTATAGCCACGATCCTGCCGACGTTTGAAAAGGGAGTGCGGTCTCCATACCTAGTAAGGTTTCGACAAAAGGTTACCTTTTATTTTAGCTTCGTAACTTAAATAAGCTCAAGCTCGCAGTAATAAACACTACTTAAAGCAGTCACTGCTTACGTAGTGTAAGTATGCTTAAGTATGCCTTATTTTCACTGAGTGAAAATAAGACCTGAAAAAAATTCATGGGATTTGAACGCATGACCACTGCGATACCGGTGCAGCGCTTTACCAACTGAGCTAACAAGCCAATTGGGAGCTGGTTACTATGTTTGTTCTAAATAAATTTAAATAGATTTTTTTTTAAAATCACTGTCATTTTAAAGATCGTAAGAGGATCTTTAAATAATCAATCCTATCTCAGGAATTTTTCTCATGTGCCGAGTATATAATGCGGCGTCTATGCTGCTCGTTCTGCACCAAAATATCCAATCAACACGGAAGGTAAATGAAACATTATTCCTAGCCAAACAGAAACCTTCAGGGGGACTTTTTTTTTTTTTAAATAAAAGGCCTTCATGGGCCGGCAAATGAGTCTTTTAACTGTCTCTACTCCCTCCTATCAACTTGAAGGAATAAACTCAGAAGTTATTTTACACCTTCTTTAATTTTCGACATGAAAATGTATTAGTTCATACACCACATACCCTACAGTTGTCATGGAAACATAGGCCCACCAAAATCCTTCCCAAATTCCGGAAAAAAACGATCGAGGAAAATGTTCAGTATTCTGTGCTTGATCCTAAAATTGAAGCAGAATTTATGGAAAAGCTCAAAAAAAATTTCTAACTTTGTATTTTCTTTGCATTTTGCATCATATGGCTCTTGCTAATAAAAGCTGTTAGAGAAAGCCACATTAATTGTTTTAATAGAAGTATAGTATTCTTGTTTCGGAAGAAACGTTTTGGGATTGTTACTCCAAAACTCCGCTCAGAGTCAAAAATGCCCCGCGCAGCGGAGCAGAGATATCTGTATACATGAAACTGTGTAATAATATTAAGATAGAGAATAAAACTGAAAACCAGACGGAGAAATTATTCTTGTTAAGGTTTATGCTAATGTAAATCGAAGTAATTTCCAAAACAGCTTCACTTTTCTAGTTTCCTTTGCGTGACGAATTAATGCGGAGAGAAACGATCATGTCTTAACCATGCCTAAAATTTTCAAAACGCTGATGCTTTGAAGAAGTGATCGAAAATAAGAAAATCAACAGAACGCACTACAACTGGGTGTCGTAAAACATAAACGTAAGTACAGCAATTGCCACAGCTGATCAGAAAAAAGGTCAACACTACAACGAACCAATAAGGGTTTTAAGTAAACATATAAAGCGCCCTCGAGCGCGGGGATAAAGGCTAACAACGAAAGCGCGATCGATGCAATCCAGACTACTTTCAGCAATTAACTAGAAATCGGTGCGTTACCTACCACGGCCCACATTATAAATCCAAAGATATAAGCCAGCAAGATCCCCATTAAAGCCAGCGGCCAGCATGCAAAAACAGCATGCACCAAAGATGTAGGTGTCTCGTTGCCATAATTGGTGTTTATTACGTAAGCAATCCCAGGGGATTCCACTATCCCTGTGTAGCCAAACTCACGCCTGAATTTGTCTTGTAACTTGTATCCGTACACGGGGAAAGTCAAGTCAGTTGCATGGAGTATGTTCAATCTCAGCGCTTCCTCTGTGTGTTGCAAAGCAGGTTCCCCTTTTCCATTGAATTCGAAGTCGACGTAAGACTCTCCGTGAGTTTTGCACGTCTGGCAGCATGTGACTGCCATGTCCTCTACGAAGGGAGGCAGAAGGCCCCCTGGCCCTTGCGTGGCTGAGTGTGACTGGGTAACGTAAGGATCGAGTACCATCCAGTTCGTTGTTAGACGCTTTAAGCATCGGCAAGTTTCTGAGAAAACAGACGCTTTAATATGTTGTACATATAGCTATCTTCAGCATTCTTCTAATAAAAATATATGTTGTGGTATCAATTTCTCATTAAGACTCGCTACAAATAGAAGTTATGCCTTATTTTTTTAGCTTATCGTTTAAGGTTAAATCTTACGAACGAAGTGGCCCATTTCTTCCGTAGCATGAATTTAACTTGCTCCAATCATATAAAATTCTTATCAACCTATTTTAAATAGCTTAGTACGATTATAAATACAGTTTTCTTAGCATAAGGCTATTATTAACCCAGTTTCCTTCATGATACCTTTCCTTATTGATACCAGTTCCTCTCTAGTTTCCTCCTCTCCCCTTAGTATTCCATCAGGTTTGCCTGATAGTTTTTACATTTCTGGTTTAAGAGAGAAAACTGTGAAAGTGAAGTATCTTCGCCGGGAAGACAACGCATGGACTAGCCTGGCCTCGAGCAGGGACCAATCAATCCAGAGCTCAGCGCACTGAGCATCTGGCCTCTTTGTCGCTGTTCACCTGGAGCATAACGCACTTTGTCTCCTAGTAGTTCCTGAACATAAGACAAACTTGTCTCTCCTCCCACCCTAAGCATTAACCCACCTTGTCTCTTCCCCTTGAGCATTAGACTTCCTTGTCTCTCCTTCACTTCAGGCCACCTTGTCTCACCCCACTGAGCATTAGACTACCTTGGCTCTCCCCCTCTCTGAGCATTAGACTATCTTGTCTCTACCCCTCCCCTGAGCACTAGAGAATTACTCCCCAACACCTCCTTTTCATAATGTTCTTATAATCACGATTTCTCTACCACTTATGAAATTAAGTTAAATCCTAATATTAGAACAGTTTTCCTGAAGCCTTATTTACAATGTCAAAAGCATCGAAAACCTCTTTCTCATTCGTTCGACTTAAGTCTGTTTACCTGCAAAAAGGACTTCACGGGGCCCATCTCCTTTGACTGTAAGTCCGGTCAACTCGATACGATAAACAGTAAAGCTCTCCAACCCTGTGAGCTCGGTGGATACAGTTCCTGCGGGTAGAATAATTTCCTTAGGAGCTTCTTTGTACGGGTACTCTCCCATTTCTACGGCCTCGTAACGTATCCTGTAGCCGGTGAGAATTCCGTTGAGTAAGTGATTTGGGATGTGTGTCCAACTGAGTGGGATTGTATGAGTGGTCCATGTGCTGACAGCTCTTACGTTAAGCGGTTTAGCATCAGGAACTAAAAATTAGAAAAGAGACAAATCTTGCTCTGTGCATATCTTAAAAATGTTGATATTTATTGCCAAATATATTAAACTTTTATGAAACCTAAACGCTTACTCCATCTAAAGATCAACTTGTATTTTTATCTTCTATGAAACAGGAGCTTGCTGTGCATTTCATTTTGTTCACATCACTACGTGAGTAATCACTGCTTTGTTCCCACCGTTGATTTTCTTTGATAAAATCGTCCTAGTATCAGTAATGCAGAACAGAGACTTCTCTTGTTGTCGATTTCGCGACAAAGAAACACATTAGCTTGGTGTGGAATTGACTCAGAATCCTTCAAACTGAAATCGGCTTTGCTTCGGGCATTATTAAGTTTTCTCGTTTATCATACAGCCATCGAGGGAGATAAAACTAAGTGTCGTAAAATCAAATTGAAATTGTAAAAACTGCGAATCAGAACGAAGGAAAATATCCTAAAAATTTTCCAATGAGATTTGTGGGTAATCGCATAACTGCCTTCAAACGCGGGTAATCACAACTTACCAAGTTGCTAATGGTTTTTGTTGTGGCTACTAAGGGTGATGCGAGTTTTGTTGTATCGACCGATAATATAGCGTAAAACAGGGATAACTAAGCAATGAACTCTGTGGAGGACATTTTCTCACCTCGATCAAGTGGAGAAGAAAATTAAAAAGAAATTTGTCTCACAACTTGATACCGACATAATTTTACACCTTGTATTCCGACCTTTATGATTATCATAAGACATACCATCTTGATCTGTCATCATAACTGTGCTAGTTGTAACACCATCCCCTTTACTTGTGTAAGCCAAAACGGTTACGTTATACTGCGTGAACTTCTTTAGTCCTGTGATGCTTAGCGAGCGTTCAAATGGTGGTGTGTTTTCCGTCCCAGTTGGAGCGTTTTGTTGTAGTTCTGTGTAATGAACTTTGTATCCTCTGATTATTCCATTTTTGTAACCATTGGGCACTTCACGCCAACTTACATGAATGGATGTTGAATGTGGTGTCCAGACCACCACGTTCACTGGTGGCCGGTCAGGTGCTGTGTTTGAAAAGATTAGGGACAAAAAAAAGAAGAAGATGAAAAGGCAAAAAACTTGATCAATACGCGACTACCCCATTTGCAAACGTCAAAAAATAAATTGGCAGATTTCTCGATTCAAAGAAGTTTTCATCACTTCATTCTAAATCCCTAAAGAGATCAAGATGATGAGTATCTTTATAGATATACGATTAGTTTAAACTCGCACGTAAAAACGCAAAATTACACAGCAACCGAAGAGATATTTCCCATGTTAACTAAGCAGAGGGGTAGAGCTAATCAATACATTAAATGAGTGAGCGAAAAATCAACGTTCCAGTTCTCTGAGGATAATGATTTCAATAATTTAAATTTAAACAAGCTAGTCATAGGTTTAGGCAACCTCATTTCGACGTGGCTGCCTACATAATGCTGTATTGAGGTGGTTTCTCTGTCCCCACACGCGTGAATATCACGGTACATCGATCACAACTAGAGAACTTAAAATTTATCACCTATATTTCATCACACCGAGCGATCTGGAAATTACTCAGCCCAAAGTATAAACTCGCCTCGCTTGGATTTCCTCGCAAAAGCTCAGTTGTTCAGTATCTCGCTGATGTTCCGGAAGGTCACGGGGAAAAGGCTTTTTTTAAGAAACAGGGTTTTTCTTTACCTCATGCTATCCTCAAATACATTAGAATGCTTCTTTGTCTAAAAAAAAGTCTTAGTGAGTCGTACAAAACTATATTTACTTACTGTCCTCATCTGTTGAAACGTTAACTGTCGTGCTGCTTACTCCATCTTTGTTCGTTCTTGCCACCACATACACAGAGTAGTTGGTAAACTTGTACAGATCAACTAACTCCACTTGTAAAGTGTTGCAGTCTACTGTCACATTTCTAAGAGATCGTGTAAAGTAGGTTTCTTTTTCAATGTAATACACACGGTAAGTCCTCAAAATGCCTCTCAGACCCTGCGTGCTTATTGGCTGCCATGTGACATGAAGACTTGTCGAGCTTGTGTTGAACGCAGTGACGTTTGATGGAGCAACACGCGGAGCTGCAATAGCAAAATGAATGAATCACACTGATAAAGCTCCTCTAGCTTGTTTTTGCTTTGAAACATGAATTTAAATTTTTGGCACCAACCGTCAACGAGTTTTCTGAGTCCGGTTGTCAAAGCAATCGACGGCGAAATTTTAACGGTTGAGGTTAAAAACACCTTAACATCAGTATGCATATTCTCGATACTGAGATATTTATTTTCTATACAGTTATTGAGGTCCTGAAAAGGAGAATTTTTTAACAATCAAGAGTTTCTTTTACTACTGATCATTCCTCCATTCTCGTTACTTTAATGTGTGATTCAGGGGTGGTATTATGTAGAGAAATTAGATGCTAGTCATCCTCAACGTTTAAAGGTTAAAAGAAATTCACATTTGTTCAAGCCACTCGCTCATGCCATGCAGATGATTGATATGAGCGGACATAATGACATCGACGAGAATCAGTTAATTGATGGATCAATCCATCAATCCAACAGCTAGTCAGACAAACAAAATAGAACCATGTGTGTCAATATATTCCTTTAAAAAACAAAGATGAAAATTTCGTTTGTTATCTACCTTCTTCGTCAGTTATTCCGCGTGTTACGTTACTCCAGGGACCATTTCCTTTGACGTTGAACGCGAGAACCTGGACGCTATAATTTGTCCAGATGTCCAGTCCTCCCACGGTCGTCGTCAGCATATCAGAACCATAAACACTGACGTTTTTGATAAATTCACCGGTGATGTTACTTATGGAGACCCAGTAACCCAATATGTAACCATTTCTCTCTTCTTCGGCGACTGGAGGCCACCTAACTGTTATCGCTGTCGTGTTAGCAGGAAGAGTTGACAGGTTGATTGGTGCACCCTCTGGGACTAAAATGAAAAGAGCAAACGATTCTGACTCAGCTTTCTATTGGTCAGAAATGGCCATTTAGACCGCCTGTCTGGGTCATTCCTCAGGAATGAAGGACTTGCTTTTTTTGCCCTTCCCTTGGCGTAAGACCACTCAATTTTCACGTTATTGCGTGTTCGACAGAGAACACCGTGGTTCAATGAAATTTTCAATCGTGTTAGCATAAAAAAACACGACATAGGAATACTCTACCACGCGTTTCGCGATTGTGCGCGGAAAATTATTTTTTTATTCGTTTCTCAAGGAAAGGAAAGATGGAGAAAAAAGGAGGAATAGAAGACTTTTCTCTTGTACAATCCCTCCTTCTACTCGTTTTCCTTCACGTATACATGAAAAGAGTGATGCTTGCTACATTAGTCCCAACCTCCTCCATATCAAAGCACTTTTAAATCGAGTGTCGAAAAACTATAACCATAAAGTAATCACCTCTACCGATCAGAACAAAGGTTAACATCATGATCAACCAATGAGAACTCAAACTGATAACCTGCTTAAAGCGCGGGAAAACGCGAGTGACCAAGCTTGGATTGGTTCAAGAGCGAAGTAAATCAAAACCAAAGAAACCTTGGATCGCTTTCGATACTCATTTGAAAAACTTCTCTACGTCAGGAACAAAATAAACTTACCGTCCTCGTCTGTCATGCAGAACACAGGATTTGAGATGTTTCCTTTCCCAGCGACTGTAAACGCTAAGACTCGGATCTCATAATTCGTGAAGAAATCTAAATTCGTTATTGCTACTTCAAAAAGACTTGCACACACTGTCATATTTTGGAATTCTTCAAAAGGTTTATCTGCCTTTCTGTAAAGTACACTATATCCCAAAAGTATGCCATTCACGTGATCATCAGGAACAGGAAACCACGTGACGTTGATGCTTGTGGAACTTGTGTTGAAGGCAGTCACATTTATCGGCGACCTACTGGGAGCTAAATACAATGTGAAGTTTTCCTTTCAGTCGACCTTGACATATCAAATATAACAGAGAATAGAGAGATATAAACTTTAAGAAAACTTATTGCATAAGGAAAGATTTCCTATTAAACAAGACAGTTGTTTCCTCAATGCTACTCCGTCATAGTTTTTTTCTACAAGATCAAACTTTATTACTCACTCCGAACTAGACTAAAAGCCGACCAGGTTGCCAAACGGTATTGAAAATGGCAGTGTCCATGGTCGACGTTTCAGTTCATTTGAGAGCAATTTTCTAAAGGTTAATTTACTCTTCGGAGTCACAAAACTCAGCCGGTGTTACGATTTCATAGCGACTTTTTAACGGCGTTGAGGCAAACTATCTGGTAACAGGAGCACGCCGAAATACCTGCCAGGAATGCGGAAAGACTTTCCCGGAAAAAAAATTAAACGGGGTAGTTATGGGTAAAATTTGGCTCCTTAACTGTCATGCAAGGCTTTTGGAATTGACAACGCTTCCATTGGCTGGAAGTTACTAGGAGTGTAGTTACCCATCCCAAACTGGAAGCTATTTCATCGCTGGTTAACCCATAGCATTCCGTGAGGTTTCCCTAGAATTTTTCTGGTGCTTATTCTCTCTCCGGAATGGAGAGAGGATCTTTGAGAATAACAAGTCTTGCCTGAGAACAGAACACAATGATCCGAGTTGGACTCAAACCTTGACCGTGTTATTCAGAAGTTAGCACGATAATCATAAGATTATGCTTGTCTTATCATTTCTTTAACTACGTTTTTCTGAGGAGCCTGATGCGTTGCTTTAACCGTGAGATCTGCAAATGGTTAGACATTCTATTCATCCCGGATAAGGACGATAAACCGTTACGCCCAGTCTCCTGCAACTTCTCTGCTCTAGCTAATCGGGGACATTAAAGAACTCTCGCACTTTTGGCAAAGAGTTTGTTGTAGTCTGGCCCTATTATTGATTTTACAGGCCCCCATTTAAGCCTGCTTTAGAGCTGTATTAGGCCAGCCTGTCTAAATATCGCAAAATAAGCGATGGATGAAAAGATTTTACCATCTTGTGCTGTGGTGAGGTTCATTTCATCGCTTGGGACTCCATAGTCGACAGTATATGCCATGACCTGTATTGTGTAAGTCGTGTACTTTTTTAATCCACTCAGCTCGTAGCTCTGCGAGGAAGGATCACTGATATCTCGTCTTTTTCGACTACTAGTGACAGGTATGGAGATGTTTTGACGCGTGACGTACGGAGAATTCGTGACAAAGTAGGTAATGACGTAGGCACGCAAGACGCCGTTAATGTGCAAAGGATCAACTGGTTTCCAATCTAAAGTCAGCGACGTGGAACTAGGAACCACGCCCGTGACGTTCGAAGGCGGCTCACTTGGGGCTGAAAGACGATAGGAAAGTTACTTTTGCTACGCCATTAAACACGAGATGCAAGCATTCGTAATTCCATTTAATGCTATCAGCTTTTAGGCTAATATTTCACTTTCTGGGGTGGGTTCAAAGGGTGAATTCAGAGGTGTGGATCTCCCTCCCCCTCCCCCTCCTCCAGTCTTCCTCCAGAGAAATCAGGGAAATCAGGGGGTGTATTTCACCCCATTTGGCTGACACCTGACGACAAGATCGCAGAGTACTACTCAACGACTTGTGACGAGTGACCACGACTGAAAAGGGGAGGGGTGAGGGGTAGGGGGAGAACGTGAGTTGAACATTTTTTCCTGCTTGATTTTACCTTTGTGTTATCTTGGGGCTCTTTGTAATTTTTATTCGTCTGATTTTTTGTTCGAATTACGTTGGTTGTAGTTCCATGGCACTCAATCGAAAATGCTCCTAAACCCATTCTCTCGCAAAATCGAAACGCCACTTCTCCGTTTCCTCTCTTCCATATTTTTCTTGCATTTTTTAGCTTTGAGAAGTTGAAGATAGATCAAATAAACTCCCTTATATGGTATTTTACTTTCCTTTTATCACTTTTCAAAAAACCAATCGATATCTTAAGGGAGAAATTTACTTTAGGTCACCACCAGAGGTGGGAAGGGGTTACACACGTCTACATACCAGCCTCCTTGGTCCTGGCCACTATGACGTCGCTACCGTTACCCAGTCCCTTGCTGTTGAAAGGTACTATACGTGCCTCATACTCAGTGTAAGGGAAAAGGTTTGCAATATTTGCCTGATCAAGAGAATGCACGGTTATATTCTTAGTTATGTTTCTCAGTCTGTCAAACAGTAGAATGTGATATCCCAAAATCAGTCCGTTTGCCTTGTCATTAGTTAGCGGTTTCCAGGACAGTGTCAGGCTTGTAGCAGATGAAGCCGCTGGTGTTATGTTTTGCGGGCTTCCCTCGGGAACTGAAATGAATTTAAGGAAGATCAAGATTATTAACGCTTACATTTTACAGAATATTTCATGATCAAGAATTAATTTTTTCCTTTTAATTACAAACATTCTATTTAATTTGGACAAAGTTTAAAACGGTGGGTTCCATTAGGAATAGGTTTTTTTCCCTTTTTTGTTGATAATAAAAAAACCAATACTCCAAATATGGAATTCGATGTTCAACCCTTAGTCTTATAGACTTCATGACAACATTCCATGTTACGTTGATAATTTCATTAATGTGACTTTATATCCAATATTTTTGTGAGTTTATCATGTCGAGCACCTCAAAGCATTATTTCTTCATTCTAACACAAATAACATGGTGAGATACCTCTCACTCTACTTTTCGGAAATTCTTGGACGAAATCTATGGCTTTTCATGCGAACAAAAATCTGTTTTTTGCGAAGTTCGCACAAGGGTTAGCCTCGATATGATGTTCCGACGAAATCAACGCAACGACAGACAGCGTAGATATTAGCTTTGTTGAAGTAATGAAGTTCGAAATTACGGGGAGAGGAGTTTATTCTCGTGTGGATTATTTGCAGACTTCCGCCAATAGTCTGGGGATACAGACCTTCGTTTCCATCCGAGACCGAAAACAATTTTAAAGTAATTGACACATCGTAGGGAATCTCATGAATACGTCTTTATAATCCCTCATTTTCTTCTAGTTATATATACTCACTGTCTTCTTCGGTAAAAACAGTTATCTTGTGATTAGATTTTATAAATCCTTTCCTGGTCACACCAGCTGCACTGATGTGGTACGCTGTGTACTCCTGCAGGTCGGTCTGATGGTGAGTTATCTTGGTAGCGTTTTCACAATTTCCTAATATGGTGGTAATCGTCTCCTTCTCGCTTGAGTTGTCAGCGGTTGACATGATCAATTCAAATGCTATTATCGGCTCATATGAATCATTATAGGAGACTGGGTATAACGTGACCAGAATACTTGTGGAGCTTGTGTTGTGGGCTGTGAGGCTCGTTAAAGGCTGGTGCGGAACTAAATTACAGCAGAAAGGAGGTAAGTTTCTAACTAGACTGTACTGCTGCGTCGGAAGGAGTTATTACAAGATGAGGCGATAACATGCCCCGACCAATACCGTAGTTCCATTTTTGTACATAAAACACACACAGCCTACAATTCCTCTTTTCGCTTCCGTTAGTGTAGGGATTTTTTCTTTTATTTCACCACGGAAATTAGAGTCCAGTTACTATCGGTTCTTATTTCTTATTACAGCGATGACCAGGTTTCTCAAAGCTATTTTAGACAAATTAAAAGTGGTATGAAATTCAAGCCTTACCGCCCCGCTCTGTGATGGCTTCCACTGAGGCAACAGGCCCTCCTCCTTTCACTGTCAAACCTCTGACGTTTATGCGATAGGGAGTGTTCATTTCAAGATTTGTTGCCTCACACCAGTACACATTACAAAATTCCATCCTCTTCCAAACAGGCGGCTCAACCATCTTCCTGTACCAAGCCTTGTAACCGATGATGATGCCGTTTCTTCCTTCTGCGGGAATAGGGTCCCAACGGACAAAGATGCTGCTTAAATTAACAGCTTGCGCGATTACATTGGACGGAGGAAGACTTGGAACTAGCGAGGAAAACGCGAAAAGCCAAATACTATTTCTTATTATATCACTGGCAACGCCCGTAGGCAATATGAAGCGAATCCTATGTTCTGATTGGCTACCTGAGCGGGCAAGATGGGCCCTTCTTGCCCGCTCGGCTTACCTGCTTTGATCCCGCACAAAAAAAAAAAATACGTGAAGCGCATAATTGTCAAAAGAAGTGCGTGTAAACTCGTTCACCTGGTTTCTTTAGCTTTTAAAGACAATTCTTTAATTAGGTTAAAACTCCTTTTTATTGAAAACATATGCTATATTTAAGTATAGTAGAGGAGACCCTTTTTGCCTATTCAGGCGTGTACACAGAACCTCCCCTCCCCCCTCTGACCATGTTGGTAAGACTAAAAGGTCGTCATGTCTCGGTGAAGTTTACAAAGCGCACAAAATTCAAAATCTTTTGGAGGAGAGGGGTGGGGGAGGGGAAGGATTCGATTTTAAGAATATCATCCTTCAATTTTCCTTTTAACTTCCATCCTAAGAAAAACTTAGGCTGACTGGAGAATAAAATTTTTTTGAAAGATGTTTATTCATCATTTTCATGTGATATCGTGTGACACCTACGGTTTAAGAGGAAACTTCAGTTATTTATATTTCCCGTAAGACTTTCGGCATTAAAAAAATGAAGGTAAATTCATGTCCCGTTATCATAAAAGCCTAACGTGTGAATAAAGGTACACGTATGCGAACGGTGTTAGTTTTTACAAACATAAGCAAGTGCAAGACATAAAGTACTCTTTTCACCAAGCTAATAAACTTGATTTACGTGCCGTTTCAATTTATATCTTATATTGCCCTACTTTTTTCTTTTTACAAATCTAACTGAGATAAAAAAGATAATTTTCTATGTATGTTAGGTGTGTCAATTTACTTTTTCGTGGCGCAAAATCGTCAAAATTTAGTGGCCTAAGTGTCATGCATCAAGTCTTATCTTGTTCACGAAAAATTTCACCTACCATCCTCGTCTGTCATGGCATAAACTGAGTCGCTGACTGAGCCTAACTTGCCAGTCCGTGTAAAACCAAGAATACGGATACTGTAGTTGGTAAAAATCTGAAGGTTTCCTAGAACCGTTTGATTCATGAACCCACATTGAACAACACTCTTCATGGAACTGTTTCCATCGTTTACCACATGGAAGACGACCATGTATCCGATTATGACTCCACCAACCTGTTCAGCGGAAATTTTAGTCCACGTGACTCGAAGACTTGTTGAGTTTAACTTGAATGCAGTGATGTTGATGGGAGACTGGGTAGAAGCTTTGAAAGAATCAGAAATCAAGTCTATAGAGCAATGATCGGTGACATGTAACCAAGACAAACAAAATGGTTTTTGTCAAAATGCTAAAGGAGTATTTGCATTATGGTAACGATACATACTAATTCATAAACGATTATGCACTATTGCTTCATTTTATGTTTTAAGGACCCAAATTTAAATGAAATTCGTTGGATAGCACACGAGTTGCTTTCCATTCGTGATTTCCTTTACTCGTCTACTCTACTTCTTTAGTGTGGATCAATAACGTCGACTGCGCATGGCTTTAACGTACCTAATGGTGCTGTCCATATAAACAAAGGCTCACTCATTTTTCCGTCACCCTCCAAAGTGAAGCTCCGAGCGGTGATCAAATACTTTGTGTTGGGCACCAGATTCTGTATCACGTAAAAGGTATCGCCGGTTGTTCTCAGAATCACTTTAGTCTCATTACCAAGAGTTGTATCCCGATAAAAAAGTTCATAACCTTGGAATATTCCATGGGAAAGATCTGTCGGTCCGTTCCACGTGATACTTAAGTCGATTGAACGTTCCTTAATGTAACTTTGAGCGTGAAGACTGACCGCGGTTATAAATACTAGGAAATAAAAAAGGTGTAAAAAGAATTCTCTTTCTTGCCAAAAACTTTCACTTTTAAACTATTTTCAACTAATAAATATTTCTTAGAGGCGCGATGTTCTAACGTGGCCAGGTGGCGCTACATTTTGGTACGGTTGTTATCATAGTGACATTTAGCCATATTTTGGACTTTGGCAACGAAAGTTCACAATGATCAAATGGTAGTAACGACTTGTTACCAAGTGAAAAATTGTGATAACTCATGCGGGTCAAGCAAAATGAAAAACCCTTTTTATCTTTATGGTGCCTTGCGATACAACTAGGAAAAGTTTTTTTAGGGAATGTAAGCTAGGAAAAGAAAAAGCCAAAAGAGAAGAAGTGAATCTACGACAGGAAGCTTTGTTTGCCTATACTTTACCATTAAGACTTGATTTGATATACTCGATCCAGTTTTCTGGCGCACGTCTAAATTTTGATTGGTGAGGTTTTGAATTAATAAAAACCCAAGACTTACTGTCATTGGCCTCAAGCTTGTTAATCTGGTAAGGAGTTGTTGAGAGCCAGTTTATAAAAGGTTCTACTGCACTGTATCCTCTGTCGGTAAAATGTATGGAAAACTCGCAACCTGCTACTCCTGATGCATCCCTGTTAAGATGTAAGTAAGAAACTTCCATCCAGCAAGTATATAACTCAAAATTCCTCAGTTGGTAAAACACAATTCATAGCTAAATAAATTTTGAACAAACTCTAACACACACCCTGACAAATTCGTCTTTTTTTCCAGATTTTATCCAGATGTGCGAAATCATCTTGGTTCGGTTTGTTTTGGTTTATTTTCAAAGCGCTTTTGTTTTTGTTTTTGTTTTTGTAACGTTTGACTGCTAACATCTTTCCTTAACGATGGACGGACATTTTTATGGTCTCACTAGCAGCTTTTTTGCTAAGGTCCTTCGTGGAGTAAAAAGGGAAGGGAACGTGGGAAATAGGAACACTTATCGAATGATTTTGGCGACGAGGAATTTAGATCTCATTCTGATTTCAATTATACAACTGCAACACCCGTAGAGATTTAACTTGTCTTAAACCAAGATAAAAATGCGGGCATTATGATTGATGTAGAAATTTATCGTAACCGCAAAGTACGTCTCAATCAAAAAGTCAACTCCGTGCTTGATGAGTAAAATTGCATCGATAGACTCTCGGTTCAAAACTTGTCTGAATGATTCAACTTACCAGTATTTGTAGACAGTAACACTGCCGTAGCCTGGCTTGTTATTATACAGTGATCTTACCTGAAATCAGTGAATAGTTTTTTTTTCTTCAACTTAATCTGCGCCCCTCTTCGAACGAATAGGTAATTATGAGGTGCTCTTTGTAGTCGAACGTCCTAAGAGCCATTATTTCGCATCATATTCTTTCTCCCTTCCCCACCCTCCAAGCGGCAATTAGAACAAAAGCGAAACATTTCTGGGAGAAAAATGTTGTTCCATTCTTCATAAAGAGTATTACAGTACTTTACATTTGACATTGTAACTGATGAATTTTGTTGCTGCTGGTACGAGATTATTTTGCATGGCTAATCCTTTTTCAAGCACTTGATTTGTCAAGTCAGTGCAGGCGTTCTTGAATTTTTGTTTGTAAAAAATGAGTGCTTCCCATTACGAAGAAAAACCGAAAATTCGGAATGAAAAATCAGCCGACCATCGTTGATTTTGGATCAAAATCAGTATCAGGGCAACTGCCCACCTACCCCTCCCCTAACCCAACATTAACCTTAACTTGTTGTCAATCGACTGTTGTTGAGTTAGGGGAGGGGTAGGTGGGTAGATACTGATACTGATCCAGTATTTTTCCACCTTAGCTTAGCCCTTTACACTCCAACATAAGTAAGCATATTCTCCATACTGTTCTCTATACATCTCCTAAGGCGCTGACGAGGAGAATTTGTTTAACAATCAGGAGATTTTTTAGTTGGAGATAATTTCCTTTATTCTTGTGACGTTAATGTTTGATTCAGGGTTGATGATGTAACTAGAAACTAGATATAATAAAATATGTGCTTATTGTTCATCGTGGTGCAAGATAGGAGGTGAAATTTCTTCTTTTGTCTCACAATAGAGTCACTTATAATGTAGATCACGACGTTTCGACTGCAATACTGCAAGTCTTCATCGGACGACGATGAAGACTAGCAGACATCTTCCTGATGAAGACTAGCAGTATTGCAGTCGAAACGTCGCGATCTACATCATAAGTGACTCTATCGTGAGACAAAAGAAGAAAGCTCATCTCTTAGAAATTAGATGCTAGTCACTCTTAGGGGTTAAATGGTTGTTTATCTTACGAGTGAATTCTTACGCGATCAGTCAGTCTTTTCGTCCAGTTTCTATAAGTCTCTGATTCGTGATCTGATAGGTTTTCTTTCCAAGCAAGACCCGTGAAATGGAGATTGGTGAATAGCAATAAGTTAACATCTCCTGAAAAAGACGATATGATTATTTCAAAACTAGTAATAAGGACAGTTTTTATGTGAGTTACTTTATAACGGGGCTGCAGCGCGCGCAGCAAAGCCCCATACTAATCATAAATAGTGCTCGTAGTACCTTGTAATATCCTTTGAGATGCTATTGATTTTGAAGACTTTGAGTTGCAATGCGTTGTTAAGTTTTTGGAATTCTGATGACCCAAATTTTGAAGAGAATGTTTTGCACAAAAGCGTGAAATGTGGAAAAGTTTTTTATCACATAAACTGCGGTATTATACAAGTCTTTCCGGCCCTGAAAAAAGCCGTGACAACACACGTGATAAAAATATCGTATTTTTTTACGTGTGTTGATATAGCCAATCAGCTGCTGACACGTCACTTTCCTTGGCGCCACTCGGTCAGGTTGATTGATGAACGGCAAAACCTTCACGATTCTCAATACAAGGTAGTTTGTCGGAACTTTCTCTGATTGTGGCGGTTAAAACACTGAAAAATTCGTATTGCTTGCAGACAGTGAGATTAAAACTTTCCTAAAGGGGGAAAAATTTACATACAAAAAGAAAAGCCGAAAGTTACGCATTCAGTGGCTTTGGTGTTGGCATTTCTCGCGGCTGAGAATGAAAATCGACATCTGGAAGATTTGCCACTGGCCGATTTTTTGTCGTTTACCTGAAAGACTTCTTCTGTCGGTAAGGACAAAGTCAATAAATAAGAATTTTGTGAATTGAAAATTACGACCATTTCATATATTCTCAACCGTTTATTGTTGTTTTTGTAATGATGATTCAACGCATTTTTCCATCTTAAAAGTTAGCGCCAACGCACCCTACGATTGTTATTTGGGGATTGTCGATTCATTTATTTTCATTCATCAATGAAGTCGGCTTTTCATGTCAGTAAAGAACTATTGTGTTAGTATGATAAACAAAATAATACATGGTAGCTTATAGATATGGAATTTCTCTTCTCGTGTTCGACTCGATACTCGTTCGCTGCGCTCACTCGCAAGCTATCGAATTAAACATTCGAAGAGAAATTTCATATCTACGCGCGCCCATGTATTATTCTCTGTTTATGAGTATGAGCCCTTGTTGCTGCATGTCTGTGCTCACATGGGTAGCACGAAATCCTACCGTTTGGTTATACTGCAAAACATGTGTGAGTCTAAATGACTGTAAGTATATGAAAATCATGTACGTGAACTGCGGTACGGTGAAGAAACGAATGTGGAAGCGATCCTCGCAGTTATGAACATTACTTAAGTAGTAGTGAAAATAAGGCCTGAAAAAAATCCATGAACCCATGACCTCTGGGATACTGGTGCAGAGGTCATGAATTCAAATCCCATACAGGCCTTAATTTTTTTCAGGCCTTATTTTCACTACTATTTAAGAAGTGTTCATAACTGCGAGGATCGCTTCCATATTCGTGTTTAAGTCTATTGAACTCTTCAGCAAAGCACGCAAGGTGAATACTCGGAGCGAGCCACTCTCTAGTGGAGTGGGTTATTGGTTCTTTTTCACGGTACTTTTTAGAGGTAAGTGCTCAGTGGTTGACTATCGTAATTTTGGAATAGATTCCCTTTTTTAGATTCCCTTCCGTCCAGTACATAATAGGGACCTTAAGTAGTCAGGACGGCAACGCCAAGGAAGACTTCGATTAAAAAATGAATTTCTGCCTTTAATTAGAATTTCAAAAATGGCTGCATGTGTTTACCGTCTCATACGGCGCCACACCTTAACTTCAGCATAACGTATAAAAGAAGCGTTGAGTTCCAAATGGAAATTAAAATAATTTGCCGTCGCGGTTTCGGTTCGCAGACGACGCAAATTGTGGTGATTTCACGTGCATAGGACGGCTAAGAAATGTACAAAGTTTTAAATCGCACGTGCTGAGCTATTGTTCTTCCGACTAGATCTTTTGTTTTTCCATTTCCTCGTTGCCGTCACCTTCATGGTTTGCTTAAGGTCCCTAATTAAAACGCCAAACGTGTTATAATAAGGTGCAAGATTCTCTAGATTCATTTGGACCCCAGAAAAGAGAGAATTATACATCATGATTTTGAGCTAGGAGGTAAGGAGGCTGAAAAGGATCTCCATGCCTAGCAACGAACTAAAAGTAAGATTTTAAAAAAAAAAAAAACAAAAAAAAAAACAAGAATAATTTGGTGAACGAACCAATTTGATATCAGCTTCTTGGTTAATCACACTTGATAATGAGATAAAAGGAGTATATTACTATAGAAATTTTACCTCTGTAGTAATCATATGCTGTGGCAATATCTGCACTGGTCAAGCTTCTGTACCAAATGATTATTTCATCGAATGCTGCTTCCGGAAGCTGACCTTGAGGATCTCCGATGGACATCCGGGTCACATCGCTAACACTAAAGCTACCATTACTACATCCTTTGAAAACAAAGTCTTCAACTTCTTTTCCATTCTGGAAAATCTTTATATTTCCTAAATCGTCTGGGGATGTGTAACTTAACGTATAGTGTGTCCATATTTCTTTTGGCGTCGGAAAGATTACTTTGCAATTCTTTTTCGGACTAGCAATCTGGAAAGCCACTTGAGGTGAATTAGTATTTGCTTGAAACATTTTGTGACCTGTATGGCTACCTCCGCTGGAATCAAGGAAAACTTGTCCTAAATCGTTGTGTCTATACCAAACCCATAGCATAAGTGTGAAGCCATTTGTGCACTGAGATGTATTAAACAAACACTCGTTTGGTGGGAGACCTTCATTCAGTGTAAAGGTGTTGCTCCCCCGGTAAACCTTCACAGCTTTATCCCTAATTCCTTTAATTGTGGTAGCTTCAGTTGAGGCAATACCGTAGTCAGATCCCATTTCGTTGTGAATGTTCCTGTGATTATCCATGGTCCAGTAAAAAGCAGCTGATTCGAGCAGTTTGTCAATCAGCAAAGGCGAAAATCCTAAAAGACAGAAGTAAACATCGAGCATTCACAGCTTGGTAAAAGGTTATGGTGGGGGGGGGGGTGTAACGGCTTCGTATGCAAAGGACTTTCGAAATTGAGTTTAGGCACTTATGAGACTAACATATGACCTGGATCACCATTAGCACTCTTGGTTTTTGGATGATCCATGATTCAGTTTAGATTCTTCGTTGACTCACCCTCGTAAGAAACAAAATTTCGAGTCTTTCTCTACGAAGTCTTGTCTTAATTTCTGAACATGTATCGGCAAAAACAGGGAAATGGGTGGTTTAAGCGTAAAAGTAAGACGAGAATGGTGGATTCAAAGAAGTAACGTGACGATGATTTGCTCTATCACAGTGTATGTCCTTCAGAGCCCCCTTAACTTTTGGACAATTTTAGAAGGCTCTGTTCCTACAATAATCTTCTTTTCTTGAACATTGCTCAAAGTTAAATCTTGATATACTTCCCTCAAACTAATTAAAGGTGCTGTGGAGTTGCTATGACCGCATGGTATGTCGAAATTATCTAAACTTGTTAAGTAATAATTTGGGATTTCATTTCAGCTATCTTTGAGCTGGAGAAGAATGAAAAAAATTTTGTATGGAAAACCAATCTTAGAATTGGTTTTTAAAAGAAACCAACCGTTTCGAGTCTTAAATTGAAGAACTTAGAAGAGATAAGGACATCAAAAGAGGTAACAATTGGAGTAATGGATGATGATGATGTGCACTTTCTGTAAATGACAAACTTGAAAAAACCCGGGTGTCTCAAGTGTCTTAAGAAGTACAACAACTAATGAATCTGTCTCAAGAATAATAGTGGCGGAAAGTTACTTTGTCTTGTCTTGCACCATTCTTCGCCTCTGAGTGTTGGGTCACAAACACATCGTCCTAAAACCTCATCACAGAATTGCCCTTCTAAACAGGGCGGCTCACAGACAGTATCTAAAGAAGAAAGTAACTTTGCTTAGTTGTAAGGCAAGATTTCATGATCATTATATCTCATTTGAAGATTTAAAATTGAATTTACAACATCGATGTTTTCCATAACTATTTTTCTATCAATGTTTGAAATTACTTTAAAAGTCGAATTACAGGTGCTGCTTCAATGGAATTTTTCAAGAACCCTTAAAGCCACCACTAGCACAACTTCAAAAATCGCACTGGCATTTATCTGTTTGATATTTAGTGACTCAACTCAGAGGTGTCTTACATCACAAATTATGACAAATTTATATTATTTATGTTACCTACCATGACATCCATACAGTTCTACCCTCATTGATATATGACTAATCCATTCCAATGGAAGGAAACGGACATAACGGGCCGTGATGGGTGGGCTAAGGTCATGTAATACAACGGTATCTTTGTTTATGTTTCCAATAAATTCCTGAAAGAAAAAATTCCCAAAAAGACAATGAAAAAAAAAACCACTTATAGGCAAGGACACAGAGCAAACTAGAAGTCGAAAAATGGATGGTGGACTGGTATTTCATCCAGGGCAGTAGCAATGCTCCTAGTCGCTTCATGCTATGGAAACTCGAGTAAAGTTCACCTAGATTAGCTGGTAAGCTCGAGTGCAGGCGTCATTTTGTTTTGATCATTTGTCACAAACAAACAACCACGCATTCAAAAAAAGATTAAAAAACTTTCATGGGTAAGATATTCAGACCTCGTCATTATTGTCATATGGTCTCTTGAAGGAATGAAGGGTTGATGGATGATGACCATACATCAGTTTGTACTTCGTCACCCATTGTTGAGCATCATGTCTGCCTTGCGTTGCGACGCGCGCAACTATACTGTAAACTCCAAGGTCAACCTGAAGCCACTGATGGACATTGTTTGTGGCAGCTGCCCAAGATCCCAACTTTCCTGCTCTTGGTTGAATGTTCAGTCTGCTTTGACTGGCGACTAATTGGCTGCTGAATTCTGACGAGGCACTGATTTGTTTTTCAGAAATTTCACCGCTTTCCATGCCAAGAGCAGAGAGACATTCTTGGACTAAAAGGGATTTGACGTAAATGTAAGATTAGCTCTAGAGCCAAAGTCAACTACGAAACATACCTTATAACTTTGAGAAGACATTTAAAAAGCTGTTTTTGATCAGTTTGTGAAAGGAAGTTTACGCATTTGACCTTTAACGTTACTTTGTAAGTTTAGAAGCAATCAAGATCTGTCTAATGATCAAGAGATTGTATAAAAAAACTTTTTTAGTTACCATGACATCCATATAGCTCCACTCTCATCGATATGTGAACAAACCAATGTAGTGGAAGAAAGCGGTAGAAACGTGCTGTAATCGGTGGGTTAAGGTCATGTGAAACAACAGTATTTCTGTCTGTGTTTCCGGCGAATACCTGCACCCAGATAAAGGATAAAGGATAAGGGAGTCATTGTGGAGATCTATCTCAGTTGGGCTTAGGAAATGAAGTTGTTCTTTTGTTCTGCACTAATAGGTAATTCAAAGACTTTTAGATAGGCTCAAATTTATCTGTTTACTTGGCAGTATTTCTTCATTATGAGCTTTGACCAATGAAACCTCACATGAACTGTTACATGTAAGATAGTGGCAGTTTGCTTCGAGTTTACATTTCATTACCGACCTCATTCTATAATCGTATTTTAACAATCGTCTTATTGAGAGGGGCTGAAAGATTGCGAAACTTTAAAGACAGAGTGATTTCAGTGGGTTTTCATACAAAGCGATGTATGAATCCTTGTCATACATCGCTTTGCTCTGATTATCTGACGCAATTATTACACTGTCGCAATTGAGGTACTGACAATCAGCATAATTTTTATCGCATTATAACAACTCCTGGGTAGTTACTCTACGGCTAATTTTAATAAAGAAAGCAAGGAGGTTAGCTCAAGTTCCGATATGTTGAAGAGCACTGGAATGCCGTGTAGGAGGTCGACAATTCAAGCGCCAGACCGCAGCAACACTCAGGGTCTTAAAATAACTGGGAAGAATGTGCTGCTTTTGCTACGACATCTGCAAATTGTGAAACATTCTCTTCTTCTCGGATAAGGACGATGAACCGTAAGCCCAGTCTCCTGCACTTTCTCTGTTCTGGTTGGCAGGGGACGTTAAGGATCACTTCTCGCAAAATGTAGAATAGGTAACTCCTTGTGCTATGGCCTGGCATTGTAATTATCTATACATCCTAAAGATCCTCCATAAGTATTCCCTACATACGAAGAGGTAATAAAAATAAAGGAAGAAGAAGAAGGAGAAATGTCCTTCACCTTATCGTTTCTTTTCCTTGATTCACGGTAATAGAGAAAGTTTAATCCGTTTTTGCTGTACTTTAGATTATATTTTGTCACCCACTGATCGACATCTCTGCGTCCTTGTGTTGCTAGGCGAGTAACTTTTGTGAAATGACTTAGGAGATCGACGTGCAGCCATTGGTTTTTGTCATTTGTGCGAGCCGACCAACCTCCAAATTTGCCAGTAACGTTGTAGTTCAGTCTGGCCTGAACGGCTGCATGATTCCCGTCATATTCAGAGGAACCTCTAATCTGCATGTCGGAAATTGCACCACTTTCCATACCAAGAGCTAACTTGCACTCTGTATTTCGAAAGGAATGACTTAAAGATAACTTCTGCTCCTTTTAGTAAGCTATTGACATTAACTGCGCTCTGCATCCCTTACCCCGAATCCTCATCCCACATCCTACATCCCGCTTGCATCATTTTAAAACCTGATTCCCGCATTTCAAACATAAAATCTCACAAACGGAATTGCGTACCCCCATTGCCCATCCTGAATCCCACACCCAACAGTCCAAATCTTCCCACAATCTGTAAACACTATTCCTTATATTTTGAAATAAGAAGTTGAATATACCTTAAAAGAAAAAACAAACAAAAATATGTAGGACAATTTCGAAAGTAACTGGTCATTAGAAACCCGATTTGAGCTCCAATAGAACAGTGCGCGCCCTATGTCTGTAACTGAACATTGTAACTGGTCAGTTTGCATATCAAGCGTGTGTAATTAGACAATACATTCCGTTTGAATGCGTTGTGTATAAACTACTGTGTTTAAATTCTCGTGGAAAAGGCATCCCTGATGGCTTTTTTTAATATAAAATTTTGAACTCTTTATATAGCATTTCTAATGTGCTGTTAGTTAACTCAACTCTGGTTATCAGATCATATACCGTATCACCTCATATAGAAGCGATTATAAAACAAACATTAGGCAATGTCATTTCCTACAGTCGCTTAAATTTGAAAAACAAAAAATTAAGAGTCAAAACAAATTTCGTAAGTTCCCACAGCATTGGCGAAAAGTCTAAAATTTAATAAAACAATTATTTCGTTCGTGCTTGTTGGATAGGAGATTGGGTGTGGTCAACTTGGCGGCACGCGTCTCGTTAGCTTTTTACCATCTCATATCCAACGTGCAGTCATGGAATAATTGCTTAATTCATGTTACGTTTAATCATTGGGTTTCTCGTTTATAGAACTTTGTAACGTCTTTGTTCCATCTTATTTTGTATGTTATCATACTTTAGCTTAGCTTTTGGACTCCCGCTTACGGTCATCTGAATTTGTTCATCACTCTTATGTTTCTAGACCGAATTGATCTCCATTGGATCCTCCTCCTCCTCTATAACAACAACGACATCTTTCTAATTACCTTTTTGACATCCGTACAGTTCCACTCTCATAGCTATCCCGCCAGACCATGTTAATATAAGGAACCGAACGTAACGCGACACAATTGGTGGAGTTAGGTCATGTGAAACAATAGTGTCAGAGTCCGTGTTGCTAGAAAATTCCTTTATTAAAAGAAGGATGTCATCTTGTAAATAAACTATATATTGAATTTTTGTAATTCCAAATGGAACTGGTGAACATCGGCAAATAAAATTTGAAAAAACAATTTTTTTTAGTAGCGAAACATGTTTAGTCATCTCCAAGCAATCTAGATCTGAGGCTGTAAGGGTTAGTAAAGGCTCTTTTTCCTTCCCCTCCCCCCCCTTCTTCTCACTCACTGACTAGCTATTTGGTAATGATGGTGGTAGGAGGAGGGGGGGTGTGGTTAGTAAATGGGCGTCTCTTTTGCAGGCATGTTAGATTCACTCTCTGAAAAATTGATATGTCTTACCTTATCTGAAAATTTACCCTTCTCCTTGTAATTTTTGAATTCTACTCCGTTGTAGCTGTGTTGTAATTTGTATTTCGTCACCCACTCGGCTAAGCCATTCCTTCCCTGAGTTGCCACACGAGTTACCATGGTGTAGTAAGAACCTCCCAGGTCAATTTGTAGCCACTGGTTTTCATCTGTAACAGAAGCTGACCAAGCACCTGATTGGCTATCTGTGTTTCGGGAGTTAAGTCTGCCTCGATAGGCATACGCAGAGGAGGCAGCGGAGGAGGCGGTGATTTGCCGGTCAGATATTGCACCACCCTCGATGCCAAGAGCAGATCGACATCCTGAAACTGCATGATAACAGATAAAAAAAAGCACATAATTAACGAAAGGAAGGGGGTAAGGGCCATGATTTCACTCGTCATTAGATATCAGCACCAGCCAATTTGTTTTTAATCACATCTTCACTGGAATCAAGACCATGTGACCTAAAAGTATTATTCGCAACATTTATTCAAGTTAAGTTTCGACATGAGTGCCGTTTTTTATCTCAGTTTTAAGAAAATTATTTTAGGTTTAGTGGACTCAAATGTTAATCGCGTTTACCCCAGCTTCTACAATCTTTGAGAAATCATTATCTATTCATGAACTGGAATATAGCCCGCGCTTCCAGTTCCAGGCATATATATGCTTTTTTTCACTGAAATCTTCCCTCGTCATCACGCCCATAATCAATCGTTTACTGGGTTCTGCAACCAGCACAGGAGGCTTGTGTGCTTACTGTATAATTTTGAGCACTATATCATTCTGTGTGAATGGTCAGCGTTATAATTCCTTTTGGAATTAAGCGGAAAGGATCAGAATAAACTTGTTATAAAGATACCGTTCTCCAGAGGTCGAGCCTCTTCCGGCGTATAGGAACAACTATCATTCACACTTAGCACTGGATCGCTGACTGCAATGTCTCCAAGGTAACCACCAACAATTCCTTCGATTACAATCTGAAGAGAACAGATAAAAGGTTATAATAGGTGGAAAAATCAGCAAATAAAGTCAACAAAACTAACAACGGTAACAACCACAACGATATCGTGGCACCCTTAAGAACGAAAAAGTTCATCACCGAACTCGCTAAAACCTTTTATTTTCAGTTTGAAAGTGTTAAATCACGGCTGATTTGTACCTGATACAAGTATCTCTGAAGAATGGGAATCTGTCCTCTCTTCCATGCGTTGCCATGAGAACCAGTAAGTCTCCAAATGAGTACATCGGCCTCACTTTCGTGACTTTTCAGGTACAAGTTTAGCCTTCCCATAGTACTTCCATCCATGTGGTACCAAAAGGTAAAGCAATTTCTTGTAGGTATTGTTGGGCGTGTGACAAGGCGACCCACGTCACCTTTCTGTCGCGGGAACGAAGATTCGACGAACATAAATTTTTCGGCCGTCTCTGCAAGTATAGATGTCAGTTGTTACAATTTTGAGCATTTTCCTTTGAAATAGAGGAGTTAAGGCTTAAATAAGTAAGAAAATGAGAGTACATAGCCATTTTGGTTATTTCAAGAATTTTAGCTAAAATTGGTCTATAGAGAAGACTCATTAGGAGGGAACATATAGTATTCAGGGATAAACATCGTACGTTGCATGCTATTGCGCCGAACAAAGGTTATTTAATGATTACTTAAACGAAGACCTGGGTTATGTAAGGGTCCGTTCTACATATGTACCTCCGTGGCAAGGTCCAGTGTTTTCACTGGGTGTACAGTCTGTTTGTAACTGCTGCCAGTTGAAGTCCAACGCTGGTTGTTCATACCACAAGATAGTGTTTAGGTCTGAGATGAGAAAGGAGAATAATATTGTAAATTGTTTGGATCAAGAACAGAAGCTGATCGTGTAGTCTGAGTGAGAGTATTCCTTAAAGGAAAGTTACTGGTGGCATTTACTTACTTTTACGACAACCAGAGCGAGGTCATCATCAGAATCGGATCTAATACCCTATTCACACCTGCAAAACATGTTTTGTAAACTGGTTTTTGCTGAATGAAAATCATAGACAGAGACCTGAAAAACTTAATTTTCCGTATGATTCAAGTACTTGCCAACTTGGATTTCCAATGTGCTAAATTTAAGTGACAAAATATTAGGTTATGTATTTTCTACGAAAAAAAAAATGTGTTTAACAAAACAACTATAAAACATGTTTAAGCTTTGGTGTGAATTGGGTATAAGTTTTATTCCCAACAGATTTTGACTTACACTACTTGGGTCTTACAGCCAATATTATCGCGGAAAATTGATTAACGAGTTTTCACGAGCCATTCTTGTAACACTCGAGAAACAAATTTATATCTGATGACGACTTCCACTCAGGTTCTCGAAACATCGGTCACTTCTGACGACAACCGTCCTTGTACAGGACCATTCTTACCCGGGCGATGGGAACTCCAGCCAATAAAGAGATTTGAGAGTCGATGATGTTCAACAGTGCGATTTTTGACATTCATTGGTTCTTGTTCCTTTTCATTCAGTCAAGCGTTGAAGTTTCTGCCACCCCCTCCGATGTAGGAGGCTTGGCAGTCGGAAGCCGAACTGAGCTTGTAAACCACTCCTTGTCTGTAACCTGGTTCTTCCGGTTCTTTGACGTTTGAAAATGTCGTCGTGTTATACCAGACTCACACATTCTTCGATAGTTCTAATACTAAAGAATCCCTATGCTCTTTCACAATTCGAAAGGGCCACTCTTATTTTGGTCAGAAAATGATGTTGACGAGGTAAAAAAAGAAAACTAGGAATGTAAAACTAACACACCTGATAGATTGACACTTTCTTTGACTGCTCCGTTTGTTAAATATGAATACCGTATGATTAAATCAGAGAGCTGAAGAAAAGGTTGTGAGCTCACAACTGTAGTATGAGGAGCTTTGCCGATAGCGACATTATTATAGGGATTGCCTCCACCTCCAATCACTTCAAACTTCATTGTCTTTTGAAGGAGTCGTCCATTTTCGTAATACCTTAGTCCCCAGGCTTCGCTCCAAGTGATCATGACGTGGACCCAACGGAAGGGGATAACAGGGTTGCGTTGAAGTTCCATGGACCATATTTTTTGTGTAGTTGCGAACCGAATGTGATAGGATGAGTTTCCTGTTGCGGAAATATATTTATGATATACAGCGAAGCCCTCTCCGCGAGTACTTTCACTGAAAGATGCTATGATGTAGCTTGTGACATCTGTAAAGAAACAAAATGGCTTAGGAATTCGTGGCATACAAATTTACTATATTTTATTGTTAATATTAGAATTACTAGTATAATAAGGGTAAGTAAAAATTCTGTTTTCAAATTTTGTTATTCTTTTCCCTCAAAATGAATTGCACTGTTCAACCATTCTTTGAAATGTAACGCATTTTTTTAAACGTAGTTGTCATTGTTTTCCCCACAAAAGCACTTAGGTTTATCAAGGGCGATGAAAATATTGCAAATTTTTAACTCAATTTACAGAGGCTCACGGATTCGCGAACACACGCAAACAACACACACAAGTTTCAGCAACAACGAGTTAAACTTCGATAAACTTACATAGCTTGGGATGTAATTTTAAAAAATCCAAAAATGGCCACCAATTTTTATCTCGTGTAAAGTATTTAAAGGGCCGTGTACAGGTTCTCGTTTTAATATTAAGGCTTAAAGACCTTTCCACACAATTAACATTTCGTCACACTTTGTAATTGTAGTAACGTTTTTGCACAGGAAAGGAATTTGAAAAATTTACATTTATTTCACCCGGAGCTTCCTAGTTCTTAATTCATTATCGAAATAAAAAAGTAAATAAGGAATAACACAAGTATGGATATGAACAGATAAATAAATAAATCTATAAATAAATATGCAGACAAGCAGGTGGATAGATAATTATATGGTAAGCCACATTATTCTCATATTTTGATTGGTTCTTACTTATTGAACTATTATTTGCCGAAGATGAGGTGAATTGGACGAATTCGAGGGGATTATTCAACATTGTTCTCTGAGCCTTTGGTGAACAGTTGTTTTAATATAAAGGCTCAGGTGCTTTCTTTTGTAAATTCATTTTGTCGTTGAAACCGCTCTGTTACGACTCTCTTGGTTACTTGTATCGAGATGAGCAGCCAGTCTCCAGAGTTTTATCTAATTCAAACGACGAAAACGTCATATATTTCTTTGGAAAAGTGTTACACCAAACTTATTAGCATCTTTTGAGCTTTTGGTATTGAATGTACTTCTTTCGCGTTTATCACTTCCTTAGTAACAATGACTAAACGCGAGGCAGAAAAACTGTGAATTACCTATTTGAATGAGTCACTGATACTTCCATGTGTAATTCACAGTTTTAAATGATTGCTTACACCTGACGGTCTCAATGGATACACTGTAAATCACTAAACCAAAAATTTAGCTAATAGGAGTAAATATTGACGAATTTTGACCGTTAGTCGTGGAGAAGTTAACCGTAAAAACTTTAACTATTTACAATGTGTTATTTTGAGAGTGTCAAAATCTTAGACCGATTCATATACATCTTATCTTGATACATACATAGTAATACTGTTACTGAATTAGTATTGTACATATGATATACTTTGTTTTGTTTCTTTTTTTAACCCAGAATTGACTCATGGAGGACCCAAATTTACAGTTAGTCGTAACATGACCAGAATTTTAACCGTTAGCTGTAAAAGACATCACCCACTGAGAGCCTTAATTACCTTTTGGAATCCATAACTTTACGTTTAGACAACAGAAAGATCCACAGTCCTGTGGCATAATTCTAAGAAACTGAGTCTCAAGGTGAGGAAGAAAATGATGATAAACCCACGTTGTAACCCAGTTTCCATAGAATATCTGAAGGAAAAATAACAAAATAATATGGCAAAAATTTAATTGGCGCTGAATATACAGTACAGGTTTGTTTCTAACCTATACGAAAGTGTTAATTTTCGTGAATAAACAGGTGGTTCGCAAGGCATGTTTAAGAGTAGCAAGTATAAGTAGGGCTAGAATTAAGAGTGTTTCCCAATGGGTGCAGTACTGCAAGGAAGGGCCCTTTCCTCACAAGGGTTGGCTGAGAAGTTGTATAAGTCTATCACTACTGATAACATGAAAATATGACTGCATTGATCCATCAAATTTAATGTGTTATTGGAGCTTTGTGTGACGATCTGAGAAATGGCTTTGTGGGAGACTTCCGTACTTCTCTTTTGCCCTCCTTTTCCCTTGTGCTCATTGAACTTACTGAATCATGCTTACCTTTCTTTGTCTCATAGTTAAAGAGCTTGTAAACTTGTAAGATTCTTGTAAACGAATGTTCCGTACTCTCTTTAATTCTCATGCAAAAATTATTCCACCTCTTCGCCAGTAGATACCACTTACCCGTCTCACTCCTCCCTCGGTGTAATTCAACCATGTTGCAGCATCGAGGCTGTACTCTATGTAAAAAGATGACACTGGATTACCTTGCTGAGGTCCTCGTGTCGCCATCCTGGCGAGCATTTGTTTGCTCCCAATATTGATTTCAAGCCATGTTGAAGGACCTTGTCCACACCAAGCCGCATAGCATAGCTCGTTACTGGCGACCATACCCAGACTTGGTATGCTGTAACAAAGCCAAGACTTTGCTTTGAAGCTACTATCAGGGATAGCTGATGAATTGTCGGTACCGAGATCTAAGAGAAATGAATGAATCAGGGACATTTGTTTGTTTAAGAAATTTCATCTCGGTTACTGAAGTTGACCCTTTCAAATCTATTCCCGATAACCGTTGTTAATATTAGAGGACGTGTTAGTCAAGTACCACAAGGAATTTAAGAGATCAATAGACCTACCTACGTAATTGCCTCCTTCTTTTTTGTAAAGTCGAACACGCATACATATACTGTTTTCCCACGATTCAGGATATAGTCGAATGTATCTGGCAGATGTTACATTAACTGAAGCAGGATTTTGCACATCAAACTTCTGATGAAACAAGAACGTGAGTCTCTTATATGTCTTCTTATTATACATCAACTAATTTTCTCCCTCAGCGAACTTTCTTTGTGGTGGAAGTATTTACTATGTGTGCAGCTAGGGAGACGTTATGCCTCGCAGGGCCCTAGCTAGCATGAGGCAAGACGAGGCAATTGCCTCATCTTGATTTTGGTCTAAGATTGTGTTTTCTAAAGAAAAATGCCACGGGAAATACTTAAAAGAGCATTTCTGAGCCTTAAGATTTCAAAATTTTCTCGGGAGGCGTGCCCACAGAACCCTTAGCGGCTTGCACCTTCGGCGCTCGAAACTTGTCTCGTCTTTTTCTGAAGTCTGGCTACGGACCTGCCTTTGACGAAGAAAACACGTGCTTTGAATGTTCAAGCACTCTAAACAAAGTAAGATCGAAAATCGTATTGGGCAAAATGAGGTTCAAGAGAAGGTCCTGAGAACGGAATAGTGAAAAAGGAAGAAAGCGCTACCCAGGGAAAGAACAGAAAAGTGGAACAAACCAACGGCCAAATTAGCGGCCAAAACCGACCCATCGGCGATCTCAAACAACTCAAAACGCGGTTATGAATTTACTCATAATATATCTAGCGAATTTTTGTCCGTCTTCTTGTTTTGTAATGAAGTAATATCATTTATTTACGGACTCTTTCTCCATAATCACCGATGCAGGTGTCCTAACCGTCACGAAACAGGAAACGTCTTTCGACTACAAAATATGCTTGTTGGAGTAATTGGAGTCCCTGTATTTTAAGTAAAGAGTGACTAGCAAAGGAGTAACTTACCAAAAATACAATAAAAATCACCTTACGCTATTTATTTACTATATCTCGAAGGTCCCCTGATCCAATATTAGCCCTAACTCGTTATCAGTTGGTTTAGGGGAGAGGGCGCACAGACACTCAAATAGTGACGTGAATCGGATAAATGTTTCACATGGAGAATGAGAAAAAAATTCTTGGCAAAATTTCGGCTCTGAAGGTCCACAGTAACTATTAATAACTCTCACCTTATTATCATCGTATTTATGAAAAGTGCCTCCAGTATTGACACGGTACTTGATCCTATATTTCTTAACATATTTGGTATCGTTGTTGCGTTTTATCAGCTCAATTTTTCTAACACTTTGTTTCGTCCCCAGGTCAATTTGTAGATATTGCTCCTTTGAATTGACTTTGGCACACCACGGGTTAGGGCTCGATGGACGAGCCCGAAATGGGGCGTAAGTAAGGTCTTCGTAGGAGTTGGTTGCCGTAAATTCTGGACTGGTGAGCTCCTCAGCGTTAACTGAGGTTTAAAAAAATGAATAAACAACATAAAAAAATTAAATAAAGGGAGAGAAAGAAAGAGAGAGGGGAATTGATTGTATGGAGGTTTTGACTCAACCATTTCAAAATTATACACAAAAGAGCACGCTGTATATTAAATATTTTACCCTTAGGCTGGATTATTAAATAAATTCTCCGTATCAGTAACAGAAAAATTGTATGGATGGCAGTATGGAGACTACTGATGTCAAGGTGTTAAGGGTAAAACAAGTTGTTTCTTGGGTCACCCTTCTAGTCGCTATGGTAACAAGTGGATTTTGAGCTTTTCTTTTGAACGAATCTTAAATAAAAAATTAAAGAAGCATTTGTAAAGTTATATGATTACTTTAAAGCAAGTTGATATACTCTTGTTTAAAGGGTATCCATCTCTTTTGTATCACTAGGCATGGTATCAGCTTTAAGAAGCGCCGAAAAACAAAATTGTACGCTGATGTGACAAACATGATGTTATTAGCTCGACGTTAAGTATACTTACACACGAATGTTATAATTACTAACTAGATGCAAACATTATCCTCAGCTGTATTTTAAAATTTTTACGGGGAACGAATATATGAGCACCCTGATCCTATACTCTGTTCTCTATTCCTCTTTCTCAGTCCTCTGGACCTTACTCCTTGTTCCTTCCCCTTCTCTTTTAACATTCTGGTATTTTGCGTTGTTCTAGGGTAACAGTTCAAATTGGAAAATTCCCAAACTCTGCATTCAAGCAAAGAACATCATGAAGAAATAAATTGGTTTCATCAACTGAGTTCATGTTGTAAATTGGTCACCGTAAAGAGATTCTAAAGCTGGCGTTCCAAGCGTCAGCCCTTTGTCAGAGTGAATCGAAGAAGAAAGGAAGAAGCCACATTTGTTAAATAACACCGTTTCATAGAGAAAAATTCTTCATTTGGGACTGTTTAGAAATAGGTAAGATCAGACATAACTTACAACTGTAGGAAAACACCTCTATGTCGTCTGGCATAAACCTGTAGGTTCCTGCAAAAAACCGTCTAGCGCTGATTGTACCGGCTTGATGAGAGATACTGGGAAGCTCATACGCATGCCCAAGATCACTGAACGATACCGCTGACTGGTCTAAATTGTTGCCAATGAAAAGGTCATTCTCTCCAAATACTGGTCCTGCCTGTGGATCCTGTAGTAGAGCTTTGTCAGCCTTATCAGGTTTAACATCAAGCTTGAGAGGTTGTGAGCCTGTAGGATTGACAAGACTGAACAAAAAGGCACGTCTGCTCCAAAGGTACTGCGAAGATCCTACGGTCCCTTTGAAGTGAATCAATAGAGAATGAAGCTTAGAGATTAATTTCCTTGTACAGGACACTGATTTCTATACTTTTATCTTTGGTGTAGATCAGTTTCGTTATCGAAAAAAATCAAGAGGATCCAGGGGCTGCTGTGTGTTACGTTCGAATTTTGCTCATGCACTTGATCATGACTACCCTTTCGACGTGTATATGCTCTCCACCAAAACATACCGAACACACGTGTCAGAAGTGAAAACTTCCGATGAACAGAAACCAGGGGTTGAAAATAACTTTGCAAAGATAAAACTTTGAATTTAGACCAATGTCAAGCTAACAAGATGCGCAAGAGAGTTGCAGAAAAGAAGCGCCCGACTTTTATCTTAGACGGAGGTACGGAATTTATCGAATCTCATCGACAGATCAATTTTTTTTTCAGTTGTTTTTTGCAATTGTAGAACCACAGCTCATCTACGAGGATCAGTTTCCCTTGAATTCCAGTAGCAGTTCAAAACAGGATTTACATCATTTAAGTTGTAAAACATTGTCAATGTGATACTTATGTGGGTGAATCAATGCACTCATATTTCCCAGACGTTACACAGTAACATTTTACATACCACCCCATCTCTGGTCTGCAAAACCACCGAAAATGTACTTTCCAACTTTGACTAAAGTCACTGTCACTGCGTGATTGGGGCACTTTTCGTGAAACGTCTGTGCCCCAAAACCGTCTTTGACAGCTCTATAGCAAGGCTCCCAGCGGGCAGTTTGAGTCATCAGTGGTTTAAGCCATGTCCTCAAAGCATCGTAATATTCGTTTCTCAGCCCCAAAATGTAGGAAACGAAAAGCGCTATTGAAAGAGAAAGGAAATGACTGAAAAAATTACTTTCAGAGCGCGTTCACTGAAACCTGGAAATATATACGTTACAGACATAATATTCAATAAGAAAGCCACAAGATATTCCCTAAAACTGCTGTAAGTCGCGCGAGGAGTGCGTGTTCAGGGCCACATTTATGAAACATACAACAATACCAGGAAGTAAAACCATATGGACTGATTACAAAAATATCGTTAAAGGAACCCACTTCGAATTAAAAAATTTACTCCGCAGTAAAACAAAAACTCTTCCAAGAAAATAAAGGTAGTGTCGTGTCTTTTCCCTAGTGTTTTTTGCAAGGTTTTGATTATGAAAATTATCTTTCTTTGTTCTTAGACCCTCCGCAGGGCAAGGCAGGTTATGTTCATGAGAAAATTAAAAGCAGCCGCTTAGTTTACTACTGTTTTCCTCGAAAATCGCATTTATTTTATCAGGGGTTGTATAGCTGAGTGAATGTAAATGTTAGATGTAGTTCGTGAATCAATATGAGTTTCGATTACACTCAGATATAGAAGAAAAACGACTGAGATTTTCGTCACAAACTTGCGATAGTTTTCTTCGCTGGTACTTCACAGGTAGTAGATAAGTTTTCTGACACGTCGCTTTAAAGGAAGTCAAACAGTTCTTGAATAAACAGTTCATTAAACAAATCAGAAAATCTACTAAACGCACAGAAAAAAAGCCTCTCCTCTTACCGTTGTAATTCATCCAAAAACTGAGAGAAAGACCGTTGGGACAATTGTCCAGGTTACCCAAACACTCTCCAGAATAAGAGTTCAAGCTCACCCCTACATCTCCTGTTCGAGTGAGGACACCAAGGTATGTGTGCTTATCTTCATCAGCTACATTGGGCCAGGCAATCTTAGATTTGATCTGATCCCGCAGTCTGTTGTTGCTGTCAACACCCATGAGTGGCCAGTCATAATTAGCTAAATTTCAAGTGAAAATTTTTCAGATCACTCTAAATTTTTGGGTGAAACTACATGTTTTGATATTAATCTTCCTAATACAAGGTTCACTGCTGCAAATGAACTAATTGCTGCAGATGTAAATAAAAACTAAGGACTTATAACTGAATGTCTAAAAAAAACCGAGACAAAAAAAAAATCCAACGGCCAACAAGAACAGATGAAAAAAATGTTAAAATTGTAAAATTTTTTATCAAGTCGGCGCGTACCCGGAATATAAACTCCGGTTTAGTTAAGCAAAAAAATAATTATCGACCCTAAAGAACAAATAACTCGTTAGCCATTTGTTCCATCCAGCCCCCTCCCCTACCTGCTTACTTACCCACCCATCCTTCCTTTCTCGCTGTCTACATCTTTTTCTCCCTATCTATCAGCTATCCTGGCCCTCCTCCCCTTTGCTGTATACGTACCCAGCCCCTCTCACTAAAAGTGCAAACATCCAGCGTACCTACCTCACCCCACCTCCCAAAGTCCTTTTATACCTATCTACTCAATCACTTGGCGACATGCGTATTAACCCTTTAACTCCCAAGATCTGATTGGTAATTCTCCCCTCTAGCTGCTACACGTTTCCTTGTCAATTAGTTATGAGAACTTAGTGTCAGATCAAGATAGCAGTTTCTATCGGATAAGTTTGAATATTTTCATTACCTGTTTGCTGAATAATGTATGGATATCATAGGGAGAAGTTTTATGTTGATCACTTCTGGGAATTAAAAGGTTAGGGGCGTAAGTTTCTAAAGAAACTGTGGTGCTGCGTCGGTGAGAGAGTATAACAGGGTAATTTAATAATTTAGTAAATGAGTTGATAACGTAAATTGGCCACCGTAAAGAGTTTAAAAGCTGACGTTTCGAACGTTAGCCCTGCGTCAATAACTCTGTGAAGGGCTAACGCTCAAAATGTCAGCTTTTAAACTCTTTACCGTGCCCAATTTACGTTATCTACTCAGTTGATAATACTAAATTACCCTACATATGTATTACCCCTCCTAACATCATTTATCTACCTAATTTCTGATCTTTTACCTTTCAACTTTCGCGTTTTGTCTCTCTTCGAATATATCACATGTACCTTCTCTGCCTACCTCTGTCCCCACGTCTCTCCCCATCCCCACCCTGTCTGTTTACGAGCCTACCTTCCTACGTATCTGGTAACCTACCTAACTAGCTAAGGGACTCGCAGGCCTTCTGCTCGTTTGCCTCTCTGAAAGAGACACCACATGTAACGAACGGAAGTAGAAGGTGTGCCCGTCGTATTCCTTTTTAACCTAAAATTGTTTACCTTTAGGAAGACACCTGACCAATGGAGTCCTTGTAACATTACCACGAAAAGCCATGTTTATCTCTGGCCATTGAACAAGATTTCCTAATTTTACGCCGCAATCTGAATATAAATCCAATGCCTCTGCTCCAGTAAGCATACGTTCCCACATGTTGAAATGCATGATATCGCCTTTCATAGCTGTGCCTTCCAGTATGAAGCCAAAACTACTTTGCGATTGTCCAAGGATGAGATTACCGCCAGAGAACGGTGACGAATGTCGAAAAGTTTGCCTATTATATTCAAATTTGTCATCTACATATAGACGGAAGTGGCCCGAATCGACTTTCCATACTAACAACACGAGATGCCATTTAGAATCAGCAAACGCGTGATTAGAGGTAATTTCCCTATGAACAAGAAGTAAAACGCCATTGCTTCTCTCTTCCCAAAGTAAGTAATATAGTGGTGGTGTAGTAAAAAAACCAGTCAAACAAATCTGCCCACTAATTGAAAACTTGGGATTCTGTCTCAGAAAGAAATTAAAGGTGGAATTTAATCTCTAAAAATTAAATTCGTATGATTTTAAGAAGTGTAGTGTTGTCTGTTGGTAGTAAAAGTAATCGGATCGATATCAGTATCTGGGCAACTGCCCACCTACCCCTCCCCTAACCCAAAATTAACCCTAACTTGTTATCAATTGACTGTTTTTGGGTTAGGGGAGGGGTAGGTGGGCAGTCGCCTAGATACTGATATTGATCCAAGAGTTTTATGCAAATTGTGTTAATCAGTTTACTAATAGTTTATCAAATTTATTCCGATTTTCTTACAATTCTTTGCCGTCTGTAATGAATTTACACTGTCGATCCTTCTGGTATAAGAATGCCACCTTTCTATCCTCCTTGAAGTGTGCTATTGAAAACACTGCTGACCAATTTTGAGATGGCGGAACTCTGATCCACCATGAAACTGTTAATTCTTCAAATTCCAACACAATCGGAACTGATGCAAAATCTTGAGGGTAAGAGCCAGGGAAACTGAGATAATAATCCACGGGTCGCTCTGAGTAAGGAAAAGATTTAAACTTTGTTAAAAACATACTTTTATGTCGCTGTGTTTGGGGTTAAAAGCAAGTTATACCGTTGCAGTAACGACATGCCTTAAAATAAAATGGAAATAATAGACAGATTTCATCATCAACAAATTAATGTGCTGCATCAGGAAATTAATTCTACTCTACTATCCGAACCATGATTGACAAATGTTTAATAATTTTTCTAACTATTCAGAGTCAGGCAATCGATTGAAGATCGCAGCGTTTCAGCTGTTATACAGCTAGCATCATGATATCATATTTCTGAAATAAATATATCCAGAAAAAGGCTATCTTTTCAATTATTACATCCATTTTGAAATCGTTAGTGATTTACTTTTTCTTAAAAAATAGGAATTCCAGAGAAAATTTAAGAACCCCAAACCCGTTTTGCCTTCTTTAGAAAACCAGCAATGCTGCATGTACAAATTTAAATGCAATTTGAGCGATGCAAATTGTACAGGCCACACATCTGGCCACCTATTGTTTTTATATCCATACATGGAGTTGTGACGCAGTTCGTTAATGTTTCGTTCCTTTGAGTACCGGTACACAAGGACACAACCCAAGAGGACTTTGATTCGGGTCCTCACGTGGAAACGAAAATTTTTTTTGCTCACGTTCGTGGTAAATGTTTAAAATTCTTGTCATCGAACTCAAAAGTTGCTATCTCCACACACACGTAAGACTCTTAGACATACCAAATACTGATAAATAAGCAGCAAGCTTTTCATATATGACCAAATTGTTCGGCTGAGCTTAGCAAACAGGCCATTTTCGAGGTACTATGCGTGGCCTCTGTTTGAAAACGAGGGTGAGTACAAGGCTTTTGAAACGAAGACGTTTTTTAATTCCCATGCGTACATAACTCATTTTCACAAGAAAACTCGCAAATGATCTATTGTGCTCCGTAGTTCAGTTCGTAGAGTATCTAACCGCCACATTCTAAGGTTCAAAGATCGAATCCTTAAGGGGGTATCTTCGACAAATTTATAAAATTTCTTTCAATTATATTCGTCAATTGTATTTTCACTTACCCCTTCTTACACGCGCTTTCATTGCTGTTCGTTTTAGCTGTTCAATTCTCCACTTGTCCCATGATATACTCTTACCTAGCACAATAGGAACATACGGGCCATTTAGAAATGCAAAAAAGCAATCGTCAAACCACCATCCCCCTTTCCAAAGTATAGCACAATTTTTCAAGTGTTCGTCATTGTCACTATCTTTGGTGGTGAACATTTTGTTGTTGTGTCTTGGACCGAGTGAGTCTGTTCCACCAGTTGTACCGAAATACCCATCTACAAAAAGTCTGTATTTCTCACTCTCGGAATCGACTGTAAACGTTTTGTAGCTCGCATGCGCCTTCTTTCCAGGAAATGTTTCCATTTCCACAAGCAGCTGGTGATTCATGGAGCTGGTGAGACGATGTAACTTTTCGTTTCCAAGCCAGAATTCATCAGAAAAATTTCCAAAGCCCTCCCTGTATTCAGCCCAATTTCTGTCAAAATCAACAACTCCATTGAAGCGCTTTTGAAAAACAATCCATCCACCACCGTTTGTTTCTTGGTCGCAAAGTACTTGGAAAGCGCCTTTACCGTCAGGGTCAATGTAATAAACCCCGGTTGAGTCGAAGCCCCGGTGTAACAAGTCGAGACAATCTGTCCCTGACAAAGATAATGAAAGAAAGTTTGTTACCCAAAAAGTCATTTACGAAATAACACTACATAGGAATTTAGCAAGAATTTGAGTCTCGTGGGCTCTGCATACAGTAAATAGAATTTAGTGCCAGCTCACCAACGGGAGCATCAGAAGGGTTCTTCGTTTCCTGACTCAAGGTATTTGAATAAATTTTTTTATTATTGAGGACAAAAACTTGCAAATTCAGAGCCAGGATAAGAACCAACAGCAAAGTCAACCCATATGTGACACCAGGTCTGTATGGCAAGCTTTCTCTTCTGGGCAACACCTTTTACTATCACACTTTCCCTACTCCCACTACTGGCTCACAGCTTCCCCCCCCCCCCCCTCCTTATCATCAGTGTAAGTGCTAAGCGACATTTTTTCATGTTGGATTTCTCAAGTATTCAAAGTTTATTATTTAAGTCTTTTCACTCGGTAACTAACCAACGTTTACACTTATTATTTCGTCATTTTTTATTACCGCCCTATTGCTACCTCGCATAATTTATCCATATATATATATATATCAGCAATATGACTGTCTTCTCGTTTTTCGCGCTAAGCGTAGTTCGACAGAGTAACGCCGTTTTCGCTTGTCTTTTTTCCTTTTTGGCCCTAGTATTTTTGCAGTATCAATATTGGTCTCTTCTGTGTCCGTAATAATGTAAGTGTTTTATAGACCTCTTTGCGTCGAGTTGTTAGTTGTTTCTTTATATCATATTTTGTGTAACTTTTGTAATTGATTGTTATTTCTGTTTCAACCTACGTCACTTCAACGTTGATGAGTTAAAGTAAATTGTTTTGTTTCTACACGACGTGGAGTTGTTCATTCCGTGGCCACAAATTTCATTTTCGCACAGTGCAGTTTCCCCCGGTATTCATGAGTTATGTTCAAAATGCTATGTTCGAAATGCAGCCATGATTTTAGTCGAGATTCATATAAGAAAATGCTGTAATTCTGTGACATCGTTTATTTTACTATCTATGAGGTCTGTAGCACATTGGAGTATATAAAACTTAATGAAAACAAGTGGTCTTAATAAACTAAAACGGCATTAATAAAATACATCTTAAGGAAATAAACGAAATTACTGACTTACCTACATGGTTTTCATTCAAAGCTTCCACCATTTTGAATAGAATGGAAAAATAAAGAAATGCCTATATAAAAGATTGAGGAAAATAAGACTCTATTCGGCAAAATTAAAAGACAAGCAAAAAAATTGCAGTTGGAGAATTTATCTTAAGTCTAAAACAATAATAACTAAGCATTATCCCCTCGTGTTACCATAAAAAAAACTCAGCGGTCGCTTTTTCTTTTTTAAAATTATATATAACGTTAGTCTGGTTTTATCAACAGTGCTGATGATGTGAATCGGCTGCTGTAAGAGATAAAATGCTTTTTTTGATCAGGCGGAAAAAAAGGATGCTACTTGCCACATATTTATCTTATCTATATTCAGTATGCAATTTTATTGAACTTTCCAAAATTTTATTTATTTTAAGAATGTTTTGTTTTGTCGAAGTAGAAAACGTTAGGTAAAGCGACGTTTTCTCGCAGATTGTAAACGCCAGCCTACATGAATGCGGTTTAAAGGATTATCAAGATGCCCAAAAATAAAATTTGATAATTTGGTTGCGTATACTTGGTGAGTTAGTGTTATAAATGATAACGTTCTCTTATTAATTAATAAAATGGCTGCGTAAAGAATCTCACAATTTTCTGAGCTGCATCTCCCTTTAATTTATGAGACAAAAAAGTTGAAAGGAGGATTTGGGACGAGATGTTCCAATTGTATCAACTGTTACTCCGTCTTACGAATGAAAATATACAGAAAATCTAAAGTTAAACCTAGAGAGCTAAGATTCGAAGCTATTGTTTGGAATATTAATAGTGCAAGACTTTTAATATAATCTCGGCGTTTGTTTTGAAAACAGAGATGTCGTCAGAAAAGCTGAAAGTGCGTAATTCAAAAAACTGAAAATCTGGAAAAAAACTCTCTCTTCGGTGGTTTAGGCTCTGCGATATGAAAGATTCTACCATTTTCACAAAAGATTCTTCATTCAGAGCCTTTTATAATTTTAAGTTATTTTTTTTTCAGTGATAAACAAAAAATTAGATCACTTTAGTAATTTCCGCAGTACAAAGGAAAGATGCTGTAGTAAATATTGGTTAACTCTGAGAAATTATTATAGGAAACTTCTTATTTCTTGAAGCGCTGACTAAGTTTGAAATCACGTGTCTTGAAGTTACTACCAGGGAAATCTCGCACTTACCAAGTAACTGGGATATATGCCAAGAGCCATTCTGATTTCACTTCACTAAATCCATTGCGACTTAAAACTTTATGAAAAGCTGCTGTTAATTAGAGACTGCTAGAATTTTTGAAGCAAACTGATTCAAAACAGCATGGTTCTGGGTGCCATGGGGTAATTCATGTATTCGCATACATATTGAAAGAGTTGCTAGGTTATATGAGTCAGGAAAATTGTTTTAACTAAACATTTGCGAGAAAGTTCTCAGTTAACCTGAATCATTGACGGAATATGATAACAGCTTAGATTGAAAAATGGGAACATCGACGGGGCTGCTATAAACAGGCTATCGTTATTTTTATAATATTTTGACAGAGGGAGAGAAATGAAATGAATTGTAGATCCGAATGAATTAGTGGAGCTGTATACTTAAATGAATTTCATGCATCATTTTTATCCTGTGAAAAGTTTAGATCTAGTCTCGTGCAATGCTGAACACAGCGGGAAATAATGGATTGCTATTCTTTTAGTCAATATTTCCCGTTGTATTAATTTCGTAAATCGCAAAATTTAGGGGGAAAGCTGAGCAAACAACTCTTTCAGGAGGGTTTTTATAATCTCCAAACGGCGTGCTTTTCTAAACTAAACTAAGCAAATCATAGCAAATAAGCAAATCATAACGGTGTCGATATTTTGGTCTCAAAATCTCCATTACCATTGGTGCTAAGTTTAAATACGTGCCTATTTGTATCGAACCTATGGCAAGCACGGTACGGTCAAGGTTATGAGCTAGAATCCAAGGGTAAACCAAACACGAAAAACTGCATGAGTACCAAGATAACAAGGATTTCGCTTCACAGATGTCATTCAATTAAGCATCCAACGAGATCATTTTACTATATGGTGAAACGACACAGTTCTATAGGTATGCAAAATTGGTTGGAGTAAATATCAGATTGACGGGGGGGGTGTGTGGCGGGGGGGGGTGGGGGGGAGGGGGGAGCGGCTGGCGCACTGAGAAGAAGTGAGTAAATAAGAAAATAAGTAAAACATGAAAAAGCAGGTTCAATATTATAAATCACAAAAGTAAGCGAGAGTAAATTAAAGCTAAAACTGGGGGCTATCCGAGGATATACCGTAAATTATATCTCCAATTTTCATACATTACGTCCAAAACAGTAACTCTACGTTTAAAATGTAATTTTTAAAATGAGAGAACGTTGTATATTTGTTACAGAAGAAGGAAATTTTGTTTTGTTCGTAAGGGAACACTGAAAAAGTGGACATTCCACGCCGTAAATGGTAGGCTGTTCGTATAAATTTTTCCCCGCGTTGAAAAATATCCAAAATGTAATAAGCACAAGAGCGTCCATCAATAGCATAGAACCCTTGCCTCCATTTGGCGCGAAAATTTGTACAAATATTTGTTCGTGGACATTATCTGCTCCTGGAAGCCCAATGTTCTTCGAGCTTTGCTCTCGGAAAACTGTTGCATCTCGGTACACGGACAAATGTCCGTGTATGTGTTTGCGCCGAATGCTGGCTATTGTTTATTCGTACACCACTCATTCATTTTCGCGCGACTCTACTGGCTATTACGTCACATGGTAAAAATCACCGGAAAGTTATGACGCGGTAACGTCGACATTTGTCCTCCGATTATCTCCGTCGAAAAGAAACAAAGACAGCGGAAAAAGTCAGCTCAAGAGTTTTATTTTCTCATCTTTATTACTTTACATTAAAAAAAAAGGGACTCCTTTTGTAGAGTCCAAGGATAGTGACATTAAAATTGCTGATCTCAAATGCTGCTCCGGAAAAGTACAAAAGAGTCGGCAAAATTTGCCATCAGCGCGCGAAATTTAATGGGAGAGTTATAAATAATAAATAAAACCCTTCTGGCTTACTGGTACGAGGGCTGATAATGTTTTTGGCTGAGGGAAATGTCCTTAAAATGTCACATTTGCACTGAAAGCATCGCTTCTTGCCCAAATATTCATTTTCGGAAAATCTCTTAGACGCAGTCATTATTTGTCGACATATCAGCCGCCTGAAGACGTTTATCTAATTAATATTGTACAGTTATTTGGACAGTTGATTATTTTGTACTATAAAAAATCTGTTTGACAGGTTGGCTACACTTGAATCAAAAGAGAACACTGAGAAAGTGAACTCTACCATTGTTCTTGGTACACAGCCTTCTGTTCCCCAAGTACTGGCAGCAATTCCTGCGAAGCTCGTCGCCTTGTGATCGAGTCGGATAAAGAAAATGAAATGAGGATTTGAAGTTCTCTTTAGCACCTTTGTTAGACGCTTAGAGAGAGTTTGTCTTTCGGTAAATTGAGAAGTTTTTGTCAGTGGTGAAAAATTATTCAAATAGTGTTCATTGTTGAAAGGTCCCTTTTGGATTTGCAGCACTTTTAAATGTGAACGATTTTTAATAACGAGCGCAAATAAAATTCAACTTAAAATCGTTTCAAAACCGTGTTTGACAGTTTGACGTCTCATGAACCAATCCGACCAGAGTGTTAACATGCAAGACCTGTCGCAAATCGCGTCTCTATTTGCTTCACTTTTCCCGCCTTAGGAAAAATAAAATTCAACTTAAAATCGTTTCAAAACCGTGTTTGACAGTTTGACGTCTCATGAACCAATCCGACCAGAGTGTTAACATGCAAGACCTGTCGCAAATCGCGTCTCTATTTGCTTCACTTTTCCTGCCTTAGGAAAAATAAAATTCAACTTTAAATCGTTTCAAAACCGTGTTTGACAGCTTGACGTCTCATGAACCAATCCGAAGAGTGTTAATATACAAGACTTGTCACAAATCGCGTCTCTATTTGCTTCACTTTTTCCACTTTATGCGGAAAAATGCATATGAGACAAACAGTTGGATACTCGCTGTTTCAATCTTGACTCGCTTTGCGGGCTCTTCATAATACGGTACAGCTCGTAAAATGCTCAGCGATACTACACATCAAAACGTCTGCGATACACAATGTTGGTTTATAGTCCTAAAATCCATCTTTGAGAGGCAGGACACTCTGACTATTGAAATACTATCGAGTAACATTTCATTCTTTTCATTAGTTTACTGGCGTAAAAACACCGTGGGATGTTAGAAGACTCATAAAAAGAAATTGTATTTTGCTGGCCGAAGGCGAGTAATTGACAAACTATCCTATCATTAATTATTTTATTTTGATAGGTATCAAAAATATTGACAGCTCTGGACACCGACAACAGTTGGATGGGGTTTCTGTCAGCGAAATGAAAATCTTTGCAGTAAGCTTTGTTATGGGAACAATTTGCTTGCAAATTTTGTATAAGCTTTCAAAACATTATTTGCTTCAAATAGCTCGTGAAACAGTAATGTTGAACCAGGTTGCAGATTTTATGACGAGTTGAGCTTTTTGCATGTGTTATTAATTATGGCGGGTACAATGCATAAAGATTTTAACTCATAGAGATTGATAGTTTGATAATAAAAACCGTCAAATATCTAATAAACCAATGGTTGTTTTTTTGTGAGGTGTTTAGGAAGTTCTCCTGATTCGCGGTTCCTGTATTGTTATTAATTATCAGGCTCTGTGAGACAGTTTGTTTGATTTATTTTGGAGGGATTTCATCGTGATGTCACATTTGGCGTGAATATTTTCGAAGGAACATATGCGACTCTGAGGTTTGGTCAACAAAAAGGCGTGTGGACATTTTCCTATAAAATGCTGGAATTTAAGAACCAAAGCGACCTTTGACTGAAATAGATACATTCAGTTATTGTAAGGTGAGTAAATATCTTTTTTTTCGTTTCAGATGTAGACCCGTTCGAATTTCCGACAAAGAAAGAAACAGGTTGAATATGATCGCAGTACTGAGTACAGCGTATGTTATTCATCACCTCTGCTTTCTGTTATGTTTCACAATGGAACTTCGTTCTAAATACTAAAGACGATCAATACCGAGCTCTTTAAAAAAAAATGAATGCAATAAATATCTGGCTTTTCGCTTTCCTACCGACGAGTGACTGAATCGCCTAAATTAAAAAGGAAAAAACGCTCATTTCGATTCTAACCTGAGGAAAAGCTTGAGTATACCAAAACAGCCGGATATTAATAAAACAGATCAGAAATACTGTCATGCGCTCTTAACACTCTCTTAAAACATGAAATAAGTACTTAATTTAGGACCGGGCAAATCCTCCCTTTTTGATTGATTCAGTTTTGTTTATGTTTTGTTAATGTTCAGCGTTACTCTTTACAGATTTGTTTCGGTTTGATCTCCTCCGAACTTAACCTCACTGCGGTTTAATAACTCCCCATGACGTCAAGTAATTAGTAAATAAAAGATTTTATCGATTGTATCATCAGACCCTTGTAAAAATACACTACAAATAAGTGTTTGCGTTTAAAGATCTTAAAAGATATATGTGTCATTTTGAGTCGTTTTCGCTTACAAGATATCTTGAAACAGCAATTATCTCCTGTGAAATAACTACGAGCGAGCGGTAGGCAACTGGATTTCCATGCGAAAAAGTCGCCCTGTATCTCAAACTAAGAGGTATCTAGTAGATTTAGTAAGTCCTTCAGAGCGTGAAATAAAAGGTAGCTCTTTTTCTTTTGTCCTTTTTATAAGCCATAAATTTTGGGATGTCATCTGATGCTGACGTCATCAGTGTAATATATTCCTTCAAAATATTGACTGATAGTGACGTTTTAACAATATCACACTTTTTTTCTTTTTCCAATTTAAATCTATTATCTTTCTCTTTATAATGTCTGTCAGAAATACCAGATTTTCGGTAAGGTTGTTTGTCTGGATTTCTGACACTAGGTTTTCATCCAGTCAATGTCTTTTTTTTTTAAATTTGCATCATTCTGTTTGACAAACAAAAAAAATGGCAATAATGATCATGAAAATAACAATTATGTTACTTCCTTTCACAAGAGCGAAACATTTATCGTCATTTTCTTTGATCTTTTGACCCATTTCTTTTTTGTACGAATGTTCTATAAACTGCTCCATACATTTCAGTAAGGTACGGACAAGGAGAATTTGTTTAACAATCAAAAGCTTCTTTACTTGGTGATCACTCACTTTACTATCGTGACCTTGATGTACGATTTAGGGAAATGTGTATGATGCTAGTCACTCGTGGGGGTCATAAACTTTGCCGGCATAATTTTAGTGATTCTATCAGACTCTATGCAGCCCATGTAAGCGAAGACTGAGTTACATGAAAACTCTATCTTATGTTAAATGATATAAGAATATTTCAAATGATATTTCTATTTATCATTGATGTCATTTTTTAGAAAAAAGACAGGAAAATGGGTGAACGAATCACCCTATCACTGCACATAAGTGATGCAAATGCACAAACACGTGCCTTCCGAAGCCAATCTTTCAACAACCCTCCAACTTTATCAACTCATCGCTCCAGAAGAACGCTAAGCCTCCCAGCGAGAGAAAAACCGGCCATTCCCCCGCCAATCTCAGAGACTCCCGAGGACTCCCGACTGGATGACGAAATGCATCCTCCGGAACAACAGCCCATACAGAGTTACCCAGAAAACTGTCACAACGAGATGTGTAAGTAAATTCACTCCAAGACTAGATGAACTTTGTCGTACCTTCAAATGTATTTGATGCTGAAGAGAAACATTCATTATTTCAATGCCCAAAATCAAGCTAATTTGTAGACGAGGATCCTGCTATATGCTTAACCTAAAATGTTGACTACCGTGATTAAACGACTATCTATGGAAATTCGGTTGGGCGACTTAGATCATACTTCTTTCGAGATGTGTTAACACTGAAATACCGTCACCGTTCATTTGATTTCTTGACGACATTATACTTAAGAATTTCCTGTCAGGATCGAGGCTAACTCTTGTGATGAGATTCGAGATTCCCTGTACATCCCTTGAGTCTCACAGCCAATAGGTTCACGACAAAAACTAACCAATCCGCAGTTTTCAGAGACCAGACCTTAAAACACTCGACTGATTAACAAAGCTTTTGACATAACATGAGCGGCAGTCATAACTAGCCTTCGCAATAGAATCTCTCTTAATTGATGCATGCTGAACTCTTAACAATGTAAAGAATTGAATAGAGTGCCTTTGCTTCCTAGATATCAATACATTTATACAATATAAATAATGTTTATTGGACAGAATGAAGTCCATTTCGGCCTGTAATCATCCGAACGATAGATTAACCAAATCGGCCGATCGCAAATGGGAAGTTGGATTTTTAATCGCGTGTATCATTACAGACACAATTGGATTACACGAAGTCCTGTTAGCGGTGAATTATAACTATGAAAATTTGAGGAAAAAAAAAGAAGAAAAACAGCTATTGGTTATAAGTTTTCATAAAAAAACAGCAATGAACTCTGCAAATTGTACAACAACACCTGCCCTACAAACTACAATGATATAACACCACAGTATTACAAACTTAAGATTTTACAATACAATATAATACAATTACAGCACAAGGCCGGCATATACAGCACTCACACATAAAAGAATGCAAAAATTCCAGTCCTAATTCCCTTAATTGCACACATAGTTACTAAAAGCTTTAAAAGAGAGAAGTGTGAAAGAGAAGCAAGGCTTTTAATTCATGTTCTCGATTTTATATTTGAAAGCTATTTTATGGATAAGGTAAAAGAGCTCAGGTAACGAGCTGTTTTAGAGCTTGCTTTATATATATCATTGCGCAAAAAAAAGAATTGTGCCATCCAATTTCCTTGATAGCATAGTTGATACTTCAGTTAGTAAAGTAGCTGAAGTAGCTGCACATAAGACACGTCCTTTCCAACTCCATGAGCATGACGCGTAAACACTTTGAAATTCTATTTATTACAAGATCGCTTTCAAATTACGTGCATGATGCCTAAACTATCCTATTGATGCTCCAACATGGCTGGTGGTAACCAATCACGTTCGAGAATTTGCTTTAGTTTCACTAGGCTACATTATTAACTCGTGGACTGCTTTTTCCTCTTCTTACAGATTGGTTTACACCAATAGCGGGACTCTTGATTAGCCTTTTGTTATACGTATGGGCATGCCTCCTGTCCTTATCAGCTGATGACAAGAATACCATTTTCTGTATCTCCCGCTCATGAAGACAAGTTACGATTCAGTTTATCATTAAATAACATATCCTTTGCAGTCTACGCTAAAAGCATATTCAAAATTTAAACTATTACTATGACTATTAGTTCGCTGTTTCTTGTTCTTCGTTACTGGTGTAAGCAATTTTGTTGGCATAGGCAATTGCATTTCCTGAAAACATGACCCCTTAATACTGTTTGAAATAGCTTTCTAGGTGGATCAGATTATCAAAACCGAAAATATTAGATGTTAAGAAACAAGAAAGATTTGTAAAGTAGAAGACTGACATGTCTCAATTACAGACTTAAGACAAAATAATTTCCATCAGGCAAAACAATGAAATAGCCGTCCAGACATCTCTTTGCCCGACAGGATAAGTAGTTATAGGATAATTGGCGACATCAACAGTTCGATAAATTTGGTAGTACTGTTTTTGTCTCGATTAAGGGCCTGTCAAATCAACTGCGGGTCCACTTTGATGTACTATGGGCATAGAACTTGACAACAACCTGAAATAAATTATATCTGGAGATATTTATGTTGTTTTTTCTTAGCTCCATTTGTGTTGACATCATCACAGCAAGAGTTATTAATCTTGACCTTTGTGTCTTTTCGAGTACAATGTCAATAAGTGACTTGATGGAATTTCCGGCGTTTAAGATGTGGGCATAATGAAATTGGATCAGATTGGTAGGAACATTACAAGTGGTAGAGGAGAAAAATGAAAAAACCTACGTGATTATCAAACTGCACCTCCCCTATAAAGGGGAATGGGTAGAGAGGTCTTCTATTGAAAGGAGGAGCCACGTGATCATGATAGACCATGATAGTTCTGCTTCTTAGTCTACACATATGACTTGGTGAGGTGCCCCTGCACAACTTTCATGGTGAAACTTTTGGAGTAGAAAATTTCTTCATCTTTTTCAACATTTTCTCCTGGTAAAGCATCAAAAGCTAGCACTCGGTGGCATCGACATAAAACTTTCCATTCTAGTTTATTTGCGGCAAAATACTTTGCGCTCAATGAATAAAAGATATTTTTTTCTTGTACGTATTTCTTTTGATGTAACCATATTTCAAGTCTCATACCGCCGGAAATTGCACTGTAGTAATCAATAGTAATCACACGAATCATCATAAATTATGACCAATAGATCAAAGTAACACAACAGTGAACACGTGGAAATACTCAATCTGGGCAGAATAGAAATAGAATATAGATTGATTTTTCTGAAAGCTTATGAGCCTGCAATTCCAAGAAACAGAATTGAGCTGCTATCTGCACAAAAGTCTGCCCCATATGATTCGTCGTATTTAAAAATTCATGTTCTCCCCAGACTTCTAAGCCTGTGCCAACGCCACGAAATTTGCATATTGTAGTTCACCCCACGTTACTTGTTTCTATGATTCGTATATCCACGATTAAAAACCATCGTAAAAGCTGACTTGTGTAGGTTCGGACAGATTGACTTGAGGCGGTCCGGAAAAGGCAGCCTTGGCTAGCTCACAGCGTCCTTGCATTTTTTTTTAAGAACTTGAATCGACCGTATTTTCTCGATTAAACGCACCCGGCGTTTATTTAAAAATCGGCAGTTTGAGTTCGGCGCTTTTTCGAGGCCGGCGTTTAACATGGGTCCGGCGTTTAATTGAGAAAATACGGTAATTGCGGCACTAAAATCTCACTTAAAAAGAAAGGAGAAAATAAGATGAATTAAGAGTTTTTTGCTCCTTCTCGTCGAAATTAAAGAATAGTTTCGCTGTAAAAGTCTTCTTTTTTTTAGCAGTCGTATACGACTAATGGTCATGGGATAAAATACTTATCGGACTTATTGATTGAGCTAGGCCGGGCCGAAAGGGAAAATATTCGGGTCTCGGTCACCATGTACGGCCCTTATTGCGCTCAGTCTGTGCATATTGACGTCAAGCCAAAGACTTTCCCGCACGGCCCTGCCACTTAGTCAATAAGCACGTATCATTAATTTTAACAGCCCTGTCACAGTGATCGTGGTCTTTTGGGCTACTGATCGAACCCGCAATCACATAAGGCCACGTTAGAATTTTTACACTAGAGAAATTTCTTAGAGGTGATCAGTATAATCTTAGAAGCCGAGACAACATGGCGCTGTCGACCATCTGGTCTTTATTCGCTTCATTTTCACTCCTAAAGCGACTTTGACACGTTAATGGATACTTGCCACCCTTTCCTGCTTCTTGAAAATTATTGAGTCGTAAAATTGTGCTTTTATGACCTTTTTTATAGTTGTTATCAGTAACAACATCTCTCTTGATTTTATGTGTTATCTATGTCTCTCTGGCCTTTGCATTCTCAGATTGGGTCTGCTTATACGTCTACAAAAAACTTATGAGTTTTCAGTAAAGTACACCTCAAGCGACCTTGTCAAATTAAGAATGCAATACAGATGGATTAGTGCCAGAGCTCTGTTTTAATTTTTTAAACTGCTGTTATATGATAGTCGCATATTTTAAAAAAGTACTTTACATCTTCCTTTTGTCATTGGGGGTGCATCGACTTCAATTTATGTCCATTTAAGGCATATCAAAGGAAAGTAGATAGTCCGTTCTCTCTCGTTAACGGCCAACGACGTCGTCTTGACGGCACGTTTCGAAAGTAATTGCGTCAAACTATCTTGAAATTGAAGAATGTGACACGATCCACGTTTTGTATTTAAAATTAACTACAGAAGACGAGTTTTACAGTACTACTGACAACGCCATCGAAATAGGTCTGAGGATTTGTCGAACGAATGGAAAACACCAAACAGGGAGACTGGGTAGGCATATGAATTCTATAATAACTTGAAACATTCGATTGCAATACTCCTGTTGTAAATTCTGCATATGTATTGCAATGGGATTTTCGTGACCTCAAAGGAATTAGCTTGAAGCAAATAACAGGTATTAAGCAGACACATAGGTCGAACAAAGCCTTGTATCTATTTTCATGGTATTTGTTATGGGAAATAAACTAATTATTGGGTGCATAGTCGATTTTTTTTTTATTAAGAATCTAGTCAGATATCAGAATCTATAAAAATCTCTGGTTAGGATTTTATTAGTTTCCTGAAATTTTAATAATCGTCAAAGCGGCCCCTAATTAAAATGTTTCCTCAAAATTTGAAAGTCAATAATATTTGTCTAGAAGAGAAGAGCCTAAAATTAATTTTCTCGACTCAAAAGTAGATAAAATGGCAGGTATTGTGCAAATTTTCACGACAGAGAGTAAATATTAGTCCGCTTTGTCAAATGTCTGAAGTTCAACGGACGGGATTTTGACATGTACATGTTCGTCAAAATCTTGCTATTTTGCGTCGAGAGGTGACGCTTTTTGCGGTGAGGTGTAGGCGATAAACCACAGATTGAATTTTGTAAGATTGAAATGAGGATGTTGGCTATAGGTTGATTTGCATAACACAAATCTTTGACATCGACACAATTTTTTGAGGCAGACTAAGAAAACAGGTCGCAAGGGTAAGCAAGCTGAACCGGAAAAGTCATTATTGCTGTCTGCTGGGTGTGAGATTTAAGTTTAATCTGACATAGCTTTTAAGTAAGATTTGAGATCGGTGAATTTATTTTAAGGATGCATTTGGGAGCTTACAGTTTAATTTCTTTATCGTGGTAAACAATTAGTCTCTGGCAAGTACTAAGAATACGAAATCTATTCCAGTTTGAACGTATGGAAATCGTAAGTTAGAGGGATGTGTAGGCAGATTGCCACTGTATGTCACCTTCAGACGGAACGTACAAACGCATAAAGATAAAACGAACAAATGAAAAAAAATTATTGAAATGCCAACTTACGAAAGAGCAGAACCAGCATGAACGCTCGAAGAAAGCACGAGAAACAGTTCCTGTATTTTTTGAAGTTTAGGATAAACATTTTCAAATCGATTCTACGGAAAATGCTAGATATCCAAATACGTTAGGATTGCTTTTGTTATTTGGCCTTAATTTTTTTTGGGCCGGAAGCTCAAATGTTTTTTATACAAATATACTGGAAACTTCCGAAAGATAATATGGATTGTAGTCATAGAAATCAGGCAAGGCAATCAACCACTCACAGCTTATAAAAATATTTGTGGGCGCTCAAACTTTTTTTTTTCAGTTTTAAATTAACCATTTTCACATGGCTGCGAGGAGAGAAAATGGCGCCTGAATCTTAAACTAAAATCGTGTGAGATAAAATGTCTTCAGAGCGGCTTGATCCTAATTCCATCTGAAGAAATTAAACCCATGACCTGCGGTTTCTGTCAAAGATATTTTTGTTAGAGCAACTTAGGTTCTATAATTAGAAACTATCAATTAATTTATTGACCAGTCATTACCGGTTTGCATTGAAAAACGTTCATCAATTTTAGGCTTGATTGACGAATACAATTCAGCCACTGTTAAGCTAGAATATTGCTGGCCACATTTTAATTTCTTTACATCCTGTTTGTTTGAATTACATAGTCTTTGAGTATATGACAGTCATTGTTCGTGAAGTTCATCAGATGAACCAGAGCTCGATTTGTTTTCACAGCCACATATTAATCAGCGTTCAAACGAAGAACATTGTGCTTTATGTTGTTTAGAATAAGGTCTCTCGAACACATTAGGATCACGAGGAATCGTTGTTTGCTTTTTGGATATCAAACACTCGGCGATTTTGAACAGGTATTGAGCTGTTGACGAAGCCATTCGCGATTCACTACCAACACAGGTTAGTGTCATGTGAATGTTTTCATTTTATAGCAAGAGACGAAATTTAACTCATTGCAGTGTTTGAGATACATATGCTCCAATTAACAGTCTGATTAATTTTCCTCAACGCTAGTGTTTAAACCAAGCAAGTACCTTAAATTGAAAGCCCAGCATACAAAGAAATATCAAGAAACCGTAGGAAGTAACGCGATTTAAAAATATCGCTTAGTTCATAACCCCATTTGTCTGTGAAAATCTCGTGACCAAACTAAACAAAATTTAAATTGGTATACGTCACAGGTAAGTTACGGGTTATAAACTTCTTCTCTTCATTTCTAGAAATTAAAAAGAAACATTGTCTGGTTCTTTCCGGTAGTAAGTCAAAAACATGAAGAAATTTGTATTATGACCGGTGTCTATAGGATATGCAAATGAATTGTGATTTTTGATTTCCAAAACACGAGATTCAAATAATTAATTTTCTTGTATTAAATCTGTCCACCTACAGATTCTTCACAGCAGTTTACACGAGATTAAACACCAGATGTTAGTGTGCTTTTAGTCTAAAATGTTTTGCAACTTGGCCATATATTATTTCTTAGAATTAAACAGATTCCGTTTAAAAACCGAATATTCCTGTCTTTTCTTTTTGGTGGGTAATTTGAGAGTATGCAATTTTTGGCCAATACCCTTAATGTAATTGAACAACGATTGTTAAAAAAGAAAAAAAGGTGAAAGCGATTAATCAATAATGTTGAAAGGTTACTTAAGGAAAAGTTCATATACGTGCGCTGAATTTTGATTTCTGTTCCTGCTGGAAGGCCTATATCATCTGAGAGTAGCCACCTTTTTTTTTTAAAAAAAAAAGGGTGTATTGTAATGTAAACAGAAGTTATTCGCTTAAACTCTGCACGTAAAGTAGTTTAGCGGATCAATTAATTCCTAAAGTTTTTACCACATAATTGCTGAACGTGTTTCAGCCATGGACTCGAAAGATTTTTTTAGTGCAAATTACGAAATGCATTCATTTCTGTTCCACTTTGATTGTTAAACATGGCCGCAAATGGTATGATTACTGTCATCGGTCCGTCTGTTCCGAGTACAATTTAAGTTGCCTACGGTAATTAAGAAGCGTTTTAGAATGATTTAAAAAAGTCGCATTAAGAGTTACTGAGCTTAGAGGAACATAGGTAAGGTAAAAAAAAAAAAAACGGAGATTTGAAATATGAACAACCGCAACTACAGCAAACTTGTAAGAGGATATTTTTTCTTCAAATCTGAGGCGAAAACTGCTTTCACTGAACATCTTACCGCGAAGGAAAAAAAAGCCTTTCAACAAGAGATTTCTGCCATTTTTTAAAATGCGACAATCAAACGTGTTAAAAATTTAATACATTTCAAAATCTAATTTTCACCATCTGGCGAACTTTCATGTGAAGAGAAAAAAAAAGGAGTAGAATTTAAAATAAATACAAACGCGAAATTATTAGAAATGGACTTGTACATCAAAGGACTTTTACGATGCGAGATATTTTTTCGTCAAAACCGTTTTTCAATACATTTCCGTCTTAATGTTAACCTCACCAAAGTTGATCTTCGTATTACCCACTTACGAAACTGATTACTACCAAATCCTTCTCAGGATTTCTTTAGAAATTAAGGAAAAAAGTAATGTTTTGATCTCTAGTTTTTGCTGTTTGCTTGTTTGTTTGTCTCTTTCGAAGCCGAAGTTTTGGCCTGCCACGCAACGCACTCTACCGAGGCGAAAATTTTGCGAGACGGGCCGACGACACGCATGAGAAGCAGGGTAGCGTGGATTCAAATAAACGAAATGTTTTGTAGATTTTTAACTTTCTGAAATTAACACTCGAACTTTAAAGTTTGATTTCAGAACTCTCGACACCATGTATGAACCTCACCTGCTTACTCCATCCCAGGAACGGCCGCGCAGCACTCGGTCCCATTCTCTCAAGCCAATTAGTCAACCTAATATTCTGACTCAGAGAAAGCGACTTTACAGCCTCCCATCCAAACCTGTAATCCCGCCTCACATCACAATACAAGCCTGCCAAGACAGCAGCCAAGAAAGCTTCAGTGACGACGAAGAACAAAGAAGTGGATGGAGTCATGAAAGTATGGGTGAGAGAGTGATAAACCTTTTCAATTCAAATCATAATTTTAGATTATTTTTCCTACGAGGCAGATGGTCCCCTCTAATAAGAGGAGCCTCAGTACATGCATCACTTTCGTTCTCAGAGGTGCAGTTCATATTACCAGTTCTGTCACTGCTTGCTACTGTCTGATGCAAACACTTTTCCCCAGACATGATGGTAAACTGCAATAGGAAATTTTGCTTTAAATTTGAGCACAAGTCACAAGCTCAACCTCCTTTATTTAATGAATGGCAAAATGTTTGAAATTTGCTTTTGCTTAATTATCTTACTTTTCTGTTAAATTAACTTTTTTTTCTGTCAGCGTGGTACACTCCCGTTGTTGGTCTATCCTGTAGTCTTGTGATGTACCTATGGTCATGTATGCTGGCCTACTATTCGTCAACATAACTCTGTGGAAACTATCGGGTAAGCTTCTTTATTGATAAGACGAAATGTCACTACGTTCATCTTCTAAGGTTTTTTGAAGCAATAAACTCGAAACGACATAAAGATTAAACAAATCTAATATCACAACAGCGACATTACATCCAGACATCCGACAACACGATTCATAATGAACCCCTGGACGTAGAAAAGTCAGAATATTTAACCTTTCATTCCCATGATGTATGTATGTACGTATGTATGTATGATCTCTTCAATAATTCTCCTTCCTACCTGTCATACATTGCTTATAATTTTAGTATGGAGAATTTGGTATTGAATGAAATTGCAATCCACTAATTTATGTTTTTCTATATTCTCATCACTTGTTTACTAGAGATTGTATTGATATTGTAAGGAGAAATTCTGTCTTGGTCACAACTGAGAGTGAAAGGGTTACACACAATAGGTGACAAACTCGAAAAGGGACCTAAACAATAAAATTACGAAACTACAGCTCAAGGAATTTTCAAATGTTTCGCTGAAAATACCAGACATAAAAAACACAGAAAAGATACTCAAACTGATAACAATAAATACGAATGTTCCAGAAATACAAACCCAACAACGTAAATTAGAAGACACGGCACAATTTTTCGTAATAAAGATATTGCCTTTTTCCTTATTAATATACTAAGCTTATCTAAGTGCATTTGCTCAACTCGCACAGCTGGTTTAGATTTATTTCAACAGTTGTGAATCGTGCGCAGAGTGGTTCTGCATGATGGCGACGTCGAATCCTTGGTTCTACCTTTCAAAACAGCGTTGCACAAGATGTAATAAATGAATGCTCTAGGTAATGGTTCTTTTTTTCTTCAACCGTTTTTGTTCCTTTGATTTTTTTCGCCTAGGGTATCTGGAAGAAATTTAAAACCAACGAAAGATGGAAGGAGCAGCCGCGCTTACATAAAGAGGAATGGAGTCGAAACCAAAATTCACCAAAATTAGAAACGCCACAGAGTAAGGAATGATACAGTCCAATGAAAAAAGTAGTAACATGGAAGATAAGGAGGGAAATAAAATGGGAAATAAATTTGAAAATGAAATGAGAATTACAAATGGAAATAATAGACAACAATTATGTGAATAATAGACAGATATAGCAACGCGTTTACGTAAAACGTGAGCGGCAAGAGTGATCACGTGACCCCGATTTTGCCGTTATATTTTACGTTTGCCAGCCGTACCTTGTTTCTACGTTAAAGTGAGCTGTTTCAAGTCTGCAGTTTACGTAAGATTTTCTTCTCCTTTTCTCTCACAGAGTAGAAGTTAGTTGACGCAAAATTGCAGAATAAGTATTTCCCGTAACTTATACAAGGGCAGATGAAGTTTCATGTTTAAAATCCTTCAAATACCTTACTTTTCGTCAGCAGACTGCTGCAAGAACTCACGTTGACTCACGAGACAGCTTCATCGAAAATCGAAGTGACGTGAGCTCAGTCCCGCGTAGCCAAAGCAATAAAGTGAACGTTATTTTACGTGAAACGTGATAGGGCGAACGTCATGTTTGCCTGTTCGAGTAAACGCGGTGCTTAATCAATAGGGCGTTTTAATTCCATTATCATGCCTGATAAATTCTATATTTTTCAAAATCAAGAAGAGTAAACGGCATCGATAACACAGCTAGTTTATTTTGTTTGTTCGTAATTTAAATAAATTGACGAGAAATGTCCCGTTTGCACGAATGAGCAGAAAAGCTTCACATTCAAAATTGCTTTTACATGTCTTATTTTCTAGTCAAGATCTGACTTAATTTGACCCTATATTCCTAGTATTCAGTAAAGGGGCCTTTATCATATCTCTAAGTACATATGTGCGCCATGAATGGTCAATTTAGCGAGCGGTATTTCAGTATACGGCACACGCTAAATTAAAAAGTTTGTTTGAATTGAAAGCCTCATCCTCTATTTGAACCCAGAGATGTTATAGATACCTTACTAATCTCGTGGTCTCGGTCCGTACTGTAAGTTAAGTAATCTCGTTCTTCCGTAAGTTACAGTACCAACCTAGAACTCGGTTAGTAAGGGATGAATCCTAGCTGAAGTGCACTCCTTCTTCTACTTCCTCTTCTTCTTCTTTCTTGCACCTCAAGAGTTCTTAATTAAATTCTTTATTAGCTTTCCATCTCTTTGCTTTTGATACCATTCTTTTCAATTTTGAAATTTGGTGTAGCTTATGAGAACAAGTTTGTTTCCTTTTAAGAAACACACAGTTCAACTTATCTAATTGATATTTACAAAGTGTTGACGTCATTTATGAAAAGCTTTGTTATCATCTAACTGTAAAATGCTTAAGTGTTGGTGGGAAGACATTGTAACGCAAGCGAATGAAAATAACGTACTGTAACTTTTAAAGGCTTGGTTTTTTTTGTAATTAACATAATACTTTACTTGATATTTCACAAGATGAGAGTTACCATTTAGCCAGTAATTAACAACAACTTTAAGGCATATTTTGTTGAAACTTTAATTCGTAAACCTAATGTTCCCCTGATTCATGAAGAAACTTTATTTTGATGTAACAATGAATATATTTAAAGTGTTCGTTCGCCGGCGAACGATCAGTGGAGCTCTCATAAAACATGGGGGAAAACATGCTGAAATCGTACAGTTTAACTTTGGACCTTTTTGATTCTTAATTTTTTTTTTCGGAAAACGTTCTTCACAGTTATATTAAGTAATTGTCTTTGAAACGTTCACCACTCCTTTTGACATCATAAATATAAAATATTAATAATGATAATAATAACAATAATTATAATTAATTAATTAATAAAATTTGCCATAGAGCTTTGTTTATGTCATCTCTTGTCTCCAAAAGTTGTAATCATCCAAGGGATAGACAAATTATATTTGATTTTCCCCAAACTGAACTTTCACCTCCTCTCTTAACGACATCATGAATGTAAAAACGAAAAAAACAAAAATGAAAGAATTCAAAAGAACTGTGCAACCAACCGTCTTCTTTGACTTTTCAAGGCTTCGAATAGTAGGCGAGCGCGCATGCCCAGAAATATATTACGAGGCTGCATGAGAGTCCAACAATTGGTGTATACCACGCTAAAAAAAAGGGGAAAGGAATTGAAAACTTGCGATTTATATAAATAAAATAAAAGATAGTAGGAATATATAAAATTTTAAACAGGACAACCAGACATACGTTGCGAACTCAACGGAGCTAGGTAGATTAACAAAACATTGGACACGCATTGATTGATACGAAACTTTTCTTAGTTCGTCATGTTGATTCAACTTCTAAACGTGTCTAAAATGGTTGAACGATATCTAAGTAAAATATATCAAAATCTCCGAAGTAAAGCGGACACTAACATTGTGCTTGTGAAAAATTATTTTTTTTAATTAAAAAATCTCATCTACAGGGCATCAAATGTCTATAACTGTAACATACCCATTTCCTCTCCAATTCTCACACTTTCATCTTCATCACTTTCGTCCTTCCAGTTGTCTTGACAACGCTGTATGTTAATCAGCGGTAGTAGCACAGGTTTCGATGGCAAGCTCATTGTACGTTTGGATCGTTGCTTGAACTGCATCATGGGCTGGCTTTGTGGTTTGAGGGAATGCGACCGTGTGTTGCGCGGACGAGCAGATAGACGTAACATGTCGGCTTCAGTAGACATGTTACGTAATGTAGAGATTCACTCTAAAAAAAAAAATCAAAGAAACCAAAAATAATTTTAAAACTTCTATTTTGGCCTACAAGAGCTCTAGAATGCATTTCTCAAACTGAATTTTCAATAAATTATGTAAAAGAAAATAATCTCAAATATTTCGCCCGCCATTAACAATGTTATCAGTGCATTTGCGACACAATGATTAGTTACAACGCAAATGATAATTCAACCAGTGAATGCGGTTTCTTGTAATTGGCATTTATCACCAGGTCGCTGTTAGTTAGAATTCAAAATATTTATTTTAAGCCATATGACCAAATCTCTATACTGGCACGCTCCACAAATTTTCTTTTTAAGCTAAATTTTCCTATTTGAAGACAATATTGCGCAAGAGTCGTTCGTTCTCAATTATTTTTTGTACAGACCGTCTGAGATACAAGATCAAAGAAAATTCGCCTTTTAGCAAAAGTGTACACACGAAGCAATCTTATATAAATATTGAGAGGAAATTTGCCATAAGTAATTTTTACTGATGCAACGTTATTGAAATGCCTACCTGACAAATAATGAACGAAAGCGTCAAGTCGATATCCGTCTCTTTGTCGATAAGCGTATGATGTGAATTCGTTTGTCTGCGATAATTCCTTTTAGTTTCGAATGATAAATATCTTTTCGCCTTTGTACCGAAGCTGGTCTAGGCATGAATAGCACGAGCAGCGGGAAAACTACCTCGCTATTTAAAAGCAACTGTCACAGAATGGTGAGAAATGAGTTCTTTAAGGTCAGATGGCCACGGAAAAACGCTAATTTAAAAAATTTTCGTCACTTAAAATTATGGCAAAGTACGTATTTGATCAGTCGCTACGTGAACACAAACGAAACAATGCTGAGTAAAATTAGAACAAAACCACGTTGTCAAGTTAAAAGCTGCATTTCTGACAGCTTTAAAAATGATGGACAGGAAAATAATAAAAAAAAAAAATAACAAAAGAGAGGGGGCTTGCATGAATTCAATCAATGGCGTTACGTTTCCTGACCACCTTTTTTGGGAAACAATTTATCGAAATATGAACACGGAACTAAATTTGCAGAAAGAAAGCGCAGCGGAAGACATAACTTGCTGAGTCATGCAAACACTGAACTGCTTCCATAGTCAAAGTTTACGAGGAGGAAAGTTTGCGTTATGTGAAAATATAGTCAAAAAAACGTAATTTTAAATTAGAAAAAGTACGTACGAGGGAAGAGGCTTGCCTAATGGCAATGGTTACCAAGCGACATGCATACGATATTGGTGGTTGAAACATTCACCGCACAAGACCGAGAGTATAGTGTGAACATTTTTCATAAATTTTTAAGTCTGTTTATCTCGCAACCACATGTTTTGCTTTCTATGCGTTGAAGATGTAATTTTTGCACACAAAAAAAAAAGACGAACGAGATGAAAATTTACTCAATCGAATTGACCAAATATACAGAAGAGAAAATATTAGACCCAATCACCAAAAGCGTTTAACTTTGTGATGGTTTAGAAAAAGATTTCTGTTTCAACAATAACGACAAAAATATTACAAATAGCAAGTGAAAAAATTCATAGCTTGTGTTTTTTTGTATTTTTTCAAAGAAATTGGGAAGCAAACGATGTGTGAGATAAAAATGAACGCTTGAATCAAAGCATTAATAGTCCTCCAATTTTTCGAGAAGTTATGAGCTTGTTTAAAGGACTATGCAGAAATTATTGAAATGTAAGAACTGGAGGCCTTAAAGAAACTCTTGAGAAGTTCTAAGCAACATTTCGAAAAAGGACGGAGAAACCTAATTATGAACTTGATAGCCTTTGTGAAATGGCTCCTCCTGTTGACGGATACCTGACCGAGAAAAAGTACAAACGCTCGCCGGATTAGTGGTGATAGACAGTTGAAGGGCTCGAAGAAAGTTCTTGAGCGAAAAACAGGGCAACTGCGGTGATAAGGCATGAAAATAAACACGATGATACACATTCATACTTTAAACACGGGCTGTTTACTTTTTAAAGTTCTTGCGTTCCACAGAAACAGGTAATTTTATTATGTAATGAAAATTACACAACAACCAAAAAAAATAAAAATAGGCAGCCAATAGCTGCACATGTCTCCTGCTAGTTTGCATAAAGTAGCCGTAACTAGAATTGACCAGGGTTCACAATGAGTCCTATTGTAACTTCTTTCAGCGGTTTCCTAGTTTCCAATCTCCACACAACATTAGCATACTACAATAAGTTTCGTGCCAATCAGTCAAATTTTTCTGGAGTGTGTCTGTATGTCGTTTCGTACAAGTATTCTAACTGTCAGGTATGTTCTTGCTTTCCTTTCTTTGTACCTTGTAACATTTTTGGCGATTGCCAACCTTGATGAAGTATTTTATAACCCAACTATCAGATACAAATGTTGGAATATTGTTTAAGGTGGAGAACTGTTGCATAAACCCAAAGCAACTTAAGTACTTTGCCGAATATTACACAGCACGTACGTTGTGCACTCACGGATTCCAATAAGATTGTTTTGAACTACTTCTGTTCCCTTAAGACCAGCCACAGTGGTAGAAGGATAAAACTAAAAGCTTTCAAGCGGATTTGCCCGAGGTTTTGGGGTAGAGCCAGAATTTAAAGTTGTATTTGTGCCTGCGTGGGTAGCAGGCTTGTTACATAGTTACCGAGTGGAAACAATATTTGATGGCAGGGCTGCGCGGAGCATCGGGAAGATACAACTCGATCTAATCATCATCAAGGACCTTACGGAAGCCGCCAAATGGAAGAGAATATGTCTTTTTCTTTTTTTTTTTCTTTAGCTGTTAAAAGATTGTGTCACTTCAAAAGTTAATCAAACTGTCATTGAAAATTACTGATTCAATTTACGCTAGACCTGAAGCTGATCTGATCTGAGTTGGTTGCGTTCGGAAAGTATAAACAGTAGAATGCAAATTGATAGGACAAAAAAAAAATGCAAAAAATTGAAATACGATGGCGATAGCAAGAGTAAAGAGATTATAAACAATTAATATTCTCTTGCAAGGGGGTTACAGTGGGGTGATAGCTTTCCGGCTAACGATTAAAATTTTGGCCATTTTACGGCTAAAAACACAAAATGACACATTGTAGAAAAGAAAATTTGTTCCGTTAACTTTTTTACGACTAATGGTTAAAATCTGTAAATTTTTTGAACGTTTGACGGCTGACGGTCAGACTCTCTTAGTAGTAGAATTTCTCATTTTCTGTTAAAATAAACGAGAAAATTTTATCACGAAAACAAGAGAAAAAAGCACAAGAAAAATAGGGAAAAAAAGAACTAGAATTAAAGACTGTAAAAGCAAAGAAAAAAAAGGGAAAAAAAAAAGAAATTGCAAAAGACATGACATAATCTTGTATTCTTAAAAGTCTGTGTTTTTTAACGTTTTTTCTTTTGAAAATATCTCAACGGCGACAAAGTACATTTATGGCAGATATTACGAGAGGTTTCATTCAAGAACTGCAAAATGATCCTTTATCATTTTTTCTTTTCCCGCAGAAAGATAAAACATATTATTACCTTTAAACTTGTTTGCAATTTAATTTGTATTTTGTTTACCGAAAATCCATACTGCCGAAGGGTATCAGAAGTAAAATCAACGGAAGTTTCCGTTTAGGAAAAATTTACATCTCAAAGGATGCCTCAAATTGACAAGTTAAATACCGATTAACAGATAAATAGAATTGAAGGTCTTTCTAAGGATGTCGATGCTCTCTAATGCGATCAGTGTTTTGGCTGACATAAAATGTAAGACAATTAATAGGCTTCACTAATTCTCTAAAGTTTTCTTAGTCTTTGTATAACTGAAAACGACAACCTATTTATCAAAGGTAAGCAACATTTGAAACTCCGGATACGGAAGCAATTTCTAAAGGTTTAAAACGTTTTGAAATATAATATTTTACATTAAAGGCTTTATCATGCCGTTTTTAGTTTTGCTTCTATATTTCTAGGCCATTTTTTTGGAGATATTTTTCGCGTTAACTTTATGCTTATGATCAATGCGTCCATCAGTTTGAAGCTTCAACACCCCTTGCTCAACACCTGAGCAACCCTTCGGGCATTTGAGCTTTTGAAGATTGGTTCGTTCAAATTCCTGCCATCCCCTTGGCCAAATTGAGTTCAGATGCTCACCCAAGAGCCGGATTTGACTGTCAATTTTTCATACAGGGCAAAATCAGCGACCGTGACTTTCTTCACATTGACCAAGCTTTAAAACCCAGACCTTGTAGACCTTTCTTTCTGAGCCAGCTCAAGAAAGTGAACTCTTCACCTTAAAAAACCTCCACATTAAAAGAAAAAACACGTGGGTGCGGCTGGGAATACTTGACACCTCCCCACCACACCCTGCCAAGGTTCAAACTCACCAACCTCCGACGTAGACGACAGTCAAATGCCCGTTGGTTGCCCGGGGAAGGGAATGTTGAAGTTTCGAATTGATCGGCGCGAGAGAAGTCAGCTTCAAGTCAGACGAACCAATTCGCTGGAGCAACCCAAAGTACAGTTTCTTTCCCCTGAAGGAGACCAGAGTTCATCGCAAGTTGATCAAACTTAGCATTTCCTAATCTTCCTTTAAAAGTTGACCGATTTCTCATTTTATTTTTGTGGCGACGCATGAAGAAGAAAACATTAATTTCGTGTTTCGTGAATCACTCCGACTGAAGTATGGTAATTGAACTGAAAACTTCCCTAAGGAAGATTGCGTGAAACCTTTTCTTAGGTAGCGAGTGTAGGGGGGGGGGGAATATAGGTTCAAAAACATAACGCGTCATCAAACCTTGCCTTAAGTTTAATTCAAATTAATTCAAATTAAGAACCACTTTTAATTCAACCACAATGATTTTCAAAAGACAAAGCAAAATTTTGTGGCGCTTGTCTTAAGGTGCAGAGCTGTTTAGGTATACTGTGAAAGAAAAAACTCATTAAGTTAATTTGATGGCGCTATTAAAAACGCAAGTTCCAGATCATCTTCTTTTGTCGCTACTTTTTTTTTTTAAAGCGCTTTTTATGTTCGTTGGCTCCACGCTCGTAATGCTTATTTGTAATTTAATTTTAACCCTTGCCGCAAAAGTGGCGCCTTGTGATTTCAATTTAAAGATTCATTTGAACATCAGGAAATTAATGAAATCCGAACAAAGAAAGATGTTAAACGGAAGATAGATATGTTTAAATTTCACACTTTAGCCAGTCTCTCAGGTGAATATTTGCTGATTATGTAGGCGGCACCTTCCATCTTTCGACTTTCGAAGTGACTGATCTTATCACGCCAGAAAAGTGTTCTACATCAAAAAGATCTTTTTTCCTCGTTCGCAAGGAAGCATAGTAGGGCTGGTTTAATATCTCAAAATACATCCAGGTTAGTACATTATAAAACAGTTTCCTGAACAGTAACATTAACGATGTTTTTCGCCACACAAATGAACGCGTAATATCAATTTATTATTCACTTTTTCTTGTTTTTACTTTCCACAAAAAAGGAGGTATATTAGGCTATTTATCTCACCTTTAGATCAAGTTTGTTTGCTATTTTTCCTTAAATGCCCTAGAAATAAAAGCAATACCATAAACAGCAGTATTTACGATGCAACAATACCTCCATGTAGTCGCTCTTCTAAGCTTATACTAAAAAATATCAGCTTGCCCTCAGTAACCGCTATAGCTGTTGGTATCTCAACAATAGCCGTAACCAAAGTTGGATAATAATAATAACATTTTATGAAATAACCTTGGACTAGAATAAAGTTTTTCTTGCGTGTAAAAAAGGCCGCGGGTTTTTTATTAGACGTAAATATAGATTTTTGATTTGCATACTTTAATACATTCGCTTAATTGATGTTCGTTTTCCTCATTTTCAAGGAATAATCCTCAAATGTGTTTTAAAATTAGATTCGCCCGTTCTAAGTCTCATAAGAATTGATTTTACTGATATTCATCGCTGATGAAATATCAGACCGTCATATATACCTTTCCGGCAGGATACGATCTGTTTAAGGGGAAAAACGATTATTCCTCTTGGTTTCAAGATACGTTTAAGATATTCATGGTGATAATTAGACTGTGAGAGAGCCAGTCCGGTTTGTTATCACTTGTATGACAACAGACCGAATTGGACAACACAAAGGTGTGTTAGCAATTAATCGTTATAATAAAAAGACTCGAAAAATTCATCGGTTAACATATTTATGCGTAAAATCATAACAATTATTGTTTTTTTTTTAACTTCAAGAATAGGATCCAATAGTCTAACTAAGGGCGCGCCTTAGAGATGCTTTCTGTTCAAGTTCGCTGGCATGGGTAAATGGGTAAACTGTGCACAGCCCCATAAGAAAAAGAAATCAGGCTGTAGGATAACCAATTACATTCGGAAATGTTGTAATCATTTTTAAATGGAGTTATTCGTAAAGAGTCATTGGTGTATTTAGCACAATTCTAGAAAGTAAATAAAAATCATTTTCTAGAGTTTCCTTACTGAAATTACAAAAGGGCTTCTATTTTGAAATCTTAACTGAAAGAGTCATTTGACGAAACGTGTCCTCAGAATTTGTCTGAGAGAGTTATTCAGCTGTCTGTCAAGAAAGGAAAAAAATACCTGGCAATTTTTGATATGTCTTGTAAAAATCAAACCTTTTTCTCTCAGAGTGGACTATATACAAATCTTTAAAAAGACATTTTAAACTTAATTTTGACAATTAGAAATAACACTCACTTATTTTTCCTCTTTTATAGAAATACCGCCAAGAGGTAATTGCGTTACTTCAAGCAACCCAATGTCTGACAGAGTCACGCTTTTCGTATCCACCAACACTATGCAGACGCGCGCTTTCCGAAGTCACTCATACAACCCCCCTCCCCCAACACCCTTATCTCAACGATCCAGACGAACATTGAGCCTCCCAGCCCGAGAGAAACCTTTAATACCACCTATGATTTCGGAAAATCCCGAGTACTTCCAAACGGTTCACGAGCAATGCCTTAGTGAGGATCAACCATGTTCCAGAGAAGCTTGTGACGACGTCGGTAAGTCACAGAAGACGTGCTAATTAACTTCAATATGAAAACAGCTAGCAGTAATATAACAGCATCGATAAGCGGTTAATTTCCTCTTGTCTCTATTCCAGGTTGGATATCTCCGATTATAGGATTTTTAATCAGTCTCTTCCTATTTGCTTGGGCGTGCCTACTTTCAATGTCCGTAAATGGTAGAGAAGATTCATGATGATCCTTGAATCTCACTGGTTCTTCATAATTCTCTTTTCAAGATGTACAACGAACGATCATTTAAGTAACATGTTTAAAAAAAAATTATCATCATCATCGTCGTCATCGTCTTCATCGTCATTTTCGTCGTCATCGTCATCATTCTAATCATCATAAAGAAAATGATCTCCATTTATTCCTTGTACTCGGAGACAAACAAAATCTTTTTGACTAAAAACAAAAGTAAAATGTAGAATATTTAATAAGTTGAAGACGGCAATTATTGTTTCCTTTAAATTTTCCTATTATAGTAGACCCTGTATTGAGCGGTCACCCACGGGGAACGGCGTGACCGCCTTATATAGGTTAACTGCTTAATGCAGGTTCCACAGAATAAACAATAAACAACGCCACTTAACACCATGATTGACCACTTATTGTACAGAATCTCGCTCCAAAATACTACTTTGACCTTAGGTGACCTGACATGGATTAAAAATTACTTGAAAGATTATTCCTAGATTTATTTGAATGTTCCCTCTTTCATTGATCGTTCAGGTGAAAGACGATAAAAACAGGCAGTTGGGATTTGGTAAAGGAAGACTGATTGATATGGTGTTTCTTTCATTATCTATACATATAGTGATGAGCTTTAAGAGAGCGCTAAATGAGTCTGCCACACCTCGTTTCCAAGCGGTTTTTCTATTCCAGGTATAGGCCCCCCTCAGATACAGGCCCCCATCTGTTTATAAGAGCTCCCAAAACCACCGAAGTTGGTAAGCTTGCAAGACTTCGAGGGTAGCAAAATGGAGGGGGGGGGAGGGGTCGGGTCCCGATTCCGTCGATCGGGAAGCTAGAATAGTAACCAATCCAGTCTTTGGTAGGATCTCTGACAGCGTTAAAACCACCGTCTGGTCAGCAGTTGTCTGGTGGCAAGACACCCCTAAAAAGGCCTGAAAATCTCAGTTTCCTAACGCAAGTGGACGGATGTGAATGCCCCCTAGCAAGATGGTCCTGCGAGACGCAAGTGAACCTAGCGCTCGTGATTACGGAGAACAGAGTTTGCAGTCTCGCGAGGTACAAGCCCCCAATACTTATCCCGTTCCTTCCCACAAAAGGCGTCGGTGTCTCTATTGGCACTTTGCAGTTATAATTACCAGTAGCAAGGCGAAAAAAACAAAGAGATTGCTCATTACATTTTGTGTTGATGGGCTAAAATTGGTAACTCAGACAGCTGGAAGCAACATGGGGTTTTCAGGACAGTATTTGAAAGTCTAAGATGTCCATATGCAAGTAAGTGCTTGGTTACTGGCTACCCCTTTAGGACCCTCAATCTTATTAGAACAAAGTAAAATGATACTTGAAATGGTTTATTAAAATAAAACGCAATATTTCCTTAAAGGACCTTCAGGCACAAATGCCCAAGAACTCGAAGAGGAGGATGCATTGTTAGTGCATGATATTTTGTCCTCTGAAATTGATGCTGACATGCTTTACCATGAAAGGATGGGAACAGAACTAACTCATCAAGTATGGAATCTTAATGATGAAGATATTGAAACAGATTTTCCAACTATTACAGGACAGCTTCCTTCAGTCAATGTCAATCCTACTCAAGAATTACGAGAGAGTATGAATAGCATTATTCGTTGGATTTTACTTTTCTTGTGCTTGTGGTCTTCCTTTTGTGTAATTTCAGATAATGCTCGAGAAATTCTTCTAGAATTTTTAGGAGCTGTTTTTGACAGTTTAGCAACAGTCATTGCAGCATCATTCCCAAAATCCCTGCATTTATTAAAAAAACAATTTGAAATCGATCAGGATGAATTCATGAAGTACGTTGTGTGTCCAAAGTGTGGCACTCTGTACAACTTTGATGACTGTTATCACATTGCATCACAGGAAGATAGTTTTTGTTGAATTTCTCAATCATCGCCAGCATGTTCGCAGACCTGAGTGTGGCGAGCCACTTCTACGAGAAGTCGCATTGAAAAGTGGCCAGATAAGACTTTATCCTTTCAAAGTCTACTGCTATCAGAGTGTTATAGGCACTCTGAAACGCTTCCTTCAGAGACCTGGGTTTACAATGAAATGTAAATTGTGGAGAGAAAGAGGTATACCAGATGGATTCCTTGCAGATGTTTTTGATGGCCGTGTTTGGAAGGAGTGGCAGTATGTGGATGGTGAAGCTTTTTTAGCAGTTCCTAGGAACTATGCGTTCATGCTCAACGTGGACTGGTTTCAACCATTTAAGCATTCTTTGTATAGTGTTGGTGCTCTCTATATGGTCCTGATGAACCTACCCCGATCGGAAAGGTTCAAGCCTGAAAATGTTTTATTAGTGGACATAATTCATGGTCCACATGAGCCAAAGCTAACTATCAATTCTTACCTGGAACCCCTTGTTGCTAAGCTAAACCTGTTGTGGAAAGATGGCATCACAGAGAAGGGCCATGGAGCTTTGACTGGTGAAGTCTACCATGCTGCTCTCCTCTGTGTTCGTTGTGATGTACCAGCTGCAAGGAAAGTGTGTGGTTTTACAGGGCTTGCATCGTGCAAAGGCTGTTCAAAATGCACAAGATATTTCCCTGGCTCAGTGACAAGCAAAATTGATTTTTCAGGATTTGACTCACCTTCTCCTCCAAGAACTAACCATAAACACAGAGAAGACGCACCAGAGATTTTGAACCAAACAAGCGCTGGAGACCGGGTATCACTGGAACAGAAGTATGGGTGAACTGATGTTACTACCCTACTTTGATTGTGTGCGATTCCATATAATAGACCCCATACACAACCTATTTACAGGCACTACTAAACATTTAATGAAGAACATTTGGTTGGACGGTGACAATCCATTGCTCAAAAAGAATGATTTATCTGTCATTCAAGAAAAGTTGGACAAAATTAAAGCACCATCAGACATTGGTAGAATGCCAAGGAAAATTTTGAGCAGCTATGGGGGTTTTACTGCCGATCAGTGGAAGACTTTTACCACACTTTTCTCCATTTATGCATTATATGCCATTTTACCAAAACCAGACTATGGCGACAATTTGTGTTAGCATGTTCTATTATTTATTCTCCAGTGATTATTGAAGCAAGAGCCTTGCTTGCTCATTCTTTTTTACTTGATTTCTGTCAAGGACTTGAACAATTATATGGCAAACACCGTGTGACTCCTTACATGCATCTGCATACATCTCTTTGACTGCATTCTGGACTATGGCCCGGTCTATTCATTTTGGCTCTTCAGTTTTGAACGATATCATGGTATTATAGAAGAGTATGCAGAACTGTCAATATGGGCCGGTAGCCGGCCAAAACAGCCGTCTACTGGAGAATCTTTGGCCGGCTACTTTCGTCTCACTTACTGTTAATTTTGGTAAGAAACTTAAAATAAGGAAAAGATCCAACAAAAATAATTGTGAGACATCCGCCTCAAACGTCTGAGTCGAAATAAAGGCGCATTTCAGGAGTTTTAAACGTGTTTTCCTTTGCCATGCGCGATGGAAATTGATCGAAGGGTCGTGAAACGCCTACGACATTTTCACAGAACAGGATCCAGCAAGAAACCGGCTTAAAATAATGAAAAGATCCCGCGAAAAAAATTGTAAAACATCCGACTCAAACGTCTGGGTCTAAGTAAAGGTATATTTCAGGAGTTTTAAACGTGTTTTTTGTTTTAAACGAAGAATAAAAAAATGAAGGAGGGTCTCAATGGGGTTAACCGTTAGCCGTAAAACGGCCAAAAATTTAGCCGTTAGGCGTAAAAATGAAAGAATTTTAACCGTTAGACGTAAAAAAATGTTAAAAAGGTAAAAAGGTCTAACCACATAATAAGGTCTCGAGTTCTTTTGTTGAGTCTAATGTGTTATGAGTTTATGTGTTCTGGTAGCGAGAATTACAATCGAAACCGGAAGTGTCGAAAGTGTCTGCGTAATTTATCGCATGGATGTCGTTGCGCGAGTTGATAGACGTTTTGACAGCTCTAGTATTTTACGACTTTCTACTTTCTTTCATGCTGACTAGTTGCGATGGCTGTATTAAAAGCGATAGTAAGTCTCTATCGCGCTAGAGAAGAGAACCCTATAAAAAGATATAAGACCAGGGTTAAAGTCGCGGAAGAGAATAAATTATTTTCGTCGTTCCAAAAAAATATTATCGTGTTTCTTGGGCTCAACGAGCAAGCTCAAAAGTTCGGCTTGGGGTCATTTGACCTGAAATTTTACCGCCTGACCAAAATCAATGGCAAAGCGGAGAATTACGCCATAACAACACAGAAGCAACTGGAGCTGGAATTGCCCTTCTTGCTTGGCTCAGATGGGGAAAGCGAACTAAACGGTAAGAAATCCGTAATTTGAATAAAAATGGACTATATGTGTGTATAAAAATGCTCAGATTTGCTATATTTAGAAGTTGCTGCCAGCAGGCACATGGTAATACTTTCGCTATCGCCAGTCAAGAACCGACTATGCTCTGGAGTTTTGTAATTTCTGTATAGAATTCTGTAAAAAGCCTAGTCGTATAACATTTTTAATGCACGTTTTTGCTGGATTATGTACAAGTCACGTTAAGTTATTGGATGCTGCAAAATACCGGACAAAACGTCCAGGAAATCGATGCAATTTTAAAAAACGCTCAGTGCCCGATTGATCAAAGAACAAAGGCGATAAGTGCTGTGCAGTCGAGCTGGCAATCAACGCGGGTCACCTTAATTCATACAATTCTGACAAAAATTCAATCATCTTTTTTTCAGTTCATGTGATACAGTCTGTCATTCAATGGGGGAGGAACCCTGTCGTGGTGGTTAAACGACAAGATGACAATGTCAAAAGAAGCAACCCCCAGAACCCTAAGGAAGAATCGAAATCATCAACTAAAGGAAATCACGTCAAGATACAAAAGAGGATAGAGCGCTTGTGAAGAAACTTAAAGAAGATGATGCGATAGCTGTGCGAACCGATCGTCAACAGAGTGAGCTACGTGCGCTAAATGCAGGTACAGTATATTAAATTTTAATATAACAATAGCTTCGGCAAATATTTCAGTATAAGCGAAGAAAACGTCCAGAACTCTATAAAAGTACAAACCTGTCTTTGATCAAGGATTTGGGGATTTCCTGTAATTATTTATTTTCACATGGCTGAATTTCTGCAGTCAAATATGAGGCTTCTATAGCATTCCATGTAAAAGGAAAATTCTGCGTTCGAGTTCTGTTCCCACCATACGTATGCTTATGTCGAATTTCTAAGCATGAAGGAACTACTAGGATTTCCTCGTTCATCTCAGAGTTACCCTCAGCATCTAATTCGCCGGGTGGAAAGAGCCAATGTCGTATCTAAAAACAAAGCACGTCGACTAATAACCAAGGCGGAGGGTCTGGAACTTGAACCACTAAATTTGTTGTACATGTACACAGCGCACTGGGTTTTGTGATGCATCCAAGACCGGTTTAACAGGTTCCGTGTTCATATTGAGCTGAGCACGCGAACGATTAAAAAAAAAATCATGGAACATCGTTAGATAAAATTTTTATTAGACATTTTTGTGCGGTATTGCTGTACATTTGTACTCGTCATTTTTATTTTCACTTACCCTTCGGGCTGGCCAAAATACTGCAAGACTCTTAGAAATATACGGCGATACTACACACTAAAATTCCGTTCAAGATATATATCGTTGTGTTTTCATTTTAGCCCGTTTTAACAAAAATGTCTTACAGCTGAATGTAAAATAGCATATTGGAGTTATGCACATATAATTATATCAAAAAGGCCAGTTACTCCTTCTGTATTTTTATTATAATTTGTTTCAGAGCTTGAGAAACTTGAAGGTTCGACAGCCATCAATGAGGCAAAAATCAAATGAGGTCTTTGCTGCAAGTCGTACTCAGTTCAACTTGACAGAAAGACGGCAGGAAAAATATTATTCTTCAAAACAAGTAAGTATTTTTGTGACAACGACAGTATTTGCGCTTTGCTAAATAATCGCTTTTAATTTACCTTTAAGAACTTTTATTATAAATTTAATAACGTCCTTTAATCAGGTTATAGTGTCAGAATTTCCACGTGATCCGACTTCAATGAGGTAACACCATACACGGTGTCCCACTCAGCAATCCTGTAAAACAGCGGATATTTATTTTAAATTGTTACTTTCATATTGAAGTTTACAAGTTTAGTTGTATGTACGCATGTGTTTGAAAACTGTCTTTTTCTTTTGTTGTTATAGCCCACTTCAATGCATGTCAAAAAAGAGGAGAGCCGGAGTTAAGGGAGTAAAAACGTTAGAGAACTTCTTTACTAAAGAAGCTGCAAAATGTTTACCTGAACCTACAGGCTCTATTCTGACCGTATCAAATGACGATGAACAGGATCAATATGACGGCGCGGACGCAATTGTTTCTGAGAAGTAATGTCGCTATTCTATGACTTTTGTTACAGTGTACGTTAGTTTATGTCACAGTCGTTTGTTTATTTCCTGTATGTGATTGCTTATTGCTACACTTACGAACTGTTCAGAGAAGGGCGAATAAGCTAGGTTTGGTAAACCTTGATAGTTTTTGATTTTCGACTAGACGACGTATTACAGCGAATAGTTTTTAATTAAATGTGAAATGTCTAGGAAATAAAAGTCAATCTATTTACCAGATGCCCTCAAGAGTTCAATGCAACGTGTTCTTTTATACAGTGCTATATAATAAGTTGACCATGAACCTACGAAGATTAACGACTTGATCAGTCAACAAATCAGTTTCGTAACGCAGCAGATGGCCACTAGGATACATTGACTAAGAAACTACTTCAAGAAAATTTTAGGACCTTGGCGACCTAGTGTTTTTCATTTACAGTGAAAGTGATGACTTTGATATCGGTAGTCCATCAGCTACAGCTTTCCCAGCTTACTTGGAAGAGGAAGACTGCGGTGGAGAAATAATAGAACGCGGTTCTGTTGAGTTCGAAGGCGGGAAAAGCGAAGTCCCTGTTTCGAGAAGAACATTGCTCGCGTGACATTTGCGTTACGTTTAAAAGTTTATTTAGTTTAATATTTCACTTTTTCTTTTCACTTATTGATCACATTGATTGACATTGAAATATGAGTAAGTTGATGGTTTTTAGTTAGTTTTTACACATGTCGTGTCGGAGGTATGAATCAGGATAGCTTTCCCGTTTTTAATGGTTACACAGTTCAGTTTAACTCTGGAATCCCGTCACGAAGTAAGTCAGTTGTTTTAAGTCGTTTTTGGTTTTCTTAAGCTTTGTTACATTCAATTATTCGAGTTGATTTCTGTTAGTGTAATTTCTGTAAGACCGCATGTAATTAGCGGTTAAATCTGTTCGTGTTTTTAAGATTATATGATGTGCTTTGGTCTCTTATTTTTGGTTAGGTTCTGTTGTTTAGGAATGTTATTTATTTTATTGTTTCAGATCGAATAAATTCTTGTAAAATTTATACGGTTCGGGATTGTTCAGAGTCACGTAATTTGGTTTTCATCCGACGGACCAGTTCCTACCTCAAATGACGAAGACGACACTGAGGAACTTACAGCTGATGATTTGATATCCTTCACTGTGTAAGTTTTACCAATGAACTTTGTTGGTTTTGTTATGCCCGTATTGGATGAATGCTTGTGTTTCATTATCACAGCGCACAGTTCTACTGACAGCCCACAATACCTTACTAAATATAGTCTGTAAAAGGTTACAATTGCCCAAGGTAAATTTAATCTAACTGTTTTTTCTTTGTTGGGCTCCACAGATGCGTAGAGAGGGTTCATCCATTGGCCGAAAGGTTACATAAACAAATCAAAGAAGGAAAGATTCCCGAGGAAGGGCGACCCTAAAAGCCGGAACGGTGGAATGGAGGAATGGCGGAAAATGACCCCAAATCCTAAAGCACGGAACGGCGGAAAATGACCCCAAATCCTAAAACACGGAACGGCGGAAAATGACCCCAAATCCTAAAACACGGAACGGCGGAAAATGATCCCCACTGTATTGGATTGGTTGGCTGGGGGATCTTTCACCCACACCAAACGCCCCTGTGTGCTTCTTTTTCAACCGAAAAATGCTAATATTTTTTATAATTATTTTTAGGGTTGAGTCTGACGATGACGACTCTGAAACATTTGTGAACGGTTCTGAATCCAGGATCACAGTGAAACTGCGTCTTTTTATCTTGGTGATAAACACATACCGGTTTATGCCTCAGAGATGAAGGAATTGTCAAACAGCGACATTGCATGGCTATTACTAGATCCTCCTGAAGATAAAGTCGCTTCGAAACCATCCGTTAAGTGTCAAGAAAACAAAATTTTCATCATTACTCCGGCCCAGGCCCTATGGGCCTGGGCCAGGAGTTATAATTTCGGCTCGATTTGTAGTTTTCGACACAAATCTGCATTCTTGCGCAATATTGTGACGTAATCCCAGTGCGCTTTGCAGGCGAGTTTTTCCATTTGACAGGCTCGTGTTTCTGTATCGTGCTCAAGCTCACGTTTGTTCAATTTGTTCAATTCGCTCAAGCTCACGTTTGTTCAATAAAAGGCACTGGACGTAGCCGTTCATTCCTGGCTAAAGGTAAGCTGTCTTGTGTATTCTTTGTTATTTTGAGTTGTGCTGTAGCTTTTTTCCAAACACTGCAACATTCTCTAACCGTCGAAAACAAATAAAGGTTGAATGCCAATGAATGCCTTGATACCTTGAATGCCAAACTTACGAAAGTACACTGAATGCCTGAACAAGAATCGGGATTAAGCTTAAACTAAAATGCACTACTTAGAACCTGAATGCCAGAATTCCTATGTAAACAACTTAGAAGTGAATAATGGCCGTAATTGTTGTTGCCCAGAGTCTACATTTACATCTGTACCTGGCAAAGACAAATCTATTTCAATAGAGGGCTGTAGATCTCGATATGCCGAGTTTATCCATTGTCATTGTGTCAAGGCTAGCTGCCATACAGTTCGACGTGATCGTGAACCAAGCAGAATTCCAGTGAAACGGCTCACTCGTGTTTTTAAAAAAAAAGCAGGAAAATAAGGAGGCTAGTGAAAAAACACATCATCAAAAATATACCGCGGTCATCTCGAATTCATATTTATATTACATTTAGAAGTGCTCGTCCAACTGTTGATTTTAGTTATAACACCCATATGTTTCAGTGGAGATCTGGACACAAGGTTAAACCAAGAAAAAAGCGAGTTTTCGCATCTCACTTTGCTATAGCATCACGCAGAAGAAACCATAAGACTACTAACCTGAAGTTTAAGGTTAAGGAAAATTGTAGATTTCCAAAGGCAGTAAGTAAAGATATTTTAAAAGAATCACGTGTTTATAAGAATTTGAATCATAGGGTAAACTATTGCCAATCACTCCTTTGCAGAGATATAGAAAAAAATCCAGGCCCTCTCTCTGTTGTTCCCTCTCAAACACTTCATGCACCATATTGTCAAGGTAATGTTGCAGTGTTTGGTCAAAATGCTGGACAGCAATGTGCAGCCATGTCTTTATGTAGTCTAATATACAATGACAAGAAGTCAATTACTTCTGCAGAAGACTTGGTTGAAATTATGAACATTGGTAACAAACTGTATTCTAGTCTATCGACCATATCCAGAAACTCTTTCTTGATGTTAACAGAGTTACCTTCAATGATTATGGTGTTTGACACTAATTATCACCTCCAATATAGTGAAAGTTATACTTGTAGGTTACATGCGAACAGCAATTATTCAATTGAAGGCTTTCCTTACTGCATGCCTCTGGTTAGTGCTTTGCAAATTTTAATATCAGAAACCTATAACTCATTCCTTTTGACAATACAGATTAATACTGCAGCAATTTATCGTACTTTACATGGTGCATATAAGGTATTTGATTCCCATGCTAGAGATTCATTTGGTTTGGCCCATCCTCAAGGAACTTGTGTTTTGTTGCATTTCCAGGAAATGAATAAATTAGTGGAATATTTTCAGAGTTTATATACTAATGATGCCATATTTGAGCTGAAAGGTTTAAACATTTCTGTATCAGAAATTGGAGTTCATGATCATAACAAGCCATTTTCATCAGAAGATCAAAATGTAACTTGTCAGACAGCTGCTGTTAATGAAGATATCACTATGGAAATTGATGCAAATATTAGTCTTTTAAAAAAGAGTTGTGCCATATGCTTTTATTGTGTTTGTTTTTCAATTATTAAACCATGTAGTTATTGGAAGTCATTTACATTAGAAGCTGTTGTTGAACATGGAAATATATTTTATAAAGAAAACCTTGACACCAGTAACCAGTTCACAATTGATGGGTTACCACTTAGGCTTAAGATCTATGATGCTGATGTAGATGTGAAATACAGTTCAAAACATCAAGGAATCTTTTCATGTAGTTCTTTGTCCAGCAAACTAGTACTTCAGAGGTTAATTTTAGACAACAAAAATGTGAATATTGGATTTCTTCTATGGCTCTCTGGTTACTGTCTAAGTTGTGTAATTTGTCATACTGGCCGTGTTGCTGCTAAAACAAAGACAAAATATTTTGTAATGGAATTCCATGAAAATCAAGGACTTCAGGTACTTGAACATAATCATGTAGATTCCCTTATTGAAACTTTGTGTAAAATTGTAACAAAAAAATTCAACTGTCAAGAAATAGAATACTGTATTCAATTTCTATTGTGTACGTCGCAAATTACCAACACTGAAAGGCAAAGGATCATGAAAAAGCATAGGACAACTTCACAGAAAAAGTTTACTGCAAACAAATGCAAAAAGAACTATGGTCAAATGGAACCTCCTAAGAAAAAAGCCCACTTAGAACAAAAAGCTGCATATTACAAAAATGTGTTCTGTAAAAAGAGGAAAGGAACCAAAATAAACAAACCTTGCAATAAAAGAGCCAAACAAGTTCCAAAACATCAGAATAAAACCTCTCACAATGACTTGAATCATTTTTTTTCAATCTTTCATAAAAAGATTATGGAAGGTCCATTCTACACATGTACTGTATGCAATAGACTACTTTATAGAAAATCAGTTACTCAAGTAAAGGAAGCCAAATATAGCACTCGCTTTCTTTTAACAAATAAGAAGTCATTTGATAAAAAGGAATACATTTGCAAAACATGTGACTTGAAGGTTTCAAGTTGCTTGTTGATGAAATCCCTGCAGAACTTGAGTCTCTAGAAAAGCTTGAACAGATCCTTATAGCACAGCGCATTGTATTCGAGAAAATAGTAGTAATGCCAAAAGGCCAACAACGAAAAATTAAAGGAGCTATCTGTAATGTGCCTGTTAATTGTGAACAGACATCCAATATTTTACCACGTCCTCCAGAAAGTTCAGGCATAATTATGTTGAAACTTAAAAGGAAACTCCAGTTCAGAGGTCATGTCTACTTTCAAGCAGTGCGACCCGAGTTTATTGTCAATGCCCTTATGTGGCTTAGGATGAATAATCCATTGTACAGCAATATAGTAACATGCATTGAAAATATTGACCCAAGTCTAACAAAATTTCAAGACTGTGAAATACATGTAAATGCAGGTATATGTACTGACAATGAAATATGCTCTTCAAATCATAACTCTTGTGAACAAGACACAATACAATCTGGTGATGACAATGAAGAAGAAAAAGACGACCCTTTGAATGAATTTAGAGCACCAATTAATCAAACATGCCTACAGTCTGTTATACCAGATTATCCTGTAACTGTAGAGCTAAATAGTAATAATTCATCAGGAAATGAAGTTTACAATATTGCACCTGGTGAAAATAAACATCCGGTGTCCTTTATGAGTGACAAACAATGTGAGGAGCTGGCATTTCCAGTATTGTTTCCTAAAGGAAGATTTGGCTATAAAGTTGAACGACAGGTTAAATTGTCACCAGTAAAATACTTTAATGCAAGACTGTTACATTGTAGCGGCAGATTTGCAACAAATCCAGAATATCTATTCTTTGCACAGTTCATAATAGAACAGAAGAAAATTTCAGATAGTATTAATATTGCTCTAACAAAAGTTCACGGACAGCCTACTACAGCATCTCATTTAAGATCAAATACACAAAGTTTGCAAAATCTTATTTGTCAAGATCAGGCTTATTTATTTTTAAGACAAATTCCAGGTACACCACCTTACTGGCAAAAATTCATTTATGAAGTAGTAGCAATGGTAAAGCAGCTTGACATTCCATCATGGTTTATGACATTACCTTGTGCAGATCTTCGATGGTCTGAGCTTTTTCACATTATTGCTAGGACAAAAGGAATGAATTTAACTGATGAACAAGTTGAAGCCTTGTCTTATAATGAAAGATGTTCTATGCTTAATCTTAATCCTGTTATCACTGCTAAGCATTTTCAGTACAAGGTTGAAACATTTTTCACAGAGGTTCTTCTCACCAGTGCAAACCCCATTGGTAAAATTGTTTATTATGCTCTTCGTATTGAGTTTCAAATGAGAGGCTCTCCTCACTTACATGCACTAATATGGACATCAGACTGTCCAAAACTGACACATGAAAACAAACAAGATTACATAGAATTTATTGATAAGCATGTCCACGCATACATTCCAAATAGAGAAACCGACCCTCAATTACATGAATTAGTTGAAACATATCAAAACCACAACCACTCTAAAACATGTCGAAAATACAGGAATATTCCTTGCAGATTCAATTTTGGACAGTTTTTCACCAAGAGTACAATTGTAGCAGAACCCCTTTCTGATAATCTACCTGAAGATGTCAAAAGTAATGCTCTAACCAGACGAAAGGAAATTCTTAATTTAGTCAAAGAAAAAATAGATAATGTTCTAAACCCCAATAAACCAGATTATGATCCAAAATTAACTGAAACAGATATTTTTAGTTCTTTAGGTATTTCTGAGGAGCAGTATTACTGGGCATTGTCTATATCAGGCGATTCTTATTATGATTGCATCTGAAGCGGCCAATAGACAGCTGTTTTATTAATAACTACTTTGTTGCTGGTATTAAGGGCTTTCAAGCAAATGTTGACTTACAACCTGTTTTTAATCACTACAAGTGCGTAACATATGTCTGCTCATACTTCACAAAGGATGAAACTGAATGTTCACAAGCAATCATGAATGCAGCAAAAGAGGCCAAAACTGCTAATTTAAATGTTAAAGATGGCTTGAGAAAAATTGGTGCTGCTTTCCTCTCTTCTAGAGAAGTCAGTTCACAAGAATGTGTATACAGATGTATGCCAGAACTTTGGTTGAGAAAAATATTTCCCAAAACAGTTTTTATCAGTACTGATTTACCACAAAAAAGAGTACGCATCGCTAAGACCCAACAAGAACTTGATGCATTAGACGAAGACAGTACAGATATCTACAAGTCTAATATAATTGAGCGTTACATCATAAGACCAAAATCTGTTTCTACTGTTGATAACCTTTGTTTAGCAGAATTTGCTTCACACTATTATAAATACTACAAAAAAGAATGTTCTGAGACAGCTGATGCCCAGCCAGATGTTCTCACGGACAATGTGCTTGAATCTCAAAGTGAAACTTTAAATACTAATGCAGTCCTCCCAACACAAATTAGGTTGATGAATACCAATGAAGTCATGAAATGTAGGAAAACTAGGGCTGTTGTAAGATTTCATACACCAAATAAAATTAAAGAGCCTGAGAACTATTTCCATCACTTACTAATGCTCTATTTTCCATGGAGAGAGAAGAATAGTTTGCTTGGCAAAGAACAAACATATGCATCAAAATTCTATGAACCTGCAGTGCAAGCTGTTGTAGAATCCACTAGAGCAATATTTGAACCTAATGCTGATGCTGTCTCAGAAGCACTTGAATCACTGAAGAACAATCAGGGCAATATCATACGATCATATGATTCTATGAATGATCAAGAAAATGCAGATTTGCATTCAGACATGCCAGATGACTCTTTTCCAGAAGAATCATTCAATGAACAGCAGCCTTCACATCTTTCATCTGGAAATGAATCTGATCACCAAAGTACACTTCCCACAATAACAGTAAACAACCAACCAACAGATGTGTCTGATGACTTTCTGCGTCAGTCTGTAAGATCATTAAACAAAACACAACGTTATGCATATGACACAGTTCTGTCTTGTGCAGAAGTAAAATTAAAAATATGAACAGTCTAAAGCCTGAAGAAGTTAAACCAATATATCTCTTTATAACTGGTGGTGCAGGTGCTGGAAAAAGTCACTTGATAAAAACAATATATCACACTGCAGCTAAAACTTTTCGACATGCTTGTAAGAACCCTGAACTACCAACAGTGCTTTTAATGGCTCCAACAGGAGTATCTGCTATTAATATCAATGGCACGACAATAAATACAGCTCTGGCAATTCCTCAGCAAACAAGTGACAATGTCAGACCAAAAGAAGACTCAATTAAGACTGTCGTTTTCAGAACTAAAGCTTATTATTATAGATGAAATTTCTATGGTTGGGAACATTACTTTGCTTCACATACATCAAAGACTACAACAAGTTTTTGGCACAGGTAACTTGCAATTGTTTGCTGGCATGAGTATCATTGCTGTAGGTGATCTGTATCAGCTGCCACCAATACGAAGGAAACTGGTTTTTCAAAACTGCAAAAATGACACTCATAATCTGTATCACCCATGGCAAGTTTTCACAATGATAGAACTAACTGAAATTATGAGACAAAAAGATGATCAGCCATTTACTGAGCTATTAAACAGAATTAGGACTGGTACTCACACTGAAGAAGATGTCAAGTGCATTAATTCAAGATCAGTCAGTCCATCAGATGATAATTACCCTTCAGATGCACTTCACATTTGGGCTGAAAATAACCCTGTTTCTGAACACAACAACAAACAACTAGACCAAATTTCAAAACCTTTGTTTGTACTCACAGCTGTAGATCAGTATCCACCTAACGTCACAAAACAAGATATTGATAGGTTGTTATGTAGAGGGAGATCTGAAACAGGCGGTCTTGATTTTGAAATCCACATTAAAGAAGGTGCAAGAGTAATGCTTACAACTAACATCGATATTGCAGATAGACTTATAAATGGTCAGATAGGAAGTGTTGCAAAAATTATTGTTAATCAAGATAATCAAAAACCAACAGTTATCTTTGTAAAATTTGATGACCATAATGCTGGGAATATTTCAATACAAAAATATGGAAATCTGTTTGCTAGACAAAACAGAGCAGTACCCATTCAACCAGTTGTAACAAAAATCAAAGTCAGGCCAGGTAAACCATCCTCTCCAGAAATACAAAGGATACAGTTTCCTATCACACTGGCATGGGCATGCACTGTGCACAAAGTGCAAGGTTTGACACTTGATAAAGTTGTTATTAGTTTTAACTTGAATAGACAAAGAGGTTTTAACTATGGACAAGTTTATGTTGCATTAAGTCGTTCAACTTCCTTACAAGGACTTTACATTCTGGGGCAAATAGAAAGTAAAAATGTAAGAGCAGACTCTAGAGTCCATGATGAATATGAAAGATTGCGAAATAATTTATCAAAAAGTATGCAGCAAACAAATAAACCAATCCAAACTATTCAGGAAAATAGCTCAAATTTAACTTTATCCCTTCTAAATATACGATCTCTTAGAAAACACAGTATTGACATCAAGCTTGATACAAATATTTTCAGTAGTGATATTATAGCTCTGACAGAAACACAACTTCTTCCTCAAGACACAGACCACAATATTAGAAATGACTTGAATCCCTTTACACTGTACAGGCAAGATCATATTTCTGACAAATACTCAAGTTTAGCACTCTGTACCAAAAATAACATTGAAATTACAGAACAAGAGTATTTCCCTTCAGTAAATGCACTAAAATTTGTTGCTACCAATACTTCTATCCAGCAACAGCTCTCCTTTCTTCTATTATATAGACAACACAGCTCTAATGTTTTACAATTTATAAACTCTATGGAATATCTACTTAGGAGTAATCCTATTGACCTCGTACTTGGAGACTTCAACATAAATTACTTCAATGAGAAAGAAAATAGGCCACTTGAATGCTTGATGCACTCTTTAAACTATGAACAAATTGTACAAACTCCCACAGTTATTTCTGCAGGAACATTGTTAGACCATATTTACATGAAGCCAACAGCTTTTGATATAATCCACAATGATGTAATTAGTGTTTATTATTCAGACCATGATGCAGTTAAAGTATCATTGCAATTGTAACTTACAATAATTTATTATAATTAAAACCACGATATTGTTGTTTTACTTTAATTTTGTATTTAAGCTGATTTTCCAAATCACCAGATTACAATGATACACATCAACTGCGATGCCTAGATTGCCAATTATGGGGAAACTATTGAACTCAACTGATATTGTAACAAAGCTGTTCCAAACAAAAATACTATAAATCTCAAGAATGATATAAATATGTTGGGAATAGGCCATTATATTTTCCACTGGGGAGAGTTTAGGCAATAACCCCAAATCCCCCCCCCCAAAAAAAAACCAAACAAAAAAAAAACTGATAGTGTTCCCTTCAAATCTAAAATGTTATTGTTGAGCAATTTTTAAAGTTATTACTACTTAAAGTGGTTGTAACAAACACCCTGCTAACTATGATACAGCAGCAAAAACAAGCACCCTTCTCCAAATCAATATGGTCTATTCCTAATGGTGATTATATAACACTTCCATTTAATTGTGACATACTGTAGAAATATTTCATGTTAAATACAAAACATTGGGACCCTTAGCACCTTTGTGGTGCTGCTATCCTTCAAGTGCCAAAAAGGTGGGTTGTTGCTTTTACTGCATGGCTCTGTCCTACTGGTTAAATTAGCACATTGCACTTTGGATTAAGCAGTCCTGGTTCAAGTGCTACCCAGCTGTTAAGTTCTTGGGCAACTACACCTAACACTCATAGTGCCTTCCTTCACCCAGGAGTTAAAATGGATACTACTGGCAACATTATGTAGACTATATCATCTAACTTACCTGTGACAATGATCTTGTTTTCTTTCCTATTTTTCAGATGTCATTAAGCAAACCAGTCACTATCGCTGACATCAAGTCTTCACCTGTCCCTAACTCTCCTCA